AAAAAAAAAAAAAAAAAAAAAAAAAAAAAAGAAAAAAAAGAGAGAGAGAGAAGGAAAGAGAGAAGAAGCATCGCCTACCATACCAAATACTGAGAAGGCCAATCCAAAACTAGTCTTCATTGTCACAATTGCGTCTCGAATGCTGCTTCAGTAATAGACAGCTCTGAGCTGGGGGCCAAAGTGAGCTTGGACCCATCCACTACACCATCCGTTCTATAGCAAACAAGCGCTATAGGAATTTACAAGGAAGCCCTTCAGGTGCAGGAGCATCGATATAGAGAAACAGTGTCTAAAGTCACGAAAATGTCATACTTCACGTGAGTATGCCTAGCAAGGAATCCCCAATCGGCCAGGATGTGGTACTTGAGGGGTAATTAGGGTTAACCAGGATTAGCTATGTATAGGTATGTAGTGTCAGGTCCACACATAGGTAACTAGAGACTGAGGGTAGGCTTATCAGACTGCATATATGTTTTTGTCGATGATCGGCTTGCCAAAACGACGGCATTGCAATGTGCGAATCTATCGTGGGAGAGATTAAGCTGTTGGAGCTATTCATGAATGGTTTGCACTGGATTAGTCTCTTTATAATGGGATTTAGGTCGTATTACTGCACTTAGAACTGCTTGATATCGGTTCAAATAAGCTTTAGCTCCTAAGCTTATGTGCCACCAGCCTTAGATACTACCCAATCAGGAAGTCTAGGGGGGTGACAACTTGAAATAGCTACTCGGCAAGCACCTTACCATAGGGCCTTTGTTCTATGTAACATGTTGACGAGGTTTCCTAATTTCCAACATAGGAGAAGCTTCTTGTGTTAGCAAATCTGCGTATTGAGTTACGTACCGTGTCGGAGCTCTAGAGCTAGGTACGGCCCATTCCATTGAATCATCGAGTCCCTCCTGGTATTCCAAAATTTACAATCTTGGATGCGAACTGACTCGAGAGCTTTGATATAACAGTAATGAGAGGTATGGTTGATGCGAGGATTGTATCCTAGGGATGTAATACCGATGAGAGCTGATTATCAACAATATTCACCAGACAGAACGACCTAAGTTTGGCCCATGATTCTCGTTGCGCTATTACTAGGCTTTCAGATGTATTGTGAAAATACAATTTCATTCTGGATGTCTCGAAGGGTGGGAGTCAGCTGATCTGACATCGGGCTTCGTAGTCTCTCCAGCGTCGGCGCCAACACGGCGCGTACCCATCTTGTTTGCAACCTTCTCACCCAAACAAAGCGCCTACCCACTTTAAAGCATCCCTTTGCAGGTTAGATGCCTTGGATTTAGTATAATGTTATTTTTGTTTCATCAAGGCGCTTACAGGACCGCTGACGATGGGGCTCGTCTCAGATCCAGGTCCTTCTCTGGCGAGAGCCTGTCAGCGTCATGATGAGAGACGATGATCCTTTTGACGCCGGGGTGAGTGAGAAGGGACACAGTATGACACCGGCGAACCTGGACTTTAACTGTGTGGATTTTCTGGACATTTCGCTCTTATCTTCTGCGCTATATATATATATGTATATATTTTGCGATATCACATTGTCTGCAGTGATAGTACTGTTATTGCGATTGTGTATAGCTAAGCTCCGTTGAATTCACTCCTTCAACTTCCTTAGCATGGTATCCTATAAAAGGACATGACTTCTGAGGCAGTCATCACTTTACAATGTTGAGACTGCGGTGAGTTGATTATATGCATACAACTAGCTGACACTCTCCTTGGGAGATTTCACCTTCTATGTCGATTGATGTGCATCGAAGTTGTAGTGTTTTACTGATAAGTCTGGATTTCAAAAGGTGTTGCAATATGTTACTATCTCGCCTTCGACGAGTATTCACCACTGTGCTATCATCCGTTCCACTCCTAGCTATAAGGGCATTCGGTCAAGCCCTCCCAGCGACTGAAGCGCCCCGATTCAATACCATTCCGGACTGTGCTCAGGACTGTGTTCGGAGTTTCATATGGACTGATTATCCGAACAACGCGTGCTCTTCTGTGACCGATTTCAACTGTCTATGTAAAACGAATACGAAAAACGGGTATACTCTAGGTGAAGCAGCCTTGCGCTGCAGCATCTCGTTGTGCTCGGTTGACGTAGCGCTCAAGTCGAATGTATATGGCATTTGTGACTCAATACCCGGGGCGCTGCCTCGTACACATGCTACAATAACTGCCACGGTGGTGTCCGTGCTATCACCTACGAGTACTCCCACTACTAGCGCAGAGTCGCCTGGTCCTAGTTCAATCACCCCTATAAATCCTACGCCAACAAGAACAACAGATACATGGACTACTCTTACTAGCTTTCAGAGCCCAGTATCTGTAACGAATACCGCACGGAGTATCTCTAGCACAGCGAGCAGTGATCAGACATCTCACAATGCAACATCAGGAGCAGCGGCCGGTCAAGAAAGCAGCCTTAATGCAGGTGCAGTTATCGGGGTTTCCGTTTCTTCTGGTATCGCAGGCTTTTTTATACTTGGTGTCGTGATATTCTTCTGCTGCAGAAATATGAAACGGAAGTACCAGCACCCAAAGGAACAAAACTTCTTCGAAATTGGAGGCGTCATGTCGGAACCACCTGAGTTCTCTATACCTCCAAGGCGTCCAACTCCAGGGCTCAATCCCTCATCCCGTGCAGGAGATGGGGACACAGAGACTTCGAGACTCATGTCTCCATACCAGGCCAGTCCTCGGAACCCCGCAGTCACTGTAACTAGGCCAAACGATGATTATAACTATGGTTCCACAAGCATACATAGTCCGGACAATATTGGCTTTGCTATTTCCTCTAACTCAGATCTCGAGCCTTCAGTGAGCCAGTCGTCCCCGCGGACAGTCTCCGACCTTCTGCCGGAGAAGCCGGTGTACGCACTTTGCCCGGAACCATTACGATGGAGTCAACAGAAACATGCGAGGTCCAATAGTGGCGACACGTTGTTTGAAGAGGATGTCACCAGACCAAGGAGTTTCCTTGGTAGTAACAAGCAACACCCGAATTATTCAAATTTGCCAACTCCGTACAATGAAAACCGGAAATACAAGAGGCCACCAAGGATAGGACTACCTGATAATCCACGAGCAATGTTCCACGGCTTTCGAGCACGGAATAATACTGTAGTTCCCAGTGGTCCAGATCGCCGGAAACAGCCAGTCTATGCTAGTGCTAGCGAAGGGGTACAAGCCCCTCATCGAGCTGATATATATGGCAATCCATCGCCCACGCCGCCCCCACCGCCACATAAAGCGCAACACGATGAGTATATTGGCGATTACTGGCGGGGACCTAGTGTCGGGAAGGGGAAGGCTAGAGATCTTCCCGAGCCACCGTTATCTCGCGACGCAGTCCGTCATTCATATCATGAGGCCGACGCAAAAGGAAGCTTGTTAGACAGCTCTGGTGACGAATTTGAGACGATCAATATTAACGAAAGCTCGGGCTCTCATCGCACATCTCGACACTCCGGAAACTTCAGACCCCTCACTCCAGTGCGAGAGGTTCGGACGCCCAATAATGAAGGCCAGAAACGAGACTATTTCAATGAAAGTGCGCCCGTACAGTATCCCCGAATGCCGTTCTCCAGGGCTGTTAGCCCAGCTCAAGAAATTGTCTCCAGGCCCAGGATTGTACGGCGTGATGATATCAAACGTGTCCAGATCCGTCGAGGCAAACCGCAGCCCAAGGAGTTAACTGTTCCTTACTCACCGGACGATTACTAGCACGGACACAACGGTGGCTCTTCGTCCGAAGGCAAACCACATAGGGTTTCAAGTGATCGGTCCTCGATGGAAATACCAGGGCGTACGGCAAAGAAGAAGCGTTTCTCTTCAGAACGCAACTTGACTCCGTCCAGACGAGGCTCCGACTTGATCCTCCATGTCGACTGACGGCCCGGTTTGTTGGTTCTCTTTGTTTTGGTTTCAAGCATGTGGTGGCTGAATAGCCGGTGGAGGTCCGTGTACTATGTATATATGCACAATATTCTGCTTCCCGATAATTATAGAAGGGGGAGTATGTCCCTTGGGGCGAGTAGTTAGTGAGGCGATTCTTGGGATGGACTGAAATTTTCTCTTTTCTTTGTAGTATAATACTCACCTGACTATGTATGTATTTATCTACTTCTGACTTTTCTTCTCTTTCTCCCATTCTATACAGGACCGAAATAGACCTTTGACAATTATGACAAAGAGGAGACGGGTGCCAGCTTTCGCTTATCGCGAACAATAACGGCCATAATGAGGAAACCCACACATACCAAGCCAGTGCCACATCATTCTTGCACCATGAAAATAACCGAGGGCGAAGAGTATCAAGGAAAGAAGTTGCATTCCACCTCGCTGAGGAGGTATGTTACCACTGATGATAAGGAAGGCAGGAAGGAGTCTACTTACTAAATCGGCAACCCCCGATTGAGATCACATGCGACAAGGTTTGCAAGCGTATGGCTGACTGAGGCTGATGGTAACGCCCTGTATGTTCAGAACGTTGCACCGCAGACGAGGATCTTACGGAGTTAGGTCCAATGAACGCACGGGGCGATCCTCTAGCCCTCGGGACTCGGGCTGGGCAATCACACCCCATAGGCCATCTGGTATCTGTGCCTGCGCCATCGCCGTAAAGGATGTGAATTTGTTTCTCAGATTCGATTCGGAGATATCACCCGCAGTGACGTCAGGGGCGGCTGTTGAGATGAGAAATTCCCTCATTAATGAGGGATGGAGGGAAGATAAAGAGAAGCGAAGGAAGAACGGGAATTGTAAAATTATCTTTTGGGGTGTGGGAAATCGAAGATTCGTTACTGCGATGTTGGCGTAAGTACTGTGCAGTATCTAGTGACTATATAGATACCTTTAGAGTAGAGATCTATTAAAATCTTCATTGAGGGAGTGGGTCCATTCTGCATTGTTCTCCGGCTGTCAACCAGTTTTTTACCTGAGGTTTACATTCCATTTCCAAGTATTGTTATCAGGGATGTACTGTACTATGGTATAGAGAATTGTGGGACATGGTACAGACCTGTTCTTAAATAGGTAATCGACGTAATAGACCTAGTGATTACTGTAAACCGTAAAGCCACTCCCAATACCTGGGAAAACAAAACCACTGAAGAAAAAGAGAGGGGGAAAAAAGCAAACCAACCACGCCATCATCCAAACCACAGCCACCCCGTGAAATCTTCCTTTCTGATGATATCAACAAATCCAGAGATAATTGTTAGGATGTCTTCCGTGGATCCACTTTTTTATACCCCTCTACTGCACATCAACTCCACCCGCCTTCCAACGATGACGCTGTCCTATGATTTACGACTTGGTGGGCGCCTTGATTGTTGCAAGGAGCAAATCAGAATGTGTGTTCCCATCATCACAAATAACTGATCGTTGCGTCGCTACTAGGAATGGGCCGGAGAGGAACGGTAAACTTTCCCCTCGGTGGAGTCTCTCCCCTAAAAGTACGTTAATGCATGATTCCATTTCTAAAAGGAATTTCGTCCAGGCGCGGTTGAAGTTGGAGCCACGGGTTGCATCAACCATGAACCAAACAGCGCCAGGTCGACACTCCACCCGCCATGCCCTGTCTTTATATTAATGGCTTCAACCTCGCAACCCTGACCCTCTCTCTCCACTCCCCACTTTTCAAATACTCTCTCGTCATCTTACTCAAGCCTCTTGTTTAGTAGAGCGCTGTCCTTGTTTGAGCGATCGCAGTACGTACTGCTGCACATCATCGGTCTATCTTGTCATTCTCTATCCCATTGTTCGAACCTGGTTCCCGTCGTGGAACCCTCCCTGTCCACTGATCGTCCAAATTCTTGTTTGTTTATTAAAAGAGAATCCCCAGTTTGAGTCAATCTAATTGACAGGCGATCCTACCGGTGGTCGATCTTCAGCATTGACATCTCAACTGCTTCTGGCCGGGCCCACACAGGGCCGCTCCACCAGCTCAATCCATTGTCGCCACCCCGTAGTTTTACCCACATTCACAGGATTAAAATGACTACCGCCGACAGGTTCGGTGCCCAGAGGGTCCGCCGGCTATCCAGCCTGGACGCTTCTCGGGCCGACCTCTACGGCGGCCCTAACGTGGTCGTTCCGCCCAAGCATTTGATGGCCACGAGTGATTCTCACGAAACAGCCATGGCAATGGCAATGGCCAAACAACATCTCGAGGACGAAGTTTCTTCTGATGATGGGTCGCCCCGCGTTGCGTCCCCAGTCTCGCGAGGACCTCTGACCACCACTGATGAGTTTGCGCTGGCCTTTGACATTGATGGCGTTCTTATCAGAGGAGGAGAACCCATCCCCGCGGCGATTGAGGCATTGAAGTACATCAATGGGGCCAATCCTTACGGAATCAAGATGTAAGCGCTCTTTTTGCGATTCTCCCTTCCCCTCAAACGACAGCGATTACAAAATGTCCGTGTCATAGCACAAACTAAAATATCCTGCCCTTTTCTAGACCGTATATCTTCGTTACAAATGGTGGAGGCAAGACAGAGGAGGAACGATGCTTGGATCTCAGCCGTCAACTCGAATTGGAGGTCTCCCCAGGCCAGTTCATCTGCGGTCACACCCCCATGCGGGAAATGGCTGAGCGGTACAATACCGTCCTTGTCGTTGGTGGTGTAGGCGAGAAGTGTCGCATTGTAGCCGAATCTTATGGTTTCAAGGATGTCATCACTCCTGGAGATATCATCAAGACGAGACACGATACCACCCCGTTCCGGAGCTTGACGGATGAAGAGTACAAAAACTCTCGTGTCAGAGATTTCAGTCAGACTAATATCGACGCCATCTTTGTATTTGCCGACAGTCGAGACTGGGCCGGTGATCAGCAGATCATACTGGATGTTCTCATGTCGAAAAATGGACGCCTCGGAACACGCTCCGAGACGTTCGACGAGGGCCCACCCGTGTTCTTTTCCCACAACGATGTTGTGTGGTCCACCTCTCACGAACACTCCCGCATTGGCATGGGTGCCCTCCGGGCTTCTCTTGAGGCCCTTTATAAGGCCGTCACTGGCACTGATTTACACACAATTGCCTTTGGAAAACCTCAGCTGGGCACATACGAGTTCGCTACCCGACTCCTTCGCCAATGGCGTAAGGATACTCACGGTATTAACAGCCCTCCGAAAACCGTCTACTTTGTCGGCGACACTCCGGAGTCAGACATCCGCGGCACTAACGAGTTCGATAAAATAAGTGATACCCACTGGTACTCAATCCTGGTTAAAACCGGTGTCTACCAGGAGGGTACGATACCCCGCTACCCGCCCAAGAAAGTCACCGAAAATGTGCTGGGAGCTGTCAAGTTTGCCTTAGAGAGAGAGCTCACTAAGCAGTCTAACGAGTCCGCCATCGCAGATGATATCGACTCCGGCATTGATTCGGAGTCTGCTCTTAACTATTGATTGCCTTTCGTCCGGCGTTTCTCATATTTCCCATTTCCCATTTCCTTAACATTTACATGATATCCTATAGCCTCCATGTACTTCTCATCGTTTGTGCAGTGCACAGATTATTATAAATCCATGATGGCTTTTTATGATTCCCTGGCATGCCACTTTTGTTTCCGGCTTTCGGGTACCTCCACACCATTGCATTTTGTCTACTTCCCCATCTAGTTCCTTGCCAGCACGCAAGGTCCCATCACCGGAATCATGATAGATGCCGTTTAGGCCGCTTTGGTTCTGGGATGAATGCTTTTAAGTTCACAGTGCCACGAAAGCCATCTTGGGCATATATCTTCGCGGGTCATTATATAGACTTTGCCATTATATCATCGAGTTATGAACAAGAATATATCCATCAAATGATTCTACAATAGGCTTCTAGCATGCTGAGTACGACAATCTAAAGTTACGATTTCTATCAGCTGGTTTATGACAACGCCTTCTATGACCCTCCCTAGCAAACGCCATTAATGAAACAGAATACTACAACTATACTCGAGTCCAAAGTTACGTCGAATCAGCCTCCTAAAGCACTGTAGCATCGGCAACGCCGAGGCCACTATCGAAGACTTGTCTTACATCGGGAGGGATAGAATAGGCAATTCCGAATATTAAGTTATGTAGAAGCACGCCATGTCTATAATATGCAGGCAGACGTCACAGGAATCTGCGGAAGAGGCCATCCAGTCATGTGTCTGAGCGCGACAATAGCCTCGGCAATTAATGGAGGGTCGGTTCCACCCATAGTTGGGTCTAGGGGGGGGAAGTTGTTCTTTACTGTTTTTTCTGCCTTGGGCTTTTTGCTTTGGATATTATAATGGTATTGTATAGACAAGGTTGATAACCCTCCCAGTAACCCCTCACGCCGAGAACCGGACAGGAACCGGCGTCGTTGGAGCGGGGCGGAGAGGTCTGTTCAGGACGCTTATTAGTAACCAATTACTTAGTAAACTGAGCCCTACACAAGATGACTGGATGTCCAGCTATGAAATGTACTCCATACGTATCCCTCTCCCCGCAATTATCTATGACCCCGTGGGGTGGATATGCGACTATTTCGCGCCCCGCATTTCAAGGTATGCAACGTGCCCCAGCTTAGATCTGGAATTCGTTGTCGAGCCAATGCTTGCTGACGACTTTTCCTTCGTCGAATCCCTTCTTAGGGGCCCGCACGATGATCGCTGCATGGCTATGTCGGTGATTGTGAATGTAGACCGGGTATTTGCGGAATCCCACAGCATTGAGGGAGTCGATTACGGCGATCTGGGCGGGCGTGAGAGCGAGGGCGGGATACTTTCGGTCTGTGCTGGTGGCATCATCTGTTTCTTTGTGATCGTCGCGGTCTCGTGAAGGTGTGGTTTCTCTAGCTTTCGGTCTGGGAGAATTCCGTTGTCTAATTGATTCTTCGCCGCCTGTCTTGGAGACTGAGAGGTATTCGGGGTGTTGTCTGAACCCGACGTCCTCGTATGCTTTTCCTATGGCGCTCTGCACTCCCTCAGCCATTGCATGAGGCAACCGGTATTGTCTAAACAGTGTTCCGCTCTTCTCTTCCTCATGTAACTGAACCCGTTGCCGACTGTGGGACCACTGCCTAACAGAGTGCAGGAAGAAAAGCGGCAGAATGATGGAAAGGAAAAGAACAACGAAGGTCCAGAGCAAGACCTTAGTGAAGATCCCCATTATTTGTTGCCAAACCCGACTTCCCAAGGACAAAGTCTCTGCTTCCATCATCCCCGGAGACAAAAAGTACACATCTGGATCAATCACAACAGGTTCGTACCCTTTAACATAGTTCGCCAGCTTATGCTTCACATCCCGAAAGGGATCCACCATCGAAAGCGCAGTAGTATAAAAAATAGTCGTGCGATCATTGATCACATTCGCATAAAGACACCGATTCCTAAACTTCCCCAAAGCCCGCACAAAGATGCCATCCGGATCAGCCAAAAGGCTAAGCATCGGCCGCCCCGATTCTCCGACAGAGTCAACCATGAACAGCTGTCGCGCTGATATCGAACCCTGCTGCGGCCCTACGTTATTCCAGAGATAACTCCAGAGGCCTTTGCGAGGAATCCGCACTCCCACATGCGGTGATACGAAGGTGGTGAAGTTGACCGGCTCCAGCTTGTCGAACCAACCCCGTGCGTCGAGCAATCCTATTGCATATCTGGCCAACAGGCCTCCAAACGAGTACCCAACAACACTCAGCTTCCGGATGTGACATCCATTATCGGCTAAGGCGTCTAGGGTTTCCTCGATTTCGAGGGCGACTCGCTCGCCGCCAACTTCGATCCCATCGTACGTGAGATTCCCGGCGTTGCGCTCCGCAACTAGGATATGTAGGCGGTCGTCGCTGTACCGTTCTCTCAGGGACGCTGCTAGGTGGTCCATGTGAGACGGGTTACCCCAGAATCTGTCCATTTGTCACTTAGTAAATGTAGCGTTGCTTGCTTGCTTTGATGCTCGTACCCATGGATCAAGACACACAGGTGGTCGGCTTTCCGCGAAATGCCGTCCTGGAGGTAGTAACTGGGTTCCATTGATTCAAATGATGGAACTGCTAGCCACAATCCCAATTTGCAAGCTATAGTTCCTTTCTATGCACTTTTCGCGCCATGTATATAAATACACAGGCTAGAGGATGGTTAATGGGTGTCCTCCATTATCGCCGTACTAACTCCGTAGGGTCCGGTTGTCTACTGTGTGATTACCAAGCAGATGTCTGCCTAAACATGGACTCTTGGGACAAGTCTGATTGTAATGGTAAGATCTGCCACTGCGCTGAGTAGTGAAGATAAGGATAGAGTCGGTCAATAAATACCTGGCACTTAAAAGCCCATCCCAACTAAGGACAATTGATGATTGTTGTTTAATACTTCATACAGGGAATAACGGTGCTGTGAGCTGGTCAGACCAAGACTATGTGGGGCTCTCTTTATAAACCGATCACTACTGGTAGTATACATAGTATGTATAGTATATATGAAGTTATTAATTATCCTCAACTGCGAACAGGAGTAAAGGCTACACATTTGCCAATCCCATTATGCCCCGCACCTACATCTAGGGCTTCCTTCCACTGCTCCAAGCCGAACATCGTAGTGTCCAGAAAACCCCGACCTAGAGGAAACAAGTCCCTCTCTATCATCTTGACAAGCTGCATGACAGCATCCCGCTCATACATCATTTTCCCCTACAAGCATTCCATAATCAGTAGAGGAACACCCAAATGATCGGCAGACAAAACTCACCCTTCAACGTAATATTATTGACCATAATCTCCGAAACCCCGATGTTCTTCGTAGCCCCCATTAAATAACCCTCCCACCCCGTCGCAACGCCTTAACCGCACTCCTCGCATGCCTAAAACAGCATCTACAACACCAAAAGCTCTTAACGCAGCTAAGCTACATCTCTACTTTCATCCCCCGTAATCACCACGGTCTCAATCTCCGCCCTCGGCAACCAACCCCCTTTTAACCTCTTCCTTCAACTTCCCCAACTTCTCCCCACTCCGCCCCATAGCAATCACCCTCGCGCCCATCGCCGCCGCAATCTGCACCCCAATCCCACTATAAAATCCCGTCGCCGGACACACAATAACCGTCTCCCTAGCCTCAAGCCCAATATCCCACAGCCCCCCATACGGCACCGCCAAATACCCCATGTACACCAAGTCCAGGAGCGAAAAATCCCAGCCCACCACACAATCTCGCTTCGTTCAGCGGGATACAGTTCTCCAGTGGAACCATGGCGTACTCGGCAAACGTCCCGTCGCGCCATACATCCCGGATCTCGCTGAACCCCTCGTAGATCGCTGAGACGAAGAACGAGTCTGGGTCATCGCGACCGCGGATCACGCAGTCGATGTAGACGAGTTGGCCGGATTTTAGGACCGCTGTGTCGGGTGCTAGGGCGGTGATGTGCCCGATTGCGCCGAAGCCACCTACCAGTGGTGTGGGGATTGGGTTGGGGTGCTGGCCGTTGTATATTTCGCGGTGGTAGGGGAGGATGCCAGCTGCGGTGATGCGGATGATGGCGCTGCTGAGGTCTGGGGGTGGTGTTGGGAGGGTTTGGAGTCAGAAGGAGGATTCGAGGTTTGGGAGGACGAGGGCAAGGTGCTTAGGGGGCGGGGTTGGTTGCATGGTCAGGGCTTAGAGATTGTGGATATTGGGGATGGGTAATGATGATATCTGTGTATACCGTTGTACAGTCCTGCCGGGGAATGGTTTGGAAACATCCTTTTTGCAAAAAGGATGTACTGTGTACTAATTATATCCATAGGCTTGGTATATATGTATTATACATCTTCTGTATTGAATATATAGTTATACTCTGGAATGTTGAGTAACGTTGGTATAGTGGGTCACCGAACTGCATAGAAATAGGATGAATTCCGTACCATTATTTTTTAGTGATATTTTGAATAGACCATGACCATCGCCATTAATTTTTTACATATTTCTATATAGCAATATGGCTCCTTCTACACCTCCTCATTTTCAGCCAACTAGAGATGAGCGCCTGCAAACCTTGACTCTGCGCTCACTAAATATGAAATATGAAGATATTGCAAAACACCTAGGGGTTCCTATACATCAGGTCCAACTAGCCTGTCAGGCTGGTCACCCTAAACCCCTCTAAAAGATCTGGTCGACCATTAGCAATGATGGATGAGGAAATTGTCTATCTTATTAGATTTGTCACCTCATCAAGGTATGCAAGATACCTAACCTATAGTGAACTAGCCTTACTTTCTGGAGGCAATCGAAGATATATTGCTAGAAGGAAACCAACGCTATCCCTTGGGAGTAAACAGAAACGGCTTCTCTAGGCACAAGGGTACCTTAATTGGACTCTTAGTCAAGGGGAAGCTATGCTATGGTCTGATGAAACAGGGGTAAATCTAGGTAGGTCGCCACACACGTACGTGGGATACTCGCCGAAAGGATGAGATCTTCCATGAGGACTGTATTATTGAACGGTGCCCACGTAAGATAGGGTGGATTTTTCGGGGCTCATTTTAGGGAACTACTAAAGGCCCTATAGTATTCTGGGAGAAAGGCATGGGGTACAAATGCTCAAAGCTATATTCAACATACTTGTAACAGAGTATATCCATCACTATCCTCATCTTCAACTAGTACAGGATGGCGCGCTAGACCACAGTGCCCAATTTACTATTCAAGCACTTGAGAGGGGTGGTGTCTATATGATTAGATGGCCTCCTTTCTCTCCCGATCTTAAACCTAATTGAGATGGTGTGGAATTGGATGAAATATCTACGGGCAAATTTCCCTGAACATATGACACTACCAGAGCTAAGAATAGCCCTTAAAGTGGCCTGGGATACTATTCCAGTTGATTTTCTGCAAGATCTACTGAAATCCATGTCTGAAAGGTGTCGTGCAGTTATTGAGGCAGGTGGTGGTCATACCAAATTTTGATACCGTGTGCGTGGATATATTAGATAGGGCGTGTATATAGTCCAGAAATTCAGCTTTACCTAATAAACGAGTGATTTCCAGTGGTGCTTACTAACATTTTATATGCAATAACTAACTAACTATACCATAGTATACTTCGTCTATGTGGGCCATCAGGATGTATTACTATCATCCATATCACCAAAAATGCCGAAATTAGCAAAACCACGCATTGAGCAGGAATGCAGGGTCCTACTGGCCATATCAGCCATAAAAAAGCAAAAAATTAGCTGCCTTAGGAAGGCAGCTGAAGTGTTTAATATACCTCTTACTACACTACGTGATCGCCTCAAAGGAGCTTTTTTTAGAAGTGATGCTCGAACAAATAGTCATAAATTGACTACCAGTGAAGATATGACGCTTAAGCAGTAGATTTACCTGCCTATATCATCTTCAAAGGCAAGGTGTATATGGAGACCTGGTTTGAGAATCGAGAAATCCCATCGGATTGGAGAACTGAACTCAGTCCTAATGGATGGATAAGCAATGAAATTGTCCTACACCGGCAACAGAATCATTTTATACCAGCTACTACAGGCCGATCTATAGGCCGATATCGTTTGCTTATTCTAGATGGACATGATAGTCATCTGACACCCCAATTTGATTAAATCAGCTCAGAGAATGTTATTATATCAATCTGCATGCATGTTCAGGCTTCTCATAAGCTTCACCGCTTGATATTTCTTGTTTCTCGTCGTTAAAAAGCGCGTACGGGACTCTGATTAATTCTCAGGTTCGCTCTGGAAATAACCATATCGATAAAGTCGATTTTTTGGAAGCCTATGTTAAGGCCCGTGCGCAGGCCTGTACTAGCAGCAATATCTATAGTGCTTTTAGAGTTACTGGTCTAGCCCTCTAAATCCTGAGCGGGTTTTATCTACGTTGACAGTTCAACTGAATACAACTACCACCCCGGGTAGTAGACCGAGCAATCAGGGCAGTTAAGCGCTTAGAACACCTCATATAACCAAACAATTGAAAAATTCAATAGAAAAATTCAATAGAAAAATACTGAATCAGTTGATTAAATGTGCTGAACGAGCTCTAAATGATGTGGTAACTTTAGAGCATCAAAATGAGGAATATCAGGCTATACATGAAAAGAAGCTTAAAAAGCGGAAGCGCATTACTAAGCAGATTACTTTAGGAGCAGGCCGTATCAGTACAGGAAGCCCGAATCCTAATAGAGCGCAGAAATCATGCAGATGAAGCTATCCAGGCAGACAACAAGGCCTTGTCTACTGAATCAGGCCCTAGGCGCGCTCCACCTAGGTGTTCTGGCTACAATGCACAAGGCCATAGAGTCACGAGCTGCCCGAATCGATAGAATCTATTTTTCTATAGGAATATATATTGATGGTCTCTCGATCATTTTAACTTTTAATATGGCCTGGGGGAGGGGGCGCGGCTCGCTTACCGAATACGTTATAAAAAGACGCCGAATAGAGATTCAGTATACTTAACAACAAATAGACTACCATGTATTCTGTTCAGAACCTAATATCCTGCTTGAGTGAGGTTTCTTTCATGAGTAGTATGGATTGACCATGGAAAGCTGGACGACTGTTAGAACACAAGCATTCGTTTCCAGAAATTTTTAGTTTAATCAGATCAAGAGTGAGCGGTACAAGTGACTAGGCATCATAAAGGATCTCAACTGCTTTTAGTTAGGAATTAAACCAGAGTGCATGGAGTAAAATCAAACAGATCTACAAGCTAGAAAAAAGTTGTTATCGAAAATCATGCCTTATAAATGAGGCGACAAATTTGCAGTGTTTGCATCGTGTCTCAAGGCCGCGATTCACCACTGCATATACTGTTCTTCACCTCACGCGCTTCATCCTACTTAAAGCTATATATATTTCGTGTGCTCTCTTCCTTTCTCACTATAGCGCTGTTCCTGTCTCTGTTGCCGTAATACATTGGAATTCTGGAAGGTCGTGGTACTATCTCGGTCTCTCATCAAACACTTTAGGCCAGATCGAAAACGGTTCAAGGTTGAAACGATGCTGGGAATGACCAGCTTCGTCTTGACACTCTAAACCACTTGTATCAACACGCAATTGGGATTGGGATCTGGGATCAGGCTCTTGCGTGCACCAGGTATTCATAGTCAGGCCTCGGATATGCAAGCATGCAACTTCCTGCCATATTCAAGGTCTAAGCTTATATTGCTTTGCATTTCTTTTATTTGTCTTTAGTTTACTACCACGTCGATTCTATCACAATGTTTACACCTCTTGGGCTATTTAAGGACATCCCCTGTCCTCACGGTCAGGAATGCGGTCTTTTGACTTGCATGTTCTCTCACGAAACCATCAAACCGCCTTCAGAAGTCGACAAAAGTATTAAGAGTGCGAGTTCACAGGAGGAAACTATGCCTGCACAAGAAATCCCACCCGTGAAGAAACCAAGGTTGCAGGCAACAGTCGAAGCTAGTAGGACCAACCTGGAAGATCGGCCCTTGCCTTCGCGCCAGCACGAAACCGGTGGTGGTCAAATAACCGCACCGACAAACAGGATCGGAGACAAGACCCAAATAGCAAGCCAAAGCCCTGCAAAACTTCAGTCGATATCTAGGGGCGTCTCTCCACCTCCTCCAAAAATGGAGCCGCCGACAGCGAAACGCGATGCATCGGCATCTTCAAAACAGGAGCAACGACCTACACTAAGAAAGGCTCCTCACGAGAGTCTGAATCCTAGGATGTTAATGAAAGCACCCGCGTCTCATGGTGTACGGCTGTCTATTTTGACTAAGCTTCATAATGCTATGTCCGCTCTAAATGACAAGATGGCCAAGGACAAAGATAATAAAGATAAAAGCATTATTTTAACCCCCAATGAGCTTATCACAATGGCTCTAGATGAAGAGGAAAAGACGGCCAAGGGGAATGCGAGTGTATACGGCAACGTTATCAAACTCCGTATTGTGAAATTCTCGAAGATGAGCAAAGAAGATTGGGTGAAGGAGGTCAAAGCCCATCTAAATGAGAGATACTACAAGACGGCGCCTGATCAAGGAGAGCAGAAACCGGCTGTCTTTTCAACCGGCCTGAGCGCCAAAGAGGAAATCGCAATTGCAACAAAATTAATCACGCCTCTTGAAGGACTAGAACAATATGGTTATGTGACTAAAGCGCCCACAGAAGAGGAGATTGAGGGTGCCAGGAAAGGGGTTACCGAGTCTAAAGGATGGGAAAAGTGTGATCGTTGTGGTGGACGATTCCAGGTTTTTCCTGGTCGCCGTGAGGATGGTTCGTTGACAACAGGAGGACAGTGCACATATCATCCTGGCAAACCGTTTTACCCTCCAAAAAAACGTACAGACCATATTACCGGACATAAGGAGGCTTATTATACTTGCTGCAATGAGACCCTAGGGACGTCTGCTGGATGCACCAAAGGCGATACCCATGTCTATAAAGTGTCTGAGGCCAAACGGCTAGCATCAATCCTTCAGTTCGAAAAGACCCCGGCGCAGCCAGACAAAGGGCCCCTTCCGCCGGTAGGTTTCGACTGTGAGATGGGATATACCACTCTGGGGCTGGAGCTGATCCGGCTCACTGCCGTTAGCTGGCCTGAGGGCAAAGAACTCCTGGATGTTATTGTTAGGCCTATGGGGGAAATATTGGACTTGAATTCGCGGTTTTCTGGCGTTTTCCCAGAACATTACAAGAACGCGGTCCCTCATGACGACTCAGTCGCAGCAACTGCTTCGTCCGTCCTGGACGATGGGGAGGTAGAGCCAAGGCCTTTGAAGGTGGTAGAATCTCCTGCAATAGCACGGGCCCTACTATTCAAGCTACTGCAACCCGAGACACCTCTTATCGGGCATGCAATTGACAATGACCTCAATGCTTGCCGCATTATTCATCCTACCGTCATTGACACAGTGATCCTTTACCCAGTGGGAGCAGGTCTACCCAACCGCATGGGCCTCAAAACCCTATCTAGAAAGTATCTTGATCGGCACATCCAGACTGGAGGAAACCTCGGCCATGATTCCAAGGAGGACGCGATTGCCACTGGGGACTTAGTCCGGGTCAAGGTTGCAGAAACTTGGAAGTTATTGAAGTCGAAAGGCTGGGTCATCCAGAATGACAGACTTGTGCCTCCACCAGGCGCAACAGATGATACTGGTCCGTTGTGGCGGCTGGGACCCGGTGCCGGACTGAAGAGGACCAGTTCAGCTCTAGGTTAACTGAGGATTCTTACATAGCTTGATTTTGTTATGAGATACCCGACGAGACCCATCTTTTTACGCAGTTTACAAGAGAATAAGGAACAAATGGGTAATAGATGGACTTAATTCAAATCTACTAGTCGTAACGTCATGAGTAGATATAACACTGGAACGTGACTGGTCAGCCATGGAATGCCGCATTTTCAGGTCGAGTCATTCCGATGGGTATCCTATGCCACAAAGCAGTGCAGGAGCGCTCCCGAACAAGCACATCTACACCCTCACAGACCAGACCCAAAGCGCTGACTCTCATTAAGATATTGCTCCCGTCCAAAACTTGCAAGCCCCCTGATGCGAGCGAACTCGAGCCCGGTCGAATTATCTTATTTTCTTGTCCAAGGAGTAATTTACTCCTCATCCTCGTCAGCCTCCTCGCTGGCGACGTTGTAGAAGCGGAGCTCGTAGACACCCTTGGAGGTGGCGACAACACGGAGCCAGTCACGGAGCTGCTGCTTCTTGAGGTACTTCTTGGTCCTGGTTGACTGTTAGTATCCCTACTTCCTGCACCATGTGAAGCATTGAAGTAACTTACAAGTACTTGAGGTAGCGACCAGAGAAGGGGATGTGGGCAACGACCTCGACCTTGCCATCACCAACCTGGGAGATGACAACCTTGTCACCGAGGTTACCAACACGGCCCTCGACCTTGATGCGGTCGTGGAGGAACTTCTCGAAAGCAGAAAGATCGAAGATCTTGTCGCTCACGGGCTGAGAAGCATTGATGATGAACTATTAAGCAAGTATGTTAGCGATTAGATCTTTGATTAGCTTGCGACTCAAAAGTCTATCACGTACCTTCTGGGTAACCTTCTGGGCCTTACGACCACGAGCCTATTCACCCAAATTTTGCGATTAGCCTACTGTTCCATTATGTCGGATCCCCAGGGGGTCCAAGCTGGTTTCCTGCACAAGCTAATGTGAAGAAACCACATGGCAACCCTCTCAGGGGGAACAGCAAAGCAGTTTCAGGATTGAGAACATACAGTAGCGGCGGGAGACATTGTGACTGGTTGGGGGTTATTGACGAGGGATTGTTGGTCGCAAAGAGGTGAGTATCCTGCGCCTTGGACGAAGATAGCAGAGGGATGGAGATCGAAAACTTCTCGCTAGTGGAGCCTTGTGATAATCCAGTCCGCAAGTGCGTGTGGCTAGTCCTGATTGGGAAGCTATCTTAGGGCTCAGATAGCTGATTAGGGCAGGCTCTGGTCATCTGACTTTTGAATGACAGAACCTATGAGAGCCGCCTTCCTAATGCAGTGAATTCCCCTCTCGCTTAACGAGGAGGATGAATGACACTAGTCAACTAGTGCCGCACGGGCCATCAACCCTTTCCTTTAAATACTCTGCAACTCTCCCGCTCTTTAGAATTTTTTTTCTTTTCTTTTCCAGCTCTCTTTGCCTTTTGGCTTAGATCAAGTGTAGTATCTGTTCTTTTCAGTTTAATCTCTGAAAGTGTTCCATAGGAACACAACATTGATTAATCTTATTTTTGGTCTCCGTGGCAGGGCCCCTGTGCTTGCGCATGCCTTGCCGCACAGTGTCATCGGGCTTACACTACCCCCGATAGACGCGAACTCTTTTTCATCAATCCGGTCGGTATACCGCCCGCTTGGAGAAGAAGATTCTAGTCTCATCTGTATTAATCTTCACAATCATTTGAAGTCTATGTATATACTGAGAAATCCATATATAGTACAAATTCAACTTAAGTTGAGAGTCATTGTTCCACGTGATCCTAAAATTTCGCCTTCCAAATCATTCAGATTGCAATCACCATTTAATAATATATTTCACCATTTACGCAACAGCTCCAAGCCGTCATCACCATGGGTTCCGTCGTACTGCCGCACCTGCGTACCGCTTGGCACGTGGACCAAGCCATTCTCTCTGAAGAAGAACGACTTGTAGTATGTACTCAGCCATCGCGTATGGCGATACGCACATACTGATAACGATGGCTACAGGTCATTCGATTTGGCCGAGACCACGATGTCGACTGTAAGCCCCCTCACCATGTGGACATACCAGAGTGATGTCATGTCCTAACTGCCTACAGGCATGCGCCAGGACGAAGTTCTTTTCAAGATCGCTGAACGTGTCAAGAGTAAGTAGCGACCCTCATCCAGTGAGAATATCATAGGAATATATACTATTTTTTTAATACCGTTCTACCACAAACGCGCATACAATGCACATACGAGGATTAAGAAGAAAGAATATAACATTACATCCAGATTTCGCCGTGATCTACCTCTGCGACATCGACGAGGTCCCCGAGTTCAACACCATGTACGAATTATTCGATCCAATGACCATCATGTTCTTCTATAGGAACAAACACATGATGTGTGATTTCGGTACCGGTAACAACAACAAATTGAACTGGGTGCTGGAGGATAAGCAGGAGTTAATTGATATTCTTGAGACGATCTACAAGGGTGCTAAGAAGGGACGGGGTCTCGTGGTTAGCCCGAAGGGTGAGTTGCCCCCTTAGTTGGAAGTGTTTATAAATGGATCCAGGGCTAATTGCTTCATAGATTACTCGACAAGGTACCGGTACTGATTTGCTTTGGTCGTTGGTTGGGTAGAGATGTGCTGCTAGGCTGCTCTGCGGCTGATAATTTTAGAACAATGAAAAAAATGACTGACGTATATGTTCTCAGTGCTTGGTAGTGTTCAGGTATAAAATAAGTGTACATATCCCCTCTGTGCTTAGGTGAGATGTGTTCTTGGGTTGTAATACCTCCGGTAGCAGGTAGCGCGATATTTCTTTCGTATCTCCTTTAGCTCATTTAAGGAAGTCGAATATTTGCACTTGAGCCACAATGATTTTTCAGGGAACGTAGGAATGGAACTTCTAGCTGGGCGAACAGCGCTGGGGACCTTCAACACCGTGAAGCTCAGTATTAGTATCTAGGGTTTTAGTTGCTTTTGGGTCAATAGTATACTCGTTCGAGCCACTATGGTACCATTCCTCTTAAAACCCTATGGAGGTAGAACTTGACTGTCTTTGAGGCTTGGTAGATCACGATATACGATGAACAGGACAGTGTAAACTCATTAAGTAATGTTCTCCTAAGCACTATAAAGAAGGATAAATACAACCTCTAGGCAGAAAATTGCAATTTAAAAAATTCAAAAGAAAAAAGGGGGGGAAATAAGGCAAACAAACAATTGAAATAAAGTAAACTACTTCGGCCCACCTCTTACAAATATGCAAAAGATTTCTAGCTAGATCGCCGGCCTAACAGTGAAGTTTAGCGCTATATGTATATACAGTGTCCACCGGGCGGAAAGCCTCAGGCCCCCACAGCCTAACTCGTCACTTTATTTTTCTCTTCATCTGACGTAACATAATTGACCTCCATCCGATTCCGCCCCAAAGATCCAACCATACAATCAATTATTCCAAACAAAAACGAAGAATAACACATAATCAGAATGATCGACCGCGGCATCTTTGAAAGCCTTCAGTCCAAAATCGACGAGGAGGCCGTCGTCCGTGATGTCCGTGCCAAGGCTTTCCCTGCAAGCTCCAGAAAAGCTCAAAACTGATCGTTACCAGGAACTACATGAGATTGTTCAGACCCTTGCTAGAAATGGTTCGTCCCATCAATCCTGAACTCGTACTTTTCTCCCTTGGGAAAATAGGCGCAGGAGAAGTACAGCTAGAGCTTCAATTAACATGGTCAATGAGCAGGACGTTCCACAACAGCTGTGCTCTCTCGAGCTCATTCTACGCCCTCAAATCACTGTAGGTATTATTTCCCTATGAGATGAAAATACAAAATATACTGATAGAAGCAGTGAAACCCGTCCTGGATGAGGCGACGAAGGAAATCCTCGCTCAGAAAGAGCAAGTCACCCGGCTCAAGGCCTTGGCTGACAAGCACCCGTTCTATAAATACAACGGCGTGTGGACTCGTGAGCTGCAAAATCTGGTTAGTTACCGGACGCCTTCCGAGCGAACCATCATCATGGGACTAATTCGGTTATGGTCAGGTTTCGTCTATTGAGCTCTGTGCCTGGTTGGGCGGGTTTGAGGAGTACAAGAGTGACGGTTCTTCATTTTTGACCATCGAGGAGGTCGGGAAGTTTCTTGATGGTAAGTTTCATGGGTTTACTTCATAGTTGAACGATGGTCGGAATTGAGTTTGTTCTAGGTCATGCTGACGCGTGCGGATAGTTCCTGTGAATCTGAAGGAACAGGATGCTTTCCACCTCACGATTGAAGAGTATCTGCTTGCGCTAATCTCTATGGTTGAGGAACTGGTATGTCTATCTATGTTTGTTTCGTTGAGTTTCGAGAGTATACTGACTTTGGGGAAGTCGCGTCTTGCTGTCAACTCCGTCACCCTTGGGGATTATGCTCGGCCGCTGCAGATTAGCAACTTTATCAAGGATCTGTTTGCTGGGTTCCAGCTCTTGAATCTAAAGAACGATATCCTGCGCAAGAGGAGTGATGGAATCAAGTACAGTGTAAGTTTCCCCTGTACCAGTAAACATATGACTGGTAGCACTAACACCCCCGTGTAGGTCAAAAAGGTTGAGGATGTTGTCTATGATCTATCTTTGCGGAACCTGATCCCCAAGGGCAGTGATGCCGCTTAATTTCTGAATGAAATCACACCATATCTACATTATGCATAATGGCGATACATTCAAAATCCGAAGACATTAGCCCCCCCCCCCTTGATATACAGCGGTGGCCCGAGGTGCATATAACGAGTACTATTAAGATACAAGCAATGAAGTATGGTATCATATATAAATATAAACTCCCAGCCCTTGGAAAGCAGATCACGACAATTTGGCCTGCTCGGAAGATTCTCCCTCCTTAGCCTGAGCTGAAGCAGCAGTTCCATTCTTCTGAGACTTCTCGATCTCTTTGACGATGGTATCCTCCAGCGATTCAGGTTTGGTGGTACTGGCCCAACGACCGACAACCTTACCTTCGGGCGAGATCAGGAACTTCTCGAAGTTCCACTTGATGCGTTTGAGGCCCAGCAGGCCGGGTTGCTGTTCCTTCATCCAGGTCCACAGAGGGGCCGCGTCGTTTCCGTTGACATCCAGCTTGCCCAGCACAGGGAAGGTAACGCCGTAGTTCAGCTGGCAGAAAGACTGGATCTCATCGTTGGAGCCGGGATCTTGGCTGCCAAACTGATTGCAAGGGAATCCGAGGATAATAAAGTCTTCGGGGTACTTGGACTTTAGCTTCTGGTAGAGCTTCTCGAGGCCTTCGAATTGGGGAGTGAAGCCACACTTGGAGGCCGTGTTGACGACGAGAATGGTCTTGCCCTTCAGCGGGGCAAGAGGGAAAGTCTGTCCTTTCTCTTTAAAGAGGGGTTAAGTTAGTGGCAGGTCCATATATGGTATAGAGGGTTGATCGCGAGGTGGACCGGATACGTACTGTCGACGGGTTCAAAGTCGTAGAAGGTAGTTGCGGAAGCCATGGTGCCCGTATGGAATGTCTTCCAGGGAGTTCACTTTTGTTGAACAACGCTTTGCCTTTGAAAATTGAGTAGCTGCGCGGGGCCTAGTAGCGATGAATAATACCTGCGCTGCGAGCTCGCGACAGTATTGGTTATAGGTGTTAGGAGACGGATCGGTGATCTTTGGGATGGTAAACCGCGTTGCACGATAGAAGTAAACGATAAGATAGGTCGCATGCTCTGACGGTGGGGAGGCGAGGTTTTATATCGGATGTTGTTAGATTGGAGGAAGTTTAAGTGTTGGGAGGGGCGCGAGACGGAGGAAGGAAAACGCCGAGCCGGGGATACCTACGATGTCATCATCGTGCTGCGGGTGATTTGCCCGTTTGGTGCCTTAGTCTACGGAATTGCATCTTCCGATTGACTGGATTGGCCATCCTTGTCATCTTTGTCATCCCTTTCAGTCCAGACCCCTCCATTGATCGATCAGTTGAATGCAACTGTCCCCCTATCATTTGGTCGTGGGGTCGGATTAGAAATTAGTTGCGGATTAGTGATCTTTTGTACACGGAGAATGGTATAAAATAAGAATTGGTGATTACTCGATCAAAGCGTGGTGTGTGGATAAACCTTGGCATCGTTTGTTTCCAGAATTCCAAATACTTTACTGAAACAGCCCACATCAGCTCACGGTAGGTAATCTATACCTCGGCAATGTATTCTTATGCCAGAAACCTGCCAAGACTTGTATATACTCTTTTCGTTCACATACGGAAACTCACTGAATGCTGTACTCCTTACTTACTAAGCTTACACATCCACTGAGACATAGATAACTAATTCTAGATTGTGTAGTATCTCGTCGTGAACGTGGTAACCTGACAGCCATCCTCAGGCAGTTGTTTGGTGCTTGAGGCCTGTGCGATAATACTTACCCTAGGTCGACTTCAGTATAGATCGTTCTACTTAGGAAATATCACCTCGATGTCTCCTGATCGAAATCATCGTTACAACACTTAGAGTTGCCCAAAAACTATAATATTGAGGTTACGCGCCTGATTCGATACAGTGATTAGAAGAGGGTGACAACATCACGTTAAACTAGATCCAGTAATATATGGTCACCGGCCACAAGACGACAGTTGAATGCTTAACGCCAAATCTTGGCGGACGGAGCTTCACCAATTCTTTTGAAACTCATATCAGGATACAATCTATATGCCATACCGAAATATATGCCTCTTGAGCTAGCTGAAGGACATGTACCAAGTTTCAATGACCTCGTTTAGCCATCAGCCACACAAGTTCCGACTCTTACAGCCACTGGTAAAGCCTCCTATTCTCAACCAAAGATCAATCGAGCTTGCACGGAGTGTCGTAGTCGGAAGGTTCGCTGTGGTGGTGAGTTTCCATGCGGGAACTGCAAGTGGTACAGAGTAGAAGGAAGATGCGAGTTCCCGCACCGTTCGAAACGGCATACCGTTTCGGTCAAGTACACAGCTACTTTGGTTTTAATCCTATCTAATAACGTGCTGACTTTGGCCAAGATAGCCGAAGCATCAATAAAAGATCTGAAACTATCAACACACTATCCTGCAGAAACTTTTCCCTTCAACTTCAATTCACTCCCTTGTCAATCTCGAGAGAGAGGAATTATTGCAAGTTATCGCAGCCGAAGGATCAGGGCAGGATGCCGCTACAGTAACTGTGCCAAATCCTACCGTCACTAGAGAGAGTGACCATAGTGAAGAAGACCAGCATCTGGAAGAGAACCACTAAGGGCGCATCGAATGTATCAATGGTCTGTCACTCTCGTTTGGTTGTCAGCAGACTAGCCAAGGGGTATCGACTATCAGGATTATCTTACATCTCATTATTGAGTGATAGCCCACAGTAAGAGCAATACTCTACAGGAAGAAATCTCGCTCGACATCCCGGCACCAACTGTTCTTCCATTCGCAAGGGCCTGAGGAGGCAGGTAGATTAGCGCCAGCTAGCATAATCGATGAGAAGGCCTGCATAGATGCGTATTTTGAGATTGCCAATGCTATAGCTCCGATGCTTGACGAAATTGAATTTCGCAGAGTGTATAACAGCGGACACCGGAAAGATGCTGGTTGGCTTGCCCCCGCAACATGGTACACGTCGTGGGCTCGATTGCTACTAGCAAGGAGGGAAGTTGATATACACATGCGTATTACGAGACTGTACGGCAACGTATCGGTCTCGAATGCTTTGGATCCGCGTCTATTGAGAATTTGCAGGCTTTGTGTCTCTTAGGGGGTACAATCTACACTACCGAAACACACCAAATATGGCCAGCGCCGTTTTAGGCGCTGCATTCCGAATACCAACCCCACTTGCTCTTCATAAGGAGCCTTTCGAGGATAGTGCAGCTCAATAGGACTCGGGTAAGCGCCTGTCAAGCATCGAAAAGCGACGTCGCACATGGTGGAGCCTCTTCTGTCTGGATACATGGGCTTCAATGACTCTCGGGGGGGCAACACTTGGCAGATGGGATCCGAGTACAATGGATATCTTACCTCCGGGATTTGATGAGGACCAAAGCTGTGAGGATATCATTGTCGTCACATAACGTGGTATTTTGCGATTAGCTACTCAAATTCAGGAAAGTTTAGCTCAATTTGGACCGCTAATGATTGCGGAGATCAAGCAATTTGATACTACTCTCAGAGGCTGGTACGAACAGGTCTTGAAAGTTGTTCCTTTAGAGCATTACCCTGAGGGTTTCATTGTTGCCAGAGACTACATGCGTAATCTCTATATGAACACTCGAATTCTTTTATTCCAATCTATACCCCTATATCATGTGGAATAGAAGACAATATTTGAGAATTTGTCTTCAGATGACAAAGGCGCTATCATCGCTTGCCAAAAATTGAGCCTTGAGGCTATAAACAATATTATATGTCTTACACTACCCAACTCGTTCTGGGTATGGGGTAGTGGCTGGTGTCTCTCCCAAGCTTGCCTCGTCCCTTTGTTGACATTGCTAGCCTACCCTTGTCAATCAGAAAACGTGTCTTGCCACCAAGAAATTGAGCAAGCTCTTGCAGTGTTCAAGTCATACATACCCCGGGATGCAGCTGCAAAACGGTTGCATTATGTTGCTGAGAGCATTTATGATGCCAGCAAAACCGTCACAAGCTTTGAGATGAGTGGGGATGTTTTGACAGCATCTGGGGCAATCAATAGAATTTGGAACACAGCAATTAAATGGTATCCGAACAACCAAAAGACATTTTGATAACCCAACGCGGGGATGTATTAATGATAAGTACATTTATTCCTTGGTAATTGCTTCCCCGTGGGGAGGGACTGCATTCAGATGTCAGGGTGCTATAAAATGTCCTCCTGAGTTGACTGATTGATATAAGCCATGCGAGCAGAAAGCATACCTAAGTCAAAAGCAAACAAGGACCAAAATGTGACCCATCCAGAGCTCCTGCATTTGGAGCCAGTTATGTCAGATGGCAAAGTGCAAGGAGAACCGCTTAACCATCCAGAAGTTATCGAAAGAAACCGGCCCGATCCGTGGGGCTTACGGTACAGGAGGCTATATCTTGTCTCTGCTTTTAGTCTTCCTGTGTTCGACTATGAATGGTAAGCGCATTTTCGTAACTGTGACAGGCAGCTAATGCTTGGTATGGGATACGACACGAGTCTCTGGGCTCTATCAATGCTCTTCCTAATAATACCGAGCAGTATAACCTTCCTAAGCAAGGCTCCGTGAGCACTGGGATTGTTTTCTCTATCTTCCAGGTCTGGGGTAGTTGTTCATACTGCATAGGTCCAAAAGCTGACCAGACACAATCAGATCGGCCAAATGGCAGGTGCATCGTCAGCTTTGATACGCGTTTATTTACATGTTCGGCGTTGTGTTCGTTTTCTCTTTCACCTCCATGCAGCCTATATACCCTAGTGAGGTCATGTCCAATGATATGCGGGCCAAGGGTATGGGGACATTCAAACTCACGGCTGGTGGCGCCGGCTTCATTGGCACCTTTGCGGCACCAGTGGCTTTGGCAGATGTACGTTGGCAGCAATCCTTACCGGATAATAAATAGGTTCTCCTTGTATCAAAGACAACTGCTGATCGGGACAAATAATCATAGATCGGGTATTGGTTCTATGTCTTCTTTGTCTTTTGGGGCAGCTTTGAATTTGTTTTCGTCTATTTCATTTTTGCCGAGACCAAGGGCCGCACCCTAGAGGAGCTAGATGATGTATCTGAAGCTTCAAATTTTCGCAAGGCAAGTCTCAACATTTCAACTTGACGTCGCCGTGTTGAAGGATTCGTAGAAAGGACGGACTAACGAGGCCAAGTTACATTGAAGACCGCAGCCTCCTATCCATGGCTAGGGGGAAGACAAGTCTAAATTCTAGATAGCCCGAAGTGTACAAGTCAAGTCAATCTGACCCTCCGCCTGCTTCGTAATCATTGATGGTTTTAGGATATTTGCAGAATCCCTCCCTGTTTAATCGCATTGAGCTCCTCCTTCCCTAGCGGATCTCTCTTGGCAAAGCTTTTTGACTTGCGTTCCGTAGCGCTCATCGCCGTGATGTCAAAGCGGTTCCCTCCAATCTTGGATTTCCCTTGCTGTCCATAACGTTCCTCATATTGTTTAAAGACGGCACCCCAGCCCCAAGGGTCGTTTCCAGCACGTGGTAGGCTAACGTCATCCAAATCATCAACACAACTGTCAATATCAGATGGGCCGCGCAGTTGAATGTTGTATTTCTTAGCGTAAGCCGAAATCTTTGCATCCGCGTCATGGAAATTTGCGACCTTGTTCGACTTGTCGTCATTTCCTTCGGCAATACCGTACTGGCGCATGTCGGACGTGGTGCATATGTACAACGCCATGACCATTCCGAGGTTTTTGATTTCAGAGTCAGGACCAAGAAGACCCTGGGACTCTAGCTTGGCAAGCATGGTGAGGAACATGGCCCCAATGAGGCAGAATGTATCATTTGCACAATCCCCGTCATCGACCCTACAAATATTAGGACAGACTCATCTAGTAAAGTGGAAATGTGAACGTACGATGTCATGGGTGCTATCGCATCGCCATTCAAGAAGAGACTCATTGCCTCGCAGACTGCCCACTGCTCTTTCCAGTTGCCACTTGCCTCCACAAAATCGAGGACCAGGTTTTGCACAACCTCGACGACACCATAGCCTGTAAAGTCATTATATACATACATACCGAAAAGGTCCGGGTTGCGTGAATCCGCATGGACGTGCTGGTTTGCTAACTTCCGTAGGCCCGCTCTCGTGACAACCCAGGGATGCTCTGAATGATCTAAGACAGGCTTATTGCAAAAGCATTTGTTACCACCGTCGCAGCGGACTTTAGACTTGGTGGCTTCTGCCGGCTCTCCATCTGCATCCGAGTCTACATCTGATCGCTCGTCTTCTTCGTCTTCATCATCGGGTGAACAAAAAGAGACGTACGAGAATGCGTAATCATAGTCTTTTTTCACGAACCCAGAATAGTCAGCATCAAGGTTGGCAGAGACGCAAGCCGCTGACCAGCGATTGCTACGTGGCTTTGGTTGTGGCGACGCGTCGTTGCTGGTCTTAGGGTTCTTAGATTGACCGGATTGTGGCTCAAAACCCGAACTAGCGCGCTTACGAGGCATAATCAGATTATGGTAGGATTGTTGTGATGTGAGGAGTATATGTATATTCAGTGGACAGAGGAAGGTTGGGTAAAATTTTGCAAGTCGAGGAACGAGGTTGATTTGAACGCGTTTCTTTATACGCATAAACAAATTTAATAAAAGTGTGTATTAACGTGACACCATGTGACAGGTCACTTTAGTTGAGTATACTAATTACATCATGTCAGACTATCTAGATATATCGTGGGCTGTTATAACATTAGTGTCATTAGGGCCTTTTCCTCTGGATCCTGTTAAGCATTCGGTCTTCTCCCAATTTAACCAGTTGTTTAAGGCGAGCATACGATTTGGTACTTCACAACTGATAAGTATGTTTAGATGGAATGGACGTTTCCTGGCTATTCTTGTCTATGTTGGAGGCCCTCCACCTCGTGATGTCTTACACCAATAGAAAACATTTGTATAGATGACCTTCCCTTAACAGGCTAAGCATACCTTCAGGTGGTACGGACAGTACTAGTTCCTAGTATCTTCCTTACTCACCTAACCCTACATCTTGATCCTATATAATGTATACTAAACAGAGTATTCCGTAGGCAGCCACCGGATCCGCATAGGCAAAAAGAGATTCCCTTTCTCAAACTGATATTACCAAGCATACCATCAGTTAGTCCGTTAGCCTGGATCACGTAATCCCCATGGATGCGTGGAAAGAAATCAAAAGTATGAAATCATAGGGTTTGGGATTGTCTTGACTGTTAAGGTCTGTCCCCTATAGCCCAGGTTTCTTCAGGTAGAGGCGCATACCATGGAATATAGATAAGTCCCGTGGTAGACCGATGCGAAGCTTTCTTCAGTAAAACAATTGCATTCTAATATTATCTCTATATGTAGACCCCTTTCTTCATGTCACTAGACATTTTCCACAGATACTCACGATATATGTCATGCACTTTGCCATCCTCCTCAACTATACTGCTTAAACGGCCTCCTTGGACGGTTATAAGCAGACAGTATACGTATCTCAAGTTATCTAGAATACAGCATAGACTAGGCGGACTGCCCCAAGATAGTATCCCAGCTTTGTATGAAACACTTGTATTCCCCAAGTAGTCAATCTGTATAGGGAATTTAGTACCCATAATCAGAGAGAATTGATGGTCCATACTTACAAGCGGGCGCACTATCTTCCCCCTCTGCCTCCATTATGAATAGTCATAGGTATTTATACGAAGAACGACTCTTACTAACTAATCTTCTTTTGGATCTAAATATCTTGGTAATATCTACAAGCAAACAACAGATAGAGGGGTGAATTCATACATCATACCCCAGAAAGTAAAGAGGTGGGGAGGGGAAGGTGTGAGATTTTTGAGGTCAATGGTGCTTGTACTTTATATTATCGGTTCTTCATACCATATCCATGCCTTATCATTTCCTTCCTATGCTCTGAAAGCTAGCACTGGCAGATGAATAGAAAGGTTCATGAACAGTTCGCCTGATATTTTTTGGTTCTCGAATTGGTAGATAAAATTATATGCAGGATAAGGTGTCGGACATCTCGAATCCGATACATCCTTATGAGCTTAGGCACACATATGATAGATGACACACATTGTAGCGAATATACACTACAGGGAGTCCCCGCTTCTGCATCCCTATCTGGGGTCTCAAGCAGATATAATGCTAGAACGCCCGGGGGCTCTCCGAGCAATGCTAACTAGACCTTCCAGGTCGAGTTGGGGGATCCACTCACGCTCCCCCATCCACCCCGGGCGCCGTTTCTCCCATCGACACCAATGAGCCTCATTGTATGACACTAGAGAATATGCTCGAACTCATACTCTCATGGAGAATGTCTAGCCGATCGCAACTCCGACGTTCGTCATTGGTTGAGAAAGAACCCATAATCCTAGCCGTTGCATGATTTCTATCCGTTCTCAGCCAATGCGAGACAGAAATATTATCCATTACGATCTTGGGTTCATTTCTCCAACCCCTCAGCTTCCAACACGTCCACATCCAACTCCTCCATAACGCCCAAAACGACTCCCAAGCTTTCCATGAACCCATTCACAGCCACACGCAGCATCCGGTTTGTGGTTGCACGATATGTGATCTCCAGTACAGTCTTTGCCTCTCCGGTATCTGTTTGGTTTCCCTTGGGGCTGGTTACGGTCATGTTACGTTGGACGAACGGGGATAGTTCGGTATCAACTTCGGTGGCACGGAGGGCAGATGTAGCGAGGCGGTTTGTAGGGAGGGGGAGGGAGATTGTCCTATTGTGTGCGGTATATTAGACTTTCTGTATCTTAATCGGAGGCGGGGGAGGGTATTGTGAGGGTCACGTACAGAGTGTAGGGAAATTCGGTGTTTTTTGTTTCGGTGGAAGCCATTATTTCCGAAGGCTGCTAACCGCATGGGTTTATATGAGCAAGCGGTCGATAATGTAGAATGGGGGTCTGAAGAGAACGATCGAAATGCGTGGAGTTGAAATTCAATTGAACAATTGAAGCCAAAGTGGGGGTGACCTTTGGATGAGTCAGCACATTCAACTTCGTTATTCTTTCTGCGAGGAGTGTATCATCCAAAGCCGCACGAGTTAGTTACAGTTATACAGGCTTACTTTTATTTTTCAATATTGAAAGCAATGATAGGTCCTAGAAGTCAATGATAGGTCCTAGAAGTTCAACATATTTTTAGCCGTTATCCGCATGGGTACTAGAAAATGTACTGACTGTAGATGTAAATATATATATATGTATCGATCAATGTTAAACTCTCGATTTTTTAACAGCTAGACAACGCAGCTGTTGCGACCAGAACATGGTATTAATCAAATTATTACTTGAACAACTTTATTATGAGCCTTCACAATATTAAGACTGATACATAACCGGGATTGAATCGGCCAGCTTTTGGCAGGAATACTAAATAGCCTTGAACCAATCCTCTAGCTATTGTAGCATAAATATGAACATCTTTCTTTCTAGAAAAAGGGGTCGAAGCTTTTTGCCAAATCAAAGGATATGGTAGGTATCAAATTGGGGACGTGGAATTAGAAATTATGGACTAAAGCCTTCACTGTACTGTACAAGAGCCTCCCCTCATTCCCAAATGCTCATGTTGTTGTCTAGCTAGGGTTATAGCGTCGATGTACTCTCATTGCCGTAACTCCGTGGGTTTCCCCAACAGAAGTTTTATATGAAGCGCTTCGCACATTCCTTCCCATGATATTCGTGAGAGGAAGCATGAATCGCCGAGATAGTCTCTTTACAGAACGAGACCAAGGATGCTGCCGACAAGAGGGAGGTTGTCTGGGTTATAATTAGTGATGTTTCCAGAAAGTCTGACTTGTTGCTCTTACCGAGGTGGACGAGGTCAAGGATGTGCTCAACACCAGCAGTGTCGATGGTTTCTAAGTCAGGTTCAGCCAATCTCCTTTTATTATCAGAATAAGGTCACATCTTACCAGCCTTAATCTGGCTGATCAGGTTCGTAGCAACACCAGTCAGCTGGCCAACCTGGCGCTTGACACCGACGGCTATTTCTGATTAGCCCCTGTCACTGTCAAGATTGAAAGCAAAACGTACCACCGGTGGCGCCAGCAAGGGTGTTCTTGACAGTGCCCTCGACGGTACCAACAGCTCCATCAACGGTTCCAACCACAGGCTTAGTGACACCGTCAACGGTGGAAGTCACAGGCGAAGCGACATTGCCAACGGTGCTGAGCTCGTTTCCAACTATGTCGCGCTGGCAGACAGCACTGGTGAGCTGGCCCAGCTGGCCCTGAACCTGCTTAAGAACTGATGATACAAAAGTTAGCTAGCTTATCTGCCATACAAGACATTGGAACATCAAGTAGAGTGATGACATACCATCCTGGACCTGGACGAGGTCACCGACGTTGGCGCCCTTGAGGACGCCACCAAGAAGACCGTCGATGTTTCCAAGAACGTCGGTGAGCTGGGTCAAAGTGGGCTGGAGAGAAGCGGTAGGAACAGCAGCGGCAGAAGCAGCGCTGACAGCAGCAAGGGAGGCAACAAGTCCGGTGAACTTCATTGTGGAGAGTTAGAATTAGTGTGGATAAGAGATTAAGAATGACTTTGCTTGTTCTTGACGTGAACGAGTGGACGCTGAAGAGCAGGCTTTGAAAAGGAATGACTGGAATGAGTGAGCTTGTCTGATGAGAGAAGGTAAAGGAAGCCCGGAAGCAGAGTTCAGTCCCCATTATATACTGTCCTTCTCCCCGATCAGGGGCAACAGCACGAGGGACAAGGAACCCGGATGGCGACTATCATTATTCATTAGTGTGTTCGATGAAGTTGGGTCAAATAATGATCAACATGAACAGTCTCGCTTTCTACCCGTCCATTCCAATTCTTTTAGTGATCTAATTGGGCCAACATTGGCACCAATACCACAAACTCCATACAAGAACATGAGGTATGAGTCCAAGCTTAAAGCAAATAAACTTCAACGACAGGGAAGGCGTCCAATTGGTTCAGCAGCCGCGTTTTTCTCCGCCATGAGGATTACTAGGCTTATTGACCGCATACTGAAGGGTAGGCTCGGATGGGCACAAGATTGAGGCCATAGTGGATTGGCTGCCGACTGCCTGGCAATGGGCTTCGCCTCGTCGACAGTGCATTGTATTCACGAGTCTTAATCCGCCATATTCCAGTCTTCTAAGAATAATAACTTCAATAGTAAGAGGCCCACATACCACTTAGATAGTTTTTGAGTCCTGAACTCTCCCACCTCCCGAGAACTGAAGTGGACTATGTGGGGAGCCCAGTCCCAGGGAGATAATCTTGATCTTTCATCAATGGTTGGTATAAGCCCTAATCAAATACGGAGTACAACTGCTCACAAGACAAAGCAGCCATCAGAGTCTGCAAGCAACGAGCATAGGAATAATGGTCCGCAACTTAAACGTCACTTACGCTGGTAACTCAAACCTTAACTGGAAATAGTGCCATCTTAGCTGGAAGATCGGCGGTTCTCTGCTGTCGCCACTCCCAGCAGTTGAGACTTGCGCAAAGGTGTTAAGACCAGTATGGGGGTTTACATAATTTCGCCAGTGGTTGGCTGATAATCCGTTGCTCATTTGCACCTTTCAATTTATATCGGTTTGAAGCCACGCTGTAGGGGCTCACATGAACATGGCAGTCTGTTCATCAGTCTGTTTTTGTGGTGTGCAGGATATACAACGTTTACAACACGGCACTTTAGCAATCCCCCGCCCCTGCCGATCACATCCACTTGCCAATCTTTATGGGGACGATAAATTAAAACATTGCAAACGTACCCTGTGATTGCCAAATTGCGCCTTTTTTCGCCCTCCACTGATCATCTCTCGTGAAACTCGAATTTGGTCGCTGCCCGCAAATTACTTTCCCGTTCTAGGTGGACCCACTGGCATACAAAGTATATATATCTCACTCCAGAGCAGGCAGTAATAATATCTCCCCGACCTGTCCCTGAGAAGATGAACAGGATTTCTTGGCCAAGGTCTTTTGAGGTAGATCGATCATGTACCCTGGAAAATTACAAAAAAAGATCCCAACAGGGTAAGGGGATGCTACCGCATGTTTGAGTACCGTAACGGCTGCTCCCTTTCGTACTCCTAGAGGTATATGGAGATTAGTGATACAAAGTATTTCGGAACCAGAGTTGATATAATATCGAATTCAACTATCAATCGACTAAAAAGACACAGTGATAGCGCTGTCTAGTAAGATTGTCTTATTCTCGTGGCATAGGATAAGTAGGATATATCCCATGGGTTGCATGAAGGTCAGTATGAATAAGTGGACGATTGTGATCTTAACTTAGATAAGAGACAAGGGAGTTGTCCGAGGGTGCCCGGTTGACCGAAAGACTGCCTGCCTCACTTTAGACTTGCTTCATCTCGCCTTACCCGTCTAACTCTGTTGTATTCAGTTGGAGAGTTACATGAAGGTAAGGAATCTTGTGGGTCAGGTAAAGTCCAGTTATAATGGCATTGCTCCCCCTCTCATCGGCTGTTTTGTGGTCGATGTAGGTTCCAGTGTAAAGTGGTAAGTTGAGCCAGTGTGTATCCATACTGACTGCTACTAATCAGTGAAGCCGCCTAGTATGCTTAGTGGCGAAGACTAAATGCAGAATGAATTGTTTCTGAAAATGCAACGGTAGAAAAAATATGCTATGGAAAAGGGAGATGAAGGAGAAGCCTCGTGTGGCTGGACCATACACGTGAGACTGCGTAGTGGCTCTAGTTTGGGTTGTTTGTGTGGAGGGGGTTGGCGGGTGGCTTACCTAAGGCTTTGTTTTGACAGTTGGGCTTACGGCCTGAGGCATTAGCGCGTTGTCCTGTCAACGGTGAGCGCTAGACCGAATTCGGGGCATCACAACATAACAGCAGCCACTTAGCGTGCATCGCATTTCCCTAAACGGTCTCATCGGCCTCGAGGTCTTCTCTCGTGCGGCAGTTCACCATCTTTTTCCTCCTCTTTCAGCTTCGTCCTCCCCACTCCTTCTCTTCCTCTCCTCCTTTAAGGGTTCCTCGATCTATCGGTTCTTACTCAGGCCTCATTGCCTGTATCCTTATTGTATCCACAGTCCGTGGATTATCAATATCCTTGTCTGTTTGGAGTGGTAAGAGCTCGGATCATGATTGTTTAGGTCCAATCTCTTGTTTTGATATATCTACACTGTTGACTTCGCCACTGGCTATCTTGCAATAGCGGGTCTATTCCTTCCCAAATACATCCGTCATACTTGCTTCTCGCCCCTGATCGATTGTTTTTATTGTGTTGCCCGTTTGTTTTGGTAACACATCGTTGCATACAAAATGGCCGGAAACATTGGTGGTTATGGCCAGATCATTGAGTATATTCAAGGTAAGCTCGGCTGCCTTTCTCTTATCTCTGGATTGACGTTCTGTGACCGCAAGCGATTCGCCCGGTCGTTTTCAGGCGCCGCATGCTAACAGCTCGACAAAAAAACAGATCGTCTTTACTTGGCCTCTTATGACGACGCACCAGATGCGAGAACTCCATTCCCATATCCTCATGAGCAACCCAAGTCTCCAAGCAAGCGCTCAGCACGGGCTCAGCCGGACACCCCCAGTAGCAAAAGGCGAATCCCCGTGTACTTCACGGTGGATGATACCCTGCTATACAACTCTTTCCATGCAGACTTCGGCCCTCTCCACATAGGCCACCTGTACCGCTTTGCCGTTCATTTCCATGAGATCCTCGGCGATCCTGCAAACAGCGACCGTCCGGTCGTGTTCTACTCTAAGCCTGACGCCCGGAGTCGTGCCAATGCGGCATGTCTCGTCGCTTGCTACATGGTGCTCATCCAGTCCTGGCCACCTCATTTGGCGCTGGCCCCAATTGCGCAAGCCGACCCTCCTTATATGCCTTTTCGAGATGCCGGGTACAGTCAAGCAGATTTCACCCTGAATATTCAAGATGTGGTGTATGGAGTATGGAAGGCCAAAGAGCAGTCACTGTGTGGATTAAGAGAGTTCAGTCTTGAGGAGTAAGTTGTTTTTGACCATGGTGTGAGACAATCGCTAACAGGGGAACCAGATATGAGAAATTCGAACGTGTCGATATGGGTGACTTCAACTGGATAACACCTCAATTCCTAGCCTTTGCTTCGCCGCAGCACGAACCAATCGCCCCGATCCCCGCGAATACCCCCGAATATGCTGCACTACCATCAACAGTCACACAAGTTAATGCATCAAGATTACCTCTTCCTTTCAAAAATGTGCTCGCCCATTTTGCGTCACGAAATATCGGACTAGTTGTGCGCTTGAATTCGGAGTTATACTCGCCTTCATACTTTACAGCGTTGGGAATCACCCATATCGACATGATATTTGAAGATGGCACATGTCCTCCCCTGCCATTGGTCCGGCGATTTATCAAGATGGCCCATGATATGATTGCAAAGAAAAAGGGAATTGCTGTCCATTGCAAGGCTGGCCTAGGGAGAACTGGCTGCTTGATCGGGGCATATCTTATCTATCGGTACGGGTTCACGGCCAATGAGATCATTGCGTTCATGAGGTTCATGCGACCCGGTATGGTGGTCGGCCCGCAACAGCATTGGTTACACTTGAACCAAGGCGCATTCCGGGAATGGTGGTTTGAGGACAGCATGAAGGAGAAGCTAGCACAAATGCAGCCGGCCCCAGTCACACCTGGTCGTCCATCCGCTAAGCAGCGTGCGAACAACGGCCCAGTCGCTACCCCACCGAATAACGGGCATTCCAAGCGTGCCGCATTAGGAGAAATCGATAACAACGAGGCTGGCGGAGCTCAGTATGATGACAACCTCCCTGCCCCGACGCCCGGACAGCCCCGCAAATCCCACAGGAAGGACTCCCGCCATCACCCATACGCTCGCACGACATCCGGCAGCCTTGTAGTCGACAAAGAAGCGAAGGCTAGAGACAATTCGGCGCACAGGAGCCAACGGCTTAGCAGTGATAGCAGCGAGAGCGAAGAGGAGGCTCAACTTCGCATGCTCGCAAAACGGTCCTCGAAATCTCCGGTGGCATCGCCAAGCCAGCGGTCTGTTAGCTACTCTGCCACCTTAACTAAGGGCTACACCTTAAATGATGACATTCATGAGGATAGGGAGAATTGGGGAGATGCTGCATATGCTGCACCAAAGACCCCAGTGAGTTCTAAGGCTGGGGTAACCGTTACCAAGGTTCGCACCAGCCCTCGACGTGTTACCGATAGCCGGAGTGAGACTAGAGGCGGCCGGAAGGCCAGTGGCCGAATCGGTAGTGCCGGCAGCCCTACTCGTGTGAGATAGGTCACACTGTAACTCCCGTTTTCTTCTTTATACCTTCAAGATATCCTTTTCTTGTTACATTTTATTTGACTCCATTTACATTCGTCCCGGTGTTCTTCATTTTACTGGGACATAATAGTGCATACTGCATGCGCGTTTAACTAGCCTCTGGCATAGTCATTATCTGTCTTCCGGTCCTCATGCGTTCTTTACGTCTTTGCTGATTTCCTGCTCGCGGGTGTCTTGGTTCTCTGGTTTAAAATCGATGGGTCTGGGTATGTGTGTTCTGGCGTACGGGGTTTACTTTTGAGGTTGATGTTGGAGGATTTAGAAGTTGGTATTGATGTGGGTATCTTGTGGCTAGCACCAGTGTCTATACACTCGCATTGTCCGTTTGCAAGCGTGGACAGAATACCTTGCATTGTGTCTCTGTACGTATATGACCTACGTCGGCATGAAACAATTCGCTAGATGACGGTTACAACTCCCTGCAAATCGTACTGTAGATTGTTTACCAAATGATCCCTGGTGGAGCTTCTCCTCCACTTCCTTCCCTACACTTACACTCTCTTGGCTTCCTTTGCTTCACCCGTGATACTTGTCTAGCATATCCGTGAAGTCATCCACACTGTGAGCCTGTAAGATGCGTGTGCTAAACAGGTATCCAATCACAGTCAAACAAAAGCCCTGGATAGCGTGATCGAGGGGCCTGATTTTCAAGTACTGCCCCAATCAAGCGCTTATATAACCCAGTCAAAATCATGCATCCACCGATGCTGCTAGTATAACCGATTTCGGAGCGGGAAACCCACCTGGCTTCCAGCAATGGTTTACTTTTTCAAACACTGTATCACATCATCAACTCGAATAGCAAGGGTAAAAGTGCCCTCGCAGGTTACGCCTCCCCCCGAAAGAAAAAAAAAATTACATGTATGAAACAGGTGCCAGAGGCTAATGATGAATGACAAATACAAGTGCGGTACAGGCTGCATTGTAATCTCTACCTCATCATACAGACCGGTCGCTACACTGCCTCCTGCGCCTCCAAATGCGCTGCTATCAAATCCAAATACTCCCGCGCCCGGGGTGTAGAGCCCTCGATCTCCGGAACCTTAGCAGCATCGTCCCACAGCCTTAGCGCGACCATTTCATCGCGCAGCGGATCCTGGTCAAAGGCAGCGAGATCAGCTCCTTTGAATGGGCCGCCCTGGAACTCCAGTGACTTCTTGGAGGCAGATGATAAAGAGTCATAATATGAGCTGTTGACAGCCGTAAGGTATCTGCCATTGAACAAATGTGTTGATTCCTGTGTCAGTAACTGTATGTAGAGACAAGCCTGGATCCCCACTAGGGCAGGATAAGAGAGATACAATACATACCTTTTGGCCGCAACATGACTCTCAACCAATTGACACACACTTTGGTTGAATCCCAGAGAGCGCAAAAACTCAGACCCAATTCGTTCATGGCCCACGCGACCGACGTTCTCGGTGCTGTTCTTTAGACTCATTCGTACTTCCTTAGTTGATTCGAGCGGGATGATCTGGCCGATGTCGTGTAGTAGAGCTGCGATGATTAATTCGTTTCTTGCGCCTAGAGGTATGATGTATTAGTTTATTGCTGGTTAGTGTCCCAAAAAGGGTGTTTAGGTGTGCTATTGGATGCTGTACGGACCGGATCTCTGCGCATTGTGGGCTGCTTGGAGACAATGCTCTAGCTGGCTGATTGATTCGCCTATGTAGTCGCCTTGACCGTATTGTTCGAGAGAGGCAATTAGGTATTCTGCCTTTTCTCTGGGTGATTGGTTGGCCATGTTTGAGGGCTTTGAGCTTTGGGGAAATGTTCAAGGTGGAGGGAATATAAGGTGTGTGTGCGTGTGTGTGTCAAGTTGGAAAAGTTTGGGATGAGGAAAGAGGGGAGAATTAAATTCCCTTTAATAGTCTAAGTTACAAAAGACTAGCCTCACGTGCATCATGTGGTTGCTTTTCATCTGAGCATTTTCTAATTCTGCTTATTTTTGTCCTTTCTACTGTCTAGCATTATACGTGATGATTGTTGTATGTGAAGCAGTTGTGGAAAGCCTGCTACTCTACTGCCATCTTTCCAAGTACTACGTTAACACATACTATCCTCCCTACGTTATTTCTTCATAGAATCGATGTCCAAGATAGAACACACCACTCCTACCCCGGACCAAGTGCATTCTCACCTGCTAGAGCGAGAGGCCTACGCCACAGGTTGGGCTTGGCCTTCAATGGTCAGCATGGGGGATCCATATCCATATCGAAGCCGCCCTTCTTCGTAAGTTTCTCCTTCCTTCCTCATGTGGGTGGCAGGCCAGAGCCTCCTTCGGTCTTCGTAATACTGATCGTGGAGATCACCCTCGGCCTTGCAGTTATAAGTGGCATAGATCGCACGCCGGTCTTTCGAACTCAAATTAGGGCCACTTCGGTGGGCGAGATAGGATCCGAACACCATAATGTCACCTAGTATGGTTGATTAAAGATCCTAGTTTGCCAAATAAGCACTGTAATAAGTACTAACCTGGTCGAAGGTCGCAAGAAGTCCATTTTTGGCTTTCAACCCAGGCGGGTTCAATGCAACGATCGTCCCCCAGTTTGATCTCCGTACGATGGCTGCCATCTACGACATCTAGGCCCCCGTTTTCAGAGGTCATGTCGTCTACTGCAGCAAGGACCGTCAAATGTTTAATGTTCTTGACATGGGTATACGCATTGGCGTCGATATGGGGAGAAAAGCCACCTTAGTGGGATGTGTCAGCCCCAAATGCCCTGCGCGAAGGGAAGTCGATGCTTACCACTTCCTGCGAGTTTATAGTTAATCTTTTCTTTGAAGAGTAGCATCTCCTCGGTAGCCAGTTGTTCAAGGACACTCAACATGCGCTGGCCTCGAAGAAAGCTGTTGAAGCCAGCATGGCTATTGGCGTAGTTCTCTGTACGGCAGAGAACTCTTTTCCCCTGAGCATTTACTTCCTATCTCCATAAATTAGCTATTACATTCCCCTTTTTGTTCCCTTCTCATCTCGAGCAGACGGCTTACCTCATAGGGCATGTATGATGCATCTGGGGTACGGGGCAGGTCATGAACTTCCTGAGTCCACTGCTGAAGAAGCTTTGTTTCGGGGGCACTGAAGAACTCGGAGATCACCAAGTAGCCCTTCTCATTGTAAGATCGAATCTGATCCTCGGTCAATGGAAAGTAGCTGTTCTCCATGGTGTAGATTTCAAACGTTGGAGGGAAAACTTTGTCGGGCAAATAAGAGGCACATGCTCTTTTCCCTTAAAGCGACTGGGATCATTGATTTAAATAAGTCCTGCAGCGTGCCAATCCCTGCGTAACTCTTTTAGTACATAGGGCCTTTTGACCAAAACTGTGACACATCGTAAGATGTGAATTAGAAGGGGGAAGCGGGGAATGTTGCAGCGTTGTAGGGTAGGATTACGTCCTGGGATAGAGATCATCGCCGAGTTATCGCTGCAAGGCTAGCCAGTGATAAGGCCGGGAAGTGTCCATGTGCCTTGAACAACAGGGTGATGGTTGGTTGGTTGGTTATAAAGTTGGGGCCGTACCTTCGCTTAGAGCTTAGGCGACGCGGTACTTCCCGACGATCCACCCTTCAGGCACGTTTCTGGCGTAGTATATACTAGATATCGAGTGAACGTTTGAGTAATTCTAGATTCTGGAAATACGACGAGCAGTACTACCACGAACTCAATCGATGTCTGTCAAAGGTATTCATGACAGTATGCGGGCTCGTGCAAGATCTACCGATCATCATTGGTCGACTTCCATTCCAACAATCTGAGTGTGTACACACATAGCCATCCATCAGTGTCGGTGGTATGTATACAGAGTATTGCCCGACATGGGAATTAAATACCTAGTACCTTATGTTTCTTTGTCCGTCGCCCTTCGGATCTACAGTGGTTGTCTATATCATTCCAGCTATGGCCTCCTCGATAGAGAATTCCCCACCCGATACTTCAATGATCAAGGATGCCAAAGTCACAGTGGACAATTGGGGTAATACTAAAGCACAGAATGGTGCCATTGAAAGTAATGGGGATGTCGAAGCCGGCCAATCTGGCAAAAGCTCGGGTGTACTGAATGTGATAATTTCAGGCCTGGCTCTTTTCAGCGATGGCTATAATGCGCAGATCAGTCAGTACACGACTAATGCTTGATTCATAGCCAAGAGTGATTGCTAATGCCTGCTGATCTGTATAGTTGGATACATGGAACCCTTATTCTCGGTCTTGTTAGTGCCCCTCGACGCAAGCTATTCAAGCATTGAAGCCAAGATGTCTTCCGCTGACTAGTCCCTTGGTACGCAATAGATACAACGATGGCATGTCTCCAACAATCAAGAGTAGACTTTCAAACTCGTTCCTGATTGGAGAAATCTTTGGAATGCTTTTTTTCGGTATCCTCATTGATCGAGTGGGACGGAGAACGGGTGTGGTGGCAGCTACCCTGTTCTTGGTTCTAGGAATTGCCTTGGCTGCAGCTGCACACGGAACATCTGAGTTGGGGTAGGTTCTTCCTTCCCCCTATTAATGCATCGGCCAAAGCCGCTTACAAGTATTCAGAATGTTCTGGATGATGATCGTGGCCCGTGGTGTCGCCGGCTTTGGGGCTGGAGGCGAGTATCCTGTCTGTGCAACAAGTGCAACGGAGGCAGCAGACGAGACAGTGAAGCTCCGAAAAAATCGAGGCTTCTTAGTCGCATCGACTACCGATTTTGCGGTAGACTTGGTATGTAGCAATGTCACTTATACACAAATAACAAAATAAAAGGAAGCACTGACGTACATGACCTTAGGGTTTCGTCACTGCCGGCATCGTGGCGTTGATTGTACTCGCTTGCTATGGTCAGGAGACTAGAGCTGGTGTATGGCGTGTATGCTTTGGCCTTGGATTTGTGGTATGTCAAACTGAGGCGCTTATCCTTTCTCACCACATCTTGCTAATAGAAAAAACAATAGCTTCCGCTCTTTATCTGTTTTTTCCGGATTCGTATGATCAACTCAACTCAATACCGGAAACATAGCATTAAATCTAGGTATCCGTACTGGCTTATTCTCAAAAGATATTGGAAGCCAATGCTCGGAACTTGTGAGTCCCAAAATCTCTTAATTTTAACACTTTATATGCTAACCTTACAGCCCTGGCATGGTTCTGCTATGACTTTGTCACCTACCCGTTCGGAATCTTCTCATCTACTATTATTCAACAACTGATGACCGACAACTCTACTGTCCAAAATATCGGCTACGGGGTGAGTACCCCGTTCATCGCGTTTCTAATCCAAGAACTAACCAAGTAAATCGCTCTTTAGACGGTTATCAACTGCTTCTATCTCCCCGGGTGCCTTCTCGGCGGACTCCTCATGGACAAGATAGGTCGCAAACAGACCATGACTCTCGGTTTCATGATCTGGTCCATCTGGGGCTTCATCCTTGGCGGTGCCCTTCACCCGATCCAAAGCATATTCCCGCTGTTCGTGGTCATGTACGGCATCTTCATGGCATTGGGCGAAATGGGACCCGGTGTATCTACCTTTCTCTGTGCGGCAGAGTCCTTTCCTACCCCTCTCCGGGGCCACTTTCTGGGGCTTGCCGCCGCTGTAGGCAAGGCTGGTGCTTCCATTGGCACGGAAGTGTTCACTCCTATCCAAAACTCATTTGATACTACTGCAGAGGGACAGCAGGCTGTGTTTCTAATTGCGTCTGCCTTCACTGCGGTTGGTGGTCTGATCGCATGGTTTACGATCCCAGATATGTCTCGAGAGTTAGAGACGGAGGATGCCAGGTTCAAGGCATATTTGGAGGAGAACGGGTATGATGTTAGCCACTACGGCGAGGCGCTGTTGGCGGATCGGAAGGGTGGATTGTAAATTTAGAAAAGTCTAAAAGTTCGTTACGGTAGTATTTGAACAGAGCGTCTTGTTCTTTACATTGATGATGTTCTAGACCTTAGGGCAATCCTGGTTAATGACTGGGAACAATGAGCTAACTATTTCCAGTTAGACTATAAGGATAACGGTTGGATTTCCACTTCGGACTTCACATGACAAATTCCAACTTCCCTTGTCACTGAACAAACAACAGAATTACAACAAGCAGATGAAGATAAAGCATCATTTCTAGCATCGGGATCTCGTGGATGACACTCGATGGGGGAATGGCGGAGCGACCGACTCGTGGCCCCGCAGTCCGCCGCAATGGCACACTCCAGTCTTGTGAACCATGTCGCAAATCGAAGCTGCGGTGCGACCACGCAAGGCCAGTGTGTGGCAGATGTATAGCGAAGAAGATCACTGCACGGTGTTTCTACCATCCAGCTCCAATGACAAAGGGGGTGGTCTCAAATCGGACCAGTCCAATCGGAGCGTCACGGGGCCTAACCGTTCAACCAAGATCAAAGTAAGAGCCCTACTAGTTTGCAATGAAACGAGATTACAGAAAATATCGAAGAGCAACAGGCAAATATTAACATGATTAAAGTGTTTCGAGCCCAACATTGGCTACGGAAAGTACTCGCCTCAGTGCAAACCTAGAGCCAACCCCTGAATTGCCTGGATACTTAGGGGCGACTAGTTATTCTGCCGTTCTCACGGAGCATCGCAGTGATCTCCCCTTCGATATGGACAGCAGTAAGGTGGCAAGCCCTTCTGCTAGATTCGTTGACCCAGACCGTTTAAGAGCTGGACTGGAGCTGTTGAAGCTCATTTATGATTTGCCTATTTACGATGTTTTGATCCGGAAATTATACTCCCGAAAAGCAATCGTGGTAGTCCCGATTACCGTCATTGAGGCCGTTATTGAAACGCTCCGAACTACCTTTGAGGGTTTAGACCTCAGCAGCGACATTGATGCCCAGTTCCAGGCTTTAGTCTACCAAATATCTCAAAATACATCCAGACCACTAACCCCGCATCGTTCGATGACCGTCCATGAGTATTGCGCTTCGTTCACCGGCAAAAATCTTCGATGGGAGGCTCTTGGGGCCGTCTTGACCATCTCCGGAATATCCCTAATGTCCACATCTGATAATGACCCAGACCTAGTCCAAGCAGCACCTAGCAATGAAGCCCGCGAGAGACTGCGTGCTCAAATCGTGGAGGCAAGCAGTGTCTGTCTCAGCTTTTGTGACCAGGCATCTTCAATCAACGAGTTATTGGGCTTTGCTCAGTATAATGATGTGATGTTGAAAACTCAACATTATGGTGATACAAGTTATGTTTATATCTCTTGCGCAATCTATTTAGCACATACTGACGATTGACTTAGGCTATCAGGCCTGGCGCCGACTGGGAGACTTGTCAGCGACTGTGTACGCTGCCGGCTTCCACCAGGAAAGTTCGCAAGTGGACGATTGCCCCTTTTTTCTCCGGCAATGGAGAAGAATATGCTTTGCTTCCGCCTTTTATGCAGACAAGGCAATAGCCACGTTTGTGGGGCGGCCACCGCTAATCAATTATCGTTACTGCACGCTGACACCCCCTATGGATTTGCATGAGGACACACTGGTGGCAGGTGATGAAAGCCTCACTCAAGAAATTTCGAGTCTGAGCATGGAAGGCTGGAATACCCAGAGGCCAAATTACAGGGTGGGCATGATACGTCTTCGATTCATCTTCTCGGTGTATAGGGATCAGGCGCTTGAGTTGGCGTTGGGAACACATGACGACTGGGATTTCGTTGAAAAGTCCAAGTAAGCAAGTCTATGTCGACCTATCTCAACAAAGCACATGACCACTAAATACACATAGTAAAATTATCGAGAAAGCGCGAGCCACGTTGGAAGCGGCCCCGTCCTTTATACGATACGATGTCCAAGGACAAGACGAGGATGCGGAATCATATGCATCGTCTTTCCCCAGTCTCCACATATACCTGGATTACCTCTACACCATCTTCCTCCTCCAGCGAGCCCTGGTGAAACGCACAAATACAGGCCAAGAGGCGTTGATTGATACGTCAAGACAGGCTCTATCCATCGTTATCAGGATCGGCTCCGAGTGTGAGCAGTCCATGGACTTGAACAGGCATTTCTCCTGGATTGTAAGATTTCTCGCCCACGGGGCATCACCCCTCACTCCTAGATGCTAATATATCGTAGATCCTGTACTATGGAGTTCCCAGCGCTAGTGTTCTGACGCTTGAGCTTCTTCACCAGACCCAGGGAATCAGGCCGCACTCTATTGCGTTGCCTCGCGCGGAAATCATTCGCAATTTGAGTGTATTTCTGTCATGTCTGTCGTGGGTCCCGCGTCCGACCTATGGTAATTACCAGACCTGCAAAGAAGCCGAGAAGAAATTGTCCCATATCCTCGACCAAATTATCGACCCACAGCCTATTCAACGAGATGCCTTCAACGACGTGACCTCTGGCCTGGATAACTTTCTGGACTGGTACAATCCTAGCACCTGGGACTTCAACGCCGAATATCCGCCCTCCACGGACGGCTTTGGTCTTTCAAGGAATTAGTTGCACACAGAGCGGATTCGCTAGGGTAGCATATTTCAGCACCGGTAGTCGAAGAGAGAGAGAAAAAGACATAATTATCCGACGGCATTGTATAATAGAAAGCTCGACAAACGAGAAGATGCGGCGAAGAAAGCGCAAGAAAAGAGCCATCCACGCTGACCGGAGCAAAAACCAACCCAACCCAACCCTAATTCCATCGAACAAGCCGAACGCCGCGTAAGAAGCGTGAGTAAAAAGCATGGCACGAGCATCAACCAACATAAATCATACCATCCATACAAAGTCATTACCGGGATGCGTTTCTTGAAAATAATACGCCCTGTGGCAGAGCGGGCAATTGAAATGGTCCTGCAGATACCATTTCTCCAAGCACTCCTTGTGAAAAACGTGCAGACATTTCAGCTCTCGGATCTCCTGAGACGGTAGAACCGATTCAAGGCAAACAACGCTGTCAAGGGGCCGGCATGTTAGCTGGCAGGGTCGGAAACACGGTCCAGATGATAGACTAGTCCGGAGCGCAGGCGACACGAAAGATTGCGGCGCAACTTACCACACAAATTGACCATCGACTCCCTCGGAAGGTAAAAGGGGCCCTTTCGATTTCGAGCACCATTCCTCTAGAGTCCGAGTCGGAGACACGGCATCCAATTTGCGCAGCTTGTCGCTCGATCTCTTTTTCTTGCTTTTGGAGCAAGGCCGGTGCTCGCGGCGGTTCACAAAGATGGTTAATCTAGAATAAATGCAATATAAGTCGTGGCCACAATGTATAGTAGTGAATGCGAAAGATTATATATAGTGTTTCATGTACGATCCTCGCGAAAAGAGAACCCCCCCCCCTCCGACAAGAACCATAGAAGATCGGCTCCACAGGAGAATAGAAACAGAGAAATACGGCGCTCTACTCACAGTAAACACATGATAATTAAAGTCACAACACCAAGTCCAACGCCGAGAACAACGGCCATGTGGGTGTTATGTTCGAGGTTTGTTTTGTCCGACGACAACCCCATGTTCCATGCATGTCCCTAGGACAGCGGGTAGTCGCCGGGGAAACACGTAACGGAGATTTTGTTTTGCGCTGGGTAGGATGGAAATGCGACTGATTATTTTAAACTTTCGCGGGATCCTTTCTGTTCCTTCCTTAAAATCACCTATCTATCGACTTACGAGTGAGGGCGAGGAGAATGCGTCTTCGATAAATTGGTTGTCGCTCGGTGGGTGGGGTTGGCCCCCAATTAAAGCCGAAAACAGTGGAGACAGTAGTTGAAAGCTATCAGACCATCAAGAGCATCCAGTCAGCAGATCTCGACAGGAGACGAGGTGCATTCGGTCCCCCCAGCTCTGTCGTAGGTATGAGGAGGGGGGTGTGGAAAGAAAACAAAAAGCCGCCCAAAAAAGAAGACCAGAAAGAAAAGACGGGAAAAAAGGAGAAAGGGGAAGAGAGAGAGAAAACAAGAAAGAAGGGGGAGACCCAGAAAGAAGGTTATTTAGAATTCAGCGGTTTCATAGCCTACCTTAAAACAAAGCTCTAATTAATGTCCTTCCCCCCCCCCCCCCACACACTGACTCTCTCTCTCTCTCCAAAAGAAGGCTGTGCGTATGTGAAGGCAACTAACTAACTTGCCTTACATTCCAGTCAAGGGATAAATTGACTTTGGTTTCTGCTTGGCGCCCATGCGACAAGGGATCGGATCTTCCTCTCATCTCGTGAGCATTCTTGGCTGTGTCATGCCATTTCCAGTCATGCCACCCATGGATGATGATCCCTTACTGACTGGAAGTATACTCATCATTTCAATCATGACAGTTCCGCGGAAGGGATAGGACCCTCTCTCAAATTGAAATGGTGGGTTTTGAGAACAAGTTGAAGTGCTCATCTCATTATCAGGTAACAATTACCGTGACACAATCCATGGATTGGTGGGAGGTAATTTAACCCAGCTCCACGACCAATCAACGAGGCATATCGAAAACGCGGGAATGGCAAAAATTACCGTAAGTTCCGCTAGGGCCGCAGTTTGCTGGAAGAGGAATACGGGACCCCCACAAAGGACGAGAGGGGACAGAGCTACTTCTTACTTGTAGTAGTACTACTATTTCCGTGGTCAGGTGCTTCAAGAATATAGCTTTCTTAAGTGAAGATCGAAAGATGACGACATCACACATGGTTCACGTTCATTTGATCTGCACACAATACATACATACATCATACTTCATGTCATGTAAATAAATCACACTTGACTAGTATACTCCACATTCGTATACGATACCCCAGCTTCTTCCGCCTTATCATTTTCCGCCTCGGCCGCCTTCGCTTCTACATTCTCCGGCAACGTGCCCAACGCCCGTCCACCGAAGAGAAGATCGATTTCTTCCAGAGACTTCTGTTTGGTCTCCTTGAACAGGAAAAAGACCGTTGGGATGGTGATACAGGCATCTAGAGTAGGGGCGAAAATCAGTAACGGAATCTTTTCTTTTTCTTTCTTTCTTTCTTTTCTTCTTTTTTTGTATCTTCGCCTCATGTTCCCCGCAACGTTCAGGAAAGGAAGGAAAGAGAAACGTACTGAAGAGAATGAAGACCAGGTAGAACCTCCAATGAATCTTTCCAAATGCGATCGGTGCAACTTGATTCCAGATCGTGCTTACAACCCAGTTTCCCAGGCTGGTCGCGACGGCATTTCCTCGGCCTCGGATTTGCATCGGCATGACTTCGGCCATGTAGACCCTAGGCGAAGGCGTTGTTAGTATCATTCATGGAGCATTACTACTACTACCCAATGCAGTAACCGTATTCTACCGGCTTGGAAGAGTCGGGGAAAGACGTACCAGGCGCATGATCCGTACGAGAAGGAGAAAATAACGGTGATGCAGAAAATGAAAAACACGCCGGCGATGCTGTAACTCGTCCGGGACCCATCTTCGTTCACCGAAGTAAGGGCGGCCTCGCAAATCAGGACGATGGTGACAGCAATTGAGCCATACAACATGGGCTTCCGGCGCCCCACTCTATCAAGGAGGAAGAAGATGAAGATCAAGTTGCAAACCGGTCCCACGCAGTTATAGATACCAGCGACGAGGATGTTGCGACCTCCTGTAATTCCGAGCGAGTTGTACAAGATAGTTTGGTAGTAGCCAATCACATTGACAGCGGTCATTTGTGCAAAACACTGAACGGCAATACCGTGACTATTGTAGTGCAAGCAGACGTCATTAGTGTCTGTAATCTTCAATGGAACTTCAAGGACTGAGTATCGGAGTAGGGGTCTGTCTCAACGTACAACAACCGAGTCCGCCACTGGGGAACCTGGAACATGATGAGCCAACCCGAGGCTGTAACGGCCTTCTCAGCGTCGATGGTTGTTTTGATCTCGTTGTACTCCGTTTGGATCCATTCGTCATTCGTGCCGTCATAATGTAACTTCCGCAGGATCTTCATGCCTTCCTCATACCGTTCTTTTTCGACCAGGTATCTTGGAGATTCAGGCATGAAGAACATTCCCACCGCTAGCAGTATGCAAGGCACTGTCTGAAATGCCAGAGGGAACCGCCACTGGAACTCGCTGGTTTCCGGGGCGTGGAGTGATCCAAATCCGACCCATCTATCGCAGCATCAACGTTAGATCGTCGCGAAGGAAGCACAGAGAGGAAGGCGGGCAGAATAAGACATACGTGCTGACAATGAACCCGATGCCGATCATTTGTTGTGATAACCCGATGATAAAACCTCGGCTTCGCGGATGAGCACATTCCGCTTGATAAACTGGGACCGACATCGACAGAATACCGACAGCCCACCCAGCTAGAATACGGCCAACAAGCATCATAGCCAAGTTCTGAGCAGCGGTCTGAAGTATAGCTCCAACAAGGCAGATTACGGCGCCCATCTGTATAGTGAATTTACGGCCGAACCGATCCATCGTAAGTCCTCCCTGGAGGGAGCCCAAGGCAGCTATGATCGACTTATTAGCACTGACTGGTTGGGCCCCTTGTTGCTTTCTCTGTAATGGATAAGTTTCGTACCTCCACCGGAAAATGTACTATTAATGGCCCCAATAATGGGAGATGTCTGGACCGTGTCGAAGAAGGCCAGGAAATTCTTCGATTCGATCACATCGGTCATGACTCCGCTGTCATACCCGAAGAGGAACGACCCGGTAGCCGCAAATGCGGCCAGGCCGATAGTAAAGCCCCGACCCATGCTGGATACGGAAATAGTATCACCTTGGGCAGGCTATGAGCCGATCTAGGTCAACCCAGGGAACACGGGAAGAGAGAGGGGTGAGGACAAAAGAGGAGTGGGGATGAGGCCGGAGGGAAAGAGAGTGAAAGACGGCATTGCCTTAAGTTAATATATTCAAGTATAAGTATTAGCCTGTATTATAAGCGAGGCTTATCTGTTTTAAGGACTAAGCCGATTGACATGGGATGACCGGGACGCACTGACTGGCGGGTAAACAAGAACGAAACCAATGGACGGCGTGGAGAAAATCCGGGGACGACCCGCCCGACGCTAAAACCACGCCATTTCCCCATGGGCCTGATGATTGGAACGACTCAAATCGTCACATTTCCTAGCCTCCAAGGCAACAAGGAGCCAAGCCTAGATAGATTAGATGCATTTAGGCATTGCCGGGTAAAGGGATTATTCCACGTATTGTCGACCGCTTTCTCAGGGTGGCGTTCAATTTTGCCCTAATCGTTGTCCAACACGGCGAGCGTGCTCCCACTTCAACACGAGAACGAATCAGCTCAATGACCTTTATTGCCAAGTCGGGCCGGTCTGGCTGAGGAGAAAATGTATGACCCTGAGTTCTGGACGCACTGGACTGTTGAACTTTTCGGGATCTCACAATTGGACGCATACATGGTGGGAATGTATGGGATCCTCTACGGGCTATATTATATCACATGGTTCATTTTCACATGAATGATCCTATCTCAGTTCCAAGCAAGATCACTCATCTGATTTGTAGAGGTGGCGCGTATTTGGGCCTAAGTTCCTCTTAGGAATGAGGCCGGCTGGTTAAAGCAGGAACTTGATCCTCGGAGTCTGGCCAGCCATTTGATAAAATTCCTCGTACTGACAGGCAGAATAGGAGCCGCCAAAGTCACCGCCCTCAACCATCTCATCAGCCTACTTACTTACTTCCTACCTAAAATGTATTTTATGAGAGTATCCCTAGAGAACAAGAGAATGGATGAATGAGTTGATTGCTGCCCTTAAGCACTACCAATCCTGGTGCAGTGTTTTCAGTACTACGCATCACGTGCAGATAAGTTGCAACTGCTCCTAAGATATGTACATACCCTTGGGAACGCGAATTGCGTTTCTTAATCAAGAATAGACCTCATATTAGGGAATAGCTTGCATGCTTACGAGTATAAACCTGATGATGTTAGAGAAGGTATAGTATCGCAAACATAGTTGTTCCTCCTATAGAATATCATGTCTAAACTTTCAGCATTGGGGTTTTGTATAAATATATCTGAATAATATTTAGATTCATGCATAATGTATCACTTAGAATTACTTAATAGTATGTACTACGGAGACAAAGGACCTCTTTTCCTTATAATACAGGGTTTTATAAACGTCAAGCTTGAATGGATGATCGCACATACATATTAGATTTTATACATATATAATATTCGATATCCTTGGGCCCCTATATTATACCAAGCATGGATCATCGGATGGCCGCTAGTAGTACAGTAACGCTCTGCGTTTGCTCTTTAGACATTTCCAAGCCTCAGGCCACCAGGTACAGGACGACAACGAGATCAACTACCATATTGAATACTGCAGAGGCAAAGTCGGTCTGTACTACATCTTTGAGGTCCCGGTTTATATTGATCGGCTTACCGAGAAAATTAATGGTTAATAGTGAAGAGATCCAATAGAGTCACGACCCAGTTAGTTTCTGTCTGGACAACCTACTAAGAAAATACACATATGAAATCTAAGTGTTTAATATGGGTATATAGCAACATACGTAACACCCCTAAGAGATGGCTATCATAACTAGGTAGCAAACATATTCGAGCATGGGTAAGAGCTGAAAGTATGTATATCCGTATCACCGCTGAATCGGGGTCGAGGTCATTGAAGAAAAATCGAGGGGCGTCAACAACAGTCCCGAGGCCCCCGACACCGTGTTTCTATATGAAGTTAGCTCCTATCTAGTAATATGCGTATTCGCAAAGTCACTCACATGAAATCGCATGTACGGCGGGGCAACGATGGTGGCGTCTTTGGGTTGAAAGAAGCTAGAAACTGACTCGCCCACCGGGATGACGAAGGCTCCCATGTAGAATATTCCTCACCTCCTGCTCGGCCTTCGGTCTGGCGAGACTTGGCCTGCAGCTCTGGGACAGCAGCCTGGGTAGCAACTCAGCCACCGGATGAATGTGCCACAAGCAGAACACGCTTGCCGTTTTGATTGACTAGCCTGTCGAGGAGTTGGATAACTTCATCAACATCCGCGGTATCGCTTGGGTAACCACCTAGGGGAGGTTCTTGATCCAAGTCCGGATGTTCCACATCACCCACGTTGAGTTCGCTGAGATTGCAGGTTGGACGATGAGGACAGTAAGACTCAAATCCCTGACTCTGTAGGTGTCGTATAAAGGGCTCATATGGGGCGGGGCTGTGATAGGAACCATGACAGATGACAACGGCGGGGTTCGTCATATTGTTGACTATGAGGGCTACTAGCCAGACAAGGTGGACAATTAACAAAGCGAAATCTAAAAAACAGTAAGAGTCAACAGACAGGGTGAGGTGACAAGGCTTGGGAATGCTGGAGGGAACGCCCTTTCTCAATGTTTTGAGTTAGACTATGGGCAGGGCAGTGCAAAAGGCTGTCTACTCGATGATTTTAAAAGTATATACTCGATATGATGGATTTTTAGCAAAGGAAAGAGAAGTTGATATATCCTTTGACATGATGCATCTACCTTTTCTTCGCCGCTAGAGACTCCAGGTAGACGGGTGCATTACACGACGTGTCCAATAGGTGCTGTATACGTTGTATGATTATCAAATCCCCGCAGTCTAAGCACCACTAGTCCTCGTGGGTGGGGGCGCTAAGTGTGTATGTATCCAGCTTACAGCTCCCTAATACTTTTAGGGTAATCCCCATCTACTTCCATATGCCCCCTATAACAGCACCGGATATCGAGAAGGTCAATATATCTGTATCCAGCACAGTAAGCTGTCACATATGAATCCATAACCACGTCAACTACCTCACCTATCAAACCTGACGATGCGTCAAACTTTGGTGTTGGTGGTGTTTCTGTATGACCAGCTTTACGGGGCACTAACATGAAGCAGATTAACCCCTATAGCTTAATGCCTCCAGCAACCTACTACTACTAGTACATACTTGTTACTAGTAGCAGTTATCCATCGATTAGCCCACCGGCTTAGCTAATTTTTTTGTTTCTTCTTCCTATATTTTAACCATGATTATAAGGCAAATGCCATAGTACTTAATATACCGGTGGTAGAATTTAGAAAAGTTAATAGAGACAAAGCGTTAAACCGCGCTTGTCGTTTCTAATTTCCTACATTGATTCCTCGACGTGAATAACGACCATGCCAGTCGATACGGTAGAGGCTAAAAACGCAATGCTAGATATATAACCAAGGTTTCCCACGAGGCCTTCTTCGTAGTGCATCTGCGATAACTTGACAGCTGCAGGATGGGTTAGTGTCTAGGTGGTTGACTATTGAGCGCCGATCGATGCGCCTGAAGATATACTGGAATGTGATAGAATATTTGTCATTAAAGTGGCGATTACTTCAAGGGAAACGCGACCACATTGTTACTATTCTGATTAATATCGTATTTTTTTTTTGAGCCGTATCCTGCAGTGAATAAATAAATACTTAATACCTAAGCCTCGGGCCGCTTTAACCCCGAATTTGTCATGATACTCTCTCCATGTCTGTACAGAAAAAGCACGCAATGAACCAATTTAAGTCGATATATTTCCGATATCTTCCTGTTATTCCTCGATATTAGTAAGGTTTCGCTCCCATGTTATGGTTTGAATCGTGCACCCTAGATCTTTTCCTTGCTTATAAGCAGCCTTCCCCCAATACTACACTGCCACTGCCGTCCCAGGCTGACATTACCATACCTGCTGGATCCCTCATTCTGGTAACTGGTGCAAATGGCTTCATAGCATCCCATATAGTCGACCAATTCCTCAAGTGTGGGTATAGAGTGCGCGGAACCGTCCGATCCGAGAAACCCTGGCTTGATCACAGCTTTGCCACCAGACATGGTGGAGGTCATTATGAATCAGCTTTGCTACCGGAGCTTGGGGATGAGGATGCCCCAGATAGAGTTCTGAAGGGCGTTACAGGTGTCGTGCATGTAGTATCATCATTCTCTCGACATGGAGTTTCTCGGTGCTGAATGAATTCTCGGCATCAGACATCTCCCTGAAACCGGATCCAGAGATTATATCAAAGTCCGCCGCAATGACGTTGAGCATTCTCAAAGTTGCAGCTAAACACGATACTGTGACAAAATTGGTCTGGCTTCCTCAGCTACTGCTGCTTCATTTCTGCAGCCTAATCAGCCTGGAATCAAGATCGACTCAAGTAAACTCCCCCTAGCCTAACGCGTTGTCTCTTTCTAATATATCCAGATAACTGGGACGATGGTTCCATACTAGGCGCCTGGGACCTTAGCATCCCTCTAGTCCAAAAGCCATACTTAGTTTACGGTGCATCCAAGACAGAGGCAGAAAGTGAGGCATGGATATGGGTCAAGCAGAACAACCCGGGATTTGATTTTAACACGGTTCTTCCGGCACAAACGTAGGTTTAGTTTGAATTGTACTACACACATCATTACCTAACCTTGATTGGCTATAGTTTGGCAAGATATTGCACCCCAAGATACGCGGCTCTGCTATGGCTCTTGTGCGCGACCTTTTATGTAGGGGCCGATCTGCCATCGATCATATCCATCCGTGTAAAAGTTAAACTTTATCTCTAATCTAGATTACGGACTAAGGACAGAACTATAGAGTGGTTCGTTAATGTCGAAGACACCGCCCGTCTACACGTTGTCGCTGTTCTTGATGAAAGAATAAAGTCAGAACGCATTTTCGCTTTTGCAGTTCTGTATAGCTGCACCGATGTCGTAGATATTTTGCGTGACGCCTTTCGGTTGAATCATGGCTTTACTCAACCTCCGAAGAATGAGCCCGGGATCTTAGCCAGATCGATCCCTCTAGGAGGGCAGAGAGTCTGATTAAGGATTTCTGGAATCGTGAAGGCTGAACTACTCTGAGGGATAGTATTCTTGGTGGAATTGGGGACCTTTGAGGAAATTAAGGGCTAGGCAGGGGATTTAGCTTCTTAGGGCTTTTGTACGGAGGTCCAGCTCTGTGCTTGGGGTATAGAATGTCTACCTTAGGCAAGAAGCAATGTGCTCGTTGTCCTTGTTTTCGCCGCTTAATCTAGGATGATCTCTATCGAGATAGATTAATTTGGTTCTATATTGAATAGAATAAAATTAAATAATTGAAGGATGTTTGTTTCAATGGCATGTTCCGATCGCGGACCCACGGGCACTAACCATGATGTAGTAACCTAAAACCCCCACTCATCTTCATCACTATGGATTCAAATTTCACCCGTACGAAACCACATCTTACCCGGACCAACACCATGCCACAATTCTCCCCATCGCCATCACCCGCACTTTCGGGGTCTCATCATTCTATACAGCCTAGACGACCAAGTCTTGAGCCTGAGGGCGAGATCCTCTCTACACGCGGCCAACGCTTGGCAAGCCTCATCCGCAGGCGTTCCATCTCTGTTCAAGGTCGTGAGCCCTATGATGATAGTACTCGCTATGATGAGCTGGCCGCATCTCGGGACTATACGGAGGTTCCGCCATTGGAACGAGCAGTGCAATTGATTGGGGATGTCAAGCCCATCTATGACTGGTGTGCAATTCACCATGGACATGTTTTGCTTTCCAGGGGATGGCGTGAAGGAAAATAGTAATCTAACACAAACGGCATATAGGCAACTATTGTATCAAGACAAAAGCAAGCTAGATGGAATGCGAAAAGGATTGTTAGTATTGTCTCTCCTTCAATTGACACTAACCTAATGTCTCCAGACGTGACTATTATGAACGGAACAACCGTCTCATAGAGCAATACGTATACATTGATCGGTTGCTTGACTCATCATTGCCATGTCGGCTCATTGGCGAGTATCAGCAATCTCGATCCAGCGCATCTGAAACGTTCACCGGGGATACCGGACACGGTCATGTGTTTGGGAACAGGCACTATGCAGCTGTTGATGGCTCCGAGGAACCACCACAAAGGCAAGACCGAATTAAACGAACTCCAAGGAATCTTTATCGAATCCCGAGTGAATGTTCGCATCTCTTATCTGAGCAAGGAGACGAAAATACGTTAACCCCAATCCCATCAGAGGGCGGGCTGAAAGACGACTCATTCGTAGACAACGGCGCCCGCATTGTTACTGTCGCCATTTACGTGAATTTTATCGCCAACATAGTCCTACTAGTAGCGAAAATTGTCGTCATGTCCATGACAAACTCCCTTTCGGTTCTTGCCAGTTTGGTGGATGGAGCATTGGACTTTCTAAGCACTGCCATCGTCTGGGTAGCAACAACTTTGGTTCGAAAAGATGATCGCCACAGTTACCCTATCAGCAGGCGTCGATTGGAGCCATTGAGTGTGTTGGTCTTTGCAGTTGTGATGATGACCTCTTTCGTCCAGGTTGCCATCACATCGCTAAGCCAATTGATATCCTCCGATAAAACATTGGTGAACTTAACAATCCCCTCGATTGCAGTGATGGCCAGCACTGTCGTCGTTAAGCTCGCGTGTTGGTTCTGGTGCCGATTAATCAAGAATTCGAGCGTTCAGGCGCTGGCACAAGATGCTCAAACCGACGTGGTCTTCAATCTCTTTAGTATTCTCTTCCCTCTGAGTAAGAGTGCCCTTTCCCAATACCCTTTACGAGTGGCAGGTTTCTTTCTGACCTGCCTCTTTTTTCTTCTTCTGCAGTCGGCTCGTTTACCAAATCCTGGTGGGTCGATCCACTAGGTGGCCTACTCCTCTCCGTCTACATCATCTGGAATTGGAGTGGAACTGCAGGCGAGCATATTCGACATCTGACGGGCACGGCTGCGTCACCCATCGACCACAGCGTCCTACTTTATATGACGATGCGGTTTTCCAAGGCCATTCTCAAGATCCAGAATCTAAGGGCTTACTACGCAGGCGACCTCTTGAATGTTGAGGTGGATATTGTTCTGGAAGGTAAGACGAGCCTCCGTGACGCGCACGACATAGGCGAGAGTCTTCAATACATGATTGAGAGTGTACCGACTGTTGACCGGGCCTTTGTACACATGGACTACGATCCGTGGAACATTCCCAGCCATATGAATCAGCAAGAGGCATGACACCTTCTAACTTGGTCAAATCATACTGACCGAAAGAGTTTTCCCTTCCAATCCCGTCTACCATCACTCTATATAGAGATGGACAGCGAATAATAATACAGAACATATTAAGCATAGAGTGCAGGAGTCCCCATAAATACCCGCTGAGTCATCCGGTACAAGTAAGCACACACGTGACCCCGCGTTCATCGCGTGGGGACGCGATGGGTCCGTGCCGTCCCATCTCGAATTTTGGTAACCTGCAACCGACCGTATGTATGTAACTTAGAGGATTGGAAAAGAGGCTGCGTTGTAACCTCACCAAGTCACACCGGGGTTACTTACTTGTACCTTGCCCGAATCAGCCGCACACGACATGATATGTCCGACTTCAACCATGGAGATCTATCAGTGGGTGGGTGGGAGATCTTTTAATATCGTTTTCTGGATTGGCTCTGCCGACCGCTCCTTACGTTGATCGTGTCACCCCTCGCGTTGAATTCGCTGGCCAAGAAGTACCCACTTTGATCAGACAGTCATGCATCTTATCCAAGGTTGGTGGTGGTGCTGGCTTAAGTAGCATATGGAATTCCGAGGTATGATCAGAGATCGTTACTGTATGGTGTACTATACACGGACCAGAACCGCGATGTGTCGTCAGCGGGTATTCCGTATCAAACCCCGCGCCCGGTGTTGATGGAAGAGAAGTGAGAGAACAGGAATCTAAAAACAGAAACCACAGTAGATTGATGAGAAAATTAAGAGAACGTTGTGCAAGATTTTTTTAGTCTATAAATTTAATCTATTATAAACAATAGAGAAAAAATAGTTTGAAATTCCGCCGTGAAAGAAAGTTTGAGCCCTCGTGCTCCATGGGCGGAAAGGCTAAAAAGTCAGTTACAACGCCTAAACCGCACGGGTGCGTCCGCGTCCACATCGCGACGCGATTAGATGAAGCGCTTTTTCCTCCCACTCTTTTGGGGTCACCTTTCCGCTCCAGATCACTAGCCCCCAGTCTTCCTCCCAGACTAGAGCGGTGCTTCCTTATATTCTCTTTACCTCCCGCTTCGCTCTTGCAATTGTCTTCATTAAACCCTCATGCTTCCGTCCTGACCTATCAAGTACACAATGTCTGACCAGGAGCCTTCTGCTGTGCCATGCTCATCGTCCCCACCAACAGCTCAGGCGTCCGAGTCTACCGCTGCTCTTAATTATGCCTTTCTCGTCCACTCGCAGAAAACCCTAACTCAGAACCTTCCCCCGCGGGTCGATAACAAGTTACTCGCCCGCCAAAAGCGTCGTCGCACAAGGTATATATACTGCGGGATGACCCCGATGATCTCATGCTGTGGGCTGCTTTGCCTGATAACTGGCTAACGCGTGAGCCATCTAAAACCACAGCCCCGAGGACCATGCAATTTTGGAGGCAGAGTACCAACGCAACCCGAAGCCGGATAAGACGGCCCGGACCAGCATAGTTAGTCGCGTGTCACTGGGCGAGAAGGAGGTACAAGTACGTTGCCAAGATCGAGCTAATAAACTTACCCTCGTCCATTCTGACTGTGGCTTTCCGACATTATAGATATGGTTCCAGAACCGTCGCCAGAACGATCGTCGGAAGTCGAAGCCTCTTCAACCTCATGAACTGCTAGCTCCTCGGTCCGACGCGTCGAAACAGAGTTTCAGTGATGAGAGTATACCCGCAGAACCAGGATCCTCAAGTGGGACGGAGCAGTATGATGAAACTGGCAATGATAGCAACGTGGTGACACAGGCCTCAGAGAATGACTCGTTCTCATCAGATGTTGTCCGCGGAAGCCAAGAAGAACCCGAACAGCCCATTCTAGGTTCTCAAACGAGCATAGCAACGTCAGAAACCCCAGAAAATAGCCAAGGAATACAGGAGGGTTCTCAATTGGAGCTTGAATTAAGCCAAGAACACGGGAGCGTACCATGCGATGAATCACACCAAAACTCTGCCAAAAGGAAGCGATCTGTCTCGGACCTTCGAGAGGGAAAACAGGAAGCACAGCATCCCCTAACACCACGTGGAGTGCAGGGTGTAAAGTCACCCCCATCTTTGCGAATATCCTTATCATTTGACGGAGAGGCTATGGTGAGAAAGGAAGGTGAATTGACTCCGTCCCCACCAAAGGGACGCAACGCGCTCCGAATTGCCATGTCTTCAGATGGGAAAGCCGTGATTCGTGCAAATGGAGAACCATCACCATCCAAAAACCGCATTTCTATGTTTTCGACCCGAACCCCTCGGTTTGCGGGACTCCGGAGAAGCAACAGTGCAGTGGTTCTGGGAACACCCAGAGGATCTATCGAAAAGGAAAGGATCTTTGGACGATCACGCGACCCCCGGAACTGGGAATCTGTTTTCGATACCGATGCCCGGAGTGCATTATCTACCCCAACTAGTTCGCAAAGTACTTCACATACGGGGTCCCCTGGATTTTTTCGCTCCGGGGCCCCGCGTTCATTGACACGAAGTCTGTCGGCAAAGTATAAAAATACTGCGACATTTAGCTCGTCTGAACATCTCAAGACGCCTATTCCCCAAGCTACGAGGGAGAAGAGGAGAAAACTATCACGTGCAGTCTCATCATTGGGTCGCCTCGAGACTGGTCTCGGAGGTGTGAACGACAAAAACTCCCCTTACCCAATAGAAAACTCAAAGGGTATTGCAGGAAAAGGCGATGGCGATTTGGAGTTGCACTGTGGCGATTCGGACAAGGAGAACTGGATTCCTGGAACCCGAAACGTTCGCCGACGAGCGGCATCCCAGCACCATTCTTCTCGCCCCGCCCTTAGGGATACCAACGGGAGGGAGGGCAAAGTCAACAAGGACCTAGCTGCCAGACGCTTCCGGCTCTCTCAAGCGTCGCAGCGTAAAGCAACCAATAAATCCGTGCCAACAGTAGATACTGAAGTGTCTACATTCATGGCTGGCGGAGGCGGTTCCAGTCAGGAAGAAGACCTTAATTGCATCCAGGGCTTATTATCTTTGAGCCAAGGAGCATGGAGATAAGAACGGATATACCAGTTTTCTTGTGCGATGATCGATTTCCTTTGTTAACTTTCCTTTGTTTCATATTCGTTCCCTTTGTAGTTACGTTCAAGTTGCGAGCTAGCAAGCGGTGACTTCATGTATGATCTGTGATGCTCAAACCGTGATGATTGAACTGTTGTTTTCTTTTTTTCTCTCCTGGTCCAGCCATTCATTTCTTCGAGGGATATGAAGTCGTCTTAACCCCCCGGGCTGTGATCACCTACCAAATATTGATGACGAAACCCTGTCTTGATCATTTTAAGATATCCAAATGTAATTCCAGGCTAATAGGGCGATTTGAAAATGAAATAAAAATCAAGAGGATGGTAGTTTGGGTATGGAGCACTGAATCCACACTTATTCTTCCCCCGAATATATGAAGACGTTAAGTGGCAATTGAGGCAAAAAAAAGGGTGTAGCTTCCATCCATTGCACGTGGCCCGAGCGTAGTCCTATAAAATGGGTTTGATAGCGGCAAGTGAGGACTTTCTATCCATCTGCAACGCCATATCCTTCGCCATCTGTTCTACGCTCACGTTCTCTCTCATCTATAACTTTGGTAAAATTCTATATATTTTTGGTTCTGGTAAGTGGATAGACTCTTTCACTGAGAATCTTGCCATTTTTATGCATTCCGTTTGTGAAGATGGACGTGTACGCCACTTTCATCATCGGTCTTAAAATGGCGTGAACTATTTGGAATGCTGTCTATCTCAATAATGCAGACTATTTCTTTGCTTCCTCTTCCAATTTCCCCGTTATCTATGTTTCCATGTATGCTTTCCTTCCACCTCTTCTTTCCTTCCCCGATTACCTGCTACATTTCGAGATCTATATGGCTCAATTCATTTAGCGAACCAGTCAGTGGGTTCGATAGTGCATGGACAGACCAAATTCCATTGAATGTGAATAGTGGCATTGCAGAGATACAGCTTTCTTGATGATTGCCTGAGATTTATCATCACACATAATCTTCCTTACAGAAACTAACTAACGGATAACACAGAATCTTGTGCGTATTATCATTAACTATCAAATCGAATAAAGTAGTGTGTTTACTCCTGCTGCAGTCCCGGGATTCGTTCGTGTACTTCACAGTTTCAACATGGGTAAAAAACCCAATGTGGCCATTATTGGAGCAGGTCTTTCTGGCCTGAGATGTGCGGATATTCTTATCCAGAATGGAGCTCAAGTGACCATCTTTGAGGCTCGAAATCGGGTTGGAGGAAGGGTATCTACCCACAATAGACTCGAGCGGTAGTATACTGATATCTGACACAAAACCAGGTGCATCAGAGCAAGCTCGGGGATCATTTAATCGACCTGTCAGTGCTTGTTTCCTTCCTATTGGTTGTAAAATAACTTCAATGCTAATGGACGAAAGCGGTCCCAATTGGATCCATGGCACCGGGACGAATCCAATTACTGACATCGCTGAACAAACAAAAACGACTTTGGAAGATTTCGAGGGGAATCAAGCTGTGATATCTATGGATGGGAACCCCCTTGACGACGATGAAGCCGCCAAAATTTCGAATTTCTTTTGGATAACTATCGAGGAAGCCTTTGAGTACAGCAATACTCATAAGGCTACCATTCCGCCCGAACGAAGTCTCTTTGACTTCTATGAAGAAAAGGTCGAGAAAACTGACTTTACTGTAGAAGAGAAGAAATTATGTATCGAGCTCTGCAGGCTATGGGGAGCGTACGTTGGTGATCCGATTGAAAGGCAGAGTCTAAAGTTCTTCTGCCTCGAAGAATGCATGGATGGCAGTACGTACTCAGCATTATTTCCACATATAGTGTCTGTCACTGACTCTTGAATACCAGACAATTACTTCGTAGCATCGACCTACAAGGTTATACTAGATTACATCTCTAGAGCAGCTCTCCAACACGCTGATATCCGGTTCAACCAACCTATCGTCAAGATCGACTCTGTCGCCCCTCAAGGCCCAAACACCCGTCACAACACAACCTTAACAACCGCCACAGGCGAAACCCACACATTCGACGAAGTAGTAGTGTCCTGTCCACTGGGATGGCTGAAGCGCAACAAATCCGCATTCACCCCAGAGCTTCCTCCGCGGCTCACCCAAGCTATCGACAGCATCTCCTACGGCCGCTTAGAAAAAGTCTATGTCACATTCCCACGGGCATTCTGGCACAACAAAGACCCTGCTACTAACGCAGGCGCAAAGCTCAGTGCCTACGAGCGCCCCACCTTCGCACAATTCCTCGACCCCGCATACGCAAAAGGCCCGGAGGGTATCCTCTGGAATCAAGAATGTATATCCCTAGCAGCTCTCCCAGCACACTGCGCTCATCCCACACTCCTCTTCTACACCTACGGGCCCTGCTCCACGTACATCGTTTCCAAGGTTGCGAACCTTGATCCTAAGTCTCAGGAATACTTTAAGTTCCTCGACGACTTTCTGCGTCCGTTTTACTCCCGTCTATACGGATATTCGGAGTCATCACCGGAGTGCAAACCGCTGGCCCTGATGGCGACCCAGTGGCAGAATGATCCTTACGCTGGGCATGGATCGTATTGCAATTTCCAAGTTGGTCTCCGTCAGGGTGATCGAGACATTGAGGTTCTGCGTGCGGGACTTGGGCTGGATCGTGGAGTGTGGTTTGCCGGAGAGCACACGGCACCTTTTGTAACGCTAGGTACGTCGACTGGGGCGTATTGGAGTGGCGAGCGTGCTGCGGGACAGATCTGTCAGTTGTATGGGCTTGGTAGAGTGGGTATGGGCATCGAAAGGGATGATTCTCTGCCTTCGGCCGGTGTGAAAAGGCTTGCGGATTGAGGGATCTAAATTGAAGGCGGGCAATTTCCCTGCCTGGTCTGTAGATAATATACGGATAGAGATAACCGTGCTGCTTACTTCGGACGTAGATGTAGATATTTTTTTTTTTTTTTTTTTTTTTTTAGGGAATGTACTAGAGTATGTACGATTGACACTCCACACACGCACTCTGCGCTATATACACATTCAAGAGGACACGGCTCGCAATTTGACCCATGATACAAAACATTGTCCCAACAAATAAAAAGGCAACAGGGGAATCACAACGATGACGCTTAACCTCGCTCGGTAGATGAGAAAACAGGATCAAATAAAACCTCCCGGATGACAAGCCACCCGCACATAATCAAAATGCCTTGCGCCCTGGTGCAACCTACAAGATGGAATAATACCACAGAGAGCATCCACGAACCTGCGCGCTCTTCATACTTCACATATCCATCAAGTAAGGCACATGATATGAAATAAAAAATGAAGAAAAAGGAACAAGACTATGGGACAGACAGCAAAAGGAATTGCAAACTCCTAAGATGAGCGCCAGAACAAAGAGCAAGAGTTACATTCCCTGAAAAGTTGCAGCAAATCAAAGAATGGATATAATACAGCAGCGCACTGATGGGATTTCTGTGGAGAGCAGCAAGTCCGTTGGAAGTAGAGACGGCTTCAAAGCAGAAGAAGTTGTCGGTAGGAGCCTGGCAACACTGCCGCCCGTTCTAAATAGCAACATTGTTCCCATCGGGAAGCGGAGCTACAATGGCGGCAGTTTAATAGTAGGTGACCTCAACTTAACGCTGAGGATAGCAAACTACGAGTTCAAGTCCAAGCGTAGCCCCTAAAACGCTCCATTTAGCGTTTGTTGCTGATCACTTGCCATGTTGCGATTTGAACAAGTAGTTGTAACCAGCGAATCAATCTTCCCAAATCGTCTCCAGGTCTAGATCTTGGCGACGTTCGGCCCCACAAACGCTCCACCGTTTCCTTTTGTCGGCTCTGAGTCCATAACCCCCTGATACAGTTCGCGTGTTCATCAGTGAGCTTGAGGGACCCGACGCATCTGATGCGCCTCGTCGTCGATTTCCGTTAGCCGCGGCGTCCGCCTCGTCTGCTCTGTCGGCTGCAGCTTTCAATGCAGCAATCTGATCAGCTTCGATAGCGGCGGCTTCGGCATCGGGAATGTCCGGGATAGTTTCCAAAGATGAGATACTTGGACTACGGGAGCGAAGGCTTGTGGGCGTAGAGGGCATCGATGAAGCCGAAGACGTCGAATAACCGGGATAAATTTCGTTGTATCTCGAAGTGAGAATTACCGGAGACGAATGGGCAGAAGAGGGACTGCTAGCGGATTGAGCGGTGGAATTCATCGGGTTGAAATGGAGGGGGGATGACGGTCGTCGGCGCGCCATACGGGGAAAGGTGTTGGAATGCACAGGCGAAGCCGTACGAGGTTCCCCTTGAGGCAAAGACGACGCGGTGTCCAGCTCAGCGTACTCCAGAATGGGTTCAGAGATGTTCAAGGGTGCCATTCTAGCCTCAAGACTATCCCCGATTGAGGCCTGAAAGGGTAGATGGCGTTTCGCGGCATTGTCCGGCGAACTGGTTGGCGCTTCGCGACCATTCACGAAGATATATCTACCCCGAGAGTCCAGCCCCGGGGAGGAGTGAGCGCGCGTCATGGGAGGTAGGCCAGATACCTCCGCCAGAGATCGAGACCGAAAATGAGAACGGGCGAAAGGCAAGCGGGTCGGCGAAGTGGTCGGAGGACGTGACAAAGTTATCATGACGTCGTTCTCTTGATCCCCACCAGTCCCCGGCGCAGTTGGTTCAGCTGAGTCGACCGATTCGACGGGACTAGGGGGGAGGATTATCCCCTCTGGGGATAGATAATGAGACGTTTCCATATCCGTCTTCATGAAGAAATTTGACTTTTTTCGGGTTAAATCGGCCTCATGCTGGTTGTTTGAGGGTGTAAGGGAGGCGTGGGGAATAAGGGGGGAGATAGGAGTAAAGTTGAGTGGTGAAGTCAAAGACTTTCTCAAAAGAAGAGGAGGAAGAGGAAAGAGGCGCGGGTCCACGGCTGATGGGAAAGGGAAAGCCGCTGCGACCAATCAGACGCTTCCGCGCCAAGCCTCAATAGGTCAAGCCCTTTTCCGCGCTCCACCGCCTGTCTAGTCTCAGGTGAGCTGGACTCTTATCTACTCTTACAACTTTACTATTACCACTATTACTACTATCCTTTTCTTTGTCTTTTCTCTCTTCTCATCCTCTTCTGATCCTCGTCTGGTTCCTTAAACATCAACAGGGGAATGATCATGTCCTGCGACCTTTTCCACGAAACTCTACTAACCAAACTACTCAACTGTATCCCTCAAGGTTGCTCGGCGCTCATCCCCAACAGGCACCTGACCCCCAACTCCGACTCATGACCACGTACTTTTGTGAGCTTAGTCGTTCTTCCTCTTCCAAACGCCCGGCGATTGTTTCCCACAGCCCATCCGCCTTTAAAAAGATACGGAGTACACCTGGAGTTCTTGGATCGGTGATCAGTGGCCCGTATTTCGTTCCCCATAACCCTCAACACTCCGTGGCGGGTCTGAAACCCAGCATCATCTCTATCCTTTCTTCTGAAGCTCTTCTTCCTCATATCCATTATGTTATACGGTCCACGCCCTTTTTTAATCTACCTAGTCGTTCCCCACTTGGGTTTCTGGTAATAAACCCTTGGTTCCGACATGTTTCTCTGGATGATGAACTCGTATGACGACAAAACCGATGTCACTATTCACATGATCGGATGTAGTTGCTATTATATATTATTGAGAATATAAATTCATCTAGTATTCAGCATTTTCTCCTCCGTCAGTTATCGTAGCGAAAATCGTAGTGGGGTAAATTGATAGAAGGGGCGGGAGTTCATCAGCGCGAGGTTTACAAGTGGATTTAAGTTGACATTCCCGTGTTCAAATGAAGTGTATATAGCGGTAGGACCTCCCCATGGAAATATACTGAAGGGGATCCGACTCACAGATCCCTGGGCATTCAAGCCACTTGTTTTCTTGGATACATGATACCTGTTACTTGGTTCATGTATAGTACGACGATCAACTAGGGAATATGGATAGATTTGGATTTATAGATAGTGCACTGTATACTACTCTTTTATCCAAGGATCGAGGAATGTTGATCCTGGGCCCAAATTAAGATGAAACCCAGGCGTGTACCAACACGTTATTAGCAGGGAAGATATTTAGACAGAAAAAGCAAAAGGAAAGGGCGAAGTGGGAAGGAAGAGAGCAACAAGACACATATCCCCAACGGTAGGGTATGTATTAAGGGTATTAGGTATGAGAAACAGCTAAAACAAAAACCAAAAAAAAAGAAAAAGAAAAAGGGAAAGGAAAAGGAAAAGGAAAAGCGTCACTAATGCTGATGCTCTTGGCACAAATTAACTGCCTTAGGCTCCTTGGCTCGCACATACACTTCCCGTACAGTATCGCCTTTGTGGTCTTTAACTATCCAATCTCCAATTCCGTACCTTTCGGGGGCTCGTTTAACACCACGTCCACCCCCGCCAATGATCAGGTTCCCAGGACGGTAGTTCTGGTCGCTGTGCAATCGGCGAATTGCAGATACATGGATTTGGGCGTCGTCTGGGATGTCACGAACCTCGCCACATGGCAGGGGCCACCGAATCGGCTTCCATGATCCATCCTTCTGCAGATCCATTCGGCGGAATGGAAGGTACTCCATTATTCGCCATGAGAGAACAGATAAAGGTGGTAGGCCGTTGCCAAATTCTAGGCAGTCATGCAACACGCCCGTGCTAGAACCACAGAGGGCAGCCACAAATCTGGAGCTCGAATCGCTCCGCGGTTGTTTTTCACCACCGTCAGCGGTGTCAAAATTGAATGTTGGTTGCCGACTCGCGTCTGGGTGGTCATCTTGGCACCATCGTCCGTTGATAGGGTTCCAGTGGATGTTCTCTTGAATGGGGGAGTATTCGCCTTCGTACTCTTCGAGACATTCAAACTGCTTCATTTTTCGAGCATCAAACTGCAGTCCCGCACGCTGGGCCTCTTGGACCATCCAAACCAATGGTGCGTGGCTGAGTGACCAGCGTTCCTTCTCGCTCTTTTTCCATCCTCCTCCAATGTCTGCATGGCCACCAGGAAACCATACTTCCTGAACGTCTTGGGGGCTATCCTCATCGTTATCATAATCTTCCTCTGTACCAACATGCTCGGGTGGCACCTGAAGCGAAAGGCCTGAATGCCCGCTTCTGATGGATGCCACATCCTCTGTGGATGCTGTTACCATTGGAACAGCGAGGCTTAGCTTCCTCTGGGAACGTTGTCCTTGTGCACGGTATCGGTGAGCCGCGCTGTGTACACTCGCATTTGAGCTCCGCACGCTGTGATATAGAGATCCAGCCTCTCCGTGCCTCTGCTGAGCCGGGTTTTGGACATTACTACTACCATTCACAACAATTTCGGGGAGATCCTCAGGCTTCTCCGGAGCATGGTGTAGATGGGGTAAGTGACGTTTCCAGTGAGCGGTTTTCTTTCTCTCACAACACGGTCTGACTTCCGAAATCAGATCCTGCCGAAACTTCGCACGCCTCTCATCAATCCCCACTGCATGTCGAATAACTTTGGCTGAGCTGCGGGCGGTATATGGAAATTTACTTCTCTGCATCCAGGCGGACTCAAATGCGGGCACGCTATTGACAGTATCGAACAGCCCCATGAATTTGATCCGCGTAATAGGCCGACTGAACGTCTCACGGAAGGCCTTCATGTATTCGAACAATTCATCTCTTTTAGCAAGGTCGTCTTGGGTATTACCACGTCGCTGCTGCCATTTGGCAAAAGTCTTCCACGCGAATCGGGTTAGTTCCTCGTTACCAGCCTCGAGCAAGCCAACATAATCTAGCATTTCTGCGAGGAAGCGCGCAATGTATGCACCTCGACTGAAGCCTATGAAGTAAATCTCGTCGCCAGGAGAGTAGTAACGCATGAGGAACTTATATCCGCCCATGACATGTTCAGCAAAGGAGGATCCGACGGCGGAGTCCTTCGCTTTTAGGTATGCAGATCTAATCCGTTGGAAGCGGCCATGGCTGGAAAGGGACTTGGAGGTTACATATGTCCCAATCCCTGGTTGGTAATAATGAAATTGATGGCTTTTGCTGCGGTCGAGCATCTAAATAAGTCATTAATATCTCGTTAGCGGATCGGCTATAAGTCCGTCTGGAATCTTCTCGAGCTCGCCGGGTTAGGTCAAGTTACCCGAAATATTTTCAGAACATTACTGTCCGACGAGTCCCCACAAAACTTGTTCCCAGTGCCATCGAAGCATAGCACAAATTGTTTCGGCACAGGGGCCGGCCCGAAAGGTGCTGCATCCATGGTGGTTCAGAGAAAACAGGAAATGGGGAGGTATAGGAGTGACTTTAGGCAAGGCTTGCCAGGGCAGTCGACACATTCTCACACACCGGGTGGGAATGTGTGGATATACATATATTCGCCGACGACGGTTATTCGCAGGCACATGCGCCTATTCCCGAGAGTATGTACGCTTTTCAGGGCTAACTTGGGGGGATCGCCCCTCCTATAGTTCGTGGACGTCTAGGAACATTTGCGCACGGAGATTAAGTGCAGGTAAGACGCTCCCGTTCTTAGAGTCTGCTTTCTGCATCACAGCCTTGGATTCGGCCAAACGATACGTCAATCTGAAGCCTCCTGAGTGGAGCACACAAAGTGGTTGGTCAGGTTGTGTGAGTAGACGAATTCCTCAGCTTACTGCCACCCTTACAAGGCTCGTAATAGTGTATTTTTTTTTCTTTTTCAGTTGGACTTTGCAGCTTATTACCTGCCCCCAATTTCTCCCCCTCTTTTTGGTTCTCTTTTCCTCTTATAGACTGATCATCCTGAGGGCCCTGCCGTCAGCTATCGTGGTCTCTGACGGGATGTCAACTTCGGCAGAAGCTGCCAAGATGCCGAATAAACAGTACTTATGATGTCTTGAAAGCTGCAGAGTTACGAAAAAGGGTAAGAAAAGAAGTAAAAAAAGAGGGGAAGTGGTGGACACTCAGACAAATGATCGTCCGTGTAGTCTACAAGTCGGCAAACCCTCCCAACACATAGAGTGGCTAAGGTTCGGCCAATCTCGGGCTCTGGGATCTGTGACCGATTGCCCAAGCCATGGCCAATTTGGTTCGTTGTAGTCAAGGTATGTGATTCGTGACGGAACAGTTCTCGTATGAGGCCCGTACGCTAGGGACGATCTTTTCCTGGCAATTCGTCCCAGTGGGGACTCATCAATACCCAGGTCAGGTAGCGGGTCGCTTTTAGCGCATACTTTGCATATACAGTATGTTACATACAGTAAGTACATTCAAGTCATAGGGGTGTCACAATGCTACGCAGGCCATTCATATTTTCGGATGGTTGTGAGCGTTCCATTGTCACCCTAAAACGCATGGCTTTCAGTCGGGTAATCCCAGGGCTGACTTGATATACTTTGAATCAGTCGAAGCAAGGGATGGATTTTGAAGGAGCCTTGGTGATTCTTGCACTATAAAATGGGCAGAGGTAAAAGAAAGGGGGAACTAGGTATTTCGGAAAGAAGGAAAGCAACATTTCTTAATGAAATTGGCAGCTTTCTTTCTTTTCACACACACTCTCTCGTTTGACGTCCAGTACTGAATACTTGGAGAATACACACTAGTAGTACTGTTGTATTAGTGTGTTTCTCGGTGTGTGGGGAAGTGTGGTGGCCCCAGCCGTCAGGTCCGCCACGAACCACTCGGCAACAGCCGACTAACTTCCCATGGCATTGGGAAAGCTCCTCTTTGAGCTCTTTTGGCCATGGGATATCAGAAAAGCCAATTGTGAATCCTTAATTACATTTTAAGCCAACACTCTATCGACGCACGAAAGTGCCCTACATACAACATGTCCCTTACAGTATGTACATGTGAGAAGAAGAGACCAATACATGAGAATAACCCCTGCATTACCAACCTTAATAAGCACAATCCAAAACCTCTCAGGGGCATAAGAGCACAAGGCGAGTCAGCCATACTCGTATGCAAAGTCCAGTACTCGTCTGCCTCCTGTTGACAGTTATTCTTTGTGACTTTTGGCACAATTTTTTTTTTAAAAAAAAAAAGAAAAAAAGTCTTTCTGTCTTTCCAATTCCAATTAGATCGAAGACCGCAAGGCCACCGACACTAGTACTCCTATCGACCCGCTTCTCATCCAGGAACCAAGATTGGTGGACGCTAACTTAGACACCGACACTTGAGTCAGATCGATTGGGTTGCGGTATTGGCGAACACATAGATTTTGTCGATCCCGGTGATCTTCAAATTTGCACAGCGTAATTGATTTGTACCATGGAGTACTGATTACCTACCCTACCGACGCTATTGCTTAATTGGCCCTTGTCATATTTGGGAAAAGATTAGAGAAACGGATACCCGACCAATGAATTCAGTCGAGATTTAATTACTAGGATCTACCTCTTTAATCTCTTGTTTGTTTTTACTTCATTTGGCGGGGTTTACCCATGACTCCACCGCCAGAGTGAAGGAAAAGTTAAATGAGGATTGTCCCGTGTTCCAGCGCGTGGTTACCAATTAGGAACAACCTGGACTCCACGGTCTCCCCGAAATTTCTTCTAATGCTTCTCTCGGTCACTTCTTCTGAAAGCTGAGGTTCTCCAAATTTCTCATAATTGCGTAACGTGCACATCCCACGACTCATACCTATGCCCGGAGAAGCCTTCCACCCTTACATCCCACTCATACTACGACCCCAAAAGAATCAATGGCTGAGATTGGTCATAATAGTAGGGTTGATCAGTGAGACAAGTAGGTGTGGGAGAAACTAGGGCAGTATATCTCCTGCTGGTGTTCCCACCATTCCAGAGGGCTGATTCTTCATGTTCATCAACGTCGTGCTCATAGGTAGCCGGCTTCACCAGTGACTTTCGTGAAACTTGGCTTGGAGCTTGGGCCAGTAGGGACAATGCGCTACAATTGGCAGTCTGGAGCCGAGGTGGAACCCAAGTTCCTCTCTTCCACTGGATCCACCTGGCCATGTTTATCAACTTACGCGATCGCTGCAGATTCCAGATTTGTTGGTGGCTGGCTATGTTTCCCGCAGTGGACCAAGATCAGCTGAACTATGCACCAATACAATAGCTATGGGTTTCTTGAACTGCAAGCTCGTCATTAAACTTTTTACCTCGGTGGGTCGACTACAGTGAACGACGATGGTCAGCGAAGAATTACTCCGTACCTACCGCCTACAGATCCCTTCCACGACCCGGAGTCAATGCGCGGCGTGCGGTGTCCACGACCAGATGGCAAAGTGTACCATGCTCAGTCAACGCAAGCCCCTTTGACTGGGTAGTTAAGAGCATCCCCACTCTTCTGCCAGGCCAAAGGTTTGGACCAAACATGATCCTTCCTGCACTCCCCGCGAGTCTAAACTATGTATTAGTATTACTTGACAGCATCCAGGATGAGGGTCCAGCTGTGAGATAATTAATTTACCCCCTAGACTGATTAATTAGTTTTCCTCTCAATCGGATTCGATAGCCATGATCCACATGCACAGTGTTAGGGATCTTGACCCCATGCTGTGTGTTCAGCTTTTAAAAGCTACTGCTCCGTACAACAACACAGGGGCTCTGCCGGTCGAGACTCCTCCCTTCCATTTCCTCTAGTTTTTATTTCTCTCTTGCTTTTATACCCCGCTTCGTGCCTTATCCCTAATTCTTCACCTTGCACATTCCTCCTTATACCTATAATCATAATGTTGCGGAGATTTTCTACAAACTTTAAGAGGTCAAAGAGCGACCGCGATACCAAGCAAAATGGCACTCCGGTGAACGGAGACAAGCGCCAGTCCAAAGTGTCGCCGGTGCGCAAGCCGTCTGCAGACGAAGAGAGGAGCAACAAGGCGGAGGATGGCGTATCGGTTTTCGACAAGTATGCACAGGTCCTCCATGCTTCGAGAAGCCCTCTACCCAACCAGACTGGGGACGGGGCCACTTTTGAGGAACATCAGGGTAGTCGCATGCAGGATCTTCGCGCTCTTGGCTTCCAAGATCTTGCTACCGCAAAGAACCTGATCATGTCGAAAGCCAAAGGGGAGCCTGTTGATGATAAGACGATGCTTATGGAGAAGATTATCCAAGTAAGAATAGTCAATTACATGGTATTTTATGGAAATGGCAGCGTTTGTTGACCCTGCCTTGTCTTTGTGTAGCTCGTCAGCGGTCTCCCAGGAAACTCGAAGACTCGCGCTGACTTGACAAACGCATTTCTAAACGAGCTATGGGACTCCTTACCCCATCCACCACTCTCGTGGGTTTCCTTAGCTCCAGATATTGTTGGTGCTTGATCGGGGTGATGCTAAGACGAGCATAGATACATGGGCCCTGAGTATTCCTATCGGTCCGCCGATGGCTCCAACAACAACCCTACCCTACCATGGCTGGGTGCCGCCAATACCCCATATGCGCGGTCAATTGCCCCGTTGACTATCCAGCCTGGGGGCTTACCCGATGCAGGTTTGGTTTTTGATAGCCTCTTTGCTCGTCAAAAGTTCAACCCTCACCCGAACAAGGTTTCCAGTCTGTTCTTTGACTGGGCATCCTTGATCATCCACGGTGAGTTCAAAAGTGACAAGAGTATGCTATGATCTTATGCTAATATCGTTTACCAGATATCTTCCAGACCGATCCCAGGAACCCGCACATTAACAAGACTTCCGGTTACTTGGATCTCTCCATCTTGTATGGTGACGTTCAGGAAGAGCAAGACCTAGTCCGGACACACAAAGATGGCAAGCTGAAGCCCGATGCTTTCTCTGAGCCTCGGCTCCAGGCTTTCCCTCCTGCTTGCTGTGTTATGCTAGTCATGCTTAACAGGTCGGTCATCTCAACTTACGGTACAATGTGTTGTGCTGACGTGTGTTATGAGCTAGATTCCACAACTATGTGGTGGAACAGCTAGCAGAGGTCAATGAAAACGGTCGCTTCACCAAGCCTGGCTCTCATCTCTCTGAAGAACAGGCAAAGAAGGCTTGGGCAAAATACGATGAAGATCTTTTCCAGACTGGCCGCCTGTAAGTACACAGCCAACCATTATTTGCATTGTCTAACCGTCTACAGCGTCACATGTGGCTTGTATATCAATATCACCCTGTACGATTATCTGCGCACGATTGTCAATTTGAACAGAGTAAACAGCACATGGTGTCTGGTGAGTGTGACCTTCCTACTCGATGGCGTGAAGATACTAATAATAGACAGGATCCCCGAGCGCAAATGGAGGGCAACGACCCCACACCATCTGGCCTGGGTAACCAATGTTCTGTGGAGTTTAATCTTGCCTATCGCTGGCACTCCACCATCAGCGAGAATGATGAGAAGTGGACCGAGAAGATCTACGAGGAGCTAATGGGAAAGCCCGCCGCTGAGGTTACAATCCCAGACCTGATCAGGGGTCTTGGTAAATACGAACAGGGTCTTTCGAAAGACCCTTCGGAGCGTACTTTTGCTGGTCTTCAACGCCAGGAAGATGGCACTTTTAGGGACGAAGAGCTTGTGAATATCCTCGCCAATGCTATCGAAGATGTTGCCAGTGAGTCATCTGCCCAACACTGTGTACTGATCCATGCGAATTAACTATGTGTCAATAGGCTCGTTTGGTGCACGTAACGTTCCCAAGGCTCTTAGAGCGGTTGAGATTCTGGGGATAAATCAAGCCCGTAGGTGGAACGTCGGCTCCCTTAACGAATTCCGCAAGTTTTTCGGCTTGAAGCCTTATGAGAGGTTTGAGGATATCAATTCGAACGAAGAAGTTGCGGAGGCCCTGCGTCATCTTTACGAGCATCCAGACTATGTTGAACTCTACCCTGGTATTGTTGCTGAGGAGGCCAAAGAACCTATGATACCTGGCGTTGGAATTGCTCCTACATACACTATCTCTCGTGCGGTCCTATCCGATGCTGTGGCTCTCGTCCGAGGCGACCGCTTCTACACTGTAAGTTTGTAGTTACTAAAAGGCAGGGGTACTAATGACCTAACATGAACTGCAGGTCGATTACAATCCTCGGAATCTGACCAACTGGGGATACAATGAGGTCCGTTACGACCTCAACGTGAACCAGGGATGTGTCTTCTACAAGCTTGCGACCAGAGCCTTCCCTAATTGGTTCAAGCATGATTCCATCTATGCTCATTATCCCATGACTATCCCCAGCGAAAACAGAAACATTATGAAGAATTTGGGTAGGGAGTCTCATTACTCCTACGATCGCCCGGCCTTCACGCCTCCTCACGTGAATCTGGTATCGTACCCTAATGTCAAGCTGGCTTTGGAGCGTGAAAAGGACTTCCGCGTGGTCTGGAGTGGTGCCACTTCGCTCACCTCCGCCCGAGGAGGCGATGACTTCTGGAGCAAGTCATTGAACAATGATCAGTGGCGAAAGAACATCAAGGATTTCTACGAAGACATAACCGCCAAGCTGCTACAAGATAAGTCTGGAAATCTTGCGGGTATCAAGCAAATTGATATCACACGGGAGTAAGCTAGTCACATATAATTTATTCCACAGTACAAAAGCTAACCGTGTGTGTAGTATTGGAAACCTAGCACCTGTTCACTTTGCCTCGAAGCTCTTCTCTCTCCCATTGAAGACCAAGGAGAACTCCCGCGGAGTCTTCACCGACAGTGAGACGTTCATGATTATGGCCGTGATCTTTACTAGCATCTTCTTTGATATCGATAAGACCAAGTCGTTTTCTCTTCATCATGCAGCTCGTGCCGTTTCTCAACAGCTGGGTCAATCCGTTGAGAGCCATATCAAATCTATCAACTCCCCTGGATTCCTTGGTGGCATTATTGACAGCTTCCGCAATGACCACAACGTCTTGAAGGAATATGGCGACCAGCTGATCAAGAAGCTTCTGGAAAGTGGCTTGGGCGTGTCTGATGTCACGTATTCTCAGGTGCTGCCTGCAGCTGTGGCGATGGTCCACAACCAAGCTCAGATGGTGAGTTCCCCCTTCTCTTACTCGATACGCCCCTGACTGCTGACATTCTATTTGTAGTTCACCCAAATTATCGACTATTATCTTTCCGAGGGCACAAAGCATCTCCCTGAGATTAACCGCCTTGCCAAGGAGGATAGCAAGGATTCCGAAGATAAACTGATGCGTTACTGCCTGGAAGCCTTCCGCCTCAATGGAACATTCGGATCCTACCGTGAGGCCCAGACTGACCTCAGTATGACCGACGAAACTGGGGAAGTCGACATCAAGCGAGGCGATAAGGTATTCGTTGGTGCTGTAGGTGCTCTCTACTGCGACTATACCGTACGTCCTGCAGCTGTGGTATGACTAACACTACATAGGTGAAAGCCAACCGCGATCCTAATGTTTTCCAAGACCCCAATGAAGTGCGTCTGGACCGACCTCTAGAATCTTACATCCAGTACGGGCTCGGCCCACATACTGGCTTGGGCAAGGAAACTACCTTGCTTGCACTGACGTCCATGCTGCGGGTTGTCGGTGGCTTGGACAACCTTCGGCGTGCACCCGGCCCTCAAGGTCAGCTGAAGAAGATCCACCGTGAAGGTGGTTACTATGTCTATCTGAGGGAGGACTGGGGAAGTTACTCTCCATTCCCAACAAGTAAGACTTCCGTGGCACATTTCCCGGGACGGAAAAAAAAGATACTAACCTCTTTCGCCTTGCAGCCTTCAAGGTCCACTTCGACGGTGCAATCCCGGCCCCCAAGAAGCGCTTTACCTCGTCCTAAGATGTCGTCGCTTTGAAACCCGATATGTTCTCGAGGCTGAATAATTTGTTCTAGTGTACCAAAAATGGCTTTGCGATATATCCTATTATGTTTGGAATTGAATGTTATTATGGCTGATCTAAACTGCTATCATTAATATACCACGAATGTAGCAATAGTGATAATTTGTTGATCTCTTTCTCTTCTTGGGTTTCACGATTACGCAACAGGAATGGGCAGTTTATTTTTGGTTTTTCCTGATTAAACAAGTACTGGCCTACAGTCGCATCTTTCCCCTATATCATACGCATGTCCCAATAGCCGCTATTCGGTCGACCACTCACCCCATATCCACAACCGTCAGGCCAGTCGCCTCGCGATATGACAGGTAGGTAGGGCTTAGGCTCCGTGTATGCGACAGGTCACATACATACTGGTCTGCTTATACTTCCGTGCAGCACTGTATCATGCCACACTCACTCCGTCTGGTGTATGTTGCGTTGCATCGCGCTAGTTTCTTTTCCCCACTAGATGATGGATCTCAGAATTGAGACATGACTGGGTACGAGATTATGGCCTCAATATGATCTGTCTTTTTGAAGGCCCTAGCCTACCTTTTCCCCTTCCCCTTCTCCTTTCCTTTTTCTTTTCTTCAAATGGGGATTAAGCTTTTTGGTTAACATAGAGAGATAGGATGGTTGGGGTGAAGTGAGCGATTTTAAGCTCTGGGAAGGAGGCTAGCCGGATACTATTGTTTTAAGATTGAATAGTACCGTTGGGATGCGTGGATTTAATCCCCGATGATAGATAGTATCTTGCCTTTCTTTTTCTTTTTTTTTTTTTTTTTCAAGGAAGCTGATAATTGGCATTGATTGTGGAGGGAAAGTGAGACAGATTGGGTTGTTGTGACGATATTGATCGCTGGAGCGATAGATCCATCTGTCGAGATGTCCAACTTGTGCGAAGAATAGTTGGTGACTGGTTCATGATAAATGCATCCGATCAAGTGGGGAGCTTGTCTCATTCCACTGGCAGAACTTTTGTCCAACTGTCACAACAAGTTCGTGGAATGATGGAGGTTTTTTGCATGTCGGAGCCTCGGACTGAATATCGCGCCTTTCGAAATCTATTTCAATTCTACGGACTTTAACCCCAATAGCTAGTATGCCACTAAACCAAACCAACACAAATCCCAACAACAGTCTATATGGTCGAAATATCCGCGGTACAGAATCCCATCTCAAACCCCCTAAACCCCAAAAGCTGGGTCCATGAGCTCCCACTAGCGCACAAATCGCCCAAGACCGCCTTCCCAAAGAATCCCTAGCGCTAATCACCCACACCGCCCAAAACCCCCCATAGCGGAATCGGTTCCGGCACCACTCACCGCCCGATAGCAACCCTGCTATCGGCATCGCAAGTTATCAGTTAACCAACTCATTGTCAATAAACCACACAGCCCATCAATCCCAATCCGCATCAAAATGCCCCCCAAAGCCACCAAAGGCGAATACATCGAAACCGTACGCTCCACCTTTCCCTCTCACAAAATACCTACCTAGTCACTCCCCCAATTAACTTCCAGCGCAACATATCAGGATACCGGGAACAAAATCTCCCGCCGATCCCAAATCCACGGAACCCAGCATATCATCCTTGGCGGCAAAACTGTCATCCAAGCCGAAGCCGTCATCCGCGGGGATCTATACCGAACCTCGGGCTCCAATTCCAGTTCCGGTTCCAGCGGCGACCCCCAGCAGCCGACATCATCGCCGTCCGTGGCCATCACGATCGGGCGCTACAGTTATGTTTCCAAGCAAGCGGTGCTGAGGCCGCCATCGCGATTGCATAGGGGCGTGCATTCATTCTATCCGCTAAAGATTGGGGATCATGTGTTTGTGGGCGAGAGGGCGGTGGTTGAGGCGGCTAGTGTGGGGAATCATGTACATGTGGGGAGGGATGCGGTGGTGGGGAGTATGGCGATTTTGAAGGACTTTTCGTATGTGCTTGATGGGGCGGTTGTTGCGCCGGGGATGGTGGTGCCTAGTTGGTGTGTTGTTGGTGGTGCGCCGGCGAGGATTGTTGGCGAGGTGGGGGAGGGGTATGGGGTTGAGGGGGCGGAGGGGGGCATGGCGAGGGAGAGATATCGGCTGGTTGGGAGGTAGGGTTAGTGGTTTGAAGTTGATATTGATGATTTTTTGGTTGTTGTTGTTGTTGTTGTTGTTATACTATACCCCCTTTGTGCGGTCTTTTTGTACATACACAAATACGCTTCTTACTTGAAGATCCATACGTTCAGGTAATCAATGAATGGTGAGCTAGATTCTAAGCAAAATATAGTACTCACGGAGTGGAGATACATTCACGGTCATCGACCATCCAAACATCTGACTGCCCTTCTACTATCGGCCGGCGAGCTTAGTGCCCGTTCACGCCATTCTGGGGGCAAAGTTCCCGCACCAGTCTGCTCTCATCGCTGGTGTACTCTTGGCCCGCCTCGGCGCGAGCCATGTCGTTGATCCAGCGCTCGTTCGGCTTGACCTCTTCGGATTTAGACAGTTTCGAGGCAAGGTAAAGCCAGTTCAGTCCGTTGCCGACCGTGCTCACCTCGTCGCACACGTGGCTGAGGGCGAATTTATGCATTCGCTGATACAGCTCGTCGTCCGTGCACAGATCCAATAGGTGCTGGGCCACTGCGTCGGTGTCCCCAACCTCCACGAGGAAGCCGTTCTGTCTGTCAGCTACTTGGAGAGGAATGCCACCAGCCCTGGTTGCGATCACCGGCGTCCCCTTGTGGATGGCCTCTGACACTTTGACCTCGAACCCTTCCCGTGTCGAGAGTTGCAACGCCACCTTGGCTTTCGAAAGAAGGGCATTCAGCAGCTGGTCCGACGGGCCCAGGCGGACGACGCAGATCTGTTCGGTGAGATCGGGGAGGTTTTCCTCGATGTGGGTGACGACAGCGTCATAAATCACCGTTCCGTCTGGGTCATCAACGGAGCCGTGGCCACAGATCAACAGCTTGGGGGCCCGTCTGTCGGGAAATGCAGCTGCGAACCGCCGGTGGAACTTGACGTACGATTCCACGACTTCCGGAATGCCCTTCGATGGATCAAAGCGTGCAATTTGAGCGATGTATTCATCTATTCACATTGTGCATCGTGTCAGTCTATATAGCATCTAGTGCAGTTTCCCGGGCATGAGGAGTAGTAGTGTCGCACCTTCAGGGAAATCAATAGTGGGCATGCCGGAATTCCTACAGAGGGAATTGAAAACCCGGCCATAGTAAGCAACATCCCACTCTCGCATGTGCTTATTCAAACCATCCAACCTAGAGTAGTTTGTCAGCCACAACTTCTAACGAGTACCAGGCCGGTGCTAACTTACCAATCTGTCGACGCTGGCATATAGCCTACCTTCTCTCTGGGCACGCTACTGGGTACAAAGGACTTCACGGGGTGACTAATGTAAATGTCCGCATGTTGGATGTCTTCCCAGAGGCGACTCCAAGCTTCTTCTTGCGGAGATCCCGGCTGGTCGATTAAGTCACTGCGGATTTGGATGTGACTGCGGAAGATTACCGGTCGGTCCGGTGCGAGTCGCTTCGCGATAGGGATTAGCGCAGGCATCTGCGGATCATCAATAACCACTACATCGGCTCCTCCATCTTTAGGGTGTTGTAGAGGACCTCCTGGGATCAACCAGTATCTCTTCGCATTCTCGTTGACCCAGTCCGTTACCTGCCCCCAGGCCTCCTCGCTCAACCGCTCCTCAGGGGATGCAACGCCCTGCAGGATATTGTGGTTGTTCTTGGTTACACGGAAGACGCCCGGCCGTGGCTTGGGCACATACCTAGGCAACAAGGTCAGTTGAGTTCCGACAATTATTCAGAAAAGTTGAGCAATTCTAAGGGTTACTCCTTACCATTTTATATCGGTTCCTAATGAGTAGGAGAACCTCGCAAGAGAATGTCTCATGAGGGCTACGCCTCCACCTTGGGGGGTGGCACTGAAAAAGGCAATCTTGGTTTTCCTTTCCTTGAGGTCATCCGCATAATGCTGAATAGCCTTCCATGTCTTGGGGTAGACCGTCTTTTCGAAGTCGTCGAGGTTGGTCAAGCGCACATGGAAGGCAGTGTCCACCTCCACTAAACCCAAAAAGCCAACCTGTAGCAAGGGGATGTTGTCCGGTCCAAACAGCCTGAGCCACAACACATCAGCAAAGTTACATCAAGAATGAGCCAGAATCCCCTACCGAACACATTTGCGGCCCATAGACTCTGCCTGCTCGTCAGTGCCTCGGATCTTCCAGGTAGTCGAGTCAGGAATTCCGAAGGCGAACTTGTCATCTCCCTCTCTTCGGCTCCCTTCAGGCAAGACCAGAGGAATGATATCGAGCTCCGCCCAGAGCCTCGAACATAGTTTGGGGCATTGCTTCGCTATGCGCTCCGGCATCGCTAATCCGATGAACTTCTCCAGGTGGGTGTCACTGAATTGTTGCAACTGATCTATGACGAAACGCTCCAGCACCGAGCATAAGGACTTGCCATCCTTGAGGGGCAACGATTCTTGAATGAAGTCTATGAGGTAGGTCGTATCGCGAATAGCGATTGCAACTGTCACCATTCCATCTTCGAGCAACGTTGACAGACCAGCGTAAATGGTCTAGTTGATTGAATCAGTTAGGGTTCGTAAAGCTCCATAGACGAAAGCGGTGTACCTACTCCAGAGGGAGGCGCAGCCCAGGAATTGTTCTCAAACTGTAAAGACAGACGGCGCTGCTGACGCAGAGAGGAGCGACGGCGTAATATGGCGTTGGAATCGTCCGCCATACTGCAGTCGGTCAACTGTGGGGAATGTATATAGATTGTAGATTATACACTATCAGAAAGGATCGATGATTGAGTCAAGATGGGTTGTTAGAAGACAAGTGGAATGATCTAACGAGGAATAGATAGAATACTACGAGATAGTACATGTATATATAGATTAAATGAAACGAGTGAATACAGGAAGAGAAATTCTTTTTTTGTCCTGTTTGCTTGTTGAGTCCGGTGACCTCATGATTCTAGGCCCATGACGTACAGGGTACAACACGTACAACACCGCCCATGACAGGCATCATGATATGGCACAACTCGAACCATGATTGCCATTGGAACACGCAAGTCTATCATATGGGGTACAGAAAAAGGAAAAAAAGGAAAAAAAAGAAAGGTGCACAAAGTAGAGACACAAGCCAACAACAGAGGCTTTGGAAAGTCACACCATGCAAGACGTGGTCGCACCCGACGGGAAGGAAACGATGTTGTGTGGGAGGACAATCAGATTCCGATCCAGAACCAGATCCTTTTTTGTTGTTGTTGTTATTGTTTCCCTCTCCTCTTTTTTGGTGAAGCCCACCATACGATTTTAATAGATTGAGGAGGATACCGGGGGAGGAAGAGAACCCAAAAGGAGGGGGCCGTGGGGCCATTGGAGCCCCGGCACTATTGCCATAGTCCCATAAGTTACGATGAACTGTTACTATCAGTACGGGTGAAACAACCGAAATGCTTGGCGGGCTTAGTCATGCAGCAGCCCCTTTTACGGAGTCCGAGTCAAGTTGCCCAGCGTGCAGACCCTCGACGGTCCTCGTGTGGATCTTGAAACTCTGGGATTAATTAAACTATTCATTTCACACTCCTTCTGCCACATTCACTCATTTCTTCTCCGTCGTTCAATTGAAAATTAGTCTGCGTCTTTACTTTTTTTTCCTTCCCTCCTCTCTCTTCCTTCTTTTCCCACCTCCCCTTCGTTGACAAGGTAAGTTTGATTTGTCTTGTTTACCTTGCGTCCCCCTCCTGTGATAGTCACGATTGAGATCGTCTTGGTTGACGTGGAAATTGACAGGACGGAGTAATTGGACCTTACAGCGGGATTGCTCACACTCTTCAATTCCAACCCCCTGCTCGTGTGTCCCACCGCACTCGAAACCTGGTCTCAACCCAGATCGCAAGCACGGTTGAAACTCTTCTACGCTCAACCAACAACAGTACCACTTCACATCGACCTTTTCTTTCTCCTCTCTCTTTTCTTACTGTCGGTGACCTCAGAAGTCACTAACCCGTCGTCAAAATGGGTGGTCAAGTTTCCAAGTTGATGGGGAAGATTTTCGGCACGAAGGAAATGCGGATTTTGATGCTGGGTTTGGATGCTGCTGGAAAGACCAGTAAGTCGATGCCCCTGAGTTGAATTTATTTCACCATGTATAATGGAGAATTGGATAGGCTAACAGTGTCATGAACTAGCAATTCTCTACAAACTCAAACTCACGAATCAGGAGGTCACTACTATTCCCACTGTCGGTTTCAACGTCGAGAGTGTCACCTATAAGAATGTCAAGTTCAACGTGTGGGATGTCGGTGGACAGGACAAGATTCGGCCGCTATGGAGGCACTACTACTCGGGTACAGTCTATTGCAACCCCCTCAGACTTTCAATGCCCGCCGGATAAATTGCTGACCTCGTTGGCATCTCTGTAGGAACGCAAGGTTTGATCTTCGTGGTCGATTCAAGCGATACGGCCCGAATGGAAGAGGCTCGCTCCGAACTGCATAAAATCATCAACGATCGCGAAATGAAGGATGCTCTTCTGCTGGTTTTTGCAAATAAACAGGATGTCCAAGGCCGTACGTATACTCAAAACTCCCCTGGGACGTCGCTGTCGACTAATTCCACCCCCCATAGATATGAGCCCCGAAGATGTTACCAACGCGCTCCAGCTCAACAAGCTGAAGGACAAGCTGTGGTATGTCGCGCCTAGCGTTGCTACTGAGGGTACTGGTATCTTTGAAGGGCTCGTAAGTTTTGCCCCTCGTGCGCCTCACGGTTTACAATACCTGACATGAAATCCTTCCAGGCTTGGCTTTCCAACAACGTGAAAACACCGCCCCAGAAATAATATCATCACAGCCGCCAACTATTTGAATTGTGACTCTAGAGGTCACTTACATAGTCCTCGTGTATAACATTTCTCTATATCGTTTGGCCTCTTTCGTTCATGTCCGCTCTGATGACAGAAGACGCAGCATTTGCAGTATGTTTACATTTCCCTTCATGCGCATGCTTTGCCCTTTTTGATATATTCTTTTCGTTTCCTTACCTTTTCATGATATCCCTCACTGTTTCTATGCGGGCCATTTAAATACACCTTTAATTAATACTTTCCCCCTTACTGTCTCTCGGTTGTCTTTTTCCTCTCGACGCATTGCTTTTGCTTTGAGTAGAAACATCGAATATAGAAGGAAATTTGGACCAACATATACAAGATGTGTTTTTCTCATGTCTGCATATTTATCGTTGACATTGCATATAATCACCCATGTACTTGATACACTGACAATCAAGTTGGAAAAAATATGAAAACATATCAATACCATATTTTTCCTATCGCGTTCTCGCTTTTAGCCGAGACAAAGGATCCTGTGCTACTTAAACTCGAAGCTTTACACGGCCACATGGATGAAAGCCAATCCACCCATCTACGGAGTAGCCGATAGGGCAAACGTATTATAGTACCCCGGTATATAATAACCAAATGTAAACATCCGCTGTTTGGCCTCACCCCACATCTCGTCAAGCCAACTTCTCATGAATCGAGTGTGAAATGGTGTGCGTTGCAATTTCGCCGTCCATAAAGAAGGTTAGAATAATAGGTAGTCAAAACTATAGGACAAGTACTTAAGAGGATAGTAATTTAAGATTCAATAAATATAAAGCAAGGGTTGTACGTATCACATCTAGGGCTTGAGTGCTTCCACCTAGTTCCACTATTGTGTTAGTGTTGTATATATACATCATGCTATGAAGTTGAGAAAAGATATAAGTTAGTTCACTATTATAAATTTACTTTTCTTGATGATTCGGTGGTTAAAGTACATTTCCCATTTATGTCCACTTTCCAGCAATGTTTTCTATCCGATGGTGGAAGATGTATAGTTTTCATTACGAGTCGAGAAACAGTAAGTGTGGAAAAATATCTGAAATGGAAAAGCAATAAATTCAATCAGACTTAATGACCAACTAGAACTATCTAAGATGGTAGGTGAGGCCCTTTACATAGGCGAGCCCATATAAAGGTCCTCAAGGTCCTACAGGCCCCCTTTCAGTGACCAACGATGTAAAAAGCTGGAAAGACTTGAAAATTATCAACATATTCAACAGCTAGCAGACTATCTGCTAGTATCAAATATCACCTATGTTGGCCTAGAGCCTTGGTAAAGATACCGTATATCCCGGCCTCACCCCAAGGGAGCCATGCACATGCACGTGCACCTACAGGATGAACAGGAAGGGTTGTCTCCTAATGCCTGCTAAACATATTTTACAGTCTTCGCCCGATAGCTAGAAAAGAAGGGTTCTCACCATTTCCTTTTTCTAGATTCTAATACAACCCCTCGAGGGAAGGTTATATATACCATAACTTTCCTTCTCCTAACCTACATGTTCTCTCTACTATTCCCCTGACCAAGATGTGTCCCTCTCTTAGCTGATCTCACCCAGCCACTACAATTTACCGAAGTCGCCATGAAAGCAACCTGGCTCATCTTCTTCACCCTCTTAACAATAGGTATGGCGGTCAAATTCGACGCAACCCTCCCCTTCCCCGCATCGATATATCTACAGCACATTCACCCTTTCAAAGAGCGCTGTACAAGAACCGAACTAATCCCCTCCCTGACAGACTTTAATGAGCTCACATCCTGTCCGACGGAAAAGGCCTATTCGGACGACCGACAGTGTGGGAGCTGTTCATGCAATAACTAGGTATGGGTTGTCGAACTGACTGCCGCTTGCATAGGTATGGCAGACTAATGGTGTGATGTATATATAAATACAGAAAGGAAAGTGTGAGGAGTAAACCAGGGTGTTCGCCCGTCTTGCTCCAGATGACTGAAAGGCACAATACAGCTTACCTTCTGGCTGGGTGGGACTGCGGTGGAAGGAAATTCGAGTAGCTAATTTGGGGACTAAGCCCCATGTGAGACTATGTATGTAGAAGTGCAAATTGACTAAGTTGGAATATTTGATCTCGAACATACTTCTCTTACTCATCGTGTACTGCGTCACTATCCTTTCTCCTACGCCCATGGGATTCGAATGGAGTCCCTTCACCGCCCCCCCAACCCCCCGCCTTCTCTCTGGCCTGGTGCTTGTGTATCACCGCGTAATGTCTATCTTATACCGTGAGCGGAACGTAGGTTAGCTAAGACCTCTCGACTAAGGAATAATTTTACTCCTTCGTGAATGAAAGTGGACAAAGTATGGAGTAATGGACCAGATCCTATTGTACGCCCTATATAGCTAGGATCTGCAAGCAGGGGTGGAGAAAGATGTCACTGTGCATAATACGGCCCGATCCAGGACTCGCTCGGAAGCGGGGAGGAGGGCTTCGAACTAATTGGAAAGAATATAATCTATTCAATGAGTATCTATCAATTGAAGAGCTGAGGTTTTTACACTATGCTGTTCTTGAAGGATCAGGTTGCGGTCACGTACTACCGCCTGTTGATAGATATCCTCTAGGTTAAAAAGTATTTCGTGAAAGGGAGGGTGAAGGAAGTGGAATTCTGGATCTCGGAAATCACAAGTGTGGAGTAATAGAAGGCGAGGAATGCATGAAAATCCGAGTGAGGCAGCCTATCATAGACCAAAGTATGAGTGGAGGGAGATCGTGTCAAAAGTACGGAGGAGTAATTTTATGATGAAACATTGTTGAAGTCTAGCTAGGGGATGATTCCTCGTTCAGTGGGGGACGTTGATCTGGTACAGGAGGAACCAAATGGTGATAGGAGAGATGCTGGAGCTGTGGGTAGATATGGCAATGTAATTTATTTTTCGTTATGCGACTCTTCAGGCCTGCAAGAGTAGTAAGATATTATTGACATTAATTTCTTTAGTATCTACACACTAGATCTGAAGTACCTTAGCTCTAATCATTCTAAGCTATATTAACACTGGGTTAGATCTTCTAAAGAAATACATAAGATCTCAAGTTATCGAATAGTTACTAACTTATTGGTATTTGCTTTGAGTATAATTAGGATACTAGAGATATCGATATAAACGTTGTTTCTCTGATACAGTAGTTTTACAGTTAAGCATATATTGTATTAACCATGCCTGCAAGTTTTACGGATTTATTATTACTGATCTGGTAATGCATATCGAGAACTAATCCCACCGTTTCTGCAACTAGAGGTATCACTCACTTCTCTGTTAAAAGAGCATAACTTCGTCATGTTCGTACACACAAATGCATCGCCGGTTACTCAGCTGAGTCAGTCTCATTGTTGGAAATCGACATCCAGAACACTAAAACTTAAGGTTCCCCAGGCCAGATATCATTGGCAATTTCCCGGACAAGCTTCAGTTTGGCAATCATACCGTTGCGGTCAATGGCATTGCCTTCTCTGTGGCTAGCGAAACCACACTGTGGGCTGACACCGACTTGCTTCAGGGCCTCCTCAACGGAGATATTGTTGCCTTCCGCAATAAATTTGGCAGCATCATAGACGCGCTGCTTCATTTCTCCCTTGTCCTCGAGATGAGGAAACTTACTAGTCACAACACCCAAGACTACGTACTTGTGCGGGGGAAGCTCCCTCAGTGGCTCGAAACCACCGGCGCGAGGAGTGTCGTATTCCAGGTAAAATGTGTCGACGTTGAGCTCCTTGAAAAGTTTGGTTGCAATTCGGTCATATCCACCCTCGGAAAAGTGACGGCTACCAACGAAGTTGCCGCGGCAAATGTGCACGCCAACGTGGAAATCGGTGGAACGTTTGGACAGTAAGTCATTGTACAGCTTGATGTACTTCTCAAATGTCTTATCAGCGGAGATTACATTCAACGGGTCTTCTTTCCAACCAGTAAGCATCTTTTCAGAGCAGAAGTCTAGCACCATCGTCAGTTCATGTATTGCTATTTTATACCGACACGGCTATAGTTGACTCACAAGCAAGGTTGGGATCATCGAACTGAACATTCCTGCAGCCAGCATCATACAATATCTGAAGCTCATCTTGATAAACCTTGGCAACGTCGCCAAAGTACTCGTCATCGGAGGCATACACATCCTTCGGGTAGGCCTTTCCCTCCTTATACCGCAAGTGATACCAGCTGGGGGAAGCAAGAGTAATCTTCAGGTTCTTGACCTCCTCAGGGGGAACAACACTTGCTAGATACTTGAACTCGTCGACATAGGTGCTACCGACATGCTTAATCTTGCCAGTACATATGACACTCTCACCAGGTTTGTGTCCAGCCTCGAGGAAAGCAGCGACGTCAGGAGCATAAGGACGGAACACATCAGCGTCGATATCTTTGACTTCCTCAAATCCATGAAGCCCAGGGAAAAAGGATCCCCAGAACACTATAGCCCATTAGCACCCTGTTCCACGGCAAAGGGGACCCGGCCCTTACTGTGTCTGCGATACTCTCCATCCGAGATGGCGGCATAACCAAGCCTCTTCTGGGTTTCAGCAACTTCCTTGATATCCTTGTTTTCGACGGCAGTAAGATCAGCCTTAGGGATCTGGCCCTGTTCGAAGGCAAGCTTTGTTTTCAAGAGTTCATCGGTACGAAGAAGCGAGCCAAGGTGTTCAGCACGGAACGGAGGGTTATGGTGAAGTTGAGGAGCCATGATGAAATGTCTGGAATAAAATGAGTCTGCGTCTGTTGGTGACCTTTGAGGTACTTTGCAAGGTATTTGTATTCGGTGCCTGTTGCAGGCTTAACTGATGCAATGATCAAGAAGGGTGGGAAGTCGCAAAGAGACGAACTGAACGATGGTGGGGAGAACACAGTTAAAAGGCATAAAGCGGACAAAAAGAACCGAGCTCGGCCCCAAACAAAGACATTCGATTTTGCTTCTATTAGCATTCCCCACAGCTTGAACTCCTTGAAAACTGCCGAATACATATCCCTTGCCTGAAGAAGCCCCACTGGTCTGGAGGCTCTCTCCACATCTTGGACCGTGGAGGAGAGTGGGCATTGTTATTGCACTGTGTGGGTGAATGATGAAATTGAATAATACGGACGCTGTAATCCGTGACAGCACGCCAAATTAGATTCCCCCAATGGTATAAACACAAAATTCCAAATTCGGAGACAAATATATTGTGAAAACTTGGATGGGACTTGGACTAAGCTTCTCGCAACCCATGGCACAGCCCTGTTTTATATTCCCTTCAGATTCCTTCGACTATATTGAGGCTCTGTACGCAACAATGTATATCGGACATATTTGTACCATGTTTGTAGTAAGAAGTACTAAGTTTGATAGGAATGCATAAGACGGACTTAAATGCTTAGCGGATGAAGCTAAAAACGCCGAGCTCCACATGAGGTTTCCCGCCCCCGTTTTACCGAAGTAAGGGGTAGTTCGAAACTAAAGCACAACTCTCTCCTCATCACACCCCAATCTCCTTTCAAGGCCACTCGATAGTTTGAAGCTTTCTCTAATACCACTTATCTTTTGCTAGTGTTATATATATATATATATATATATAAGATCATAACTGTATTTTCGTCCGTTTAGTTTATCACCACGTCCTCGAAACTTTGGAATTGCGGGGTCATATGTGGGGTCGCCACGGCAGATGATTTCGGCCTCCCCGACCGCATCTTTGATTCTATCCATATATTCTCACGATCTACAACGAGTCTACCATATCTTTCAGTAAGCTATTGCCATCCAGACTTACACTGCCTAGTCAATGAACCCCGGGGGAGATGTTACCAATGAGGATGCCCTCGAAATGTGATAGTTATGGAACACTGATCTTCTCCTATTGCAGGTATGCCCCATGCGATAATGTCCTCGCCTCTTGAGGCCTTGCCGAATGAGCTCCTGGACGAAATCATCTCCAATCTGTCATCCGTGCCACCTTCTTTAGCCAAGTTACCCAAACCGCCAAGTGGCAATATCGTCAAGTCTAATACCCAAGATTTGAAGAACCTCTCACGTGCTTCGTCCCGCCTGCTTGAGGTCATCCGACCCCAGCTTTTCTCGTACGTTTGTTTTGATCTGAGGGACGTAGATGAATTTCTCTCTTTCATATCGACTTTCGGTCTAGCTCGACATGTAACTTCAATCGTGGTCAAAGGGAGACACTCCCCAGATGATCGAGAGGGGCCGTTCTGGTGGCGCCAGGTATTGTCCTGCCTCGATCCGCAGCGTATCACCATCGTTGCGCCACCCTCGTTCATTGGCAAGATGATGGGCACTCAAATATTCGAAGGGCACAGCTGGGCTTTCCAACTTCCCCTGCAAATTCTACAATTAGAGCAGGCCACGCGACGTTTTGACCCCCAACGGGTTTCCTACCTTGAAAAATGCTCAAGCCTCCTGGAGACTCGAACGTGGTCCTCGATGCTTTTCAATGAGTCTTCCTCTCTCAAAGCTTATAATCACTACGAGTATTTCTTGTTCCAGGTCCCTTCTTTGTTCAGTAAATGGGGCTCGTTGGCATACGTCAGACCTCGCCCGCCAAAGTTAGCACTGTCCCTCGCGCTCAACAATTTGACGACCTTCCAATATGCAGCCGTATTCCCATTCTATAACCATGTCAAATTAGTCCTAAATGCAGTCGAGATGATGGAAAACCTACGCTTCTTGAGTGTTCAGCTAGCACCTTCTGAGGGCGACAAGGCTACGGAGATAGAACAGAGAGGCTCTATGGATCCTAGCGATCCTTGGATGGAGATTGCTACAGGTTACTCACTTATTGGACATACTGTGAGTGATTTGGGCAGCAGTGGCAGCCTTGTCAAATTTCGAGCATGCGACTATGCATTCGACCCTCTACGTCCCGAGTTATCTTCCATCCTTGGTGAAGTCCTAGAAGACAGCGAATGGCTCCACGATGGCCAAGGGACTTGGACTAAGAAGGAGATTAAAGCTGTCAGCAGCGACAGGGCAAGAATTTAACGCCTGTCTCGAAATTGATTCTCTCTTAGCGTCGTTTCTTAATATGTGGGGCAAGGAACCACGATTCGGGCTCTTGGGAATACGGGCGTAAATACGATTTTTTCCTTCGCTTTTTAAGGGACATACTAATAACTCTCCATGACACAAGTGCAATGTAGCAGGGATCATGTACAGAGTTTAGGGGAGGATTACAATATTGTGTATATATAGGTTTCAATTTCAACCCATATTCTCATATCTGATATCTTGTTTGTTTATGCCTTATGTCTAAGGCCACAACACGTGAAACGAGAATCAGTATCCGTACCTACTACTTTCACCTCTTCCCATGTCGCATACAACGTAGGATACACAAAATCCTTCCAGCTACTCACCCGTTATACCTATTATGATACAGCAATAATTCAACGTCACTAATCTCAGGGCAGTCCCGCCCGTTGGAATAACCTGCACGAGCACTGTCATCTAAGGTTGACTCCAAGATGGCCTCTACCTCTAGTCCATATAGTTCTGCGCCAGCTTTCCCGGTTCTCGCCTATTCCCTTTTACCGCAACCATATCAGTGTCATGACAATATTTTGAGAAATTGGAATCTCAAAGATGACATTCATAGAGCGTTCAGCAATTCTACGGATAGCATATTTCGAAACGGAACCGTAATTGGATTCTCCAAATTGAGAAATCAGAGCAAGGAGAATGATGATAATGAGTTTATCGGCCAAGTATTGATCTACCTATCTAACTTTTGCTGTTCTACCTCAACTTCCTCCCTCATCTTAAACCCCCCCGGATATCAACTTAACTGATTATCAATCTTTGGTTAGGTTACACGATCACTTCTCACAGCACAGCTGTGTAAACCCTCCCCATCAGTGAATTCTGTTGCTAAAGCATATATAATCCACCCTGCAAGTCTCGACATCTTCTCTCCAAAAAGGCTACTTGAGTCTTTAATGTCCACATCCCAACAGCCTGCCATATCTCGTGAAGAAGCAATATCACGTCTTGACTCTGTTCAACTATTCCCTGTCTTTGACTTGGCTGCCGCTGTACAGGCAATTGGGGAGGTCTCAGATACTCTACAAAGGTATCAAGTGGAGCGAGAGCTACATAGGCCTTGTGAAACAGAACCTACAGCAAACGATGATTGCCTTGTCTTTCTCGTCATCGCCGGGCTTGATATTCTTACCGAAGGTGTCATTCGTGCTTCCTCCACGGTTCGAGGAACAGCAGTTCTGTCGAATGTGCTGAGGACGTTGACAGAACTGTCCCGAATGCATAGCTCCTATCTATCCGTGATGCTTGCTAATGCTAGTGGGCTTGGGACTATGACGCCCAATACCCACAATACCCACCGTATCTCAGGCCAGGTGCAGCAAAGGAGAAGTCAAGGAACCAACGAGAGCAGCATCCACTCCATATTCCATGCAAATGAGACATCGTTGTTTCCCAGTCTTTTCATGCGAACCCTTGAGCAAGGGATTGATACCCATATTCTGCTATCAGTCGTTAAATCTGTCCAAATGGTGGAAGTCATTAAGGATAGGGTAGGCAATGGCCTTGGGAGATGGAGCACTTGGGAGGAACAAAAGACCCCAGCAAGCAACAACTTCAAGCTCGATGATTGAGGATTACACTGTTGGATGATTCAGGACAATTCCCTTTTTGTTGTAGGACTGCACAGATTGAGTCAAGCAGACCCTTTTGTATATTATCAGATATTACGCCCCCTCCGTCAAGAAGAACATCAGAACATCTGCGAACCAAACTACCAGATATACACACCAACTCCATTTCGAAATCCTGCCTTTTAATTTCCTTCCGCGAACAAGGGTATCAGTTATGCAAATCACCTTCAACATCATTGCAAAATAACACTATGATCTCTCGGTTCAGTCGTTTGGCTTCACTAACCTCCGACTTGGGAATTTTCTTTTTCAGCCCACATTCTGAGGACAGCTCTCTCCACGACATTTTGTGCTTCCTTTTCACACTTAGAGAGATCCTGGCTAACGGTGTCCTCCTCGAATAAGATCTCTTGTTGCTGAACCTTGACCCATTGCTTATGCCTTTCGCAGCGCTTCTTGATACAAACACCTCGCGTCAAGCTGCTAACGTCGTCTTCTTCAGCTTTAGCGTCATTCATAGCAGTGTCACCATCTGCATCGGTTGTGCGAGGAAAGCTAGACGCCAGTGCCTCAGGGGTTCCATCTTCAAGTGCTTTTGCTCCGACATCCGATAACCTCCATTCGTCGAACTCCTCATCAGACCAGGCTAGTCGTGAGTCAAAACCGCAGATGTCCTTCCATCCGCCTTTTGGTTCGGTTTGCTTCAACCGTTCTAGCACACTCTTGGACCGTTGACGGACAAGATTCAAGAAAGTGCTGCGTACATTAAGCATACTCTTGCGATGAAGTAGCTCGTCACGCCGCTTGCGTAACTCTTCAAGTTTCAATGACTCGTCCGGTGAGTACGTAAGGTCACTGGGGGCGACATCCAATCCAAGCTTTTTCTTTTCGTTCGCCTTTGTGTCCGTATCAGGGTCATCTGGTGGTAGGGAGACGATCCGCTCGCCAAGCTTACGGAATTCCACCGCTGATGACACATTCATTATCACAGCTTTGAGATCACCAGCAGTGAGTACCCCACCCCTGCTCCCAAGGTCTTCCGTCTTCTTGCTTTCAGAGGCCGAACTTATGTTGAGATGCTGGGTTCTCAGACGCATAAATTCCCGACCATGTTCATCGGAACAGTACTTGCTAGGATTATTATTGTTAAACCGAGCTGGCTTTCGACAAGCGGGGACTCGACACATTGGCTTCCAAGTGGTCCATCCCTTACCCTGTTCTTTGCAATTCGGGCCTGGTTAAATGTCAGCCAGCAGGACAATAACAGGGAGGAGAGGAGGAGGGGGGAGGAAGAAACTCACATATATACTTTTCAATCAGGTCTGCATCTTTTGGATCAATATTCACACACTTTCCATGGAACCAATCCTCACATCCACCATCGCAGGCAATCATCCATGTATGATTGTCAGGTTTACGACAAATACAGAACAATTCGTTCTCATCTGTTGAAGTTTCTTCGCCATCGTGTTCTTCCTCTTTCGATGCAGCTTTCTTAGCGCCCCTTTTAGTTCTAGCGCCTTTCTTTTTGCCTTCGGGTGCTGGAGAGCCCGCTACAGATGTCGAACCCTGCTTTTTGACTCCAGGCGTTTTACTGGCGCGAGATGATGGAGTGTTGGAATGTTGGCCATCAAAACTTTCAGCGTCTTCTTCGGTGATTTTGCGTTTTTTCGCGGTTGATTTCTTTGCGGTACCTTTCTTTCCACCGCTGGGTGTTGATTTCCTACCTGATGAACTAGGCTTCACGGAATTGGCTGGAGATGACCGATCGGAGGATGATGCCCGTGACCCTCTTTCATGCTTGAGATCGGCAATTTTCTTCGGCGTCGGGTGTTCGCTAGGCAAGTTTGAGCCATCAACTTGGGACAAGATAGACTTGCTATCAATCTCTTCACTTGCGGGAACCTTGTCTAGAGTGACGTTTGATGGTTCGGTCTTGACTTGTGGCCCTGATTTATCTTGGCTCGTCTCAAGCTGAGAGCTCACTTTTGGATCTGAGAGATTCTCGTAAAGATCGGCCCATGCTTGTGTATCTTCAATCTTGCCGTCAACTGCCTCCACAAAGGAGCCCCCTGGAATTCTGAACTGTCGATGTATTTTGTCGGCCCTTTCGAATCCGAAAAATCCGCTATGCCGCCAGCCAATGATACCCACGACTCGGTCATTATCCACAATTATATTGGAAGGAATCATGTTGTTGTGCACTAAACATAATGTCTCATCCTCCCTTTTCTCTTGAAACAGTATATCCTTCTCCGTCTCTCGTATCTCAGGTGGCAGCTGTGAGTTGAGCCCACGGCAAATATACGACGGGCTGTCAGGGGCAGCATCGGCATTTCCCATGTGCTCTAGAATGCGACGACACTCTTGCTTGAACTTGTTGATTTGCTCGGCGTTAAGGTATCGCCACGCAATCTCTAGAGAAACTCCTGGAATTCTAGACTCCACAGAGACGTTTTTCCCATCGATTGTCCCACAAAAATGTATCACTGGGACAGTGACATCCAGTGTTTTTAGCACATCTTCTGCCTTTCTTGCTGCGCTCAGTTCATTCGCGTTGGCGCACGAGAACTTTTCCGCAGTTGTGTCAACCACCTCGTCGCCATCGACTCTGATTATCACACTACCAACAGCAAAAGCCTGACGACCATCTGGAGAATTCAAAGAATTCGCTGGCGTCCAATTTTCTCTCACCATATTTTCCCAATACGGGATCGCATCTGGGTCCGATTGCCACCAGTGATCGTGGCGGGGTTTGAAATCATCGTCCCGCGCAGCATAACGGCCGTAATGAGGGCTTAACTTAAAAAAATTGTCATCTTGCGGGATGTTTTCAGGATTTGTCTCATATGGATTTCTGTTTGTCGTCTTATCGCCATCGGAGCCATTTTCCTGGCTAGCGCCAGTAGATGCGGCCTTTCTGCCAGCCATCGCGCAGCTTTCAACCAATAAGAAATTACCTGATAAGCGGTATAAATGTATCCTGCCTCGTTCCGATGGTAGATTTAGACATTAAAATCCAGAAATCCGAGATTAGGTAAAGAAACTGGGGTATGCCCCTGCCGACTATATGATATAGGTCGGTCTCGAGATGTCCAGTGAAGACATCATGGGAAGGTCGCGCAGGGTTAGTAGCGTCAAAAGTCACACGGATAGTGAATAAATACTGTATCGTAATCCTCATGTGTATTGCGTCCCCATGAACTGTCTTACAACGGCGACAGTGATGTCTGCGACGGGCTCGGAGGTGATGCGGAACGGATGGACGTGCGACTGCGTGGTGGGGTGACCGCGGAAGAGGGGTTTATGACCTGGGAAAATGACCTTAAGGCGACTTGAGAATATCGTCCTCTAAAGTCGAGGCCAGAGACCGCGGAGCTGTGAGAGAAAGCACGCGTGGTCAAGCCCCAGGTTGCACCTTTCGGTAAGCTCAAAAGAATACTTTCAGATTTGCAATTCTGCCACGGACTTTAGACGAAGGCGGTGTGCATTAATTCCGCTTGGGTGGACCAATCCGTCCTTCTTTCTGTGGCCATCTTGAACCCTACTATTATCCTCCGCAAATTATGAACGTACTAGTAATATTTATTCTATAGTTAACTAATGGTCAACTCTTTTACAGTCTCAGTTTCCATTTTCCCGCAGAGACTGTGGCTGTCTTGCAGCTGGATACTATGATGTATTGTATGCCTACATATAACATAGATGCAATTGAGTCCAACTACTAAGTAGCAGGGGAAATTAGGAGATGCTGCACCACTGGGAAGGTTGGGCCAGGCGAAAACCCATGGAGAGATTAATTGAAGTGGCACAGGCTTTTTTGTGCATAATTCACGCTGTCTGATCTACCGCCAAGATCTCGAGAGTCTGAGACACCTCGGTTCATGGTGCAGTATCCTCTTCTCTTGGCACTGAATCAGGTTTATGCTCACTCCTGTGACAGCTACTTAAGCTTATACCGGTAAAGCTTGCTCGGGTCGTCATAAAGTGCAATTGAGAACATCCCGTGATGTTTCATTTTAGACTACCGGCAGTCCCTTTCAGGAACTTGCATGAGCCAATGAGGGTACTCCGTAATAAAAGGTCTGAAGATTAGGGAAGCTAATGCATGGGGCCAAAGCTAAAAGAAGCGACAATGTTCAGAAAAAGAGAGAGGGAAGGTACAGAGTAGAGGGGCCACAAGAAAATGGTCGGGAGGGAATCCCGACGGAGGATCTAGGAATCGTGCAAGATACCGAAAGAAGGTAAGTTCCCTGTTGAATGTCACTCAAAATGTGGGGTATCGAGACAGGTACCAATTTCCAACAGTCCCTAAATTTGTTATTTATGGAATCGATGATCTGAACTACTTCTTCCCCTACAGGCGAGAATCCACGAATCATGAGTATCTAAGCCCAGGCGTTCCAGGCTGTGATCGGCCCATTCCCGAGCACTAAAAGTGATGATTGGATCACAACGGATACACAACCGAATCGGAACAAGCCATGGTCCTACGGTTTTGGGTTAGTCGCCATCATCGAATCTCAATCCTTTGGCTTCAAAAGTTCAAAACCCGTTATGACCAAACACCAACGCGTTGATTACTGATATTGCTTTGTTCGTCTTATTGCCACTACTATTGTTCTTCTATTCTATTCTTTGTACGCCGTACTCTCCTGTGTGGGTTCTTTCTTAACCCCCCACATCCACATCCTTGTTCCTCGAGGGGCGACGGTGGGCAAAAAAAAAAAAAAAAAAAAGAAAAGAGAGAGAGAGAGGGTCACCTCATGTCATCATTCGACCCTGACAATCTCAGCCGCACTATACCTGCCCGTATTCTTCCCTGCAAGGGTGGGCTGAAGAGGCAAATAGAGATCTATTTCTAATCCATCTCCTTCGGTCGCAAAAAGCTGTCTGTTTGGAGGCTCTAACGTTTGTCTTTAAAACAGTCGCCCGTAGCAGCTCCACATATTCCTGTTCACGGCCCTCTCTTATGAACGGTGATTGACAACAACAAACTTTAAATGAATAGGATATACTAGCCTTCTTTCTGAAACGTCAAATCCATTGACTCGTGCAATAACTGCATACTTTACTCACAACTGTCTTCTTGTTCGGACGTGTCTGCTGCGCCGCCTTCTGGTTACCAGCTATCTACGGTTGGGTCTCACACCTTGCATGACCGAAAATAGCATTGAGGCTTTGCATGTTTCACAATGCTCTGGGGGTATTGTCGCTGATCATACAAAGCCTAACCCCTCATATCGCAGCATTACCGTGGAAGAAGTCCTGCAGCCGTAATCCCCCGAGTTTCGATTCGAGGCACGTGATTGTTAGCAGAGTTGACTGTACTTGCTCAGTCAAAACGCCAAGCCATGTCGAATGAGCCTGATAGCACAGATGCAACCAAGTCTGCGACAGAAACCCCGGGCATACAGTGGCAATTTATCGATGCTTCCAACAATAGCCGGAGCAACTTGACGCAAGTCAAGCGCCATGTGATGCAACAGTACATACGACAAAAACGTGCTTCAGACCAGCCTGGTAATGACGCCGAAAAGCCGGTGGCAGAAAGCCACAATGCGCCACGGAAAGCTACTCGACGCTCTAGAAAGGCTAGAGCTTCTGCAGATGACACGACTGAAAAAAGGAAGGAAGACGACCATATCCCGAGGCAAAAGAGTTGGTGGCCCTCATCAGCACAAAAGTCCGATATCAAAATTGTCCAGGACCAGGAGGCTAGTGATGATTTCGTGGAGGAGATTGAACGAGATTTCATTCCCGGAGTCACGAGCTATACAGGTGCTGGACATGCATCCTTACCTACCAATGCCTTCTTTCAGCCTCACGGCTATCCGCTCTGGCCTTTAGACAAATATGCACCTGGAAGTCAGAGTAGTGGCTCAGAATCCAGCAGTTTGTCTCCATGGTCATCTACCCCAACATCTCCGTCTGACATCATGCTTTCCCCCAAAACTATTCTCAGCGCGGCACGAACCGACCCCTTTAATACCCTCCCGATGGAACTGGATGCTGAAGGCCAAAGGTTATTTGATTTTTATGTCAATGAGATGCCCGCTTGCTCCTACGGTAATCACTTCCGCTCCTCCAAGGCCCATAACTGGTACACGGCGGTCTTTGTCCCCGAGGGTATGAAAGGTGCTGTCGCATTCCAAAACACTATCCTTGTACATGCAGCGAACACCTGGGCCTGGGTGCGGAATGAGGAGGAGACCGATTACACCCTTGTTCACCGCAACCGCGCAATCTCCATGCTTCGAGACCACATGACAAACAATCCGGGCGATATTTCCGATGTTGCAATCATCGCTTGTCTCAGCGCTGCCGGTCTTGAGGACTTTGACCCTCGTCCAGGGCACAAACAAATTAGCTGGGTCCACATGCGGGCTGCGAGGGAAATGATCCGTGCCCGAGGGGGGCCGGCGGCCTTCGAGAACACGCGGCTGGGGATGTTAATAAACTGGCAGGATTATATCCTATCCGGGTATGAAACAAACGGACCGAGCTTTTTCTTCGAATATAACCCTCCAGTTAAACCTTTTACTGGCCAAGGCCAATGGCAAGGCCCTGTCACAAGAGCTTTTAATGTAGCTCCTCCCCCCCCGTCCAGACCGTTAATATCGCCTGGAAATACCTTGTCTCCCTCAGGGTTAAGCGGTTATTCGTTATCTTTCCCTTCACCAGAAGATGAGATCAGACATCAGTGCGACGAGTTCTTCGATTTCCTGAAGCGTTGTGAGCAGCTCTCTGTCTACCATCGGGCCAATCCCGGCAAGGCCTCAGCACCAATGCGCTACACGGCGTTTCAGGGAACATCGCTCCTGAATAATATCCTTGCCGCACCACCCGGCCTCCGATTTACCGCTTCAGGGAACCGTAAACAGTTCGTCGCGCGACTAGTTGCACTAATCATGCTTAACGCCGGTCTTTGGGATTACCGACTATCCGCACAACATACGGACACCTTCCTTTGGACGTTGGAGCAAGCGGTACTAGCAAGCGAGGTTGAGACAAGTGGATCCGTCGAAGCACTCCTCCAGATCATGCTAGAATGCAACGATGGTGTCGCGCCAGCAGATACATTCTCTATACCCCTGGGGACCCAAGGCATGCCAGACTTCGCGCAGTACTCTCCTACTGCGAAAACGCAATATGGGCGACCTTGGTTTGCTGGTCGAATGCTCAAGGTTGCGAAGCGGCTTAGCCTGAACTCATGGATGATTGTTCACGATTTTCTCTTTTCATGTTTGACGTTACATCTTGAGACCTCGGTGTCTTTCTGGGAACGCGATTTGCGGCAGGAGATCCTTAGTGCGCCTCTAACGAGCTATACCATGCCTGCATTAGCAGAGTGATCGCATCGCTCGATCTTTGTTGGCTTTGGCGTACATTTTCCAATATGGAGTTGCCTTTTAGTGGCTGGGCTTTGTTTTTATGTTTGGGGGGAGAGGACTTGGTAAAGTAAATATTGAGGCTTGGTTTTAGGATACCCTTCTATGTTTTATACCCAACTCTCACATAGCGAGCAACTATACGCTTTTCGCAATCTTTTTTTTTCTTTTATTTCTTCTCTTTTTAAAAAAAGAGAAAAAAAAAAAGAAAAATCTAAGCAACAATTTATTATGCTAATTTTTTATTATCGTCTTATGTTGTTTTCGCATGGCCGTCAAGCTGCAGGTTCTCTCTTGACCAGTCACTGTCAGTAGCATGCGAAACAGCAACTACGCCATGCTTAAGGCCCGACAGGGGAAGCATCATATTATCCTGAGAGCCGGACGAGAAGACATGCTCCACCTCCTCGAGCGACTTGCCAGCTGTCTCGGGATAAAAGGCCCAAGTGAGGACAGCAGCCACCCAGTTGAAAGCGAAAAAAAGATAGAAATAATTGAACCCCATGCTAGACCTCGCGATCGGTGTGCATTGCGCAAAGACCAAGTTCAAGCTCCAATTTGTAGCGGTTGCCAGCGATGAACCCCGGGCTCGGATAGCCGTCGGGAAGATCTCAGACGGATATATCCAGGAGATAAGGCCGAGACTGGTGAAGAAAATCGAAAAGACGAAGAACATGGCGATCGCAGCACGGACGGCGTCCGGGTCGGCCGATGGGTCGCGGAAGCCGCCGTTGGCCTGGGCTAGGGCTGCTTCTATGCACATGGTGGCGCCCATGCCGAGCAGGGAAGGGATGAGAAGCTTACGACGGCCGACACGGTCAATGAAGAGCATAAACACTGTGTTCCAGAACTGGGCCAGCGCGCCCCATATCCCCTGCAGCATGAGCGGAGTCGTGCCCTTAAGACCTAACGACCTATATAGGCCCGGGTTGTAGTTTGATATAATATTGGTACCCGAGCATTGGGTGAACGCTTGAATGCCGCAAGCAAGGAGCAGACGATGGCGCCAGCGAGCGCGAGACAATAGCTCACGCCAGGAGTGTACAGCAGAACGGTTTTCCTCGGCGATGCTATCGTTAATCTGGGCGATCTCGGTGTCAACGACGTCGACATTAGTCTTGTCCCGGTTCAGGTGCAAGCGAGCGAGCACCTCTCGACCTGCTTCGGCGCGACCCTTCTCAATCAGCCAGCGAGGAGACTCGGGGAGGAACCAGATGCCACAGCAGAGGATCACGGCGGGTACGGCCTGGATAGCCAACGGAAATCGCCAGCTAAAATCGCCAGTGTGAAGGGAGCAGCCATATCCGGTCCATTGCTAGTTAAGGTAGGTAAGTAAAGTCGAACAATTAAAACGTTACACGATGTATCACATACAGCGACAACAAAACCTAGTCCGATCATCCATTGTTGTATGGAGCCTAAGAAGCCGCGTATCTGGGGAGGGGAAACCTCACTCTGAAAATAATCAGTCCGGTTGACACCAAGGGGAGGGGAAAAAAACGGGGTTGAGAATTCGTACACAGTAAACTGGGATTATGGACGACATCAAGCCCACAGCCAGACCCGCAATCAACCGGCCTGCAATGAGCATAGCCACAGTGACAGCGCCAGCTTGCAGCGCAGCACCTAAGCCCGCTAGAAGACCTCCGAATAAGATGACGGCACGCCGTCCAAACGGATCGGAGATGTATGAGACCAGAACGGAACCTAGAATCGCACCTCCTACATTCCGGTTAGAAGATGTCGGACGTCCGAATGTCTACTGTAGGTGAGCCTATACCATTATAGGAAGCGACTATACCACCTGTTGCGGCGTCCGAGGGGTGATTAAAGCGAGTCAGGAAATCTTGTTGATCAAGAGTCGAAGAGATCACACCGGCATCATAACCGAAGAGAAACGAGCCCAGCGACGCGAAGAGGCAGCAAAGAGTGACGAGGTAGAGCGCCATGGGGCAATAGATAGGCTAGTAAGTGAAGCCTATAGTGATGGAATGCAGGCCGTAATCTCTATATAGACTCCATCCGTATTTTCCACCACCTTCCCGGCAATGTCCATGGAGGATTTCTAACGGCTGATGAGATTCTTTATAATACTAGTAGGGGAGCGGTGCGTAGTTATTTTTGAGTTGAGATGCAAGTCACGTTTGTGGTGGCGATGTCAAATAAAAAAGGAGAAAAGAATGCCTTGGCATTTAGATTGATGGAGAGCTTTAAAATGAGATGGTGGAAGTTCAGAAAGACACCATTCGTGGGAAATATATAACACAAAAGAGAAGAAATCGAAAGGTAAGGAAAGGAATGGCAAAAGTACTGAATTCCTTCAATTCCCTGTAGTCAGTACTAGTATGTACAAGTACTCCAGAATTTCCTGAAGATGTGAAATCATGTCCCCTGCCACCACGCCTGAGGCAACATGGCATTACCCTAGCATTTCTTCAGCCTTACCTAGATCTGTCTAATGGATTTCTTCGAAACGCATGGATTGCTGAGTCACTCTCCTCCCACATCAAAAAGGCCGAGGCAAACACTAAGCCCGAAGGGGATGGCGATGGGGCTTCCTGTGACTTCAGACTTATTGATCGAATCGGCGACAGATCGCCGAGGCCAAGTTTTACTAGTCCGGGAACTTGTCGGCTGGAACCCCGACAATTACCTCAATCCTTTCCTCTTTGCGACTGATCTGAGTGATTATTCCATCCCTCCCTATTTCTTACTCGGACCTCTGACTTTCCGTTTTTCTCACCTTTCTTCTAGTCACGTTCTGGTCGCTTCCGCAGTGGATCTCTGGTCTTGGAAACTGGATTCTCTCGTCATCAAATGGTCTATCTAATGTATCATCTCACTTTTCCCTCCCTGTGCTCAGTTTCTCCACATTTTCCTGCCTAAGTTTTCTCCCTGCAATCACCAAGTCTCCAATTAAACTGGACCATCGTTTTAGGGAAGGGCTTCTGAGAGAGCATAAAAATAGGAAAAAAAAAAAAAAAAAAAAAGGGAGCCCGAACTATAAGCGACCATTGTTATCAATTTTATCGCGACGACCCCCACCGTGCCCTTCACTGTTGGGCGTTTTTTCCATCCATATACAGTCTTCCTCATCATCGTCATTAACTTCCGCGGATATTGTTTGACTCTCCTTAGACGCAATTACTAATTCGCATATCTATTTCCACTGAAAGGTTATAATTTTTTTAAGGAAAAATCTCACAAGGTTTTTCAGTGATTGGATCCCACTCGCGATCCGTCGGAAAACGGAGTCGCACCGTCGTCATTTTCTGCTACTGCTCGATGAACCTGTGAGAAACGTCAATTCCACCCTCGTGGAGGTGCGATAACGGTCGGATCGCCACGCGGGCCTTTCTCCTTGCTGATCAAAGTAGCCTCACGCTTTTTTTGTTCTTTCCGGACGCTCAGGACATTTGCTTGCGATTCTGTAGTGTCCTTCCCTGCATGCTTCTGCGCCGACCGCCTTAACCTATTTGACCCCTGGACTGCACAATTGCGCGCGCGTGCCATGGCCACTCCGTCTAGCGCTTTCCATACCGCGTCGGCGGATAATGCGAACGAGGACGATCCAACGGGCCCGTCCGATTCGGTTTTCTACCCAGATGACGCAGACCCCTCTTCCGCTCAGCCGTCGCACGACCAAGATGACTCGAAACCAACGAAGGAGCCCCTCCCTATGCAGAAGAGGCGTCGTGTAACCCGAGCTTGTGACGAGTGTCGGCGAAAAAAGATCAAATGTGATGGGAAACAACCATGTACTCATTGTACCGTCTACAGTTATGGTCAGTAGCTACCCATCCCTTTTCCTTTTCTTCTCCTTGGTTAGCCTCTCCTTGGCTAGCCTGGTATGATGCCGTTCTCAATTTACATTTCACTCACATTTTGTCTGTAGAATGTACCTACGACCAGCCATCGAACCGTCGCCGTAATCCCGCCCCTCAGTATGTGGAAGCGCTCGAGGCTCGTCTACACAAGGCGGAGGCTCTCCTCCGGGTCGTCCTTCCCGACATCAATCTCGATGATCCTCGGTTCGATGAGCATGCTACCGAGCAAATGCTAGCCGCCGTCAAACGCGAGAAACACCAGCAACAGCAACCACCACCCGTGACCACCAACGGCTCCAGTTCTTCGACCGTCACTGCCGGTCCAGCGGAAGCTCCATCGGATGGCTGTTGCGGCGAAGAATCTCTACTTGAATCCATGGTTGACAATTCGGGCTATCTGGACTTGGACGATCAGGGCCATTGGGATTATCATGGACACACCTCCGGCATCATCTTCCTCCGACGTTTACGGAAGCAGCTTGGCGCCGTTGACATCTCGGCGCCAACGCTTCGATCGCGACCGATCACACAGATGTTGGACAGCCCCAAGTCGGCGTCGGAGTCGCCGCAGGATGCATCACTGCCCCCTACTCATGACCTGCCATCACGCGATGTGGCACGGCGTCTGTGTACCAACGCCTTGGAAGACGGTTGTTCTCTAATGCGATTTGTTCACGAGCCCTCGTTCTTTGCTATCTTTAATCGGATCTACGATACCCCTCCTGAGCAATATACCAACGAAGAACATGCTTTTCTACCTCTTCTCTACATTGTTATGGCTGTCGGTTGTTTGTTCTCGGACGATGGGGCTGGTACCCTCGATATCTCCGGCTATGAAAGCGCTATAGGCCAAGGGTATGTTTTACCTTGGCGTCTGGCGATATGGTTGGCTAATTCCATGCAGGTTTCAATTCTTCAAGGCTGGCCGGCAGCTCTTAGAGATCACCGACTGTCGCGACCTAACATCTCTCCAGGCAATATGTTTCATGGTATTATTCTTGCAATCATCTGCCAAGCTGAGCACGTGTTATTCATACGTCGGCATTGCCCTTCGCTCCGCCCTGCGACTAGGCTTACACCGCTCGGTATCAGCTAACTTCAATCCCCTGGAGCAAGAGCTGCGGAAACGCGTCTTTTGGGTCGTCCGGAAGATGGACGTCTATGTCAGCACGCTCCTGGGACTTCCCCAGATGCTGAGCGATGACGACATCGACCAGGAATACCCGGCGTCTATCGACGGGGAATTCATCACTTCGGCTGGTATTTTGCCAACACCGCCGGATTATACACCTCTCATGGCAGGCGCCAATGCGCACACACGACTCTCAAACATTATGCTGAAAGTGGTGAAGTACATCTATCCGGTCAAGGATGCTCAACACCGGTCTGAGTCAGACCAACGTTATGTTGTAAGCCATTCTAAGATCCGAGAGATCGAGCGGGATCTTCAGGCTTGGATGGAGGAGCTACCTGCGGCCCTGCGGCCTGGGACCGAAGTGTCCCCTCAACTCGAGCGGTATGTTTGGTCATGGGTATTTCTTCTACGGTCGAGACTAACCTACTGTAGGGTACGGCAATTGCTGCGAATTAGCTATGCCCACGTGCAAGTAGTCATGTACCGCCCATTCTTGCATTATGTCTCCAGTGGCTCTCAGGCGCGGGGCGTCGATCGACGATCCTACGCTTGTGCCGCTGCATGCGTCAGCGTTTCCCGGAATATCGTCCATATAACCACTGGTATGCATAAGAGAGGACTGCTTAATGGAGCATACTGGTTCACCATGTATACTACATATTTTGCGATTCTATCTTTGCTCTTCTTCGTGCTGGAGAACCCCGACTCTCCTACAGCCAAGGATGGCGTGCTGAAAGATGCCATGGAAGGCAAGAACACTTTAGCCGGACTTGCAAAGAAGAGCTTAGCGGCGGATCGGTGCTCGCAGAGCCTTATCTGCCTTTTCAAGAATCTTCCCGAGTTACTGAAGAACCGCCAGAGTAAGGTCAACCCGGTGAATCTAAAGCGCCCTGCTCCGTCCAGCAGCAACAAGCTGGCCAATATCAAAAGCCCTCCGGCTCCACCCGCGATGCCTCCTCCACAGAGGGCGAGTACGTTCCCTATCCAATTGTTGAACAGGTCATCCAAGGAAGCCAGCAATCTGCCAAAGAGCTTAGACGACAACCATCCCCGGCATAATCGGTCAAATTCTCGTCCAGCCAACACCCCTCCTCCCTGGTTTTCGGCTACGCCCGAGCCCCCTACAGAAACTATCTCGACCCCGTCAGAGACACAGGCAACAGATTCTATTCCTACCTCATCCAATACATCTCCATTGCCTATCTCCTTATCCTCCCAAGAGGCGCCCATGGGACCATTTATCTCCCAGCAGTTCACTACTCCATCCAACCTTCCTGATCTCATGCCCATTATGTTCCCCTCCGACGATCCCTTTGCTTACCCTACTCAGCCAATGTCTACCTTGGAAAATGACCATTTCCGACAGGATGGCGGGGCCATGCAATTTGGGCGGGATCCCACCACACAACGATCCGTAATAGCGTCCTCGTCCTCCACAGATCTCACCAGCGCCATTGGGGTATCAGCACCGACCCTCGATGGCCTGAGTAATTACCCCCTATTTTCCAACAGCACCCCACCTCTTGTGAATGCCGCACTCCCTATGCGCCTAGCGAATCCACCTTCTGTGAATCAGTCCCGATTACAGTCACCCGTTTCACACGCGTCGACCCCAGCCAGTGGGGAGGCTGTCAATAGCCCGGACCTGGTATCCCTTCCCAACAGCACCTTCATGTGGCAGGGCTACAACTTCCAGCCGCAGAACTTCCCCGCGGACCAGTCCACGCAGCCGCCGATGCCATCAGGAAATGTGCAAAATCTCGGCATAGGAATCGAGGACAACTCCATGGGGATGGGTATCGATTTAGGGATTTCGCTGGATGATATCTTTGGGAACAACGATGCATGCCGAACGACCAATGGGCTACCCAACGACGATTGGATCCAATGGATGAATGCCGGAAACTAATCCCGTATGATAACTGTTTTGTCTGCCATTTCCACGAATATAACGTTACGAGCAACGGAGTATGGATATTGATGCGGCGTTTGCGGTTTTCCTATGTAGCTATAAGTATCATTATCCGTATATAGATGAAATGACATGTTGAGTTGGCTGTACATAAAACGAAAAGAGCTCAAGCAGTGTAGCACTGTCTATCTTCACAGCACCTCTATCTCTATCTCTATCTCTATATATTCATACATATGGTCCATAGTACAGCACAGTAGCATCCCCGCCGCGAACAAAACTCACCTCCTCCACCTAGGCGGCTGATACCAACTCCAAATATTCAACCCCACCTTCACCCCCTCAGTCACCGGAAACGCTGCATGCCACGTCTCCAAATACCCCGTCCCATCCGGCCTCAAATTCTCCCAAAAAATCGCATTCCCCTTAATCGGCCGAAACGTCGTCCCCTCCTCCGCCCCCTCTCCGCACTCCACAAACTGACACCATGACTCATCCGCCGGCCTCTTGAACCGCGGAAAATGCGTCCCGCCTCCCTTACACTCATCCCCGAGATACACCATGAACGTGCTCGCGCGGTCGCCGCCCCGCGCGCTCGAACCCGCCCAATCGTAGTGGTGCCGGTAGTGGCCGGAGGCGTTGTAGCGTTGAGCCCACATGCGCTCGATATAGAGGTGTGGTCGCCAGCCCTGGAAGGCCTTTGCGCGGTTTTCGAGACACCGGACGGTTGTGTCGCGGGGGAGGAGGGCGCGGTCGGAGAGTCGGGTTGTCGGGTCGATTTTTTCGGCAGTGCCGTCGTAGATCATGGAGGGGGTGTAGGAGTTTTGGCTTTGGGTTTTTCTGTTAGTGGTGGTTCGTTTGTTGGTTGGGTTAGGGGGTTGTTATAGTGGTGTGGAGTTACGTATTGTGTATGGGGGAAAGCGGAGGGAGGTTCTTCTGGTATGTATGTATGTACCTTAGTTTTACGAGGTGGTCGGCTTCGGAGTCGCTTAGGAAATCTTCGATGTAGATGACCAATGGGTCGCGGCGGAGGAGATGCACCCGGTATGTATCCGGGGGACAGGTGACTTCGACGCCATCGTCGAGGCTGAGGATGCTGCCATTTAGGATTGGTCCTTCGAGGTCGGCGGCCGCGGCGTCGTCATCGTCCAGGTCGAAGGCGAGGTCTTGGTTCGAGGGGGGGAAGAGTTGGCGTAGGGCTGGGGCAATGAGGAATATGTAGATTGGGAGAAGGTAGAAGAGGGAGCTGAGAACGGTGGAGAGTTTGAGCATTATATATACATGGAGAAGAAGGAGGTGTTGGTGAGCGATGATAGGTGTACTACTCTTGTCGTCGAGACGTCCCGAGTGAGCCGACGGCGTGGGTAAAGCTGGAGGTGCGTGCGCAGAGTGCCCATGATCCACTTGCCCTAAACATGTTTATCAACTGTTCATCCAAAATTTTGTGGTCTGGTGGTGCGACTTCTGTCGCCTATATGGACTACAGTCATCTTACACGGGCTCCTGTAGCTTATAGACCTAGGCATCATCCGGGATATGATAGATTCAGCTTTTATTAAAGGTTTAATGTTGTCGAAAAGTCTACCTAGCCCTGATGTTTTTACCTCCAGTCATGTTCATAGTCAATTGGCAGAAGCCAGAAGTACAGTACCAGAAAAGGGCCTCCGGGCAAGACAACTAAAGGAAAGAAAGAGCAAAAGAAAAGAAAAGAGGATAATGGAAGTATCTCCGTAGCGGTGGAGGAAGATTCTAGCCCTTTGAGCGCGAGTGGAAATCCCAATCAGTACGCGTAGCGAGAGCCACCTAGAATTTTGCGATGAAACTAATCGGTTGACACATGAGAATAGGGATGTAAAGTGAGCATCGTGTATAGAAGACAAGGGGGATACTAGAAGATCGATGGACGATTGTTTGTTACAGGGCTTAAACCGACATCCTGTAATCAAGTTAGTAAACAATATCAGAAGCGGCCAATACTACCATGTAGAAATTATAACCACCCATAGATTTGCGATATCGAGGGAAATATATACCATAGCCTGCTATCCTGAGCACTCTTCCGTTAAGAGAGGCATATATATGGAAACAAACCAGACCGCGAAGCCCGCGAAGCCGACAGCCCTCTGTCCTGAGACTATGTGATCAGCATTTGTGCACCGTTCAAACCTATAAGCATGTTACCGTTAGAGTTCGCATCCCACAATATGTTGCGAGGTGGGAGAGCACAGACCTTTTCTTCCCCGCCGATAATAACAGAACGCAAGTCAATCTACGTCGTCTGATGCATAGTCACCATAGTTGAAGACTTTCTTGCAGCCGAAGCACGCAGTTAAAACTCTTTCTGTACTCATCATAGTCTACATGCCCGAGATTTCGCCATTTGTCACCTATGCACTTGATATCATCTTCTTTCGGTGCTGTTATTGGCCATCTCACCACTGGTCTAATTACCAATGACGATATTCCACTGGTAGTCATCCTCGCATTAAATACATACAGCTATGGTATGCGTCAAGCCATTCCTGGAAGGAGTAAGGAGTGGAGAAGTGGATTCCGGGATCCATGCCGCAATCATGGAGCTGCCGAGAATAAGGGTAAGAAGTACTCGATGCAGGGTGATCATGGTAAGGGAAAGAGCAGCGCAATGGAGAGAATTTGCTTAATGATCCAAGTAGGGTAGAGGTTTCCTCCTGTAGTACGGCCAAGAAAGGAACGAAGAGATATCATGGAACAGCAGGAAAGAAAGGAGAGAAGCGAGACGGGAAGGGGTAGAGATGAGTAGACTGGCCATACAAAATTCTGTAGTGCAGGGCATGATATCTTGCATTATAATTAAATGCTACCCAAAGGGTCTGATCAGGATTATGGCCCAACGAGAATTGGCCGTGGCTGCTGCTAGAGGCATTGCCCTGGAGCTAATAAATTGCCGGAACAGCAGAGTCACAGCAAGAGAGAGAAAAATAAAACAAGTCAAAGGCAAAACAGACCAGATATGGCGGCACAATGCGAATCTTTGTTTAGCGCTAATCCGTATTAATGCCTGCTAATATAATTTATTTCAAGGTGTTTGTTGATATAGAAGAACGAAGTAAATGAAACGATGCAAAGCATCTTGGTAGAAAGCCAGCTGGAGGGTACCCCAATCGAGGAATATCAATAACTCGCCCAGTACTGTACATTTGCATAAATTGGATAAGTAATTGTTCATAAGGCTAAGGCTGAGGTTCTTCGGTTGGCTTGGAGTTAGTGCAGCCACACATGATCCCAGACTTTGTGGGGTTGAATGTCACGTAGCATTCTAATATAGTGACACAAAACTCCATGTCTATCGAAAGGGCATGCTCTCCCACTCGAGCTTGGATAAGCCAGGGATTTATTTTCCACTTCTCCTCGTTTAACATAGCAGCTGACATGCTGGGCTAGATCTATGTTTCTTTATGAGGTCATTCGACCAAAAGCACCAATTGACCGCTAGACTAGTCTTGCGTACCGGTACTAAAAACGCCTAAGAGTACTCATATACACACTCTTCATTGGATCTCTCCTGCGCTAGTGACTGGGACATGAGATTTGCTGGTGCATGGTGCGCTTCCAACCTCCAGTGCCCTAAAATGCAATCGACCGGGTGACACGAGTGTTTCGGCAAAGGGCTTTACGATTCATTCCAATATGACCCATTACCAGAACAAACTAGACGATGTTTGACATGCTTTAGAATTGTTCGCAATTGTTGAAAGCAAAAGGGCAGATAGACAAAAGCAGAATAAAAAGAGAGGGAGGGTGTCGAGTAGCTGGATCAACCTTGTCTTTAGCGTCTATAGATCTCGTTGATATCCTTCCACATATTCAGACCAGTATTATCTGTCCTCTTTACATATGTGGAGTGCTTGGGAAGACCATGATTGTCAGGTTGAAAACATACTCACATGTCCATTGCTCTACCTGGTCGCTAGAGTCAAATTTCCGACACGCATGGTTCTTCTACTCCCATTTTCAATATATTGGTACTGGATTTTTGTTCTTTTAATTTTCGTAATGCCACATAATGAGGATGCTGCGCCGAAAATATATGAAATAGTATGTTGCATTCAGCTGCTAGTTGAGGTCGCTAACTCTATAGTCACCCGGACCAGTTCATATCTCATAACCAGAGTGTGCACTGACAACGATTTCGGTTGGCCATAGGCAATCAATCGTCTCCGTTTAGTGCCATTATTGGTGTTACACAAGATTTCCATCGTTCTTGAACCAAATGGTCCAAGCAGCAAACCCGTCCTTTGCTTCTGAGACAAGACTTTATGGGGAGTAGGGTCTTCTGCTTGGTTAAAAAAGAGCCACATCTCACTCACCGATCCACATTAGAGGGAATCCACCATCCATCCAAGAGATGAGATATCTGTTGCTGTCATACTAGATTCTATTCGCTTTACAGCTTCCTATTGTACACCTCCTAAGCCTTACTTCTGTTGCTTCATTATCTCTCTGTCTAATGCTGAATTTGTTTTTCTTTTTTTAGTTGCATTTTCCCTCCCTCTCCTCCTTCACACCTCCAATTTTTTAATTTTTTTTTTATATATTTGCTTCTCTTGGTCACAGTGTTGCATCTTTTAATACAACCCTGTTATTCCGCGTTTGTAAACGCTAACCAACTTAGCTTTCTATTGGATCCACAAGTCTGTCATCTTTGTTCGTGGAGGGTTTACTGGTGACTGCTCGCAGGAATAACATCGGTCTTTATCCTAGTTCCTGCAGCCTGAGCACCAATGCCCATGACTGGATCGACTACCACCATGTGGATCGCTTGGTTTGGTGCTATTAGAGAACTAAACGATAAATACAACCAAAAGGAAGTGAACTATACAGAATAGTACCACTTTCAGAGTGACATGACAGCAAGAAAGAGTAGTTAAAGTAGAGTATGGAGAATGAGTGCGGGGAAAAGGGCCCGCAATGCCGGGGTTGGAAGGATGTCTTAGTTGCTTATACGAGAACCATAGCACATGACTCGTGCACCAACAGCAGTCCTTCAAAGGTGGCGCTGTCAGCCTGATGATGTGTTGTATATGTATATATATTACGAGGAAAGCTAAATGTAGTCAAGCTTTCAATTCAGACGTCTCTAGCCAATGAATATAGGAAAAAACAAACAGACATATACTATGAACACTAGCTCATTGGAGCACGAAGGTTGCGGGATTTAATTCTGGGTCAATTGTTTGTCGAATCCTTCGAGGCGAAACAGGGTTAAGTATTCGATCAGGGCACAGAGGAGGAATTCGGACGATCAACCTCTGTCAGGAAGTGAAACCATGCCATTTTATTGGATTAGAGTAGTATCTCCTCCATAGAAGTCTAGATTCTGGAATCGAAACCGTCTTAGAAACACGTGTGTACCTTATTTGATCCCCAAATTTGGGGTCGCTTGGCAAACTGTTTTTCAACGGACACCGTTGGAACATGCATGTTTGAATGATTGTTGTTTAGCAATCAAACTACTAGTACCGACTAGTACTTTCGCTTTGTTTCTTTTTCTGCTTTTGTCTTCCTTTCTTTCTTTTTTTTTTTTACCCCTGGCAAACCAGTTTATTATAATTTTGGGTTATAAGGTTGGCACCTTCGTTTGTTGAAGTTTTGGCAACCGTTCAATAACCTTCGAATGCCACAAAGCCAAGGCAGCAAGATTATTAAGTCTCACGCCAAGTGTGGCAGTCTCGACTCACCATCTTGGCCACTCCCAAGACTTTCACGGAGCGGGAGACCAAGAGTCCAAGACAGAGGAGAGTGCCAAGAGGATATCCCGTGGTTATTACTTTAAACAGGGCTGTTCCCAAAAAGCACCGACCGGATGTGAGGTAATTCGAATGGTTCCTTTGACCATCTCAAAAGCCAATCGTGGTCAGATTCAGGCAAACCGCTCGTGATCTCGTTTAAATTTCCCCGAAGTTCGAACCCAATCAGGTTAGCCACAGACATTCCCCCCATCTTTCCAGGGTCTCATTGGCGCTAACCCAACATCCCCCGGTTGTAAACTTCTTTCATTTCATGTGTAAGCGGGGCCCGAGGGTTGCAGACCTCCAGTACTGACTCGGTATGGTACGTTTCAGGTCGGCCGCCGATCGAGTCCCCTAGGTGATATGTGGACACTATATTTGGGAGTCATATGGCGTTAGTGTCATGATGGTACCTTTGGAGGCAATGTTTTTAAAGAATAAGTGTTCGTTCTAAAGAGATTTGCTCTATCAGATTGAGACACCCTCTACTTTTTCTCCACCACTTCTCTCGAAGGAATTTGACACAGAAGGAGAGAGAGAAAAAAGTAGACAAAAAGTAGACAAAAAGTGGTGGCCTAATCCTGCACGTGCTGTACCGTACCAGACCAATACGGGAAGTAAGGAGCGCCACAGCCCCGCATCATTCTTGGCCCGGTCTTGTCGTCTTGTCCCTGTCCTCCGCCGGGCTGTGCAAGCGGTCTTTTCTGGGCAAAGGCTCGGCTCCGGATGTCCGCACAGGACAAGAACCCAAGGCTCCCCCTCTTGCTTCCAAGACTTCCTCTCTCTTCTTATCTCTCCCCATATTTCCCCCCTGACTTGTCCTCTTTTTGTTTTCCCCTGTCTTCTTGCCTTTCCTCCCAATCTTATTCCTATATGACCTTGCCTTTATCAAACGATTTCTGTATTCAGTATCATACGCGCGTTGCTTTGGTATTTGTTGTCACTGCCAACTCATCGCGTCTCACCTACTTTTCTCATCCCTGATCGTCCCCTACAGCCAAAAATCTCTTGGCTTAGACACCTGTTGTTTCTCTGAGGGAAAAACGGACTCTGTCCGACTTGTACTGATTTCTTTTACAACGACTTCCGCTCCCAAGAAAGGGACAAGAAATTTTCTTGGCAATGTCGGAACCCCAAGACACCACTTCCCCTTCGACTGCGGCCGCTCCTATTGCCGCGTCGACCTCGCAGGAGCAAACCCAAACCCAGTCGCCGCCTCAGGTCTCAGTGGCCACGACATCCTCGGTGACAGCAACGGCAGCTGCAGCTACCGCAGCTGTAGCAAACCCTGCGGTCAATGGTGCAGCGCGCCCGACCGAGGAGCTGTCCTGTCTTTGGCAAGGATGCTCTGAGAAGTGTCCCACTCCAGAAGCCCTCTATGTAAGCTTACCACAATCCCATATTCTTTTCTATTGTTGTCAATCTGCTCTGCAGCCATTTGTTCTTTTGATGCATCACCATGGAGCCTCTCGAGTGCGTACCTAGAACATGGCTAATCAATTCACAGGAGCACGTCTGCGAGCGTCACGTTGGTCGCAAGAGCACAAACAACCTCAACCTGACTTGCCAATGGGGCAGTTGCCGAACCACCACCGTCAAGCGCGACCATATTACCTCCCACATCCGAGTACATGTGCCTTTGAAGCCTCACAAGTGTGACTTCTGTGGAAAGGCATTCAAGCGCCCACAGGATCTGAAGAAACATGTCAAGACACATGCGGATGATTCGGTTCTGGTTCGGTCACCTGAACCGGGTGCTCGGAACCCGGACATCATGTTTGGGGCTAACCCAGCCAAGGGTTCGTTTTTATATCCTCCAAGCCGCATTTATTGCACAACTGACCACGTTGAACTATAGGCTATGCTACAGCTACGCACTACTTTGAACCCGCGCTGAATCCTGTTCCCAGCCAGGGCTATACCCACGGAGCCCCTCAGTACTACCAATCCCACCACCCACCCCAACCAGCAAATCCGTCTTACGGTAACGTATACTATGCGCTTGGTCATGGCCATGAGGCTGGTCACGCATCATATGAATCGAAGAAGCGTGGATACGATGCCCTCAACGAGTTCTTCGGTGACCTCAAGCGTCGCCAATTCGATCCAAACTCTTATGCAGCAGTTGGGCAGCGCCTACTTGGATTGCAAAGTCTGTCTCTCCCGATCCTGAGCGGTGGTCCACTCCCTGAATACCAACCCATGCCTGCGCCTGTGGCAGTAGGTGGCGGAGGCTACAGCCCTGGCGGCCATCCTCCAGCCCCAGCATATCACCTCCCTCCTATGAGCAATGTCCGTACCAAGAACGATCTGATCAATATCGACCAATTCTTGCAACAGATGCAGGATACCATCTACGAGAACGATGACCATGTGGCAGCTGCCGGCGTTGCCCAGCCGGGTGCCCATTATGTTCATGGCGGTATGAGCTATCGTACCACAAATTCACCACCCAGTCAGCTGCCTCCCAGCCATGCCACGGCCACCACTTCTGCTGGCCCTGTTTTGACCAACCCAGCGACACATTCACCTTCTGGAACACCCGCGCTCACACCGCCCTCGAGTGCGCAGTCATATACCTCGGGTCGGTCGCCCATTTCCTTGCCGTCAGCAAGCCGGGTGTCACCTCCCCATCATGAAGGTGGTTCAAGCATGTACCCTCGCCTTCCATCGGCTACCATGCCCGACAGCATGACCGCTGGCTACCCGACCACATCAAGTGCCGCCCCGCCTTCCACCCTGGGTGGCATCTTTGACCATGATGAGCGTCGCCGCTACACCGGTGGCACTTTGCAGCGTGCCAGACCGGAGGAGCGTCATTTGCCTGAGCCGATGGATCTGTCTCATGACCACAAGGATGACGGAGAGCGGACACCGCCCGCCAAGCCGCGCCAAGCATCCTCATCACCCGGTCGCATATCCGCTAGCTTGATTGACCCTGCTCTTTCGGGTTCGGTGTCTGAAGCAGAGACGCTCCGAACGGCCCAAGCTGCGACCGAGGTTGCTGAGCGATCCGATGTGCAGTGGGTTGAAAAGGTCCGCCTGATTGAGTACCTGCGCAACTACATTGCATCTCGTCTACAACGGGGTGAATTTGAGGGCGACTCGAGAATGAACCGCGACTCGCACACCCCGGAGATCGGGCCTGACACCCACATGGAAGGTGTGGAGACGGAGCCCCTTTCCCGACCTGCCAAGTCTGAGGGTTCTCCGGTGAAGCCTGAGACGGGCGGTGATGCGGTGATGTATCCAACGCTACGGGGAGTGGATGAAGATGGTGATTCTAAAATGCCCAATTAAGCGTGTTCTCTTCCCTGTTTTCTCTACTCTTGTGCGTTACAATCTTACGGCTCATTACGAAACCGTTGTGGGAGTTTATCTTTTTTCATCCTGTTTGTTTGCGCCGAATACCGTCTGAGTCGGGTATCGAATCATTTACAGTTTCTGTATGTTTTGTAAGAACCATCTGGTTTGCACATTTCCGTTCTTTGTATAGTGGGAGTTTCCAACTGCGAATGGAAGGGTGTTTGGGGTACAAATTCTGATTTTCTCGTAATTTATTTATTTATTGATTATATCTATATTTATATTGATGTTGCTTCCTTTTCAAATTTTTACTTTATCCTTTCCCTTGCACTCTGGCATTGTTCCTAAGTGTTGTAAATCTGGGTGAAGTGAGAGAAGCATTATGATTGGTCTTTTACGTTGGTGTCATGCATGAAATGAAAAAACCTTCAACGGGGGAAAGAAAAAGAAAATAATAATAAGTAAATACAATGTGCCGTTTGCAACCCTGAATCATGTTTGGGTATCGAGTGCTACTAATATATGTGGTATTTGGGTCAACTTGGAAGAGGAAGTATTTCTTGATGGATGTTACTGTACCCTTCTGAGAAAAATCGTCGATCACCGCGCAGATCGGGACATTCCACACTAAACCAAAGACGGGCGATCATGACGCAAGCAGAGTTGACCTGGAATGGAACTGATTAATTAATATTGGAATAATGTATTGATGAATGCTTTCTGATTGCCCGATCCGGTTCCTCCGCAAGTCTGGTTCGGTTGGATGCATCACCCAAGGTAAGTAGAAGAACAATTAAGCAGAGCATATTGCCCCATGATTAGTCAAGCAAAAAGCAATCCGACGAACTCCGTTCGTAATTCTGATCCTCTCCTATGCCGGGAATCCGGTCGACTTAAATGAAATGTGAGATTAGGACTGGTATAGATATAGTAGAGAATTGTCGGTGGACTTAGTAGTGAATGATGCTGCAGGGGAAGACAGACCGGGAGGGGGAGGAAAGGAATTGCCTCCATTCCTGCAACCGGGATATCACTCGGTTCTTTTTCAAAGACTAGTTGTATTTTCTGGGACTTTGTCTCGCTTTTATTCCCCATAGTATCGACCTTTATTTTCTAGAGGATCCGTTGTTTTCCTTTTTTTCCTGTACTGGTCGGTCTCCACTGTCTGTTTACGGCGGGGAACTAATCCATTTGGGTGATTTTAGATCCTCGCAACTCCACGGAGGTAGCATTGGGAGAGGGAAGACCCGGTTTCTTTTTTTTTTCAAAAAAAAAAAAAAATAAAAAAAGAGATTTGAGGATATTATAAAGCCGAGCGAACCGGGGATAGGATGTTTCTTTTCTTTTGTGAGCTTTTGGACTTTTGTTGTTTTTTACTTCCCATTCATTGTTGGAGACAAAGAAGAAAAAGGATTTAGTTTGATTGATTTGATAGACGAAGATCCGTGATTTCCCCACACGGAAGCGGTCACGCCCCAAACACCGGCGCGCGTTATCGTCATCGCTTCTCTTTTCTTTCTTTTTCCCACTTTCTTTACCTTAAGACCTTCTTCTTGACAAGCCCTTTGTTACTCCGCCCCTCCCTCGTGCCGGACTCGATTCCCAATTCTACCCTTTTCCCCTAGATATCTCGAACTCCGTACAGATACTCCAGTCACCCTTCCCCTCCGAAAAAATTCCCGTGGCTGAATAATAATAAGCCAGCCACGCCTAGATCGCGTCGTTGCGCGGTGGCAAACCATCCTGTGGTTCCTACCCTCTCGAACACCCACTTCAAGGTTTTCCTTTGCCCTGTTTGGGCCATCCTTTTGCCGTCCTCGCTTCGCCTTTCTTTGCACCATTTCCTCTGTCAATCGTTCGCTTTGCGCAGGATTGTGTGAATTTATATGGGATCTGTGAATAGCGCACAGAAAGTCAACAGATATTAGAATTTGAGTTTGGCGATAAGAGAAATATCTACACTGTTCCAGAAACCACAGAATATCCTAGCAGAGTCAAGTCGCAGTTTGTTTAGCCAAGGATGCCACTTTCCAACAGGCGTCGTGCGCGGCGCAAGGAAATCCAACTACAGGAGACCTCCGATGCGGAAGCCCCGGATTCTTCACCTACCCGTCCATCAAACAAGAAGCGCAAGGTGTGTGGTTGCACTGCTTTGCTGGGATATGTGCCCCGTACTGATCGGTGACTAATTCCTACGGTTTGTAGGTCGAACGGACCTCCCCTCACCCTCGTCCCATTAAGACTGCCGAATCCGCCGACGAGGCCGATCACTCGTCGCCAGAACAAGAACTATCCGAGAACCAAGACCTTGTGGATTTGGTGATATCATATCTAGATGCCGCCCGCGAAGAAGTGCGCGTTATGCGCGACCACTCGAATACGAAGACCGAGAACAAGCAGAGCATCCGGGCCTACGCCAAGATCGCCGGCCGTAATTGGACGTACTATGTCAAAACCCTCCATGTCAACATTGGGCGCGAGCCAGACCGGGAGCAGAAGCTAGATGAGCAGTCCAGCCCTGTGACCATCGCCGCGCGAGCGCTGCCGGAGGTGAATGTGGACCTAGGACCCAGCAAATTCGTATCACGTTTACATGCAGAGATCTTCTACGATGGTGAGGAGACAGCTTCCTGGCACATACGTGTGAATGGTCGCAACGGCGTCCGGTTGAACAATGCCATTCTTAAGCGCGGGACCGATGCGATCCTCTCATGTGGTGATGTCATTGAGATCGCCAACACTCAGATGATGTTCGTCACTCCCGGCGACAAAGCCAATATCCACCCCAGCCTGGTCCAACGTGCGCAGCGCCTTGCCAACGGGGAAGAGGATGTAGCCCCGTGGGATGCCTCACAACATGCCCATCCCCAATCTGCGACATCAGGAGCCCCCGAGACTACACGCCCTTCGACCGGCCAACCAACTTTGGCGCCAGCGCCGCATTTCCTCAAACGACAGGTAACGCCGCCGCCACGGTCCCCCGATACTGTTGGACAACGGACCGCCAAGCAGTCTCCGCTGTACAATCGAGGCATGATGATGGAGAGTACGGAGGAGATTGACTACAGCAAAGATTCTGCCAAGGATTTGAAGCCTCCCTACAGCTATGCAACGTTAATTGCGCAAGCAATCTTCTCCAGCGAAGAGGAGAAGCTGACGCTCAACAACATCTACAATTGGATTATGGATAAGTATGCCTTTTATCGTCACTCTCAGAGCGGTTGGCAGGTACGTAGTGTCCCATATAGTGGTTGATGACTTACCCTAATTCATGATTAGAACTCTATTCGTCACAACCTGTCATTGAATAAAGCTTTCCAGAAAGTGCCCCGTCGCACCGACGAACCCGGAAAAGGAATGAAGTGGCAGATTGCTCCCGAGTACCGTGAGGAGTATTGGAAGAAGCAGCTCCGTAAAGGAACGCAATCCTCAGCACCGTCCTCCCCAGCCACCAAAGACCCGGCCACGCGTGGAGCCAATAGCCTGGGAGCAGTTTTCTCCGCTGGCAAGAAATCGCCTCCGGTGTCGTCTCCCGGGTTTAGTTCTTTTCCTGTGGCGCCGGTTGAGGCTTACACCCCGGAACGGGGCTCGCGAGTGACCCGGACTGGCCCCCAAGATCATCCTCTCCGCCCACCTGCCCGAGACTATGAAGAACCATCACCATTACCCGCACGCTCGGCTATCAAGAACAACAGCAATGGAACAAGTCTTCGGTACGGATTATCCGATAATGTCGCTTCTCCGCCGATCTTATCATCCTCCTATTATGACGAAGGGCCGTCGTCCATGATCACCCCAGCGCCGCAAAGGCAGCAGCCACGACTACCCCCGCCTAGTACAGCACAAATACCGTCCAAGTTTATGCCGATGAGCTCACCGGCGCAGTTTTGGAAATTTGCCGATATTGGCAGTACGCCCGCCCGTCCGGTTCCAGACATGAGTCCGCTCAAGGGTGATCCTGGGGACGGACTGGGTAGCATTCCGAGCAGCAGTCCGCCTCCTCCGAATCTAGTCAGCCCTAGTAAACCGGGTACGGTCAACGGTCTGGGCAGCGGTCGAGCACTACCTCCGCGGCGAGAGCATGATCCGAGAGTACGATCAGGCGCGAACGGTGCAAGTCAGGATCTGGGAGACGACGAGGATGAGGACGATGGAGGAGCTGGATTTGATCTCGCGAGGTGAGTTATGCCAATCCGAGAGTTTGTAGATGCACTGATGACTGACTGAACGACCAAGGGGCTTCCAACCGATCGGATCGTATCATCGACAGTTGAGCAACGCGGCTCGTGCCAGCGCTGCGACATCATAGTTGTTCAATCTTCTTCTACACTTGTCTTTCGATATCCGCGTATGAATTACATGGCTTACCTTATGATATTATTGCTAGAGCAGACCTTCATAGAACAGAGTGAACAGAATGAATGGGTGTATTTGGTGTTCCACCGGGAGGTTCTCTGACTGCTTATTTTTATTTTCATATTTTTATTTTTATTTATTTTTTTGATACACTTGACGTGAGCAATGAGACAATGTGCCTATATCAATTAGTGTTTATATTATATCATGATCAATCCAAATCAACTCCAATCAATTTCCTTCACTCTTGATTAGGAACATCCGGCCAGAAGCGCTCCTCCAACCACTTGACCTGCCTCCACCACCTCTCACACCGTCCGACTAACTCCCCCTTCTCCCTATCCTGAATCTCCCCCGCCAGGGCATCCACAACCTCCGCAATCCCCTCCACAAACTCCCTAAAATCAGCACTCGTCCAATTCGGAATAAACCTCTCCCTCAACGCCCCCCCATCCAAATCCCCCTCCTTCCCCCCACCCGTTCCCTCCATCAACCCCCTCGCCCCCTCCCACGCTTGCAAATAACACACCTCAGTCGCCCACAAAACCACCAACCCCTCCAACAAACTCACCCCCGCACTCCCCACCGACATGAACATATCAATATACGCCTGCGTAATCGGATTCGGCCCAAACCGCTCCCCTTCCCCATTCCCTTTAACCGCCAAATCAAGACCGTACTCCCCCGCCACCTCCTCGAAAAAATCCAGTTCGCGCTGGATATTCACCAGCGCGTCGATGAGGGTTGTGACGATCTTCTGCTGTAGAGTTTTCTGCGGGGATGGGGTGTGCGGCAAGTGGGTTTTTGCGAGGAGGAGGCCGATGAAGCGGATGTAGGATTGGGCGTAGAGGCGGTCTTGGGAGAGCCAGAGGGAGAGGGTGTGTTTGGGGAGGTGGCCGTTCCCGGCGGCGGCGAGGAAGGGGGATGTAGTTGCCGACAGGTAAGTTTTTGGGTTTAGGGTTTTGAGGTGGGTTGTTAGGGGGGTCATCTTTGTGGTGGTTCTTTTTCTTTTTTTGCTTTCAGTGGGTTTGGTTGATTTTGGGATGGTGTTTGTAAAGATGGTTGGAGGGGAGGGGAAGTTCGACGTTAAGTATATTGGGGTTTGTGTTGCACGATGGTGGGGTTGTGATCTCATTGAGGGGTTGGGGGTTTGGGTTTATGTTTGTTTGTTTTGGGGTAGGTGGATGTTTTTGTTTTCACGGGACATATGTTCTTTTCGATGTATTATATACAGGTATTGTTAATTTTAGATGATAGTTTGCTTTATTACCTAGATTTCGTAGATAGATTTCGTAGAGAAAGTAAACCTGGCTTACTTTTTACGCCGTTGGTGAGGACAAATCAAGCTCTCCAGCATCACGCATTTGGCATATAAATCGTCGGCCTGCCTAGCCGATCTCGTGGGTCCACTTCTCCATGAATGAAAATATTTCTTTAATAAACACAATAAGCAAATTGGCATTTAAAGTTAAAGTTATCTGTCTTTCGTGCATTTCGACCACATTAAACTACTGCATTACCCCTGAAAATCATATAATTATAGAACTTTAACACAAGCATCGGCACCCTCGAGAAAAATATGACCTGTCATTATTTCCTCCACCCCTCATCGGCTATGTTCCAACATCATCTGGACCATCACTTCCATCGTGTACCGCGCATCGTTCCCCGCGTTATGCAGATGCCAGCCAATCATGTCGAATTCCTGGAGAATACCTCCTAGTTTACGCGTGGTTGTCTCGTTCCGGATAATTCGGAAGAAGTCCGCGGTGTCCACCGTATCTATGAACCCGGCGGTCCCTTCAGGCTTGCGTTCCATTCGTACACCAATCTGACGGAGATACCGCACGTCGCCGGTGGTTGCATGTCCAACGAGAACCAGATTACGCGGTGCATGTGACTCCCCCACCGTTGGCACTTGGAAGGAAGCCTGCACGGCAGCAACCAGATCATCGGTGGAGACCCATTCGCTGGCTCCGAAATCAAAGTTGTCCGGGCAGCCTATGACAAAGTCTCGGTTGACGTGGTGTGCATATTCTTCCACACGAAGATGCCGTGACTGGATCTTGGTCCTCCAATGATCTCCGTCGTCGCCGGGGGAAATGTCAACGAGATCTAAAGTGTCCAGAGTGGAGATGCCTACCTCCGTGATCTGTTTATGATGGTGCTCATTGGACTCCACATCGATACTAATGAACACGGGCTGGTGCCAGAAGGGGAACGGTACGGGCTTATCCATGCGCAAGGGTCGGGAGGGCCTTGGTTTCGGCTGCTGGTCTCTCCTCTCCTCCCAGGACATGTCGTCGATCATGTCGTTAATCTCATCTGAGCGTAGACCCAGGTAGCTCTGGGTTCGCCTGAGGCTATCAGCTAGTCGTTGCTGATTCTGGATGCGGAGTTGCTGCTTGGCTTTAGAAGGTTTCTTCCTGTTCCTAGTAGTTTCCCACGCGGTCTCTATCATTTGCTCAAAGGCTAGGAACTGCTCATCCATTCCAGACGAAGGACAGGTCCTGCCAGATGAGGCGGGGACCTGCGATTCCAAGCGGTCTTTGGTCTCCCGGCTGGTGCTTCTGCCTATGAATATAGGTTGAGGAAATCCTTCCTTGTGAAAGTTGAGAATCAGACCTTCATCCGAGAGGGCTAGGTTACATTGCAGGGCATGGTTGATCTCTTGGAAGAAATCTCGGACTTGGGAAGTGGGCACGAGAATGAGATGACAAAGACCTATCTGGGGTGGAAGTTTGATATAGTGCCTGCAATGTTAGATGTATGCTACGATTAAGGAACTTAAAGTACTCACAGATCCCAGCATCTGTTCCAAAATTTGCCTCCATCGAAGAATTGGTTGGCCAACCTCTGTGATAGTTCGCCTTTAACAAACTTGTAGGCGTATCTTGAAATTGTTAGAAGGGGAGAGAAACTCCCGTCGTGAGATCTATGGCTTTCTACAGAAGGGAGGGGGGTGTTGTGAGCTGGGATTGTCTGAGCCGCAGATTCAGGGCTTTCAGAAACAGCCTCGGTAGCGTTGCAAGGTGGCTTGTCCATGGTATCTGGCTCAGAGGACCATTTAAGTCTCTGATCTGGCCGTGGAATAGTAGAGTCCAAATGTCCCCAGCCAGTGTTTGCACTGTCGCCGATGTGTGGTACCTCTGACTTGGGCTGGATCTCCAGCACGGTCCGAAGTTGGGTATCGAGTTCCAACAATGATTCATCCTGGCTGAACAGCAGATTCAAGCGCTCCGCCTTTTCCATTGTTTGATATTGACTGGGATGCTCGATTAAACAAATAATGGAGAAGAGACGATGGAATGAAAATAATGTTCAGGAAGGAAGATTATATGGGCTGCCAGTTTGCGTATAAGGCAAACTGGCAGCACACGTGCCATGGGCAAGGCAACAGTATGACTTTGGCAGTGAGGATTCACCCTGATACTACAACAGGGATCGGAATTCCACTGCAAAATAATAGCTTTTACTATTGGATGATTTGGCAGTAGTGTCACTGTTTGAGCAATTATTCCCATATCTTTTGTGAAGTAGTGTAAAGTGAAGTGTAAAGTAATATGAATTCAATGTGATGCGTAACTATATATGTACGGGGAATAGAATACCTATAATTCTGTAGTATGTATATCTAGACAGACTAGGACGAATCCGGCAATGGGTCAGTACACCGGAGGAACGTTGTTCCCGGTCATTCCCCCAACCACCACAGGACCAATAAGCCTCGATGATGGGAAAGTCTAATCCGACCTGCCACGGAACTACGCCTCTCTATCTAATACCAAAATCTCTCTCGCTTTTCCTTCCATCCCTAGTCGGATTCACTGCGCCTATCTGCAGGCCCGGTCGGTCTGTCTCAATCTGACAGTCCATGTGTTTGCATTGAACTTCCCTCGATGGCCACGCCGTCACGTAAGGTGCCGTCATAAACAATAACATTCCAGCCGCGCTTTACGACTCTTCTCCTTCCACGCATTTGTTACTTTTCACCATGGCTGACTCCGACGACGATGCTGGTGGAGTCATCCTGGATGGCCCCTTTGACCCTGACGCCCAAGCTACCGTCACCGACTTCATCGATTATACCGAATACCTCCCTGCTGACATCATCCGCTCCCTCACTCTCATCCGCGGCTTGGACGAGCGCTACCTGGAAGCCACTCAAGACGTACATGAGCTCACCAAGACTTATGGACAACTTCCTGACTTACCTACCGACGGACGTCCGGATGCGCGCAAGTTGCGCAAGGACATCTCCTCTCACCTCGACCGCGCGGTCAATGCCCGCGAGTCCGCATACGCTGAGGCATGTCGCTTATATGATGTCGTCGATCGCCATTTCAATCGCCTAGACTGTATCAAACAGAAGCTGGAGGCTCTCCCCAAACCATCAACCGATCCTGGCCCGCCGCGGACCGTTCCCGCCACCAAGCGTGGCCGATCAATCAAGAAGCGTGATGAGGCGGCAGCGCCCACAACGCGCATAACTTTGCGTTTAGATAGCCATGACCACACGAAGCCGACCCTGAAATCCAGAACACGACGGTCAGTCCTCTCAGCGGAACATCTGGCCGGCCTGCATCCTGATTCCCCGATCGCCAGTACCGAGCATTCAGACGTGGAGGTAGAAACCAAAGCTGTACCATTAGGGTCGCCTGCAGAGCCAGCACATCCCCAAGGCCGGAAAGATAAACAAGGTAGGCGTTCGCGAACGTCACTAGGGACCCATGCACATAGCGGTATAGCGAATATATCGACAAGCAATGCCCTGGCGTTGCTCAAGCCACCTCCTGAAGATGCGAAGCCGGGTAGCGAGGACATGCCATGGTTGCGTCTGACAGAGTGGGAGATGACTAAACTGCGTAAGAAGATGAAGAAGAATGCCGTCTGGCAGCCCAGTGAGGTGATGATACATCGCGAATTAGCTCTACGAGGCCGTGGCTGGGAGGCTTATAGGGCCGCAAAGGCGCAATCTGAGGCGAACGGAGCTGAATTCATTGACTGTGATGATATCATGAACAACTATATCCCAGGCAAGTTGACTAAACGGAGTGAAGCGACCAAGGACACAGAAGGCACTTTCGAGACAAAGTTGAGCAACCGGGGGATGAAGCTCAACGAGGCGAAGAAGCTTAAGCGCGAAAACCAAGCGCGCGAGCAAGCGGCTGCCGCGGCGGCGGAGGCAGAAGCGGCCAAACGTCAGACGCAGGTAACCTCTCCTATCAAGGTCCCAGTCCCCAACGTTGATCACACTCAGGCTGGTAAACCAAGCAGAGCCGCGAAGAAAAGAAAACCAGACGAGAGCCCCGTCATGGAAACTACGGCCGTCCCTCTGGCTGATGCCGAAACACGGACTGCGCTGCGAAGTTCGTCAAAACGCCGTAAGACAAGCGACACGCCGATGGAATCAAGTGTTAGCGCCCCAAGTGCTTCAGCTACCACACCGTTAACCAACGTGCCCATAGCCGTTTCTGAAATACCCGAAACGAAGCCAACTCCCCCGCCGGCATCGCCTATCGTGTCTAAGCGCTCGGTCCCACCATCTGGAGCTGTGACTGCCCCACCTACCATAGAAGGTGCTACTTCAACTCCTCCCGTAACCCGACCCCCCTCCAGGCGCCGCTCTGCCGCCGCGTCGGCAGAGCCAGTCCCTTCGGTTGGACTCTTCACAGCAGGAAGGGAGCTTCGGCGAAAGAGCGCCACTCCTGCGCGCAAGACCCCTGTTCCAGATGTTTCTCGAGCAGCCAGCGTGAGTGCGCCTGTCCGCCGCAGGAAGCGACCCGCTCCTGGTCCCGTATCATCAGGACGGGACGGTGGCGCTGCAGTCAGCTACGGCCGCCGTAAGGCTAAACCCACAAAGAAACGAGTTCGCGAGCACGGACCGAAGGACGGCGATATCCGTATTGACGAAGATGGCGTTCTAGAGGAGATTGACCCTAATGAGCCTCGGTATTGCCTTTGCGGAGATGTGAGCTTCGGCACGATGATCTGCTGTGAAAGTAATGACGTATGTAACTTGACCTGCCTCTTGGAGTACCTGAAGCTAACTAAAACTCGTAGTGCGACAGAGAATGGTTCCACCTTGGTTGCGTCGGACTCTCTGAAGTTCCTAGTCGAACTGCCAAGTGGTATTGCCCAGAGTGTCGCGTGAAGCACAATAAGGGGACCGATGGGATTGTGAAGATCGGCTCTCGTCGGTAGCCTATTCCATTATCATGATGTTTCTTTGGGAAGATAATACTCGACCCGCCACCTGCTCCCCTGAGTTCATGAGACCACGACATCGCAGCTTTATTTGGAATTTTTGTGTCTCGTACTAATTCATATTGATTGACAGTTTCGCAGCATGGCGAAGTGGTGGACGGTGGAGTTTGGAGTAGACTTTTTTTGTTCTGACAGATACATGAGGGCCGGTGTCAATGGATTCACTTATTTGTGTTGCTCACATCTACGGATGCCAATCTGCAGTTCTACTGATATCCTTGCGCCTCTCTGGCGTGTTACATTTTCTTCTTTCCCTTCTACTTCTACAGACACTTAACTAAGGAGAACATCCAAAGTATCTCATTAACATTCATGGTTACACGTATCACATACAATATTGTAGCCCGAGAGACCCAAATCACTTCAACTCCCACTTCTCACCGTCGGAGATAATCTCCACAGGTCTCCTCTCGTCCAGCGAGATGCGTCCTGCATGCAGAATAGCTGTCGTTGCAATCGTGTTCTTGAGTGTCGGGAGAGGTCTGGCGTCAAGTTGGTCCAGCGTCACCCGGCCTTCATTGACTGCCGTTACGGCATCAATGAACTTCTCAAAGCTGATGTAGCCGTAGCCAGTTTGGCCACTGAAGTTGCCATCTTCATCTGGTGCGTAGCGCATGTAGAATCTACATTGCATTCATGCCCTGTTAGAGGTGGAAAGTTCTCGGTCGAAAAGTGATTACTTACGGGTTCACCCAGATCAAGCCCTCCTCATCTCCAGTGACATCGTAGCCACGCTTAGCCTGGTTAATACGGACCTCACCCTTTGATCCCATATCTGTAGCACGCCGTTAGTATTCCGGCCCTAGACCCGAAAAATAGAAGAAAAGAAAGGGAAGCAAACATACAATGGAAATACTGATTCGAATGCACGCCCGCCTTCTGCGGCGCCGTCCAACTAGCCGTGTAAACCCCCGTCGCAACCCGACTAGGGTCACTCCTCTTCCTCCACTCCACAAGCAACGTAATCGTATCCTCCGTCTCGTCCGCACACCCCAGCTCCACGGCCGTCCCCTTCGACGCCGAAGCAGTCACCTTCACCGGCGCATACTCCGGCACCATACTCTCGTTAATATCGATATGGTGCGAGTTCAAATAGTACGAGATATCGCTCTCCTTGCCCGCCCACGCCTTGAACGTTTTCAATTGGCTCTTGGGCTGGCTCATGTAACTATAGAAGTAATTGAAGTCGCCGAGAGAGCGGGCCTTGGCGCGCGCGTCCGAGTACGCCGGGTCGAAGCGCTTATGGTGCTCGATGAAGACGAAGACGTTGTTCTTGCGCGCCTCCTCGAGGAGCCTGAGGTGGTCGGAGAGGAGCTGCGTTGCGGGCTTGGTGATGAGAACGTGGATCTTGCGCTGGATGGCGTACAGCGCGATGGGGAAGTGGGTGGGGTCTGGTGTGAAGATTGTGATGGCTGAGCCAGGTTCCAGGGCGTCAATGGCTGCCTTGTAGGCGTCTGGGTCGGTTTGGTCGTCGGCTGGGAAGGAGGTGAAGGAGACGTCTAAGCCGTTGTAGGCTTCGGAGATGTTCTTTTGGAGGTGGTCGCCTGGTTGGGATTGGTCTTAGCATGGATTCGGTTCTGGAGATGGGGACTGGGGGCAGGGGGGGTGCGTACGGATTCCGGGGAATTTGCGGCCTGAGACGCCCACCATGCTTAGGTTGGAGACTTTGCCTCGGCGGCGCAGGTCGAAGAGTGTGAGGCCGACTACGCCGACTTTTTTGTCGGAGGTTGAGGCTGTTCCGCCTACGTAGCCTGTCGTGTACTCTCCTGTACCAACCTGTTTTTTTTGGGGGGGAGGAGGGTTAGCTTTTGGGGTCCCTCATGGTTAGAGAGGAGGGGTTTTGTAGGCTATACCTACCATCAAGACACTAGGAGGAGCCATTTTGCGATTGTTTTCTGGTCAATTGTAAACTTGGAGCCTTTGAACCTGAGGTAGTTACTAGTGGGGTAAGGGAAGGGAGAAAAATGGAAAAGAGAAAGAAGAAAAAGTCGCAGTCCATTCAATGACTTTTGTAGGCGAGCCGTTTAATGACGGAGGAATCTCCATCTACAGGATTGCCCGTTTGGGGAACCTCATTAGCCGATGGGGCACTTAATTTGTGCATTTATTATGGTCAGTTTGGTTTATACGAGGACCTTGTCAATCCTTTGGATTATTATGTGGTAAGAAAACGAGGAATTTCCCCTTCTATTAGGGTTATGTTTTGGTTTGACCTTACGATTGAGAATGAGGCCTTCTTGATATTTAGAAAACGAACTTATCTGCGATGCCATCATAGAAAATAACAGTTAACTGGGTTCGGTCATTGATTTCCCGAGCGACTTTCAATCCCGATTGGATTTCTTTCCACGACGGGACTGTTAAATCATCATTGGTGGGAAAATGTCTCTCCGGACAAAAGGCTGACGCTGGAGTGGATTAGGAAAGTGGGGGAGGTGGGGGGAAATCTTTCTATAATCAATGATCGCGGGGTAAAAACATCAGAGAACAATTAGCCGGAGGAGATGCCATGGATATATTAGTTGCCATCACTGGTGTACTGATCGCAGCGCCTTGGGCTTAGCTACGATCTCCTCCCATTGTTTCTTGGTGGCTTCAATTAGCTAGAAACGTGCCCTGTAATTTACCAGGTAAGGTGTTCAATGCTCATAGATGCTTCTCTATAGTTGCTAGTAAGAGTCGCAGAACTAACTAACATCTTGCAGAAGGAATCAATAGCGATGGCGTCCCGTACCCCCCTTCGTACCGGAGTTTACGCTCCTACCATGACCTTCTTCAATCCGGACACTGAAGAACTCGACACCCCAACCATCCGTCGTCATGCTGTCCGACTAGCCAAGGCCGGCCTGGTCGGTCTGGTCACCATGGGCTCCAACGGAGAAGCCGTTCATCTGACCCGCGAGGAGCGCAAGTCTGTTATCCGTGAGACGCGGTCTGCTCTGGTGGAGGCTGGCTTCTCCAATGTCCCCGTCATCACTGGAGCCAGCGAGAACAGCATTCGTGGCACAATCGAGCTGTGCAAAGAATCCGCCGAAGCCGGTGCGGAATATGTCCTCATCGTCCCTCCGAGCTACTATCGCTACGCAGTTGGTAATGATGAAACCATCTATAAGTACTTCACTGCGGTGGCAGATGGTTCTCCTCTGCCGGTGATCCTGTACAACTACCCCGGTGCTGTGGCCGGAATCGACATGGACTCGGATCTGATCATCCGCATCTCGCAACATCCTAATATCGTGGGCACCAAATTCACCTGCGCCAACACAGGCAAATTAACTCGTGTCGCGACCGCTCTCAACGCCATCATGCCCAAATCGCCTCTGACACCCCACCGCAAGAATGCATCGACCAAGAAAGTTGAAAACCATCCCTATGTAGCCTTTGGTGGCATTGCGGACTTTACCCTACAGACCTTAGTATCAGGTGGTTCCGCCATCCTGGCCGGTGGTGCCAATGTTCTTCCCCGACTGTGTGTGCAGATTTTCAATCTTTGGAGCGCTGGTCGCTTTACAGAGGCTATGGAAGCCCAGCAGCTGCTGAGCGCCGCCGATTGGGTTCTCACCAAGACTGCCATCCCGGGCACCAAGGGTGCCATCCAGTCGTATTATGGCTACGGTGGCTATCCTCGTCGGCCTTTAGAACGGTTGAGCGAGGTTCAAACTCAAGCCGTGGCCGATGGAATTAAAGGAGCTATGGAGGTGGAGCGGTCGTTGCCGGATATTGCATAGTTAACTTCACTTGTACATAGCCCTTTGTGAAGAATAAACTGTTGGAAAGATTGAACTAGTAGAATGCTTGGCTGCGGCTGGTGCGGCCTACTTCTGGCCGTCAATATTAGAAATTTTGATATAAGTTGAGAATTCGACTGGTACATAAAATTATCTTAACCGAATTCTTAGAACGGGCCTTCGGACGGAATGCCGGTCCCTCTTCTAGCCAAAAGTTGCCCCCACGCCAAAATTACTCCAACCTAAACATCTCACTGGTGGACAAACTCCATCGGATGGAAGTTACTAACTCTTTGGTGGGATGTACAATAGTGGCTACCACTATTCTTTAGTAAGGGTGTCTAGATGAACTCTTGTAATACTAATGAGGGGTAAAAAAAAAAAAAAGGAAGTAGAACAACTGCATACCATGCTCCAATGATGCTTCGTGTCTTGCATACAGTCCAACCTAAGGTATAGTGTATTGCGGTCTAATAGATACAATTATACATCGACATGAATATTTGCTCGAAATTCTTGAAGCGGACTTGTCTGGTGCGGCAGTTAATGTAAACAAAGCCGTATAGGTCTCTTCAATCCAATCCCATGAGCATCGATTATCTACTAGCAGTATTTCAGTCGCTCAATCTGCTGCAGGCAGTGAAATTCTCCGTGTCATAGAGTGCCCAATCCTGCCAACTCGTCTGAGCATGATAATACCCACTGTGGTTGCAAACACGAGCAGTGAGCGCATGGCTCCGCAGTTCTGTCAGGTTGCTGGCGTGGGGACCAAATTATAAAGGTGGGCTTCGTCCTTGGTAGGGGCGGTCCTTCTCCCTCCCTGCTCCCACCATCTCTGACCATACATAGTCAGGTGTTTTCTTTTCCACCAAAACTCGATCAGTATCAACAAGATGCCTTATCCCGAGGAAGCTGAAGGCTTTCAGGTCGATGGACCTGATACCTATACCGACTTCCACAAGCGATTTGTACGTGCTGACCGTTCCCCTTCCCCTTCCCGTATTGCTCGACACAAGTCTAACGATACCGTCGTACGCAGTTCAAGTTGAAGCCATTCGGCGACTATGGTATGTTGGAACCGTCTTTGATACACCCATGAGCTGGCGCAACTGACCAACTTTTTTGGGATAGACGTCGACATCAAAATTGAGGCTTGCGGTGTTTGCGGAAGTGATCTGCACACCATCAGCGGTTTGTTCCTCGTCATCTGCCAGTATTCCCTTTAGCGCCCTCAGCAGTAACTAAAGCGGCATCTTTTGCGATAGGCGGTTGGGGAGAGCAGAGGTTCCCTCTTTGCGTGGGCCATGGTAAGTGTTATCTTTCTCGACCTCGTGAGCCTTTTAACGCGTTCACCTCCGATAGAAATCATTGGCCGAGCAATTCGAGTCGGACCGAAGGTCACATTGATCCAAGAAGGCCAACGTGTCGGCGTTGGTGCCCAGTCATACTCCTGTGGCGAGTGCAAGCAATGCAAGAATGGCAACGAGACCTACTGCCCCGTCCTCATGATCGACACCTACGGCACTGAGTGGCCCGAGACTGGTATCGTCAGCCAAGGCGGATACTCCTCACATGTGCGCACCCACGAGCACTGGGTGTTCCCCATTCCCGAGCAGCTGGAGTCCAACCTCGTCGCCCCAATGCTCTGTGCCGGTCTGACCGCATATTCGCCTCTGGTCCGCAATGGCGCCGGACCTGGCAAGAAGGTAGGAATTGTGGGACTGGGCGGCATCGGCCACTTTGGGATCATGTTTGCCAAAGCCCTAGGAGCGGAGACCTGGGCCATTTCCCGGTCTCGTGCCAAGGAGGCGGATGCACGAGAGCTGGGGGCAGATGGATACATTGCTACCGCGGAGGAAGGTTGGGAGAAGGATCACTTGTGCTCGTTTGATTTGGTCATCAATTGCGCTAGCTCTTCCCAGGGCTTCGACTTGGCCAAGTACTTGTCCATCATGGATGTCCATGGTCGCTGGATCAGCGTGGGACTTCCCGAAGAAGAAGGTCAAGTCATCAAAGCACAGAACCTGATCGCGAACGGAGTATTGATCGGGGCAAGTCACTTGGGCAGTCGGCGGGAGATGCTAGACATGCTCCAGTTGGCAGCTGACAAGGGTCTCAGGGGATGGGTTGAGGAGCTGCAGATTGGTGAGGAGGGACTCAAGGAGGCGATGATGCGAATGAAGAAGGGGGATGTTCATTATCGCTTTACTCTGACAGGATACGATAAGGTGTTCGGTTAAAGGTTGATGCACTCTATAAAGCCAGACATGAGAAAGATTGACGCAGAAGAAAGAAAGAAAGAAAGAGTTGAATGTTTTTACTGCTAAGAAAGGTGGGAGAGCATGTAGTAGAGGGGGATGGTCATCGAACCCCCAAGGTCCTTACCCAACTTATCATGCGGATTTAATGCAAGCTAAGCATTAGTAAATATATCAGCCAACCATTCATTATCTCCGATATGTAAGTATCCCCATGTTTTACCCTGTAGTCATTCTCCCGTTTGTGACAATGCCCGGGACTTAGTCTTCACAATATATGTTGAGTAATGAGCCCAATATGGCACATGATCCTTCTAGGGACTATCATACCAGCCCCAAGCCATCGACTAACTATCATGACAATTGCCAGAGCATACCTAAATTTGGATCAATATTGCTTGTCCAACTACCATCAGGGGCCAGAACAGGATGTGTTCGGAATTGAAGCTGTTGAAGCCACCGGTCAGAGGCGTAATAGCCGCAGTAATGGTCAAGCTCTCTGTCGGATCCTTCGTAGTGATGGAGCTGGACTTGCACCTGTTGCATCGGACAGAGTGTAAGCGTCCATGGAGGATGAAGTGCTGGTTATTGCCGGAGTGGTTATAAATTTCGTCCTTGTTGATATAGATGATTTAGAATGAGTGATAGTTGATGTTGAGCTTGTCTTGATAGCGGTCGTAGTCGTGGTCGTGGCTAGATTAGACTCTACAGGGTTTGGCGTGCTCGTCAATGAGTGTGTGCTTGATGGAACTTCAGGGTCGCTGCTGTTGTCGCTTTCATCGCATGTGTAGCCCCATTTACACTAGTAAATATCAGCCGAGGCTAAATCAAGAAGACGAAAAGAACTACACAGCGTGTCTTGGAATATTTATACCCATAATCACACTATTGGCATCACCACCGCATGTCGATATTTTTAGGAAGGCAACAAGGACTTACATAATACCCATCACCACAACACTCCGCGCTAAATGGAGCGCAGCGGTCACGGCATGGCTGTTCAGTATACATCTCACAGCACTGGGGTAGCCCCGTGCTATCCTTTCATCATCTCAACAAAGCTTCCCAGCGCCACAGCATCGGAGCCACAGCAGAAATAGGTGCAGCATCCACCACGATCACATTCCGTCTGTCCATATCCACAGCTAAGATATCTTGGGCCTAATATGGATCCATCGGCTAGAGAGGCGGTCGCATTTCTGGGAGGCGAGTATCGCCCGGTCAGGAATGGTTTGGCAATCTCATCAGACCTGCTAGTTACGGTCCGGGCCACGGTGATTGCCAGGGCCAACACAAGGAATAAAAGCTAAGCCATGGGACTCGTCTTTTGTGTTGTTCTCATCCCTACGCCTTGGGTGTGCTGCCCTGGGTTTATAACACTTTTACCTGTCCCCACATTTGGGGCCCATCGAATGTGAGGTACTCCAACGGCCGGACAACCGCATGCAACGCCAGACCGGATTAAATACTTGATTGGGGCCTTTCCTCACACCCAAACACGAGAAGCTGTCATGGCAAAAGGGCGGGGTTTGGAGTCTTCGTGACTCGGTGTCTCAGCTTCTGCTACTCTTAAATCGATGTAGAAGTGCAGTTTGCGGTGACAGCTCCAGGTGTTACAATAGACCCATTTAGGGCTGAGTTGCCTAATGTAGGCGATAGGGTATCAGAGCGGGCATGGCTCTGAGACGCAGATAATAGCTTTCGGATGATTCCACTTTAACTGAATATCTTAAGCAGCTATAGCCAGAATGGAAGATCTATAACGTTGCTGCAGGTCAAGCTTACTACGTCTCGTATAGACTTTTTCATAGCTAATGCTGACAAGTCTTTGGCATCCAGTAGATACCCTGGGTTATCACTTGAATATGCTATCCATCTGGTGAATGTCCGCGACTAGATGAATAACCCAGGGAAATAAGATTGAAATTGTCCCCTTAGGATGTATCCAAAATGAGAACATTAGATCTTCTCATCCGACCATCTAACTTGATAATTACCGATACATGGTAACAGGTACCGCTTCAGGTCCAGTATTGGCAACAGACACTCTTAGAGGGTGGACAATGTCATTGACAATGCTGACTTAGACATATACGTGTCCACGATCTAATAACGAATAGACTTTGAATAGCTTCCCCACGAGCAGGCCAAGACCACGATCACAATGTCCATAAGGAGTATTAACACCACAGTGAACATCGTGCATGTCGGTGTTTTGGAAGTTTGTAGTTGGACGGAGCTCGATGTTGCAACAGCTGACGACACAGCCTTGTCTGTAGTTGCCGGGGCAGCCATGTCTGCCGACGAGTATGTATCAGTCTCTTCGGACGCAATCCTTTCCTTAGGGCATGACATACTGCGCGCGTGAAACCTCTTCAGCAAAATAAAAAGGAATGGTTTTGACAGATTCCAATATTAGTAAAAGGAACTTGAAGAAAGGGTAGAAAGACCTCAGCGTGTGCTTCCATTGTTCCCAGCTCTCTACCTGCTGATATTGGGCTTCATCGGGGCAGTTCAACCAGAACTTGTATATCAGTTTCGTATTTCTCGTAATGCAATTCGAGGTTTAAGTCCAACCCACGACGCAGTCTGGCCTCTCTGTGCCCCTTTCCTTCTCTGTTTCTAACCTCGAACCTGCAGCGCCAAGAGGTCATATCCACTCCAAGTGGCAGCCCTAAGGTTGTTTACTTTAGTGACGCTACAATATCCACCAAGGGTTCCGAGAACAAGGCTGGAAGGGAAGAGCTTTAGTTTTGACAAATCGCGGAATAGCTCTACATTAAGATCTTCTCCAAAGTATCTATATTATGTCAAAACACCTTCTTTCGGCAGTCGGATCGCCGGGGTACATTTGATCGTCTGTCAACAGACTTTAGTCCTCCGCAATCCACCATGCGTTCTCTCTTCATTGGCGCATTCTTAGCTTTCGGCCTTTATGCCTCTTTCGTCCGCTTGGCAGAGCGAAGTCAAAAAAGAACTTCGGGCGGTCGGACCAGCGATTCTCTAAAGTGAACATGTCAATTGCCACTCTGGGCCCGGCACAATTTACGTAACAAAGGTGCAGCTATCCAAGTCCTGGACACGGGGGTATTACTTCATCTGCGTTAAGTTAGGAGAATGCATCAACTTGAACGGTGCGGTCAACTAGTACCTGTTTCCCTGGGTTGATTTGCTTGTCTTGCGCGGCTCTTGACGTCCGCGGATATTCTCCGCCGTCAAGATCCAGTTGTCGTTAGAATAACCTTACCTTAGGCAAACTTTAGCAATGGAAGAATCAAGGTACCTACCAATATCTGAAATAATTTCAAGATCCTCCAGGAATATTTCGAAGTTTCCGTTATAATAACATACTCTTTAGGCTAGGTCAGTTGCACGCTGTGAGATAACGGCTCCAGAATTAGATGTTCTTCGTAAATACATAAACCTAGCTGAGAATGTGGTACGTTGTATTTTTTTTTTAGTATCAAGCTCTTACTATCTTAATTCACACTTGATCCGTGGGTCAAGGAGTGCTACGATATAGTGGATATTCTGCTCATCTACGTTGCTGCGGGGTTACAGTTTCTTGTATTTCTTCAACCCCGCCGCAACGACCTCGGAGATATCGTCCGTAAGGAAGAGACTGTCTCCTTTGTTGGAAGTTCCTCGCAAATAGTCAAAGAGTCCATAAGAAAAGCTCATGTTCGACGCAAGCTAAGGCCTGACCTTGGAAACTTCCAGTGCAAGTCATCAAAGCGCTTCGGGACTGCTGTAATCTGTTTCAACCTTGTCCAAGAGATGGAAAGAAACGGCACGTCTGGAAATAGGTCCAGGACCTAATCAATCTCCTCAGACTGTCAAAGCACTCTGATTTGACGTTCATTTCAGTACGGCTTGTGATTAGACCAAAAATATACTAACCTAATACCTAGACCTCGCCATAACCCAGCAAATACTTGCCATGTTACAGGTATCACGCCAGCGGTTTCTGGTCATGCATCCTGTTTTCCTATAACGCTGCCTATAATTAACAGTCCCTGTAAATAATAATCTCAACAAGAGCTTCTAGCCACTGGTCTCCGAAGATATGTGCTTGAATTGGACGCTTCATTTAGTTTCTTCTTTCCGACTGGCCCGTCCGGCGCTTAGACACATATATAATACATGAACTGTTACATTCCTAGATAGAGAATTATTTCTGATAGGCCTTTCTCCTCTCATGGCACGGTAAACATCCAGTAGTTACAAGTCTGCCTTGCGCCACCGGTTACAAGGCTGGCGCATGGGACTCCCATATAAGATCCCCCGCCCTATTTTTTCCATTCCCCGCCTGCTCAGTAACAATCATCCTAGACTCCAGTCGACCTCCCTAAGTAGAAGCGAAATATGGGATCATCACCGCGACTAGCAACAGTTTACGATCTGGACGAAAATGACAACCCCATTTTGCATAGCAAACGGACCGCGAGTCGAGTATCCAAAGCGACATCTAATCCCCAGTTCCAGTCCAGAGGTAAAGGTAGCCGTTCCACATCCCAAGGATGCATCTTCGGCAAGTTGAGTTGCAAGGGCCCACTCAAGGAGATGGTGGCAGCCTACAGCCGCGGTCGAGAACATCCCCTCACTATCTTTACTAGAAGTCAGGACATCAGTCGAGAACGTAACGAGGTACCGGGGTACCCGTTTAGAAAAATCGTTTTTACTGGTATGTAAATCGATCCGCTCGTTATTGGTGAAGCAAGCGAAATGACGGGCATGCAGACGGGACGGAAATCTTAAATCCAGATGCGATGTATGATCGGGGCAGATTTGTCTGCTTGACGGCTTTCATCCCTAAGAAAGAGGAGAACTGTGCGGATCCAAGGATCTATGTAGAGCAGAGGGTTTATGAAGGCGGACAGGAGAAGATTATGGTCCTTGAGCTAGATCTTGGCGGTAGAGTCCAGATTGACATGGAGTATGTGTTTCCGGGCTGCGGTGACGAACATATCAATCTGGGAAAGCGTGACCTGAGACTCCATATCAGATCGGTAAGCTCCGCTTGCATACAGGTATGAGTGCTTTGATGAAGACAGCTAAGCCAAGATTAGCTGGAGCAAGAAGTCTTTGATAGCTACATGCTCCGCGCAAATTACTATGGCTATGACACCAATGACTATGTTTATCTTAACAGGCAGACCATTTCACATGGGCTGTCCTATGCACCTCGATCGAATGGGGAAGTAGTACCCTACAAACTATGCATTAGCGCCCAGGATCTACGAATTCTCCTCGATGCAAAGAGAAAAAATCAATTGCCGGCTGGCTCATTCCTACTCGATAGGATAGAGCTGCTTGAACTACGTTTCACTGGACTCGGGGAGCGCACAGGAGACAATACATACGCAGGTGACCTCTTTGTCCGGGTGATGTACAGTCCCTAAAGGCAGGCTTTTGTGCAGTTGCAATATGTAGAGCTTTTCTGTGGCTAGATGGTTTTATCACTCTACTTTTGCATAGGTAGGAAGACCCTTCCAAAAGCGGCTTTAGGCGCGAAGAGCAGAGTTTCGATTATGAGTCCATTCCGTCCATACTGAGTGACAGTGTGCTAATCTCTGGTGCGCACCATAAAATACAATTACAACAAACGAAGCCCGATTTCTGGCCGTGCGTCTGCCATGTAGATGGTTTCTCTGCTTCCTCAGCAAGTAGCGAGCAATCAATCTTTTCAGCCTCGCCAAATTTCACCTTTCTGTAGTTGAAAGTCTCCGCGAAAGATGTCTTTGCACCCCTTCATTCTCATATCTTCTCGTTCCTGCTAAATATCTCATCTTACTTCAGCTGCTACGAAAGGGCCGTTAGCAGTAACATTATAATATCAATCACTCTCTCATATTTCAAAGCAGGTTTAGGTGGCCTATCTCAACCATTAGCTAAACAACTAAGCTGTGGAATTGTATTCATGTTGGATATATATCCATTAGGCTAGTGCGGAGATGTAGCGGACAGAAATTTTGTAATATATTTTCTAGTTACCTTCGTTCCATGGACTGTAGAATATGATTAACGGCCTATGACATCTTAGTACAGTTCAATTCATATATCCATTCGGGAGAAGAGCACAATTGTAGAAACTATAGTCTAGAATATTAGTTTACTACTGATGTCTACTAAGGCATATTGGTGATTTTAAATTAGAGGATAAGTCGATACCATTATATAGCTGCAAGCTGTTATATCTGGAGCCAATTATATATACTTTTAAGGGTATAGAAGTGAGCAAAGTAAATATAAAAAGCGTATGTTCAAAAATAAGGTAGGTTGATATTAAAACCATGAGATTAGAATATCCAATAAGAAATTATAAACTATCCATTAAGTGTTAAAATAACGTGTCTTATTTTAATTGACGATCAGTTGGCACTTGACAGCACACTGACAGTGCCCAACGACACGAGTGGATCATGGTAAGGATTTGCGAAACCCCACGGGGGCGGAACGCGGATTTCTTGCACAGGCCTAGATTTCGGATGGAGTTGATGATGGAAAAGATACTGTGTACTAAAGGGAGTTCTGTACAGTACCAGTACTCAGTAACCAAGTTAAACTCCTGAAACAATCTGACTGTAAGTGACACCCACTCAATTGACCTGTTCCTTACTGGAATTGTTCATGCATTCAGAGTACTGATAATGTATTTGTTCCCAAGAAATTGTCCGGCTGACTTGTCAGACTGAGTTGGAGTCCCGAAATAGTAACCTCTCTCTCTCCCCAAAATTTTGTTTTCCTTTTTTTTTATTTTCCCTTTTTTGACCTTGTCCAAGTAAGGCATTGGGATTGACTTTGGAATTTACGTGAAATTACGGGGGAAGAAAGAGAAACTTGAACCTTCGAAGAGGGAAAAATTTTCTCTCTGAATTTTCTCTTTTCGCATTAAGGGTGAAAAGGTTTCCGCCACCAAGACCTTAAAGGTCAGGGGCAAAGGCTTTGTGTGGTACGGAGTATGGATTCTGGTCAAAATGGGGCATTGATAAACTTTTCCTTCTTCCATAAATGTAATTTCATTCGCCTCCAATGACACCCAATCAAGTTGCTTGCATTCATTAAATTGGGGCTGATCAGGCTGGGGGCAAATGTTATTTTATTTTTTTCCCTTCTTTCTTGTGGAGATCTCACCGCCTGCTGATAAGTAAGTTTTTCTCCCTTTTCTCTCCTCCTGACGTCTTTTCCTGGTCAGCATTCCGTTTTTTTATTATTTTTTTTTCCCTATTTCCTTTCTGTTCTCATTCTTTTTCTTAGACTTGCTAGATCTTCATCTTTTTGGTCCTTTCTCTCACTTTCTCTTTTGGTGTTAGAAAATCCTTTATCGCTTTCTTTGTTTCTTCAGGGTGTCGGTGTTTCTTATCAGGAGTTAAATTGTTCAAAGCGGACCATTATTTTTTTTTTTGTTTCCCTTGCCTACATCATTCAGCCCTCCATAGTTTGTCTGTTACAGATTATCCGCGGAAGAGTCCACAGACGCTTCGCTGCATAACTTATCGCCGATTTCACATTTCCCCTTGCTGCTCCCTGGAACTGTGTCTCAACACTCGTGAAAAGGGAGGCCCCTAGTGTCGATATATAGTTGATCTGCGGAGCTCCCGATACGACCTGCATTATCTCTCCCACGACATCTTTGCCTTACAACACCATGTCACCACGTGAGGCTTCTTCCATTCCCTCCCGGCGACGTCCTTCCCTATCCTTCAGACCTCGACCTCGGACAGCTACCTCGTCGACTCACCAGACGACCGCACTGGAAAACGACGTATGGGGCGGGGTGTCAGATGTTGATGAGCAGGGGCAGGTCTTGGAAGAAATGAATCATTTCCCCGAACCTGCCCCTCGGCGCCGGGAAGCGAAAAGCTTTTCCAGCCTGCGCCATCCCGTCGATGGCCTGCGTGCCCTAGGCCGTCGCTTATCGGTATCGATCCGTAACAAGTCTTCCAGGCATTGCGCCCACCATCATCAAGATGAACCGGATGATGTGAGCCATGAACAAGAATTCATGCCGAGCAATAGGCATTCCTGGTGCAAAGGCAGTAGTATCAATTGTCGGACATCCCATAGCAGTGTGTCGGCACTGCATGGCTTTTACGCACCACCTATGTCTCCCCGAGCACCGATTCCAGGCGGTGGTTTGGAGCCCCCTGTTCTCCCTGACGATATATATGCAGGCGCGGCGGCTCGGGCGGCAGCGGCAGCTCAGAACGAATTGGCAAGGGTCGAGAGGGATGGTGCGAAATATTCCGACACGAGGCTGACGAGGGACTCAGAGAGCGGCATTGGCATTGACCTGCGCGACCGCTCCGAACTCTCTGATTCCGAACCAGCTATTCTACGCTTGGATCCGGTGATTTATCTACCACCGGAGGTCATGTCACATGTCTTTACTTATCTCGACCCTCAGTCTCTCATGCAATGTGAAATGGTCTCTCGTACTTGGAGTGAGCAGGCATCCTCCCGGCATATTTGGAGACATGTGTTCCGCCACACCTATGGACACCGCCACCCTGGCGGGATCCCGAAGAAAAACCGATCCGCTGGCTTAGGCAAGACTCTACCTGACCAAGACTGGAAGAGAATGTTTCTTGTTCGACGTGCTTTAGAGAATCGGTGGAAGGAAGGCAAGGCCGCTGCTATCTATCTCCACGGACACAAGGATAGTGTGTACTGTGCCCAGTTTGATGAGTATGTAATTCAATAAGCAGATCGTTGTCACCAACTCACCGCTTGCAGGGACAAAATCATTACTGGGTCTCGTGATCGGACCATCAGAGTGTGGGATGCTCATTATCCCTGGCCGTGCCGCAAAATCATTGGACCCCCTCCAGGAGATGTTGCTGGTATTGGCCCGGTAAATAATTCATCCCAGCAATCATCTGGGAAGCCGCCTTTTCTCACAATTTGCCCTCCTCCCACGCTTTCCGCAGGGATTACTACCCCCGTCGAGCAAACCTCCGAATACCATAGTGCTTCCGTCCTTTGCCTTCAATTCGACGACGAGATTATGGTCACGGGATCATCTGACTATACCTGCATTGTTTGGGATATTCAGAATGACTACAAGCCCATTCGGCGCCTCGAAGGACATCGGGCAGGTGTGCTTGATGTGTGCCTTGATAGCCGATATATTGTCTCTTGTTCGAAAGATACTACCGTTTGTGTGTGGGATCGGCATACCGGGGCTCTTATTAAGAGGCTTGTTGGGCACCGGGGTCCCGTCAATGCAGTCCAGCTACGGGGCGACTTGATTGTCTCTGCGAGCGGAGATGGGGTCGCGAAGTTGTGGAACATCACGTCCGGACACTGTGTCAAGGAATTTCACAGCAAAGACCGCGGACTTGCATGCGTTGAGTTTAGCGACGATGCAAGGACCATTCTCACCGGTGGCAATGACCAAGTTATCTATCAGTTTGATGCAAACACCGGTGAGATGGTCAATGAGCTGAAAGGTCACGTTGGGCTTGTCCGATCTCTGCATCTGGACAGTGTGGGCCAGAGAATTGTTAGTGGCAGTTATGATATGAGCGTGAAGGTTTTTGATGCGGAGACCGGAGAGTTGTCGATTGACCTACCGGGCTGGACCACCAGCTGGATGCTAAGCGTGAAGTCTGACTATCGACGTATTGTGGCCACGAGCCAGGATTCTCGAGCCGTCATCATGGATTTTGGATATGGATTAGATGGCATTGAATTATTAGAGGGATAAAAAGGAAACAGCCCTAGACGAATACTTGCTATTTATCTGCTCTATCGCAGAAAAAGTTCTGGTTTTATGGGAGTTCATACGAGTACTTATTCAGGATATCTAGGGTCCTTTGCTTTGATTTGTTTCTTTTGCTCCAGTTGGTTGCACTTCTAGTTGGATATAATATTTTGTGGATATACGTTGGACAGCGATAGAGCGTTGCTACTCGAAAGATTTCTTTTGCTTTCTCACTTTGGGATTATTAATTGAACTTAGTCTCCTGCCTAAAAATGGTCCGTACCGTCCCTGTAGTACCCGATAAACTCGTCTTTCCCGTCACAACGGCGCCGTCGATCAACAATTACCTCCTACTTGGGTGGATATCATGGATCCATCATATATTTGCCTGAGGAATCAATTGTTTCTCGCGGAAAGGGGCAGGGGTCCCTGTGATTGGCCGAAGCCCCCCTTAGCGTCATGGCGGTCCCGTGGGTTTTGTCGACAGCAACAAAACAATCCTCTCGACGTTTATTTTGCCTCAATTCTCGGACCAAAACAAACTCTCACTTGCCTGTGGAAACACCCATCGCTACAATTTCTTTGTTTCCGCTGTCGCCTCCCTGATTCATTATACTCCCAAGAGCTCTTCCCGTGATTTCAACTGAACTCAAAGGCCAGCACCATATACCCCACCATGGGCGAATCTAGGTTCGTTGGACACCCCTTTCAGATCATTCTGCGAAAGAAGAAGCCTATCATGTGTGTGTGTGTGTGTGTGTGGAAATCGGCGACTAATGTCAACAACTCAATTAGACAAGAACTTCTAGGATGGCTCAACAGCCTGTTGCAGCTGAACCTTACCAAGATTGAGCAGTGCGGAACGGGGTACGTTCACCTCACGAAGATCTGTGCTTTCTTATACGGCCAGGGAATTTCCAGAAACCGAGGATGCGCGGGATATAATGCAATCCAATGTCCGCAAATGGTCTCAGTGGGCTAATGTGTGATCTTACATAGTGCTGCTTATTGTCAAGTCTTCGACTCGATCTTCAGTGAGTGTACAATCTTAACACGTATTCGTGTTTCATAGGACTAACAACTTGCTTTTTCCTGTGCAGTGGACGTCCCTATGTCCCGTGTGAGATTCAACGTCAATACCGAGTATGCCTACCTTCAGAATTTCAAGGTCCTCCAAAGTATGTTCCTGGGCCGTTTCGTTCTGGATTGGTGTGAAAACATCCTCGTTAACACAATCTTACTGCAGACGTATTCGGTCGCCACCAAGTTAACAAGCCAATTCCTGTGGAACAACTTACAAAATGCCGCATGCAGGATAACCTTGAGTTCCTGCAGTGGACGAAGAGATACTGGGACCAACACTACCCTGGTGGCGATTATGATGCCGTTGCTCGTCGGAAGGCTTCGGGTGCTCCTGCTAGTGCTGGTAGCTCTCGTGCGGGCGCGACCTCTGCTGGAGCTACGCGACGGGGAGCTACGCCTACTACTACCGCGGGTCGTCCACGAGTCGCCGCAGCGGGCGGGCCTAATGTATCTGCCCTGCAGCAAGAGATCGCGTCCCAGAAGGAGGCCATTTCCGGATTGGAGAAGGAGCGGGATTTCTATTTTGCCAAGCTTCGGGACATTGAGTTGTTGCTGCAAAGTGCCATTGAGGCAGACCCTGAGCTGGAAAAGGAGGAGGATACGTTGGTGAAGCACATCCAAGGCATTTTGTACTCGACAGAGGTATGACGGACTCAATTCCACAGGATTGACTCAGGATTAGGGGGGCTAACTGTCAGAATAGGAAGGATTCGAGATTCCTGCTGAAGAGGGTGGCGCAGATGAACTGGAGACATTCTAAGTTCCGGTTAAGAAACGATTGTCCGTTTTTAATACCCCCTCATAGTATGGCTAGCGTTGCGTGAGTGGTTTTGACGCCTCTTGTTTTGAGTAAATTTCCTGTTACTCTCATGATGGCCGGGTTTCTGGCACAGAAATGGAGAGTTAGAAAATCAGACGTTCTGTACGATTGGTGATAGGCCATTTGATTTTCTGTCTGTCTTCGGGCGAGAGTCCAATAGATTTGTTCTCTAGTTCTACCCTGTCTACCAATCATGTCCCACTCTTGAGGTAGTACTGCTAATACTATAGTAGTAGTACTAGACTACTACTAGTAGTCTGCCATTCAATTGGACCCGCTGAATGAGCCCATTAACCTACTCCTGCATTCTTCGAAATTTCCATTCCGGAGATGGAGTTCCAAGACGGGAGATAGACACGCCACTGCGGTATGTAAAAATAGCAAGAGTGGACCGAGACGGAATCTCCCAACAAAACATTTTCTATAAAAAATTGCTTACAAAGGGTACGATAAATGTCGTCGTCTGTAAGGCAGGTAGCCCTTAGTCAGTAGTTCACAGGTCCGAAGGTAGCACGGCAGAATAAGAGTTACACAACTTGCCAATGGAAATGGTAGAAGGAACTATAAGCTCACCCCAAACTGTACCTTGCAGCATGATAGATGGGAAAGCGACCAAAACACTAGTAGACCCCGGCCCCTTGCTGCAGGAGATATATCAGGAAATGTCCTCAGGCACTGGTCCGGGTCGGTATGTTTTATTTTCAATGGGGCATTTCCATCCCCCTTCCAGGCTAATATCAAGGTATTGTTGGCATTCCTGTGGGTATCTGCTCCTCGGTACAGGTTATGTAAGTAAACAAGCGAGAAAGGATGAGACGGCTGAAAAGAGTCTAGTCACTAGGTTGAGGTGACACATTCCAAGCCGCGTGGGGCGCACCGATTCGACATTGGCTAGAACATTCTGGTTGTTCATACCAATTTCCAGATAAAAATCCAATCATAGTACGGGGTTCATTTACACAGTGTTATTCAAATGTATGTATTCCGTACATACATACATACATACACTACCTGGTAAACTACTAGTAGGTAGACAGATCATGGTATTGATCTTTCCCCATGTTGGAGAGTATGTTTGCTCTCTCTCCTTGCCTTGCAGAGAGCCTCGAGATTTTATAGTTTCTCGGTTGTGGATGAGGTGATGAGCCGTTGAGATCTCAGAACGTATGAAAATCGCTGTAATGAGATAATGACAGGACGGCATTATATATTAAACAAAGCCACTAAGCAAGGCTAGTTAAATGAAAATGAGACCTGGAATCAGTGTCTCATTAAACTCAGTCTTGGCTCTCGCACTTCCCGCCAATGACAATTTAGATCTGAGTGCAAAAACGGCATCGCTTGATCCCTAAAATGGGAAAGCCGTCATTACGCATCTAGTCGGTATTGTCGATGGAATACAGGAACACCAGTAATTAAAGACATATGGAGCAAATCTACCAGTACAAATGTACAGACACTTAATGTAATGCAATTGATGGGTATTCTCATCTTCTTGAGCATATAGCAATTCATCAAGATAGCCTTAAAGAGGTCGCTTCGTGACTTCACTCGGAAAACCAATCTCAAGGTTGACGTTCTAATTCATCCATGTTGTTGATGTGGGTATGGATGGTAATGCCGTATTGTGACGACTAGTGACGGTGCAAATCTAAGACCTGACCCTCCCCAGACGGGCTAGGATGTTGTTGTTATTCTTAGGTCTGGCCTGATCGATTCTCTGCCGCTCTCTTCTCATTGTCAGGTCCAACGTCGTCTTTTCCTTCTCTCCCCTCACCTTCACTCTCCTCCATCACCTTCTCCCGCCTTCACGCTCCTCCCCTCCCCTCCCCTCCCAATTCCCTCTTCCCTTAATCCTCCTGGAGTTAGTGGACGGAAACACATCCCAGGGGCCACTCTACAGTTATTCACGCCTCATTGTCGCGGCTTTGAATCGGATGGTGGAAATACCGAGGTGACATTACTACCACGGAACAGTTTGGAACAAGCGAGAGACAAGGCTGGGTCCGGTGTCAACGTGGATCCCGAGCCCTGAGGAAAAGTGAACCGGAAACAAATTTGGCGATCATATTCTCGAGGTACCTAACCATCGTCGAGGGTTTCTTGTCAGTTTATTTTCCCTTCGCAACACCCAATTCGATGCTTTCGGCAACGATGGATTAGAGCCGGAGGAGATCTCAAACTTTGGGGAAAGTCTCATCAACGAAATCCCGATAAAAATTACATCTGCGTTCGCTTCTCTTCATTCATTCCTTACAGGTATGTACGAGCTCAGATGTCAATTGTATTTGAGATTATCATGAGATACGTGGATGACGAATCTTCGTCATCCGCTGCTCGTAATCTTGGCCACCATTTACACCGTTCTTCAGCGATCGTGATGGCTAGCTCGATTTCTTATCAATCCGGTTTATAGATTTCCATGCATTTCGAATTTATTTTTTCCGTTATTACTCTTGAAATTGTCGGCCCTTCGGTGCAGCTGACGTCCGCTCCTTGGTCCTCACGAATTTAAAGACTTCTAATCTTGTCGGAAGTTCTCTGCTTGGGCGAGCCTGAGCAATCCCTTAGTGACCGCTTGTCGTTCTTTCAATAAATCCTGATATATTCAGTCTGCGGCCTACTTGGCCTTCGCTCATTCAAATCTCGGCTTTCTAATTCTTTGCGCTCTCTTGAAAACCGCTTCTTTCGCAGACAATCTAAGTGTTGTGCAGGCAGGCACCGTATACTTTATTCTTCTTAACCCTCTTGAAACTCTGCGGCTCGTGGGTTCGATCCTGGGCATCAACGGTGATCTTAGTCGATCGCCATTCCCTCGACTTGCTACCACTCGTCCAATAACTTCCTGGCTGGTTTCAGCTGAGAGCATACTCGTATAGCTAAGAGCGGGGCCGGACCAGAATGGCCCATCATGGCAATAGGCACCCTCGGTATAGCAGATTGGTGAAGAGGACTAATATATCAACAGCTAGTAACGATGATACGGGACGTACGAACAACGGGAATTCATCGGTTTACGGGACAATCATAAATACCTCAGGAGACAGGATGAGGCGGCAAGCGCAGGAAGGGTCGCAGCTCGAAACGAGCGGCGAAGCACCCGCGAAGGACCAGGCGTCTATGCAAGCCACGATAGCTGTGAATGACAACCCCCCGACGACACCTAATGCTCCGGCAGCAACTCCACCACCTCCGGCCGATGTCAGCCAGCCCACGGAATCTACAAACTCTTCTGACCAGAGCCCCACGGCTATTTCCTCCCCCACTCCCGAAGAAAACCCCTCTTCTACTTCCACATCGGACACAGCATCTGTGACGACTAGTCATGATTCCCCGATCTCGCCTAGCTCTCTTCCTATGATCTCTTCTGCTTCCGTCACTGCTTCTTCGCAGACAGCTCTTTCGCTCACGAGCTCTACTGAAACGCCCCGGTCATCTTCCGCTGTAGCCTCCACAACGAGTTCCCCGACATCTAGCTCCAGCCAAGCCTCGTCTTCGACATCGAGCTCCAGCTCCAGCTCCAGCTCCTCCAGCACAACTACAACGTCGTCAACAACTACATCCACGACAACCTCTACCACATCAGAGCTTTCTACGACGTCCTCACCTTCTGGCACCGAAGGTGGTGCCTCGTACGGCTGGGGTGGAGGATCAGGGCCCTCGGCCACCGAGCAGATCCCTTTGGCCACAAGCACGACCTCTTCAACGACTAGCTCTTCTTCCCAAGGCTCTGGTGCTCTCGACAGCGAAACAAAGGGCAAAATTGCTGGCGGCGTAGTTGGCGGCGTAGCTGGCGCTATGGTTTTGGTACTGATAGTTTTCCTCTTGCTCCGGAGGCGGAAAGCATATCAACATAGAGCTCCCGAAGTCCTCCCACACGGCGATATGACTGGCACTGCTATAGGAGAAGGATCTGTAACCAGATCAGCAGATGTGGTCTCGCGTCGGTCCAGCAATGATCCCTTGTTCACAGCGTCATACTTTGCGCCGGCGTTCATGAAGCGTTGGAGACAATCACGTCTGTCTACCCATACAGAAAGTACTTTAGATTCTGGCGCCAGCGAACGTGGTTTCCAAAAGATATCTGGTCGGAAGATTCCCTCAGTGCTACAGTCGGGAGGGGATGGATATGGTGGTGGTTTCTCAGAGGGTTCCCCAACTGTCTCGGAGCCAAGTATGAGTTTCCCGCCAGGCTCACCGGTCCTTCCACGTTCACCGACATCTCAACCGCCTCCCTCAACACCGTATGGCATGCCATTGGACGTGAGTTATACTAGGGAAGACGAGGAGACGCATCCCGTGGTGATATTCCGACCATCGCCTGCGAGGACACCTATTTCTGGCTCCGCGGACGCTAGTTTATCCAATGAACCCTCTCTATCGCGGATTGTCCCTGTGGCGCAGGGGGCATTGTCTCCCACCGTACCGAAGCGACCAGATATGCTGGGTCGAAGTCACCCCAGCTTTGACGGTAGCCGGGGCAGCCGGTTTACTGAGAGTATATGATCTTGTCCGCCATTTTCGTTCCTTTTTGACCATCGCAAGCATCTCTTTCGCTATCAAAATGACTGGATATATATCATAGGAGCTTTGCTCCGTACATATGTTGATCCGCTTGCATCTTTCTTTACTTCAGGACATGTCACCCCTAGCTTTCTCAGGGCTTTTGATATTCTGATCCTGTTGTACTCTTACTCTCTGTTTCTTATATGGATACCCCGAATTGAGTTAACTGTTCCTTGTTTGTTCCTGTCTAATCTTTCTTTGCTTCTCATATGTCAATAATTCCGGTGGAGTTTGTATGTTTAGGAAGATAGGGTGTGGGTAATGAACATGACTGGAATATCTTAGTTGCTTATCGATAAGCAACCGGAACGGAGTTACTCTCTCCATTTAGCCTGATAAGGAACGATTCCAATGACATAAGAAGTCGAGGACCTAAACGGGCACCTTGGCCAATCAAGGCTTGGCTATTAGAGCGTGACCTGGAATGGGCAGGGTTGCGACGTGAGGTTTCATGGACTATATAATATATCTTAAGTGCATTCATTGATTCGCATCTTTCTCTGTGTCGCTGTGTTTCTTTTTAATAGCTCACAGCTATCTATACCTACGAGGTTACCATAGTAATAAGATTTATCATGGGAGAGTCTAATCCCCCGACTCTCGACAACCTCACCCTATCTCCCCTTTCCCCACCTCACCCTCAAAACATGAAACCATTACGTTTTCTTGTCATCGGCGCTGGTTCACGGGGCAATGCTTACGCTCAAGCTGTCACTAATGTCACCTCTGGCGTGATCCACGCCATCGCTGAGCCCCATCCCTTCAAAAGACAGGAATTTGGCCGGAACTATATCTGGGGTGATAACGGCACCCCACAGGACGGCCAGGAGTTTAAGGACTGGAGAGATTGGCTACGATGGGAAGTCCAACGGCGCGAACAAGGCAGTCCTTCTGCGACTGTTGAGACGAATCATGCAGCCGTTGGCATCGACGGCGTGTTCATCTGCACACTGGACGAAACCCATGTTGAGATCTTACAATCCATCGCCTCATTGCAACTCCACATTCTCTGCGAGAAGCCGCTCGCTCTTTCACTCTCCGACTGTCTAACGGTCTACCGCGCCATACTACCAGAGGAAAACGGAGGCACATCGCCACACTCCTCCCCGCCCGCCATCTTCTCCATCGGCCACGTCCTCCGCTACAGTCCGCACAACATCCTCCTCCGCAAACTCCTCCTCGAGGACCGCGTCATCGGCGACATAGTCTCACTGGAACACTGCGAACCAGTCGGGTGGTGGCATTTCGCGCACAGCTACGTCCGAGGAAACTGGCGACGAGCAACCCCCGAAGGCGACGGCTCCCTGCTCACCAAATCATGCCACGACCTCGACTTCATCCTCTGGCTCCTGTGCTCCCCCCTGCCCCTCCCCATCGACACCAAACTCTCTCCAGAACAGCAGCAGGAGCTCCTCAAGCTCCAACAACCCCATCTCCCACGCACAATCTCCTCATCAGGCTCCCTAACCCAATTCCGCAAATCGCGAAAACCCCATGCCGCAGGCTCGGCAACAAACTGTCTATCGTGTCCCGCGGAGCGCGACTGTAATTACAGCGCGCTCAAAATCTACCGCGACATGCACGTCGCAAAAGCCCACTACGACTGGCCCGTGAACATTGTCTGTCCCGACATCGAAGATGTCGTCCGAACCGCCGACCAGACTAAAGCCGCAGAGCAGCATCTCCTCCGCCACCTGGAAGAAGATTATACCCCTGACACAGAAGACAGGGATATTGCGCGCAGACCCTGGTATGGTCGGTGTGTCTACGAATCCGATAATAACGTCTGTGACGATCAAGTTGTGACCCTCACCTGGGATGATGAGGTGGTTCCTGAGTCTAGCCTGGACGCCACAACTACTAGCGGTTATTACTATCCCCGAACGTCTAAAACGGCGATTTTTCATATGATCGCGCCGACAGAGAAGCAGTGTGAACGTCGTGGTCGGGTTTACGGTACGCAAGGCGAGATTACCTATGATTCGAGGAATATAGTTATCTATAGCTTCTCGACACGGTCGACTAGGTCTATTGAGGTGCCTCGTCCGCCGCCGGAGGAGGAGAAGTCGCATGGTGGTGGTGACTATGGTCTTGCGAGGAGTTTTGTCCGTGCGGTGGATGCCGTCGTAAATCTGGGTTGGGAGGTTGAGTGGGCGCAGAGGTGCTTCGTGGGGTGTACGTTGGAGGAAGCGGTGCGGAGTCATGCGGTTGTTTTCGCGGCGGAAGAGGCGAGGAGGGAGGAGAAGGTTGTTCAGTGGAAAGATTGGTGGGAGGAGAAACTTCAGGATTCCACTGGGACGAGATCGGCCTGTGATTGATTCGTCCGTTCTTGCGAGAGTTACGCTCCGGATGGGTAATGATATGATATGACGCTATGGCACAGTTGATGAACCAGTCTTGAACGGTAATGAGTTATGATTGATTATACTGCTATGCGATTAACTATCTTATGTGACTCTCTGCCCATGGACGGGATTTATTTCTTTCCATCATAAAAAAGTCAGTGCCATACACGCTTGTGGCACCATATTTACAAAACATCAATTCGTAGACACTTTAAGTGCGGACGTCAGGTTCCTCGCGGCCAATGAACTCCTTGAAGTTGAGCAGCGACAGGGCCAGATCAACATTGTCCTTCAGGTACTCGGATGCAGTCAGGCCGAACTTGCTCTTGTCGCTCTCGTACTTCTCAATGTAGAGACGGATCGTGGCACCACTGCTGCCGGTACCGGACAAACGGACGACAATGCGGCTACCATCGTCAAACTTGGCATACAGGCCCTGGTTCTTGGACACACTGCCATCTAGATCGGTGTAGGAGAAGTTACCCACATCGGTGACCTTGCGGCCGGACACGGTAGAACCGATGAAGCCGTCCTTGTTGGCGACCTTGTCAGACAGGATAGCAATGACCTTGTTGGCACCGTCGCTGTCGACGTTTTCGTAGTCGTAACGGGTGAAGAAGGTACGGCCGTAGGTCTGCCAGAACTCATTCTGGATGGAGGCGATGCTGGGAGTCTGGTCCGGCTTCTCCTTGGCCACACCAGCAATGATGTTCAACCAGGCGACGATGGCCCACAGACCATCCTTCTCACGGATGTGGTTGCTACCCGTACCGAAGCTCTCCTCTCCGCAGATCGAGATCTTCTTGTTGTCGAACAGGTTGCAGAAGAACTTCCAGCCGGTAGGCACCTCGTAGCTCTGCAGACCCTGTGCCTTGGCGACCAGGTCGACGGCACCGGAGGTAGGCATAGAACGGGCCAGACCGTAAACACCCTGCTTTTGGAAGTAGGGAATCAACTTGGCGTGGTGAGAGATGATGGCCAAGCTGTCACCGGGGGACACGAAGGTGTTAGCACCGTAGATCATGTTACGGTCACCGTCACCGTCACTGGCCGCACCGAAGTGGATGCCATTCTTGTCCACAGCCTCAACCAGTTCATGAGCGTAGACTAGGTTAGGGTCAGGGTGACCACCGTTGAAGTCGGGGCTGGGGACACAGTTCATAGTGCTGCTGCTGGGCAGACCGAGCTCGTTGACGAAGATATCGACACCGTAGGGGCCGGTGACACCGTGCATGCCGTCGAACAAAACCTTGAAGTCCTTGTGGGTATCCAGGAACTCCTTAATCAGGTCGAAGTCGAAGATCTCCTTCATCATCTTAACGTAATCGGTGGTCGAGTGGACAACCTCGACCTCCAATGAGCCGTAGGTCTTGGAGCCAATGCTGGAAAGATCAATCTCCGGGATGTCGACATAGTTATAGGAGGTGAGGGTCTTGGAGGTCTCGAAGATCTTGTTGGTAACAGTCTCAGGAGCGGGGGCACCATTGGCCAGGTTGTACTTGATACCAAAGTCGGCATTGGGACCTATTGCAAGGATTTAGTTGGCGCAATCTATGGATCTAACGCGCTTCAGACACTTCTTACCACCGGGGTTATGACTGGCGGTCAGCAGAATGCCACCGGTGGCCTTCCGCACACGAATCAGGTTACTGGCAGCAGGAGTACTCATGATGCCGTTCTGGCCAACCAGGAGCTTCTTGACACCATAGGCGGCACTGATCTTTGCGATCTTCTGGATGGCTTCCGGATTGTAGAAGCGGCCATCGCCACCAATGACGAGGAAAGAGTCCTTGGCACCTTCGGGGATGGAGAGGAGGATACTGGTGATAAAGGATTCGGAGTAATGGGGCTGCTGGAAGACTTTGACCTTCTTACGAAGACCGGAGCTACTAAAGGTTAGCAAAGACTCTGTAGAAGAGACAAGAAGCAGAGTAAAGGGAAGATAGATAGATAGAGACATACGTTCCGGGCTTCTGGTCAGCGAAGGATTGGAAGGAGACGGTCTGCACGGACATGGTGGGCAGCTAGCTATAGGGAATTTAGGAAAGAGGGAAAGAGGAAGCAAAAAGAAGAGAAAAAGGAAGAGGATATTATATATGGAGTTTATGAAAAGGCTTCACCGACGATTGGGAAGGAGGAGGAGGGTGGGGGGAAAAATAGTAGTTGGAAGAGGAAAAAGAGTTATAAATAAAGGAGAGCTTGAATTAAATTGAGGGGCAGAAGGGAAACATGTCATCATCCAAATGTACGCCGTCCAGCCAAAACCTCAGGCAGGGCAAAAAAAACTGCCCCTCAGTTGATTATACTCCGTCCCCACTTCATGCCGCTTTTGCTGTCCAGGCTTCCAGGCCCCGGGCGTGGGGCAACCATACGAGTGCGTGTGCTGAATGCTCTCAACTGACTATATATATATCCATTCACAATATTCATCCTACGGCCATTATCAACTACTTTGGTCGTCCGTATTTGAGGATATCAGAGAGGGATGAGCATAAAGGAGCCATGTTATAGTCGCCTACTTTGGATATATGCCATCAACAGGAATGCTTTATGCGGCTAAATATAAGTGCTGATACCGAAATACTTGGTCCAAGATCTCTACTGAAATATAATGGAGTCCGTTCTCGCACAATAGCTCATATATCTCTCGAGCAGTTCCCAGCCAACATTCTTTAGACTCCTTCGGCGCTCTTAGGCGTGAAGTAGGAACGGCCTCCTTTGACAGATCGAATCGCGGCCCGAATTCGCCAACATACAAAGTTATTATCTTTATACCCTACTTCTTTGCGATGGCCGAAATATCTTGCGGGGGAAATTCTTCACTTAAAATGCTACGATAAAATACAGATGGAAGCTCGCAGAGTTTCGGGCCACCAGCCCGACGAGGCTCCTCGACAAAACCATCATTCGCAGGCATGGAAGAGTCACGGGAAAACATAGATGCTTCTAGGCATTCTCCGGAGGAAGATTGTGGCGTGAAGCCAGCCTTAGTTGGCTCCATTGAAGTCGATCTTAGGTATGTCGCTATTGCTGCGCCGTACAAGTCAGCGACAAGTTCTAATATATGGGTATAAATTCGGATGCGGGAAGGTTGTAGAGACGAACAGCAATAACCTTTGTATGTATACAGTCACTGCTTGTCGCGAGTGTCTATAGATCCAACAATATAAGGAAGAGGTAATATTTGTTGAATAGCCTAAGCGTAACCAAGCAACAATTATATAGAGAATGTGTATATATATGGTCAGTCACCTAAAGGATGCTTTGAATTTCTATTCCTGGTCCTAACCTAGTAGCACGACCTTTTGACAACTTCGTCAATAAAGAATTTGCATTTCATTACCACATAGAGATGCTCACCTTCCATAGTTTATTCAAATGGGCAGATCTGCCCATTGCGACCTGTATCACGATCCCCATAAAAGAAACATAGATATAGCGATTTTGTTCCATCGAATCTTTACAAAGGGAGAGACTTGTCAACTGACATGAGATCCTTCTGATATAACAAAGAGCAGGTCAAGGCAAGGAGAAAAAAAGGAGTACTCGATAAAAAAGAGTTCTAGGTGAATGTAGACAGGATACCATGGTGCGTGTTCAATGAGCTAGCCGTGAGTGGTTCGAAGGGCTTCCAACAAAAGCGGCGAACGCTAGGGGCGGGAAAGCGGCAACGAACCTAGGAAGAAAAATCAATTAATTCGACTACAACAACTATTTCAAAACTAAATTTAAAAATAGATACATTATAGGTACTATTTCTAAGACATTCAATTTCTTCAATGGGTTCCCCTTTTTCTATACGAACATCCACTTTGGAAGAAAGACAGAATTAAAATTCAAACTATGCCTCTCGACAAGAGTTGTTCTCTTCCATGGAGCTATAGCCAGCTCCAAACCTTGGAAGACGGACGGACCCCTCTGGCTGGGCCGCGTTTACTCCATCTACGGACAACTCATCAATCTTATTGTGCCAATCGGCGGGCTCTTCCACTGCACCATCTATCAACCGTACTGGAAGACGACCCCTGCCATGGTGTGAAGATGGCAAACGTTAAGTACATCCTCTTATCAGCTCCGATTATAAATATCTCGAAATCTAGACTTTCTCTAGCTCTAAGTCGGAAGGGTGACTCCAATGACATCAAATCCAAAGTAATGCACATCGCCTCAGCAGTACTAACCTAGAATTTGAGATATACATAGAGGGTAAAATTGATGGTCTGACAGTTAGACTATAACTGAATGAGTACTGCGGTATGTTAAGTGAAGACATCCTCTTAAAAGATGATATCACAGCTGGCTCTTTCTGCTTCCACAATATCTCAGGGGCTCTTGATTATTTCAAGATATCCTTCACATAGCGAGGTTCCGGCAATGAAAACAATTATCTTCACGTCGAAGATCAAAGAAGATTCTCAATCCAGGAGCTGTATTTCTCCTACACTTCTCCGTTCGAAGACCAGCGTCTCGGCTGGATAGAAACCCGGGCCGAAAGTAAGACGTCTAGAGCCAGCCCTATAACGGGAGTTTCAGAGGAACCACCCAAAAGTACCCCAAACAGCACTCCATAGCGACACGGGAGCGGATACAAAACGGCCTTCCCTTAAGAAACTACCATACCCCTCAAGTAGTCCGCCAATAGACGCCAACATATCGGCATTCAAAACATCTCGCAGCAGTTACAGCAGCAGCAGTCACGTCCCATGTAAGACTCCACCCAAACTAACATTACCTATCGGCCCCCACTCCCAAACAGCCTCTCCCTATAAAACCGCATCTCCTCAATACTCTCCAGGATATCATCCTTGGCTAAATGCACTTCCTTCTTCCTAGGCACAGCAGCCAACAACTCATCCGCACCCCACCGTCTCGCTGCCTCCTTAATAGTACTCACATCCAAAATGCGATAGTGTAACCACTCCAGGACCTTCGCATACGGACCCCGCGACAAGAAAGCCTTATCCGCATGCACGCTATTCCCTGCCAATAGCGCCGTGCGCGGCTGCGGCACGTATCGCTGGATGTAAGCCAATAGCTCGGATGCAGCGGACTCCGGGGTGACGGTGGAGGCGAGGACAGTGGCAGTTAATCCCGTGCGGCCGTGGGTGTCGATGCACCATTGCGACATGTTATCTATGACGGATTTGGGGGCGTGGATGACGGTTTCGAAGCCGTGGGGGTCGAGCAGTTGGAGGTTAGCGTCGGTGATGAAGCAGCAGATTTCGATGATTTGGTCCTTTTCGGAATCTAGGCCTGTCATCTGTTTTGTGTTTGAGTATTAGGTATTCCGGTTTATTTGTAAGGGTGGAGTGGGGAGTGGGGATGCGTACTTCGCAGTCTATCCACACCAGCGGATCGGATGAGCGTGCTAGTGGCATGGTGAGGATGTCTTTGCGAAGAGCTTATCGGTTCAGTGAGACTGAAAAGCAATTGGAGAGATTGGAGAGGTGGGAAAAAATGGTGGGAGCGGAAGAAAGCTTGAAGTCTGCCGGCGACTTTGCGGGGAGAAATTTAATCTCGGGGTGATAAGATAAAGGGACAACATGGAGTACTTTCTTATACATATACGGACTACTACTCTACTAGGAAAACTAAAAGTATCATAAAGTAATCTAGATTTATCTAGAGTATTTTGAAATACTTCACTACGTGAGACCTGACCGGTAAGAACTATATTAATTGTGAACATAGTAAATAGGACAATATCGCTGTACACAGGTACAATCTCCAAACCTCTCAATCCCTGATCACAAGAGAAACTCTAATCTTTTGGATATATTAAAGTCTATACCTCTACACAACGCTTGTTTAAAGGGAATATTTGGACCTGTACCTCTAGAGCTAACGAATGAGACCGTCTAGCTTTCTCGTGCTAGGGGTTTGTACTCTGACTCGTAAATATCTCCATTTCTAAACCAATCGTTGGGTTATATCGAGGATCTGTCAAATCTATTCTCTGAAAGTACCATAGGTACCTTACTTAAAAAGGCTTCCTTTAGTTTCTTGCGCCATTCAATGATGGTGTTCACCTTGAATGCAATATAGATTGATGGGGATCCACACAATTGGACCAACGTCAACTATTGCCATTAGCAGCTCAAGAGCTCCATTAGGGATGAGTAATCACAAAATGGAAATATCCACCAACCCGGTATCCTAAGTCCTCTCCTTCATGTAGGAAGTTCGAGGTGTCTAGCACAAACAGCGAAGTCAGAAAGGAAAGGGGGAGCTAACCCGAACAGTTAGTTGAACGCTGCCATCAACAGCCTCATAAAAGTACCCACAAATATGATAGTTATGATGGTGAAAACTATGACACTATTGGGTCATTTTGCGGTATCATTGACTTGCAAGCGCCCGAATTCCGCTTCTGTAATTTTTATCTGTCACTTGCCAGAAAGTCTGTTACACGCACAAATTAAGAGAGAAACTCACAGCATTCTGCGCCATGCCAGCCTCGACAACCATCTCTTCGAGCTTCTTTTTGACCTCGGTCGGTGTGCAAAGATGATTGTATATGGAGCCGTAGCTACTGCCGCGACCCTGGTCATCAAGCTTGAAAGCCTGCTTCCAGGCTACTTCCTGATCTTTTGCCAACGTTTGTAGAATGTGCAGTTCGTCGCGAATGTCCTAGATCCCATTGAGGAGCTTCGTCTCGTTGAATATAACATGGTATGAGTTGTGAGATGCTTCCCGGACCAACAAGGCACTTAGCTGAGGGTTTTCTTTGTGCTTGACGGTTTTGTCCACTGCTGCCTTCTCTTTATGCTTTTCTCCCAAGTGGCTCATGAATTTACCGAAATGTGCGATTTCTTCGTTGGCCTGTCGAGGTTAGTACGACACCCGACCTATGATTAAAGAGAAGGACCCGCATGAGATCATCTTCCTGCTCATCTTACCTCTTTTTTCGGGATGTAATGATGGCTCCTATCAAATGATTAGACAGAGCACTAGGGAGATAGGATGTTAGACCGTACTCTCATCCATAATCCAAAGCAACAGCTGGTCAATCAACAAAATGGCCTTTTTGTTCCGCCTCTTCTTTTTTCTATTGCCTATGTAGTGCGAAATCACCTGGTTTTTGTCTCTGGCTACAGTACTTTATAAGGCTATGTAGTAATACTGATTGAGAGTCATGGATTGATGATCAATTCGCCTCGACAGCCGACCGATCATCGCCTCAAACGGCCCTGTGGTTGTTTTCTTAACATCTGTGGCTTCTAGTTCATCATCACCAGGTGAGGCATTTTTGCTGTCCGCTTCCTTTTCTTGGTCATTGCCACTATCATCTCCATCTTCTGGTAATTCGACCTCCCCTAATGATAAATGTGAAATACGGCATCTGTTACTGTCAGTTACGGAGCTGGTGCGTATGGTAAAAGTGCCTACATAAAGAGCAAGGGGTGCCTGTTGATGACGATTGTCTTAGAGTATAATTCTGCATTCCTGCCTCGTAATATCGAGGTATACTTCCTATTGCATTAATAAGTATTATACCTGAGTTATCACGACAGGATTGCAGACATACTAAACATTGTGGCTTCATGAAGTCCTTCTCTCCTCTGGCAGCCACTTCGGTCCAACTTCGATTAAAGAAATTGGCCAACGGGCAATGGTATTTATTTTTTCTCTTAGAGCCTCTAGAAATATGGTTAAGTAGGTTCTAAATAAGATCAGCATATAAAGTTAATAAATAATATGAGGAACCTTCTACGGTCCACCCTCATTAGCGGCATCTATCCATCCTTTGTTAGCTGTGGAATATTCTAATGGTAATGGTTGATTTAATGGTCACTCCTACATTAGTGGCAGGGATATGAATCCACCGAAACTTCAAAATGTCAGCACGAACATTGGCTCGCTCTTTCCCTCTTCCTCGGTTGGCGCCCTGCTTGGAGTGTCTCGAGATTGCACTCTGCATCCGGTGGTACACCTTTCCGGAAAGACTCGGAATCATTGATCTCTCATCCATGGCTCCCATTGAGTTGCCGTTTTAGAGAATCTAGCCCATGATGATCCAGGCTTCCGGCTTCCAACATAATATCTCCGGGCCAGGATTCGTGGATAATTCCCGCATTAGTCGGTGCGCGTAGATGCCCTTGACCTTTGTGCCATCAGAATAAGTATCAACAATTGTTCCTAGAGTGCCGAGAACCTTGCCATCCTCTGCTAGGGGGTCATGGGCAAGGGGTAGCCCCTCATTATTAGAATTGGATATATGTCCTAGGGCTGTGGAGGGCTAAGAAGTACTTGCTTGCTGCTTGAGTCCAAGGGGTCTTCTTGATATTGCAAAATGCCACGAGCAGTTTGAATCTCGGCGCTACCCAAGTAGTCTCCTTTTGATAGAAGTCACCACACTGTAACTGCTTGTGAGTGATAGACAGCCCAGTGCAAGGCACGTGAACTTGCTCATGTCCACATGTGCGCTACTTGGGGCAAGGAATTAATGTTGAAACATTCATATTAGGATCCGTTCTTGTCCTGGTTTCTCCAATTCTGTAATCAGTTCTAGGGTTGCCTCTGCTGCTTTTCGGTGGGACGTCATGAGCCTTGGGCAGGCCTGATGAAGGTCTCAAATTCAGGCCACAGCATATTTTCCTCATCGCTATGATTTCGATTTACCGCTAAGAACAAGGGAAGCTCAATGGTTAATTTTCTGGATGTTTGCTGCAATTTTTCCCCGAGCGGTATCACCCACTAATTTCTTTTGTATTTGACCAAACATGCACCTCACCACGATACTTGTTTTCCCACTTGCGGCCGCGAGGTGCAAGGCTGTTGTGCCATCGTTGGTCGTCGAAGAAATGTCAACGAAAGGAAGAAGCTTTTCAACTGCAGCAGGATGTCCACTTTGAACCGCAACATGGAACCAATAAGTCAAACCAGCCTGTCAGCGCTAATCATGCATGTTCTCGAGGTGATGAGGTGGTCCTATCGACTATGACTATTAGTTCGTGAACCGCTGGTGGGTCCGGGCCGATCCTTTGGCTCAGTCCACCATCTGGCGACTGTCGATTGGGGGGTGATCATGATTATGAAGCCGAGAAGGCGCATTAGAGATAACAAGGGGATAATTTAGTGCTGATGGGCTGCGCGTACATCGGTTGTTTGCCCTTTTAAGACGTGAGAGGGTAAGTTTTACAACCGAGTATGCTTCTGTGCGACTCTTACTTTTCCAGATAGATGCTTTCGCAGCCTAAGAGATCACCTTGAGAGCCTTTTAAAATGTATTTCCATAGGTTTATGCTGTATTAGAGTGTGCGGCGCGCGTGCTTACGGAAAAGGCCCGAAGAGATCATGGGCTGCGGTTGACAATTTTCGTTTTGATCTGGCATATTCTAATATATCCAACAAATTAAGATCGTTGTATCTGTGATAACTTATCAAAATGATAAATGATTCGAGGGGGGAGTAGAAGGATGAGAAGGAAGAAATCGGGTAGAGTAGAAATACACTTAGAAAGACACAAGACTAAAATAAATCAATGAACGTCAGCAGGAAACTAAATCCGCCCAGCGGGACGAATGACAGTACTGTTGATAAATAGCCTTGTATTCTTAGTCTCCCTAATTCATATTAAATTGTTGTAGGGCTGATATATGTAGTTGAAACCTTCATATCTATTAGTATGTGAGGGTCGCCGTTTATGCAGCTCAAGTTTTTCTTTATTTCTTCTTATGAATTTTACATCCTACTTTCCTCGTACAATTTACCTATATAGCGAATTGTATCATCCGCGGCTTGATTGATAGGACTGTAAATTCAAGGTAATATAGTAGGACCTCATTTCATATATTTGCACCTTGCGTGACTCATGTATTCTATACCAAATGACCTATAGCCCACACCCTTTTCAAATATGAAGGAAAGATTTCTTGATCCTCGCAGGCAAGAGATCTGGGACCATGCGGCGCATAGAGTCGACTCATGCGCCCAATGCAGAGCTAACTAGCGATCTCCATACCGTCGTTATCATCATCAAGACGTTAAAAGAAATTAATCAAAATCCCAAAGCAGAAAATAAGAGCCAACTAGGTGGCTGTCTCTCAATTAGCCCACTTACGCCAATCCATCATGGTCAACAGGATAATAATATTTTGAAAGCTTCACCCAATCAAACACAACAAAAGAGGATGGTGGTTCACACCGTTAGCTGCTAGTCAAAAATGGTTAAAGCTCATGATATGGTTATCGTAGATTGTAAAGATAGTGCTTTGATTTGATCGTGAAGAAGCCATGGGCAACCACTGATCGAGCACCAATCCAAAAAGAGAGGGTCAGCCCAGTAAGTTGATGTAGCTAGGAATATGCCATCGAGACAGCCTCATCACAGCTCTTCGTCCTCGTTATCCTGTGGGGTGGGTTTCTCAGTCTGGGCCCCGAAGGTACTGGAACTTGTCCCTGCAGTCCGAGTTTCCTCTGATGCAACGCTGTCCAAGGCTCCACTGACAGGTTGAGATAGCCCTGATTCAATCCTCCGGCGCAGTGCATTTTCATCCGCCTGGGATACACTGGCTCTTTGTTTCTTCAATGGGCTTCCCACAAACTCTCCGTTCAGGGTATTGACCGCAGGTCTGGGGACCTCGGGTATTCCCGAAAGAACTGCTGGCGCAGCTGGAGGAGTCGTGGAGATATTAGACGCTGCAGGAGTCTCCCCGGATGGCTGAGGGCTAGCAGTATCCGTCTTTGGAGTACTGGTGCCCAGCGATGCCGACGAATGTTGACGTTTGAGCTGTGTTCCCGTTAGCACCACCTGAGGCGAAGAGCATGGGGTTTCACTTGCCTTGATCTTGCGAACGCCCTCCGCCAGTTCACCTTGGCGTCTAATGTCGTCTGGTGACAGGTGCTGATCATCCTCCTTAGCTTCTTCGTCGTCGGCTTTACCCAGGATCGAGTCATCGTCATCATCATCGCTGTCCATATCGTCATATTCAGCAGACTTGTTTTTCTTGCCTTTCTTTTTGTTCTCGTTACTCTCCCGGAAATTCAAGAATCCAACTGTACCGCCTGGTTTCAAGGGACCAAGATTAGTGAAGTCCGGCTGCAGTGATCTGCGCTTAGCCGAGCCAGGGGTTTCCTGCACCTTGGGATCTTTCAAGATGCCCATTTTCTGCAATTGCCCTGATGAGAGTCAGTATAATAGAAAAAATCTCCTAGGAAAACAGATGGCTAGCTCACGTTCTCCTCGATACATGAAGGTAAAGATAGCGTAAGGTTTGTCGGACGGATCAATCCCGGTAACTGTTTGTGTGCTGATAGTCTTTGGATCGAGGGTCTTAGGCTTTGCGAAACTCGTCGTATGGTCTATATCGGCGTCTGTCCCGCCATTACCACTTTGTTGGGCCTCATCGTCATCATCGTGGGCGTCGAACTGTGGCGAGTATTCTCCGCGTTTGATTTCACCTGATGCCAGCACGCGGAACAGAGCCACCTTGATCTGTCCGGCAGACTCCGGAATTGGATCGTCATCGGAATCAGAGAAAGACATGTCATCATCCGAGACGTCCTCGAGAGGTGATTTCGCGTCGCTGCCGTAGCGCATGATACCCTTGTCATTCTTGCCTGACTTAGAATCCATATCCAGATCATCAGTCCCATCAATCGATGCACGCTTCAAACGACGCTTTTCCATCTTCTGCCGTCTCCGTTCAATCTTCGCAGCGACATCCTTTCCCTCCAGATCTAAGCCATTGAGCCAGCGCTCCAATCCCACCTCACGGAAGAGGAACTCGCGTTCCGCAAGGCCACCTCCTTCTGACTCAGGGACGCTGACCCATCGTGAGTTTACCCAGGTCTCCTCGCCTCTCCGGAGCAAAGTAGCGACCTCTTCCTTTTGTCGTCCATCGAAGTAGATATAGGCTGCGACCGTCTCGTTCGGGGAGTTTGTCAGTGGCTGATACGGAGCCACCATGCTGCTGTATTGACCTCGCTCCGCTGTCTGGCCGGGCAGACCCCCGACGACCTTAGGCTTAGGTGTGGGGTTTTCCGGCGTCGGCTTTGGAGTCGAGTAGGGCACATCTTGGCCAGGATTCAACAACGTGATCGAAACTGCAAAGGTGGATTGTTCAGGTTTTCCGGTGCCTGAATCAGGTAGCTTCGGTGGAGGTACGGGGATGTAACAGGCTATGCGAGAGGCTCGAGATTGGCGTTGGATCGAGTGCTCAGCGATAGGACCGTCCGGAGTGTGTATACTCACGGCGAGACCCTTAAAGCACGGCATGGTGGGGAGAGCGATGGGATATGAGTGGGCGTGCTGACGTCCTCCGTAGAATCTTGCGAAGGAGAAGACGAGCCGGGCTGACGATGTTGAGGGTGGCTAAAGGGTATTTAATCGTGCGGCGGTGCGAACGAGATAGCTGTCGTGGGTTGTGGAGGCGGTCAGGGATATCTAGTGTGTTTAGACCGACAACCTCAAAGGGCGAGGACGAGGCGAGAACTCAGTTCCAAGAGGTCACAACTGATGGCGTATAATAGAGATACTCAGCACAGGAGCGAAACAGGTTAAGATACAGTCCTATTGCTTTATTTCCCTTGTGAGCAATCCACACAAGCAATAACAGCTCGGCGGAGGGGAGGCGAGGGGAAGGGGGGGAAGGAGAAAGGAAAGGGTGGGTACGATGGACCGATTGATCAGATTGAGTGTACCAAGTTGAGATTGTATGTAAAGAATGAAGGTACCAACAACATAAAGAGAGAGTAAGGAGTTTTCAACCTATTAGACTAGAAAAATATTTGGTATGCCCGAAGGCCAGATCCCTTGTACAGTGTGAGCGTGACAGGAGGAAGGGGGGAAGAGAAAAGAGAGGAACGAATGGTATGCGGAGGACGAGACCGATCGACAGCCGCCAGTGGGAACTCCTCCGCCTTTCGCTGCTTCCCATGGTTTCGGTACTGCTTAAACTCCCATGCAAGTTTCCCTTCTCTCCTTGGCGTGAGGATATACTAGAACCTCGAGGAACAGTGGATCGCACCCTAACTCAATTATTTTTGTTTTTTTGCTTTGCTTCTCTTCGTATGGTTTGCCTGAAGATTATAGAGTGCATTTCCCTATGGACTGCCCCCACTGGCAACCCGCGCAGAGATCCCTTGCAACAATGCTGAATGTAGTTTATACATGTACAACCTTTCGCCGGCTTAGGTATTGTAGATATTTGTATAACTCATAGCTGGCTTTGTTGGATCACTATATATAGAAACGCTATTGTCACATCGTCTCATGTTGTCTACTGTGTAGAAATTGGTCCCATGTCGAAAATCGCCAAACAAGATAAAAAAGAAATGAAATGAGGTTGGACATGTCCCATAATTTATTCTGTCAAATTAATTAATATCAACTTAACGTTACCCTTCATATTCCACGCCGTCGCGCCTCTTCCATGGCTATATCCGCCAAGTCAGGGAAATCCCGATTTAGGCCACTAAGAAGCAACTCGGCTTTCTGCCGCTTTTGCCGCTCAATCTGGCCCTCCAGATGGGAGATCTTGTCAAGAACTTTGGCGTGCGAGTCGATCAGAGACAGCTCAAGAAGGCCCTCGGCGTACTGACGTAGAGCGCTTAGTTTCCTTTCAAGAGAGGGGATGCTTTCTTCATTATCCGAGTTGGAAACGTTTGCATTGTGGCTGTTAGGCTCACGAGGATGTCGGTATGCGACATTCTCTGGCATGGAAGAAAATGAAACATGAGGCTGTACATGCTGACTGCGAGGCAAACTGCTGTCTGGGAGGATTCTGTCCTCGACGAGATCGCTGATGCGGAGCTGCCCTTTTGAGTTGAAAGACCCGATTGAACTAGCGCGAGGAGGGCGATGAAGCGAACCATCAACGTCCGTAAGAGTATCTGATCTCCTATTGTGAGCTGGCTGGGCACTTTCAGAATAGGGGTGTACAGCTTTAAATAGCGACTGCTTATTGTCATCGTCATTTTGCGGCTTGGGTCGCTTTTGCCCTCGAGGGTACATAGTGTTCTGGGGCGATGCACTTTTTGTAGCTGATATGGCTTTCTTGCCTCGCTTCTGGTCAAACACATTATCCACAAATCCGGAGACTCGGCCTCGAGGATCAACAGGCTTGATGCGAGCCCGGATAGGCTTATCCTTACTTTGGTAAGGACGAGAAAAATGGCAGCAACGGCAGTTGCAGATCTGTGAGCATTTCGGGCAACTCCACGAATCTTCATTTCTCAGGAATCCAAGGATATCGATATCAAAATGCCTATACAGGCCGCGGTAGCAGAAGAAAGCTGAGCATTGAGGACATGCAATTCCCTTCCAGACAGGGTGACTGTCACGACATAAGTGGCACAGACGGTCCTGAGCGTGGTCAGTTTGTGCATCAATTGATACGGTATAAGGTTCGATTCAATAGTATCGTGCTGTCTTACTAAAGATTGCCGTCGCGCGTCGGCCGCTGCCAAGGCTAAAGCACCCAAAGACTTTTGTCTACCTCGCAGGTTAGCCGAATGATATCCCCTTACCGTAACGAGCTTCAACAACCCGTCACCCAGAAGGTGGGGGTATAACAAAAATGGAGTCATACCCCTTTTGCCTTATTTTCGAGGAGAGATAGCCACCTAGGCTATCCTGTGTGGTTTTTATGAGACCCTGACAATATTCGATCCGAAATAGCTCAGCCCAGGTATAATCTCCAACATGCTTGCAACTCCTTCCGGATACATAACATGTTAGACATAGGTCAAAATCCCCACACTGCTCGCAGTGAAGATGCCGGTTCCATATTGTCAATCCGCAAAAGTTGCATTCCACAACAGCTCCTTGCGTATCCACAAGTTTAATAGGTACAGATGAGTCGCAGCCGGTATCCTCATCGTCGACTAACTGTTGAAGCATATCTACAAGCAGCTTTGTCTCTTCTGGGTTACATCGACTGTTGTGAAGTGCATGTACTGGTATCAAAGGAACTCGGCCTGTATCCGCATGGCATTGTTTCTGATACACGGGCTGAACATAACTGAAGAATGAGGTAATCGAGGTAGTATGCATAATATTCCAAACCACCTTCGTGACCATGGAGCTGACATTCCATATTTGATGAGCAGTTGCTGAAGGAAATATAACCAAGTCCCCGGGCTCTTGATGAGTGACATAAATTGGAAAATCGGCGGCAGATTCCATCTGCGCAATAGAGATATTGGCCCAGTCAGTGTGAGATGACTTTCCAAGACCTTCCATAAACACGTCGTATTTTCCCTGTGAATCTTGATCTGTGCCAAAGCACAATGAACCATATCGGCTTCCTTTACAGAATCAGAATGATGGCAAGAACGACAAGGTTAAGTCCACAGTCGCGGGAGTCGATTACATACCATCCGACTCGATCATTAAATTAAGTGCAACCGTTCCACTAAAGCATCTGTGAAACCCAGACCTGAGGTATAACTAATAAGCGAGAGTTAAGCTCCTTGTTTTGGGTACACGCACAAGGACATTTGGGTTCCAACGTAAGCCATCAACACTTCAGGGATGATATCCTTTGGGAGCACTCGGAACAAATCGATTGAGCCTAGTTGCATCAAACAAGAAGGCAAGACAGCCTTCAATGCTCTGATCCACTCTGGGGGACATGGCAGATCCTTTGCATATAACCTACCATGCTAGTCAATAAAGCAAGTCACCAAAATGTAATAGCAGCTTTTCGGTTTAACATACGATTCCCGGACGTGACCAACACGAGTGTGGTTCGTGGGGGATATCAGATCACGAAGTCGCATCCTAATGTCTCGGCCAGTCTGACAGTTCCTTACTGGTATTGCTGACCAGACAAACCCCGGAGGGTTAGCCGTTAGTAAAATAATATTGGTTGTTTCTCATGCAACTATCACAACGCACCTCCGGAGGATGAAGATGCAATCAAGCACTCATTGCTTAAAAACGATGCGTCCCAGTGGGCATTCAAATTTAACCCCCGTATCACAAACGGCTTCCCATCTCGCAGCTTCTTCTCAATCCAATCAGGAGTCTCATAGATGGTCTGAACCGGAAACTCGGAAAATGGAACAAACGGTCCCCCGAAACGCAGGAGGTCCTGGGCAGACGGTATGTTTGACTGCGATAACTCCATAGTGTGACTGGCCTGGATTCAGATACATCTCTATGTTAATCCAAGCAATTGCAGCATGTTGCTGTATATATAAACCGATGCGAGGCCTGGGTTGAACCACAAACAAACATCTCGGAACTGGAGGTGGCGGTTGTGTTTGAGAACTCGCACGTGACTTACATTTATCTCCAACATGCCTTAACCATTTAGGGAAATATAGTTCGTAAGGCCAAGTCTCAAGACAACTAACTAATGTACCTTGAAAGACAAGAGCGGGCAAATTTCCCTTGGAATACATAAATAATCCTACGCTATCGTAGTTAACAGGATGAAATAGATAGTTTGTATTTCTTGATCTAGTAAATCCACCAAATAAAAAAAGAAGATTAGGGGGACTCACCAACTACTACCTGTCGTTGATTCAAGTTTCAAGCTCGAAAGACAGACAGATGGTAGAGCGTAGGGCAGAATAGTCACCCCAGAGGATTATATTAACAAATGCGCATATATCATTAAACAAATAATTCTATATGGATTGGGTCTTGCAAAACAATGAGTCAGAAAATGGATCTCGTGGTCCACTCAGAATCAGAGATCATTAGACGGTATAGCACAAAAGCGGAGAACTAGGTAGAGTAGAATCAGAAACTATCCGCAGCAGCTATACGGTTCGGTACTTCTTACATATAGTTTATCGTGATCCCATAGAGCGTGCCTTCGGAAAGGTGTTGTGGTTAGGGAGGAGAACCCTTCTTCCGCAAATTCCACTAGAGTGACATATAAATGAGCAAATTAATGCAGTAAGAAATGGATAAACACACATAACTTAGCTCTAGCCGGTGCCTTGGGATATAATTTTCAGCCGGTAAACCCTTGGTTGAAGGCATTTCAACCATCTTTGTGATTAGTTCTCCTGTTTCAGATTGATTAGAGCCATCCTATGACTGGAAACCATAGCACAGTAAGATGCGTTGTCATTGTTTTCGCAATGAAAACAACCCTAATTTCTAGCTCTCCAGGGTATCGAGGAGGAAGTAATAAAAGATGAAGATATCCCAGTGGCACGAAAAGCCTCGAATATGCGCTGTTAGAAATGAGGGCTACGGCTTATAACACCCGTCACAATCCTGCTAGGTTTTGGGAAGTCGATAGACGGCTCAGATCCATAAATATCATTTAATGAGATGCCTCAAAGTCATGGATAACCTGTTCCTACTTCGTTTGAATGGAGCAGCTTGCTCTAAGCTCCTCCCCTTCAAACGTACAGCTTCAACCGAGGGATTAGAATTTTGCTCGATTTCAACTGGACCACTGGTAGTCTATCATATTTAACTTTTATTCAGAATACTCTATGTTTTACTGTTGACTAGCTATTGGTCTACTTCTAGCAGAAAACCCCTTGAGTTACGGGTTGGCTTTTAGCCTTCGGGGTAGACCGATACTTCGGTCACTCTGATGGGTCGTGAATCACACTCCCCGGATTCCTTGGTGGTCATACCCGGGGATATCTGGGGTTGGGGATGGAATCCAATGAATGATGGACACAGTATCACTGATGAATTTGGCTCGTCATCACGGAATCGCCACCCGAAGGACTTCCGTCACCTAGATACCGGTACAAAAAAAAATAAAGAAAAGAAAAGAAAAGAACAAAGAAAAAGAAAAAAGAAGCATGAGCGACTCTTATTCTCACCCTAACTTCATGTACATGTACCATACTCAAACAAGATTAGTAGGGCGTTGTTCAAGACAGGTACCCTAACTCTGGACTAGGGTGTTATTACCTCCCTCACTTGTCATCGAGGGAGAAGCTTGTCTTTCAGCAATCAGATGGTGTTGTCACACTAATGGAAGAGCTGCTGCGATCATGTTACCAAGGACTAGTCCGCTGTGTATGACATGACCTTGTTGATCTTGCTAGCTTTTCTGGAGGAAGCCTGAGATGTGAAAACTACTCCAATAAGGATTCCTCATACAGGTACTAACTATTCGTCCGATCAAACTCCCGGATTGTTAGACTAGGTATGATTAGAAGCATTTACTAGTAGGTATGGGGTATGGAGATACTTGTATCACTATCTCCTTGAGTGAATACAGAACTTCTCTCGTATCATGACCTACAATTCGCTTCTCCTTATCCCCCGTAGTGGGGGGTTCTATGGAGTTGTGGCCCCTCCAGTGAGGAGACAAATAGAAGGATGTCTGACAAGTATCACCAAGTATACCAATGCTATGGGGTCCATGGACGAGAAGTTGGGTAAATGAATGTTTTGTCACCTGCTCGTTTGGAGCCCTATTTCTTGTCTTCCATGGCGCCTTCCCCTTCTGGATCGCATGACCGTGTTTTTTTTTCATTTTCGGTTTCTTTTTTTTCGTCTGATCCCCTGATCTCCTTCTTTTCTCCTCTCTTCCCTCCCCTTCTCTTCCTTCTCTTCTCTTCTCTTCTCCCACCCCCGCACTTTTGTCTTCCCCTTCTTTCTTAAACCCTTCACACCCTTTCGCAAAATATTGGTACTTCCTTTCCCCACCCCTCATTTATCAAAACAACCCTTTAAAGGTTGGCCTAGATTCACTTTCGCAGCCCTACTGCAAAGCTTCAGTGATCATGGCCGACCCCAAAGTGAAGTCAGATGGAGATGCCCCTCCTGATGACCTGATGACCCGCATTGAGCAACGGTTCGTCATCTCTGATATCTGTATTCTGTCTCTTGCTGACAGAGTTTGGACAGTCTCAGCAGCGATCATGCTGCTTCTGAGAAGGGCCACATTGAGCATATCAATCTCAACAAGAACACCACTGCAAAGTAAGTTGTCTGCTCTGTCTAAGATCTGCCCTTCCGGATGATGAATCGAGGGCTAATGCACTCCTAGGATCAAGAACCCTCTCGCAGACCTGACCCCCGACCAGGTTCTTCGAGATGTCACGGACTTTGCCAACGAGCATGAACTCATTGATATTCTTCCGCATCTTCGGAAGGGTGCTCTTATTGCTAGAGACCCAGACAACTTTCGAACAGTTGATGGCATGACTGACGCTGACATTACCGTCATTGATAACGAAACCCTTCACAAATGGCGCCATCCCTGGCCGCTCTATTTCACTATTGGACTTTGCTCCATCGGGGCTGCTGTTCAGTAAGTGTCTCATCCACTCGAAGTCTACTAACCTTGCTTACGACATCGGCTAATTATTCTGCAGGGGATGGGATCAAACTGGAAGCAATGGTATATAACTTAGGCAATGTGTGTGAATGAAGATCCGTTAACTCCCTTTGACATTAGGTGCCAATCTATCCTTCCCCGATGCCTTAGGTATCTCGGAAAAGGGTCCAGACGGGGCCAGAAACCAGTGGCTTGTGGGTGTGGTGAATTCGTACGGTGTCCTGCAATGATAAACCCTCATAGGCTGACATGGAAATAGCGCACCTTACCTCGCAACTGCATTCCTCGGCTGCTGGCTCTCGGATCCCTTGAACAAGTACTGGGGCCGCCGTGGTGTTATCTTCATTTCTGCCATCTTCTGTTTGTTGACCCCCATCGGCTCCGCGGTGTCTCAAACCTGGCCCCAGTTATTCATTACTCGCATCTTGATGGGTATCGGAATGGGCTTGAAAGGAGCCACAATCCCTATTTATTGCGCCGAGAACACCCCCGCAAACGTGCGTGGTGGCCTGGTGATGTCCTGGCAATTGTGGACGGCGTTCGGGATTTTCCTTGGGACTTGCGCCAACCTTGCCGTCAAAGACACCGGCTCTATATCTTGGCGCTTGCAGCTTGGATCTGCTTTCATTCCAGCCCTTCCTCTGACACTTGGCGTGTTCTTTTGTCCAGAGTCTCCCCGTTGGTACCTTAAAAAGGGGTCGGTCAGGAAAGCATACCAGTCACTGTGGAAGCTGCGCAACAGTGAGTTGCAGGCAGCCCGCGATCTCTATTATATTTATACTCAGATTAAGCTCGAAGAAGAGATCACTGTCAAGGGAACCTACCTAACCCGCTTTAGCGAGCTTTTTACTATCCCGCGTGTCCGTCGCGCAACCCTTGCTGCGTGGACAGTCATGCTCGCCCAGCAGATGTGCGGTATCAATATCGTGGCCTTCTATTCCTCGACCATTTTTGCCCAAGCAGGCGCAAGTGTAAATGAAGCACTATTAGCCTCGTGGGGGTTTGGTCTGGTTAACTTTCTATTCGCCTTTCCAGCTGTGTTCACCATTGATACCTACGGACGCAGGGCCCTGCTCTTGTTTACTTTCCCGCAGATGGCTTGGACACTATTGGGCGCAGGGTTTTGCTTCTACATTCCGGTAGGACAGGTCGCACATCTAGCCTGCGTTGCTCTCTTTGTATTCCTTTTCGCGGCGTTCTATTCGGTCGGCGAAGGCCCCGTTCCTTATGCTTATTCAGCGGAGGTCTTTCCCTTATCGCATCGCGGTTAGCATTCCACACCACCTAGCACGTGTTGTAGCGGTTTCATTCTAACTTTAACGTCTTTCTCATCCAGAGGTCGGTATGTCTTTTGCTGTGGCAACATGCCTCTTCTGGGCCGCTGTGCTCAGTATAACTTTCCCACGAATGCTAACGGTTATGACCCCCACCGGTGCTTTCGCTTTTTATGCGTAAGTTGACTGTTTGACCTTCAAGGGCTCTTGTTGTACAATATTCTAACATGATAACAGTGGCTTGAACGTCACTGCATGCATCATGATCTTCTTCTTAGTCCCGGAGACTAAACAGCGCACCCTGGAGGAGCTGGACTATGTGTTCGCTGTTCCCACCCGTATGCACTCTAGTTACCAGGTCAGAAAGGTGCTCCCATACTGGGTGAAAAGATATATCTTGAGACAAAACGTGGAGCTGGACCCTTTGTACCAGTTCGACCATGTGGATACCCGAACCTAGTGGACCAGGTAGTACCTAATACCTCCCATATTGAGAGTAATACCTTGTTATCTTACAGTGGTGGGAGACTGAGGAGATTTACCAGTGGTTTCGATTTCAGCATTTTCTGTGTTTCCAATAGGATCTTAAGGTGTGTATGTACCAAATGGGGATGGCTGTGAGGTTAAGTTTTACTAGTTCCCATCAGCGATTTCGTCATGATGTTCTCTAATGGTTGAGGAATAATGAACATCCATCTATCTTGATTTGACCCCAGAATTATAAAGAAGCATTGGCTCTCATCCATCAACCCTTGATCAGTCTCCCCCTCCTCCCCCAAGGGCATATCAGCTCATTTATACGGTGTAATCCTAGCTACTCCGGAGCTTTTTCGTGATCATTCTAATCTCATTTGATCGTTTTGTAACCTACTACTGGTGGGAGGAAGCACAGTATTATATCGTCTCGGAAACTAGGTCAATGCTAGTCAGAGGGGTTGAAAGAGTGACCTGCATTTTCATGCAGTTCCTGGGTTGCTGCGTATCGTGTCTTTGAGATATACGACCTATTGAGGAAGCCTAGGTGTTGGACTACGCGTACTGGGTGAACTGAACCTCGCGCCATCGTCTCGGACTCTGGCTCCGAGACGGAAATGCCGAGCCTTTCACATATCGATATACATATCTATTTTTCTTTCTTAAAATTAGCAGACAGAATAGAGAGAGAGAGAGAAGAGACAAATTCCAATTTGTAACAACCTTTGCATGTATACTCCTCTCTACAGATAATGGCAATAACAATGCCAACGAGCCGTCCGGTACATATCAACGGATTACGACTACGATCAAAAAGAAACCTATAATGACAATTCCCTTCCATCTCTAGAGAAAGTTGTTCATTGCAATGTCGATACTTAAGACCCAAGTTGCATCGTGCCCGTTCTGCAACGCCACCAAACCTCGAACCCGATCTTCTCGTACCACCCTTCCAAGCTCACCCAGTCCACAAAAACTCCCTCAACTCCTCTGTGCTTCATATGCTCAATCGCATGGCAAAGCATGGCAAGCCCAACTCCTTCCTTACGGTAATCCATGTCGACTCCCACACAACCGATGACACCGGTTTTGGGCCCACAGAGAGAAGGGAACGCCCAATGTGACTTGAGCATGGGCGACCCATGAGAAAGCATTAGCGTCCAGCCCACCTGCTTCCCGCTGGGATCAAACGCGGTCATTACACTGGATGGGTATTTGCTCGGGTCAAGCTTATAGTACATCTGAACCCAGGCCTACGGAAGGTATTAGTATGCTACCAATAGCTCGGGAAAAAAAGATCGAAGAAAGTAGGAACACATACTGGGTTATAAGAGAAGTTCTTCTCCTGGCTAACGAGGCATTCTTGGTAGTCTGCAGGTTCAAGAGGGCGAAATGTATATCCTCGTTCCTTGGCTCGGGTAGTGTACAGCTCTGAGGTTCGGAAATCCCTGATGTCTTGGTAGAGGTCAACAGACCGTGGGACTAGAGGGTCCAGTTGAAATCCCCGATGGACAAAAAAGTCCAGGACTTCCATCGGCAATTCAGTAGGGATCCCAGGCCAGAAACGTGGGAATGTACTTCCCAGCTCTAGGCGAGATCTTTGGAAACTTTTGCCCAACCATTTTCGGCACTCAGCAAGCAATGCGCTTCCTACTCCCCGGCCCTGCATTTTTGGGTCAACTGCAAGTACCGCAAGCTGACCACATGCCGTATCCTCCTTAGTGGTCACGAATAGAAGGCAGAATCCAATGACTTTAGACTCAGGGGAGCCTGTTCGGGCGACAAGATGGTGTGACTCGGTAGGAAGAAGATGGCGCCGGGGTATTATCACTTCATTCAAATCGTCCGCAGATATCTTATACGTGGGTAGGGCTGAGAGCCATACGTCATAAACCTGGGAAAAGTCCATTGCAGCCGCGTATTGCCGTATTTGAAGCCAATGCGGTGCAGGCTTTTCTGGCCCAACAGGTAGAGCCCCCTTAGCGAACCACGGCCTGAAGAGACATTCCACGGCCACCATAAATGCCTCAATCGTTGGCTCGTACGTAGTGACATAAGTCTGAATGCTAGAATCCTCTAGAAAATCATATGGATTGCAAAGCGCCATAGAAACTAGTGCACGAGCATGGTGTGACAGTTCGAGTCCCAGTGTCCTTTGATAGGCAGACTCCCTTGCATTGATAGACGCAAATATGACCACGTCGGCGGCTTCGACAAGACTGAGCTGCTCAGTTGAGAGACCTACTGGCCCATATCTAATCTCGAAGGCTTGATTATTCCACCGTCTAAGGATCTCGAGATAGGCGGAGGCATTGTAGGATCCCTGTCTGCCCAATCCTTCCCCATCTACTGCACCACCAGCTGGGGTTTTGTCACCCGGAAAGAGAAATGCAATTTTTGAAGAAGCCGACAAGGGAAGAGTATTCTGTGTATCTCGTACGAGGGTGACTGAGCTAGAATATGCTTCTTTCGCTAACTCAGCGCCTCTTTGATTAAGAGATCTAAGACCATCAAGTCCCTGTGGCTTGAGCGCCGCGTCCCAGCATAGGAATCGTTTCTTTAGCGTAGTTACTCTGCGAAAAGCTTCCTCCAAGCGTGAAGTCGGTAATTTTCCGGATTCGATAGCCTCGCAGACCTTCTCGATAGACGCTACCTGGACAGAATAAGTATGACAGATCATAATGCTGTCGCAGCCAGCACCTAAAGCGAGAGCTGCGCCCTCCTCAGTCCCACATGTGGCACGAATGCCATCCATCTCCAGACAATCTGTGATCACCATACCGTCGTAGTTCATATCCTTCCGTAAGATGTTTAAGGTATCAGCAGATAGTGTAGCAGGAAGCTGGCTATCATCAATAGCAGGCAGCGCAATGTGGGCCGTCATCACTGCTTCGATACCTTCGGCTGCAGCTCGGCGAAAAGGTCTCAGTTCACACCGATCCAGTTGTTCCCTAGTTTTGGAAATGATGGGAAGCCCATAGTGAGAGTCTACGGCGGTATCTCCGTGTCCTGGAAAATGCTTGACGCTAGGTACCACCTTCTGCTCCCGGAGTCCTTGAGCAGTGGCACTTGCAAATCTTGCGACAAATCCCGGGTGATCTCCAAAGCTGCGGACCCCGATTACTGGGTTCAAAGGCTCCGAGTTGATATCGCACACAGGGGCATAGTTCACGTTGATCCCGAACAGACTCAGCGTCTCGCCGGTGATAGTGCCGATCCCTCTAGCAAGCTCCGGGTCATAAGTAGCCCCCAAAGCCATAGGTCCTGGGAGTTGGGCAGCAATAGGGGGCGAGATCCGAGTGACTAGACCGTTTTCTTGGTCTATACCAATAAAAAGAGGAAGTTCATGTCCGGCTAGTCTCGCTTCCTTTTGTACAGCGTGCGTTAGAGCCTGGGCGAGAGTGTATTAGCTCTGTTTCTTCCTATGTGTGATTACATAGTTAGAGTGACCTACTTGCAACTGGACTGCATCGCTAATGTTTCGCTTGAAAAGAACAATGCTGCCCAGTCCATAGTCGTGGATAAGGGTTTTGATCTCAGCGCTAGGAGTGAGGCCGTGGAAGCCGACCGCGAAAAGCTATATATAAATGGTACTTAGTCCAATGCTGTCATTTGACTTAGAACTACGCTAGGAAGTATTGCTCGTACCTGGCCGACCTTCTTACGTAGATCTGTGGGCTGCATCTCCGCAACTTCTCAACGAGGGGTTGAAGAGAATCGGAGAGTGACCCGCGTTAAAAGGTGGTGATCGGTGGATGTGGAGTGGAGTGGAGTAAGTACTAATCCAAGGGTCTCCCCATTCATAGGTTTGATATAATTTGGTGCCTTCGAAGGAGACCCACGCGGGGAAAGGGGACCACTCAAGTGAATAAAACAAGTGAATGTTTGAAGATTAGATTGTATTATCAGAGAGATGGAAGAACAAGAAGAAGAAGAAGAAGCAGAACATTGATGTTATCCCAGGATGGAAGGTACTATAACAAAGTACTGCCGAAAGGGCTAGGTAGATGGGTTTTGGCCTTAAAGCCTGGTTCAGGCAATAAAATGATCCACGTGAACCCCCGGGGAAATATTCAACGACTCAAGAGATGGCGGAAGTTGGAAAAGTGATACAAGGAAACCCGGTCTCCTGCGGGGTAAAAAGGAAGAAGATCAATTGATTGAATCCGATTCGGCAGAACGAAGCTCCTGATAAAGTGTATCATCCTTGATCCTTGATTGCATTCAACTACGGCCGCCAGGCCTCCTCCCCTTCGCCAGCCCTTATCTCTCTTTCGCTCGTCTTTTCTTTCGTGCTTCCTTTTTCTATGATCCATCCATTGTTTTACCCAATAACTTGAAACAGCACGCGCCCCCGTCAGACAATACGACAAGGCTCACATTAGTATCCCTTGCGGGAAAATCATCATGTCACACATTGAGCAGAGTCGCGACCAAATGGTCTCAGCGATGGATTTAGATGGTACAAACAACGGAGCTGCTAAGGGAAGTTCTGAAACCACCGGCAAGGCCAATGTCACGGTTCAGGGTATAGCGCCACAGCAAGAGCAGCTCCCCTCCTCAGGGGATGAGCTTGATCACCTTTTCAGAGCCGAGGAGGGCTATGACCAGCCAGCAACAACACGGAGAGAACTATGGTCTTACTACCTTTACTACAATGGTGAGCCTGTGGATGTCTCTTGCTTCTGGTTCTCCCTGACATGGATTGCCTTTGCGCTCAGGTGATAATGGAGTTGGTCCTGGCTCTTATTCTCAAGCACTGTGTGTACACTCAATCAGCGCCCCCATTAGAGTAACTGACTGATTCTCGCAGATTCCAGTGGGCCCTGACCGGTGCGGGCTGGCAGCCAGGAACGGAACCACGTGAGCCCTGTACGGCCTCATCTGCGTGCGTAGTTCCTTGGGCTGGAGGCACTCGATCTGTCTCATCGGTCATTCTCATTGCGAATGGGCTCTGCTTTGTTTTCATGACGGTGATCTTTGTTTGGTTGGGCAGCGCTGCAGACTATGGCTCCTTTGGTCGCTGGTTACTCTTAGTCCTAACCGTGGTCTGTTGGGCTTTACAGTACGGTATGATGGCGATCAAACATCCCAGCCAATGGCCTGCGGCGATGGGCATGTATGTGGTAGCATATATTGCGTATGGTGCTACTTTGGTATTCTACGCAGCCGTTTTCCCTCGGCTTGCACGCTTTATGCCCCACGTCCGCAAGGCCCGTGAAGAGGATCTGCCGGAAGGAAAAATCACTTTAGAGGAGTATGATGCGATAGAGTCGCTGGAAAGAAACCATATCAGGTTAGTGATCCATTTCTGGTCATTTACGATACAGGTACTAATGAGCTATAGCAACGTGTCGACTGCACATAGTAACATTGGATACCTCCTCACATTGGCCCTCAATCTGAGCGTTTTGCTGCCACTTCAGGGGAACAACTACTCGAACAACCTTGCCCTTTGTCTGACGAACTCTTGTATGTATTAGTTTGAATCTGCATAGTCTTCATGTACCCTAGCTAACATCCCCAGATTGGGTTATCCTAGGTGTGTGGTGGTTCATTTTCCAGCAGAGGCGGCCTGGGCCTCCAGTCCCAAAGGGCTCAAGCTATGTAACGATCGGCATCAAGCAGATATTAGCCGCGCTTCGAGAAGTTCGGTCTCTACCGCAGACGCTTCTTTACTTTCTTGCTTACTTCTTACTGGCTGATGGACTCAACACAACTGGTAAGCGGTTTGTTGCGTTACACGTTTATGTTTTTCATCGAAAACAGCAAAGAGCAAACCGCTGATGCAACCTGAATGTCGTTAGGGACACTCGTCAGCATCATCCAGAACAATCAGGTATCATTCTCATTCCTCCAATTAACATACCTCGGCATTACTCAAGCAGTATGTTCAACGGTCTCGACCTTCGGATTCTGGTATATCCAGAGGTACTTTAAGATACGTACCAAGCGAATGTTTCTCATTACCAACTTCTTCAGTGTGTTTATCCCTTTTTGGGGTATGCTAGGCCTCTGGACAGCACGCATCGGATATCATAATCGGGTACGTCAATTCGCTATATACAACAAAATTCCCTCCACAAACCTTCGACTAAAGAGAAGTAATCAATACAGTGGGAATTCTACTTCTATAATGTTGTCTTTGGTCTGTTTCAAGCCCCATACTACGCCGTGCGTCAGACCCTCCTTACCAACCTTCAATTGACTTACACATCTAACATTCAAACCAGTACGCCCAAACAATGATCAGTGAACTCATGCCTGAAGGATATGATAATATGTTCTTCGCTCTGTTCGGCATAACTAACCGCGCCGTAAGTTTGACTATATCCGTCGAATAAGAGCATACTAACAGTGTACACCTAGTCCTCAATAATTGGCCCCAATGTCATTCAAGCTATCATCAACAACGCACAAAACAATTGGATGGGGTTTCCATTCCTTTTTGCTATCTGCACCACTGCTATGATCATGGTTAGCTTTGTGGATGTGGAAAAGGGCCGTAAAGATGGCCGAAAGTTCGTGCAGAGGAAAAAAGATTTTCGGTGAACGACTGTGGCATGATGATAAAGACTGGGCACTACGGATGTGGGGAGGTTCTAGTATTACGGAACTATGGTACACAGTGCAATACCTTATATTTATAATAATGACTGTAGTAAAGATGCTACATGTTCTCAATCCCGAAGTGCGTGTACTACCGCCTGTCCAACAGCAGTGAAGATTTGAGCTCAAGTGCGAGGCGACGCTACTTCTTCGTATCAATAGGAATTTTACTGTATTTCGCTTTGGCATCTAACACTAATATAAACCACGAGCATTATGCACAGGAAGAACCAAATGGGTATCCATGAAAAGACTGACGCCACATGATAAACGAGAGAATGATAATATATACAGCAGAATGTGGTATATAAAACGCCGAAAGCCCAGACACTTTTCGGATCTACCCGTGTACCATATATAACCCTCATTTTTTGTCAACCCTTGCATAGCCAAGCATGATGCAGTTATACTTTTACATCTAGTTAGGATTTTCTCTGTCTTGTTTTTGGGAAATTTTTTGTCACATATAGAGCATCAAGTCTAGACACTCTCACAAGACGGTCCTTTTTTTTTGAGCTTGTTTCTGCTCATGCTTCGAATCGATGGTTTCTCGCCACTGAGGACCATACTCAGCGGTCAGCCATACTGCAGCACCAGCAACGACCAGGAACAAGGCTGAGACTGTATTAAACCAGCCTACGCCCATTGCTTTTGTAGCTGGTAAGACGACACCTGTGCCTAGTGCCGCAAAAACATATCGGAAAAGATAGTTGCCGGCAATGACCTCGGCACTACGGCCCTGATCATGCATCACGTCAAGACAGTATGTATTGATGCTTGGGAAGCAGAACAATTGAGCGATTCCCTGCAGGAACATTGCGATAACGGGGACGGGAATTCCACCAACTTCCTGGTCGAGCGTCCATCCGTATATGAGAATGCAGCCGGGAGCGATAATGCAGATAAATGCTAGGCAAGAGCGAAGTCGGTCCTCTGGAATTCGGAGACCGTTCCGGCGTTTGATGTACTTCCGAACAAAGTAATCGGCCCAGCGGCCGCCAACGAAGGTGCCAGCCAGGTAGCCAGCACCTGGAGCAAGATAAAAGAGGCCACATTGAATAGGGCTGTTCAGGTGAAAACGAGGGTTAAGGATGTAACGGATAGGGGTCAAGAGGGCGTATTGGTTCCAGACTAGGGCGCCCGCGGCTAGGCCGGTAATGAAAATGTTAGGGTATGAGAAGGTCAAGCCTATTACACGAATGGGCGAGATGCATTGCCAAAGTAGCTTGCTCTTCTGGGGAAAACTCTTCCCAGCCAGGTCACCACTGGTTTTAGAGTGTATCGTCTCGGGGAAGAAAAAAATGAGCAACAGGGCAGCAAATCCGCTCATCGCGGAGAGGAGCCAAAATATCACCCTCCATGGTCGGAAGGTAACTATGACACCCTGTACAGTTGAAAGTCAGGCATGGCACACGAGATGACTAGGCACAAAATGAATTCATAACATACTCCGAGAAAAGGGCCAGCTGCAGGTCCAGTCATACTCCCTGAGAGGAGCCACACCATTGCCGATGCTCGGCTGCGAGGTTCATATACATCTCCAATGGCCGAGCTGCCGACGACAAGGAAAGACGTCCCTTGGAAGGCAGTGAGGATACGAAAGACGAAGTAGGCAGGAAGGTTAGGGGACAGAGCCGTGGCAATGGTAAAAAGGAAAAAGAGAACGCCGCTCGAAACAAAAACCTAAGGAGATATATTATTGTCAGCCAAAGTCCGGAAGGGAATATCTCTTAAGCATAGTGGCGCTAATATTTATAACTTACAGGACGACGACCCCAAACCTGGCTAAGGGGACCCCAGACAAGAGACGCAACTCCCATTGACGTTAAGTAGAGTGCATTGCTAGCATTGATTATATCCCCAGTTGTATGATATGTCTTTGATATCTCCGGGACCGCGGCCAGGATTGCTGTTGATGAGATCGGAGCAAGGAAAGCACAGTATGAAAGAACGCAAACAATGACGGTTTTTCGTGCGGAAGAGAACCGCTTGTATTGTTCTGAATCAGCTTCTTCGTAGTCACCGTCTCCACCATCGTCTGCAGCAGGGTCTTTTTCTGGAACATGGCCGTGTCCAGAATGAACAGGGACAAGAGTATTGGGCGTGCCAGGTGGCAGCCCAAAATCTTCCCGAGGCGCTAGATACTCCTCTGTGGCGACATGAGTCGTTGAAGAGTCCAGAGATGACCTGTCCGACATTGTCGGAATCTCTCTCTCGTAGACAGAAGGAGGCATGACCGTCATTTATGTGAAATGCAGGGGAAAAGCAAGGGAATAGGCAATGTTCAATTAAAAGAAAGAATGTGTTAAACACTAGGTTTAGACACCGGGTCAATGAATGAACGACTATACAGAAAGATTCGACATTGAGCTGTCTTAGAAGCTACCTGGAATGAATGACTGTGTGAAAGCAAAAGAGAGACTGGAAACTGAGAAAGGAAAATCCGTCTTGGATACGATGCTTCAATGACCAGACATACTGACACCAGACGTATCTTAAATGGACAAAATCGGAAAGGGGGACAGAACCCCAATGCCCTCTGCATTGCGCGTTTCGTAGAATAGAATTTCATTTTTAGCATGACTATCATCACATCATCAGTCCGAAGTGTGGCCAGGCCATAGGTTGAATGGAGCTCGCTCGATATCATTGGTGCCTGAGCATACTAAACACCTAGTAGATGAAATAATTCGAAGCGTAGCACAAGAGTTTTGGGGCGGCCATAAGGATAGCACAGGCCTCATACAGTGAGCGGAGCCAATGATGTGCCTGAGAGGTAGTCACGCCCATGGCTACTATAGGGTCGGGAGCGGAGCCGTAGGTCTATAGCTTGGCCCAAGAGTGGGAACGGGATCGACATCGCAGTCCAACTGGGCCCCTGGATTACCAACGGCACCGCGAATGGCTTGCACAAGGCCGAAAACCACGCATGCTTCGGCAAGGTAGTTTTTTCATTCGGCGGAGACGGTTACCGGCCTTCATCTGGAGCCAAGGAGAACACGGCTTCCAATAGCTCCCGCTACCCATCGGTTCTTGACTAAGGAGGATCCGCGACCAAGTGGAGCTGCAACAGTAGCTGTCCAGGAGGATCATCACAATAGGTTTTGCGATGAGCAAGCACATGATGGCCCAGTCACTGCGTTGAAGTCAGCTTTGACGTGCTTCCGTAGCGACCATTTGGTAAAATTTTGAGAAAACTGTGTTACTCACAAAAGGCCCACTGATCACCGTGACTGGTCGGTCTACTTGTTGCCTAGAACACAGGGGTTCATCGTTGACAACAAGAATCTGCGTAGAGAACAGCTCTGTTTGCTGTGGGTTTCTTTTCCTTTGCTTCCTTCCTTCCTTCCTTTCCATCTTTTTTGCTTTCTTTTTTTTCGAATTGTGATTCTTCACAGATAAAAGGCAACAAAAGCAAGAAGAAAGAGGGTCAAACTGGGACTCCACTTTTCACTGCAAGTCCAGCCTTATATGTTTATCCAACCTCCTTAGAGTTCCCTCTTGGAGGTCTCCCTGGTCTTGTTTCCCATGATAACCCAAATACTCTTGGGGCATTGTTGTTGCATTGATTTAGTAGAAGAGCGATTAGTGTAGTGAGCCCTGTCACGACCAATACCGCAAGGGTGAAAGGGGGGGGTGGAGAAGAAAAACCCCTCAATATGATAGGTACGGATACTTGTCACACAAAGAGGCAATTATGAGGTTGGACCAAAAATTGTGTATCCGAATGAACGCCGAAAGGTGAGGCTTGCGTGGATCAAGGGGCGGGACTGAGTGAGTTTAGTCGGGACTACTACTACTAGTGATAGGAGGAAAAGTTTCCATAGAATTGAAAAAGGGTCCCAGGTCAGGTGAAGAGAGCCAAGTCATCTGATAAGATCCCTGGGAAAGAAATCAAGAATCAATATAAAAACGGCGAGGGATCTTAAATCTAACAAAAGGAAAGTTTTACTTTTTTTTTCCTTTTAGTTTTCCGGTCATGTTTATTTTATTTTCTTTTATCTGTCTATTTATAGGTTTCTAAGTTGGAGAATAAAGGCAGCAAACCGTGATCTTTGTTCTTTTAAAACAAGGGGTATTGAAAGCAACAAGAACAAACGTTGGTTAGGGAACACAACCAATTACTATCACCAGATAGATAGTGCTACTAAGATTAGTAGTATGTAGTTAGGTTAGTTACTGTAATGTACTCTCATATAAGATGCATGCAGGACGAAACCAACCAGAAGGGAGGAGAGCGCGGGGAATGACGTCGGCAGCCTCGTAACGGGACTAGTGTTACAGCCGTTCGCGTGGGCACTTCCTCAACTCTCTCCCACCCCCAAAACAAGTCTCTCTCCATTGTTCTTCTTCCCCTTCTCCCCCACATCGCCTTCTTTTTTATCATCCCTCATACTTACTACTAGCCGCCGGTGATTTGGTCACCTTGAAACTAATACATTAAAAAATTTCGTTGACTGTATTTTTCTCTCAAAAGATCTACGAAATTTTGTCGCCGACAGAAGATGAGTTCCAGCAAGGATGCTATCCCCGCCAGCAGCAAAGGCTCCTGGTCAAGCTTCCTCAAGGTACGTCACAATGCTCCGCAATTGACCTCTCGTTCCTCTGACTAACTGCCGTGTCATACTAAAGTCTATTGCTTCTTTCAACGGCGACCTTTCGTCCTTAACTGCTCCACCCTTTATCCTTTCCTCCACCTCCTTGACCGAATACTCCGCCTACTGGGCTGAACATCCAAATCTTTTCGTAGCACCAGCCACAGAAGCTGACCCCGAGAAAAGAGCCCTGGCGGTCTTGAAATGGTTCCTCAGCACCCTTCACCAGCAATACTGCACTCGCAGCGAGAAACTGGGTAGTGAGAAGAAACCCCTGAATCCCTTCCTAGGGGAGCTCTTCCTCGGCAAGTGGAATACTGATGAGAATGTCGGGGAAACCTCACTGATCAGTGAGCAAGTGAGGTAGGCGATTACTCTAAATAGATCACCTTCTACAACGCTAGATTGACTTGAGCCAGCCATCACCCTCCAGCAACCGCCTATGCGATTCGGAATGAGAAGCACGGGGTAGAAGTAAGTATAATTCATTTCATTTAGTTTTTTTAATGAAAGCCTGGATTATATCTAACCTTATTCTCCTGTAGCTGCAAGGATATAACGCTCAGAAGGCCTCCTTTTCAAGTACCATCCAGATCAAGCAGATCGGACACGCCCTCTTGTCCGTCACCCCACCCAACGCGGATAAGAACGATCCCGCCCAGAAGGAACAGTACCTGATCACACTCCCAAGCCTGCACATCGAGTCATTGATCTATGGCACCCCCTTTGTTGAACTGGAGAAATCGACTCGGATCGTGAGCAGCACCGGCTACGTGGCCAAAATCGACTACTCAGGCAAAGGCTGGCTGAGTGGCAAAAAAAACACCTTCACCGCCAGCTTGTACAAGGAGAGTGAAGGAGAAAAGAACCCCCTATACACTGTCGATGGGCAATGGTCGAACAAGTTCACTATCAAGAATGCCCGAACCAAGGATGAAGTGGATACGTATGTGGTTGAGGACAACAAGACCGCCCCACTCCAATTGGCCCCACTAGACGAGCAGGATCTCTACGAGAGCCGGCGTGCCTGGCGCGATGTGGCATCGGGCATCGAGCGGGGCGACATGGACGCTGTCTCCGTAGCCAAGTCGAAGATTGAAAATGCCCAACGCGAGCTTCGCAAGGTCGAGAAGTCCGAGGGCCGAGAATGGGAACGTCGTTTTTTCAACCGTGTGGACGAAAACGAGGATCAGGGATTCTTACAACTTGTGAGAAAATCCGGCCTTGTATCTCTCGAGAGTGACAAGACTGGCGGAGTCTGGCGTTTCAACCCGGCAAGCGCAGATGGTGCGAAACCACCATATCACAAGGCTGGCGGCGAGGGCTTAGGGGTTTCTGCATGATTAGAAAAAGCCGTGCTCGAGGACATATTTATACATCCACGTATAAGTTTTCGTATTTGTGGATAAGGCGCCGGCCGCAGTGGTATCTGCGCTTATAGAATGCGTTTGCTTTCACAAGAAAATTTTTTTTTCTAATTTAATCTTTATTTACTCTACTTGGGGTTGACCTTTTTCGGCTTCTGTATATAGAACACGATGATCAATCAACAGGTTGTCTTTTTTCCATTCCATGCTACTAGCCCTCGTCGCAAAGCCACGATCCATACAATGATCTGCGGCGTTCAAGTAAAATTAACGTCTCGTCGACATCTAAAAGATGGGAAGGCAGATCAAATATGCATGACAGTGGATTCTGAGTGGCAAACGCGTAATCACCACTTCTGACTAGGAGTTTCTATTATCTAAAGTGAAACCAGATCTGTAGTGTAGTGAATCAATAGTGACTAGTCGATTGAGAGTATTATGCAGGAGTCTAGTGTTTCATTTCCCCTTTTCCAAGATGGTCAACTTTTTTTTTGGTTTCGGCCCCCTTGCCTATCACTAGGTAATAATTATGAGTGCCGCAGTGGGTGGTTTAATTTAATTAAAGCACGTCCATCGTGGATCAGTGCCTCAGTGATAAGGCAGGAGGATCACGCCGCCTCAGAGTGAGACACACCATCCGGCAATCTATTCGTGATTGTCGCTCTCTTGTGGTCTAAGCTTCTTCCCAGACGTCGTCTCACCTGAATATTGCTAACCTTAATTTACTTTGTCCAGGTATGCATTTCAGTGAACTGCTCCAGACAACAGCGCAATGTATGCACTCCAGTCCTTGTAGTATTGTAGTCCATACAGAAGACAAATACCAATTATTCATGTAAACAAACACTATGCATACATATATATATGTATCCTTGTGTCAAGCATTGCATTATCGCCGTATCTAGATATAAAGAACCTTTTATTCTACAATATGGTATGGAACCATTATGGCTTTACATCCATCGCTACTCGTTCAACCCGCTTGTCGAAATTAGCCCTATTAAATCTCTTGTACGCCAGCTGAATATTCTCGAAACGTCACCGAACGACCAGTTTCCAACAATAGCTGCAATTATCCATTTAACTCACCCTCTCCACATCCACAGCTTCCAGGTCCCAGACCCTCGGAAATGCAATACCAAAGCGTCGCCAATTTAAAGGCTCTATGAAGTTGTTTTACGACAATTGCAGCTCTACTGAGGATTTAAGAAACCTTGATAGTCTGTTTCATTCAGTCAGCGCTCCTGCAACCACGTATGTTTTTCGCGAGCATTCGTCATTCTACACAGCCAATCTAATATTGACAGTCATCCTTCCCTTGCTTCCTTGGCCATTGACCTTCTACAAAAATCCTTCCACGGCGGTTCCCGTCGGCCACGTAAGAATGCTGGGCAATATGACAAGGATCACTAACCCCAATGGCTGTCAGGCGCCAGGTTCATTTGTAACTAATTCTCATGTCTGTCCAAGGAAATCCTAGAAGCTATCACTAGTGATAGGCGAGCCAACGACTTTTACTGTAAAAGTCTCGCTTTAGCGACGGCTGCCAGCGCTCCTTGCAAATGGAAAGTAGAGGTGGCGTACCCAGGCCTTTTAACCGGGGATAGATTATGTTGTCACTTTGGGCTCATACATTATATAAAATACACTCACATCTGTCTATCTATGGCTACTTTCCATTCTGTTCACCTCACCGTTACATATATGAACCGGACCCTCCCAAACAGGTCAAGGACATCCCCAATTTCATCACATCATTCACAATGCCACCAAATCATTACCCAGTCTCCCAACCAAGCCTTCGCAAAAGGCTCCCCCTTCATGTACATCCTGCACTGGGTCATCGGTTCTATGGTAAACATGAGCCCGGAGTTTACTCGAGCCGTATGTAAGCTCAGAGTGATGATCATGGTCCGGTTCACGTTTGATGGGGTCGAGATGGATAATGGGGCGGATTGTCGGTTTTTCTTTCTGCTTGTGAAACGGGACGCGAGGTGGGGGTTTTGCTTCTTCACGCTCTTGTTGTTTGATATGGATCGGTTTGTGCCTGTTCATCCCGTGGAGGAGGCCGAGAGGTTCCCTGCTGGGTATCGGCATTTGGCATGGGCGGAGAGTAGGACTGGGGTGGTGCCGAAGTTGAACTTGGATAGTCACGGGCTGGAGAGGGATGTTTTGTATCGGAAGTGTAGGGATTGGTTGGAGAGGGCTATTAGGCCGGATTTGACGGGGAAGGATTTTGCGGATTGGGAGGTTGAGTAGGTAGCTTGGAGTCGATAATGCCCGGATGTGCTAGCAGGTGACTGTCGGAAGTGGATACGTTCATGCTGTTATATACCGAAAGGTACAGGTAAAGTAAGCGGACAATGCTTCGCTCCTGGCTCGTTGATATCGTGCAAATCTCATCTTAGGTGTACCGTAATCCTTCCTCAGATCCACTCATGTTGATGTTATCCGAGGCAGGCTTCTGTATCAGAGGGTTGAGATTTCCCGGGTACCACACCCCCCAGATCACCATGACGGCGAGCATCAGCAGCGCATCAAAGATATACATGGTCCATTCATGGCTGAGCAAGTACCCATCCTGGCCCATAGCATATTCAATCACTCGGAATATAGACCGAACCATAATCAGCAGACTGACCGCGTACAGTGTGTACAGGTGGGGTTTCCAGGTAATCGCCTGATTGAAGGCGAGGCGCGTAGGGTGACGATTCATACGGCGCCCAAACACGATCGAGGTCACAATAAATAGCCCCAACATAATCACTTGGATTAACAGGCCAACAATCACGATATTCTTCCCCATTTCTGCATTTGATCCTGTCGCCATCAGACCTGCTGCGCTACCTTGAACCACGAAGGAGAGCACATCGCCCAGGACAAAGACTTTTGTCAACCAGTGGGCTCGGATCATGGAATAATGTTCTGCTTGAACGCTGCGCATGATTCGTCCGAGAGTCATGTATACTGACGCGGCGAAGAGAACCGGACCAAGAAGGATGAACACATTTTGGATACAGTAAGGCATGATTTTGTCAGTTCTGCTGTGAGCTGCAGCTCGTGCGCCGTATCCGATAACTTCCACTATACTCTAGTTAGCTGTATCCAATGCGCTCTTCCATGCTAGTCAAGGGCAAAGTGGCACTCACATATGCCTCCAATGGCGAAGGCAAGACAAAATCGAGCTCGCAATCTCCATATTTTCCAGAAGTGGTAGATGGTCGCACTCAGAAAAAGAAGGAGGAAGATGACAGCTGCTGGTACAGACGGTAGATATTGCCAAAGATAGTAATTTCCTCGATAAGGCTCAAGTTGCGCCATTGTTATGAGATTTGTTGGTTAGAGGTATATCTTTCGAGAGGCATTCCGGGATTATCCCAGGGTGACGACTTATGCCAACCATCTTTTATATATCCGGAGATCGAGCAGAAAAGTTTATTTCCGTTCCTGAGCAGGGGTACATTATACACGTAACGAATTTGGCGCCAGATTCTTTGTAGACTGCCTCATTTCATCAGAATCCTCGACCGAATACGCGTATAGAAGCCAGTTCGTGGATCCGATAGTGAAGTGGTCCGTGCATACGCGGATTCTGTAAATTAGGGTCATCGCCACTTCCAAGCCCACTTTTCATGTCCTAAGGTGCTTTTTTGGGGGCCAAGTTAGATTCAGCCTCTGCATTTAGCTATCACCAGCGGCCAAGTATATGCGGGATATGACTTGGCACGGGTCCCAAGAACGAATTGGCGAATAGGCAGCAATCACCCACATGAATTAGTAGTCGATGCCCTCTTCCGGAGGCTGTGGTTCGCCTGAGTGGTAACCATGCCGCGCAGGACACATAAAAAGTCGCGCAATGGCTGTCTTGAGTGTAAACGACGCCATATCAAAGTAAGAGCACCCTTCACATAGCCGACGATGGAATCACTAAATCTCAAGCTGGGCAGTGCGATGAAAGGCGTCCGATATGTACAAACTGTACAACTTCGGAGCGCTCTTGCGAATACGCGGATGTCTTTCGAAGCGTTCCGCGATCTCGCGCTAGTACTCCATCATCTTCCTCCCCAGCAATTTCTGTGGCAAGGGATCGACTATCGGAGTTTTCCGGTCAGAGTTCCGACTCGCTTCCTAAGGATGCCCCTGTCAACATGCTACACATGCAACTCTTACACCACTTGATGACCGAGACACGAAGCACTTTTAATGAGAGTTTCTCTGACGCGATGTTTTCTCCTGATGTCATGCACATGTCCATGTCCTCTCCGTATCTCATAAATGAGATGCTGGCCATCAGTGCCCTACATATGAGCATCTTGCGTCCAGCAGACCAGGACTTTTATCGTCACCAGGCAGCACAACTCCAAACGCATGCATTGACAATTTTCAACAGCATGGAACTTGAAGTGAATCAGGAGACCTGTGTCCCACTCTTTCTCTTTTCCGGTCTTCTTAATGTGCATATGCTCTGTGATAGTTTGAACTTCAGAGACCAGGACTTTGATCAATTTCTGAGCCAACTTGTGAGTAGTTTCCGACTGCACCGTGGCGTCCGTGCAATCACCACAAATTCATGGGGCATGCTTCGTGACTCCCCACTAAAGCCAATAATACTGGACAGTGAGACACGGTTTTCAAGGAGTACCGGACCCAACCCCGAATGTGTAAGGCTCTTGGATCTCATTGAAGCCTCCAGCTTAGACCCCTCTATCACCAATACCTATAAGGAGGCGATAGAGGCATTACAACACGCGATGATTGCGTGCTTGCTTGACAAGCAGGATACTCAGGCCAGCGAGATCACTGCCTGGCCGGTGCTTGTTTCTCCTGAATACATTGATCTCTTAATGCTGCGGCGTCCAGAGGCTCTTGTGGTGCTGGCGTATTACGCTGTTTGTCTTCATTTACGGCGTTACGTATGGGTTTTTGGGGATAGCGGCCGATTCTTGATTGAATCCATTGCCGAATACCTGGGAACAGATTGGGCTGAATGGCTGGATTGGCCAGTGCGAACATTGAAAGGCCGTCACCAAGGCACTGCAACGAACTAATAGGACATTTTAAGAGAATCATTAACATGGATGCCCTGATTGGTCGAGATGAGATCCGATCCGATCGCGATCCTTACAATCTAGCCGAATGGAGGCTAGTCTTACTGTCTGTCACCTGCACGCTTTCCCCTTTGGGTCGTTCTCTGATTTGCCGATGAATAGATTGACTGGAAGTATTACTAGTATCAAAACCTAGATATTGCTCATTGGCTATTGTCGTAATCTATACTAGTACACTTGATACTAAAACCTCGGAATTTCCATAATTGTTTGTCCCAGCAGATTTCGATAGCCTTACAGAGACCCTTGAGGTTGTTAGTTTAGCGCCATACCGCTAACAGTGCCTATCAAACCCCCCGTTTCGCCTCTTGCTAGCCATTCTTTACCTGACCACAGTTTCCGCCCCCCAAACGGTTTAACTAACAACTCCCGCCAAGATGGAACGGCCGTGGGACATTACAGTCTGGACAGAATTTCAAGTCGCAGAGCCAGATGAGCTAGAGGCGGGAAAGTGGATGCCAACACTGGAGCCACTAGTCCAGGCACCCGGTCATAAGGATCAGTGTGGGCTAGGATCAAGGAACAACGGGCTATATTCTTCTTGTCACCTGTACGATGCAATTTTTTGGGTAGTGAATTTTAGTCTAACGGGTGCTTTAGTATGGGAAACTACTTCGGCGCTGAGGGAGTTCAATGCCTCTCCGGGCTTTGGTCTCTACTGGGAAGGCATTGCCTCACTATCGTAGCCTCGGTTTTACGAGGTGGATGTATACTTCAATTTTCCATGGTTCAATTACTTTCAATCAGCGATTCAGCTCTCCCGGGTGTATTTCTCTACACTTGTCAATGAAGCGCAGCGGGAGACGATGAAGCTGCGCGGGGGTAGGAACCGTTCCCGTAATGGTAGATTTCGATATGCAAGTGAGGGAATGCTGGTGCTGTGGATTGGGTAGAGGAGCATTGTGATTTCCGGCCTGTTCCTTGCCGGCTGTTGACTTTCGAGAGGCGTATTGGAGTGAGCACCTAAACGGAAAGAGATAGTCTCCAAGTTATCTAGAATATTCGGTATATATGTATGTGTATATACTCCGTCCCTGTAAAATATCAGGCAGAATGCTGACACTACAACTGAGCTGACTTACCAAACGTAAGAAAAGACTACCGATATGAATGAAACATAATGTGCCTGGCCGTCGGTATAACACTCGTTCTATATGCCCTCCTTACTCCCGGGCAATGCTCATTTGCAATCTTTAGGAGGCGCGGTAAGCTAGTGATCAATAAATAGAATAGTACGATTTTTCGTTTTACTCTGAAGAGTGGATCCGGTCAGGTATAGGAACCCCGGTATAATTTTGAGGCTGGGAGAGGCGCACCCCCACCCCCACCCCCTAGAGCCGTTGATTATTCTTGTCGCAAAACTATTACCTTCTACGTCATGCGGTAAGTGAACCCAATTGCTTCGGCTGGCCATCACGATATAACGCCGCCCGGTTTTATTCTTGCATTCTTTATTCCCCCATTCCCTGTCGTAACCCAGTCAATGCATAGATGTAATCCCAACTGAACCCCAATATGTAGTACAGGAAAGCGGAAGATATGCAAGGCAGACAAGAGCAAAAGGGAAGTAAGATTTCGTGAAAGAGAATCATGGAAATTCAGAACAAACATAAGACATCGGTCAATGCCATGAAACCGTACAGAATCAAATAGGAAAGTAATAATAAAAAGAAAAAAGGGAAACAGAAAGGTAACATTTTTTTCCAGTTCAATACAACATCATGAGCGCAACCCTGCATAACAAATCGAGTCCAATGAAAAAGCCAGCCAAGCTCCCACGGAGAGTAGAGATTACACACTTGAGAGTGACATAAAGTAACAACACACGAAATATAGAAAGCTTTTGATCCAGGGTGACCACCCCTGAGCCAAGTAAATATGGATTCCGTCATCCAGGAAAATGCAACGTCATCATCATTTAGTGACCGTAATTGCCTCCCCAGCCACCGCGACCGGAGTTGCCATAATAGTTACCAAAGCCAGCGCCGCCGTAGTTGTTGTATCCAGTGGCCTGGTGGTGGGACTGGGTAGCGGCAGCCTGGTGTCCACCAAGGCCACCTAGACCCCCATACTGAGGGTTCAGTTGAGGATAGGTGCCAAAGCTCTGCTGACCCTGCTGGCCTTGTAGAGGAGGAAGGCCAGTTTGAGCTTGAGGCTGACCTGGCACGCTGTTGGTTGCGGAGCCAGGGCGGTTAGCCTGCGCCAGAGAAGGGCTGGGGCCAGCAGCCTTGGGTGTGTCAAAGGTCTTCGTTTCCTCTGTAGTTACTGGGGGCTGCTGGGAGATGGGCTGATTCTGCCCGAAGCCACCCTGGGACCGACCAAAGACGTCCGACATGCCGGATCCGAAAGAGTTCGAGCCTGCCGCAGACTGCTGGCTCTCTGATGGTTGAGCAGATCCGGTACGGCCGTAGACAGTGTCACGGCCGGGCATAGCTTGGGTGAAGCTGCCGGTAGTTGCGGGCGAGGAAGAGTGATCGTAAGAAAAGGCGTGAGGCTGGCCGTACATTCCAGCCTTGCCATAGGGACCATACTGGCTTCCATAGCCATACTGAGCAGTGTGGGGCATATAGTGTTCGTCGTATCTGCGAGCATCATCATACATAGGACGGTTCCGGCCATATTGGTGTCCGCCACTCATCTGACTCATGTACGATGCATAATGAGGGTTGGAGAAATAAGGGTATCCATATCCGTAGGTATGAGCGCCCTGGCCGGGCATGTGCTGTGCCGTCGGGGTCTGAGTAGCGCCGGGAAGGGTAGGGTTGGGAGTGTTATGGCCGCTGTTGGGTGCATCGACATGGCCATAACGGCTGGGAGGCTGAGTGGTAGGTACGTGGGGTTGTACCTCCGCACCTGAGACGCCAAATCCGGCGGCAGCTCTCTGGGCAACGGTGGCATCCTGGGATTGACCATATGTGCCATAGTAGTTGTAAGGGAGACGCTGGTCAACCGCGTAGAAGGGAGAATACTCGCTACCAGTGGACACAGTTGGCTGGACGGGAGCTTGGTTGGCAAATGGTTCTTGGATTTGAGGTTGAGGTTGGGTCACCTGCTGGCTAAAGGGGTCGTAGGGTTTGTGAGTATCAGTATAGCGGGCGAAATCGTTGAAGGAAGAGTCGGCAGCAGAGACTTGAGGAACAGGAGGAAGCCCAGGCGCTGGGCGCGACACAGCGGGGCTCTCGGTCGAAGCCTGAGCCTGGGTCTGAGTGGAAGGAGGCAAGGAGGCACGAGGAGCCACGGGGGAGTGTTGAGGAGGTTGAGCACGAGTTTCAGCATCTTCGCGGTTTTCATCGATATCGACGTCGGCAGCATCACCGTTCAATCCCATGCTGCCAAACTGCACTGCAGCCCGGTCCACGGCATGGTTTCCGGGCATGACAACTGCTTCTTGTTGCTCCATCACACGGCGCTGCGCACCCGGGGCCCGAACGCTGTGCTTCAGTGCGCTTGTTGGGTAGGCAGGTGCAGGTCGGGTGGGCGTTGCGGCAGCGGCAGCATTGTTGGCATCCAGAGCGCTACCGACAGTGCTGGCCGCGGTAGCTGTAGGGGCCGGGGGAGAGACATCGGGGATCTGCGCGAGATTCGTCCTGGTCAAATCGTCCTTAGGCGCCACGACTTCCGGCACCGCAGCAGGAGCAGCAGGCTTTCCGAGTGGTTGAGGGATAGCCGGCTCAGGTGCTTTCTCCATCGGAACAGGAACTAGGGGCAGGATGGGGACGGGAGCAGGTTCAGGTGCCTTCCTCTCTCTCTGTTCTTTCTGGTCCTTCTGTTCCTTCTGCTCGGACACTTGTTCGGCAGCAGGCTTCTCAAGAATGGGAGCGGGAGCGGAGGCAGGGGCAGGAGCAGGGGCAGCAGCGGGTGCGGGAACCGGAGCTGGAGCTGGAGCTGGAGCGGGTGCGGGAGCAGTAGGTTTCTGTTGGGGAGGAGGCGCCGGTTTCGCGAACAAGCTAGCCCAGCCCTTTTTGGTACCCTCGGGGATCACATTGCTCTTCGACACATCCTTGGGGCTTTCCTTGGAGACATCGGCTGGTTCTGGAACTGTAGATTCAGCATCGGCTGCTGTCTCGATCTTTGTGGCCTCGGGGGTAGCTGTCTCCACCGTGGTAGGAGCGGCTGGCTTCTCGGGGCGGCTGCCATTGGCATGGACACCAGCCCGACCGCCACGGCCGCCACGGCCACGATCTCCACGAGCACGTCCTCCACGGCTCTCAAATCCACCGCGTCCACGGCCTCCTCGGATGGGAGCAGTAGTCGACTCGGTCGGGGTGCTCTGTGCCTCCTTTGGCTTGGGGCGGCTCCGATCTGTAGTCTTCTTCTTTACCTCTCCCCACTGAGAGACGTTACCTAGATCACAAGTGATAACGTTAGTCCAGGTTTGTGACAATAAACAAGTGATTGGATCGAGATCGACGGCGAACCTTCAGTTATGCGATCAATTGCCTCCTCGAGGTCGCCGTCTGCATCCTCCAAAGCGAAGACGAGATCCTCGTCCGTCCAGTCAGGGAACAATTCCTTTAGCATGGGTAGAGTGTTTGCATATTTCTTCTTCATCTGACCGATTTCTCCCTCATCTTCGAACGTAGTGGGTGTGTTGTCTGAGTTGTCTGCCTTTGCAGATCTGCTACCACCTCGACCTCCTCTAGAGCTATAGCCACCGCGACCGCCACGAGCGGATACCCTGCCACGGGAGGCAGATGACCTTGTTTGAGGTTCAGACATATCTTCTGATGGGAATCTGGTAATTCTCCGGAATGGAGAGAAGAGAGTAGAAGGAGAACGGAGGTTGGACGAAGGGGGTGTGGGAAAACAAGGTGCGGCTAGTGGGAAGAAAAAGCGGGTAAAAAGAGGTAATGATCAAAGATGCAGCCTCACGAGAGAGGTCAGCGCCAGAACCACAAGGGCGCACACAAGGACCGCCCGAATTGGGGTTGGAGGCGCGAGTTGAGAGTTAAGGAAGGGGAGGGAGGGGAAAGAATTGAATAAAAAGGAAATAAACAAAAAGGAAAAAAAAGCTAATAGAGGATGAGCATAGATTATATGGGAATAGAGAAGGGAATTTGGAAGAGTTTTGAGACACTTAAAAAAGAGGAATAGGTAAAGTACGAGACGAGTTTAGGTACAAGTTCAGTCCGACCGACGTGTTGGAACTCCACTCCAGGCAGGGAGAGCGACCGTCGAGGCAACTTTGTCGCCCATTTAGCGAGCGGCGCTAACTTTGTTGGTTGGGGTGATCAGGCGGGAGCCCGTGACTTTGCACTGGAACGCTTCGATCTAGCGTGACGCCTTTTAAAGAACTTCCTCGAGTGATTAGAAAGTAACTTCAACCCTCAGGCATTTCGTCATTGATTTTTCTTTGCCAAACACTGGTTGGTGATCGAGATTACACTTTTCGTGTAGGAAAGATTACCAGTACTACTATTAGTACTACTAGTGTACCTACCTTACCTACTGGTAGTACTCTCTACTACTACCTCTTGATTAGTCTCCAATCGGAGCCTATTGATCCAATCTATTCCCTTCCATTTCTCGCATTCCTTCACCGCCCCCCTTCGGTACGACCATACCATACTCTGTACCTTGATCTGAATAGAAAGCATTATTTTGCCGATAGTAGATGAGACTACTGGAACCACCATTGATTCTTATATTATATTATCATCCCTTATCTTTTCCTTCTTTCCCCACTCCTTCCTCTTACGGTCATGAAACCTACGTCGAGTCTAAGTTTAAAACCCTGGTCTAATATTCACCCTCCACTACCCCGTACCCCTCGACAATCGCAGCAACTCCTCAAAGCCCTTACGTCTTCCTTCCGTCGTCAACTCGATCGGGAATACCCCCCAAGGGTCCCCTCAGACCGAGAGGACTCTGGGGATCGTATCCCGGAGAATCCAAACTCGTCTGTACATGCAACCGATCGACATCTCCGAGCTATCTTGGACAATCCGCTGTTTCGGATAGTACCCTCGAAATCTGCTGCTGATCGCAATGGTGGAATGGCAAGCAGACAACAGCAGAGACTCGCAAAAGAACCAATGGTTGTGTTTGATGAATTGGTTGCCTCAGGTTCGGTAACGCTGCCGACTCTACGCGACTGTTTGAAATCTCAGATGCTACTGGCAAGCCGCTATACCGGAAGTGGCTTTGTAAAGGCCATGAAAGACTCGAGAGCTGGATCGAAGGTTGTCAGTTGGTGGCTTGCCTCCGACACACCGGCAAGGAAGATGCTGTTTAAATCCCGAGCAGCAACCACTACTTTGGTAAAGTTTTTAGTTGCGGAAGGATCTCAAGGAGTGGTTTTGACTTGGCTCAGGATGCTAGCGGATCATGACATTGGAGGCCAGAGCGGCAAACTGCCAGAGAATATTGCGCAACAGGTGTTTCGCTATCTTCTAGTTGATTTAATAGCCGCCGAAACCCAATACGGTCAAGGGTTGAATTCAGCCATGCGAGACTACCTACAGGCTTGCAAAATGCAAATGTCGAGGGATAATGCGGTCTCCAACCTTTCCTGGAAATCCTTGTTTCGCCCGGCAAGCATTCACTTATGTGAGAGCTTGATACAAAGTTCACGGTCTAGCTCGAAAGATCTTGACTGGTCTATCTACGAAGAGTACATCGAAAGCCTCTCCACACTGTCACTGAAACCATGTCTGCTAGCCACACTTCCGCTATATCACCCCACTCATCCCAACCCCCGACCATTTCTTGAGTTCGTGGATACACTACCTCCTGGCCGAGTGGACTCGTTGGTAGAAATGAAACGAGAAAGTTTTATGCGCGCCGGCTTTGATGCTCTTCATCTTCTCGTGGATCAGAACAATCGACGGGATGCTTTACACCTGGCACGTTTCTTGCAACAGCAGCTGCTCGAGAAAGCTGACTCGGAAAGTGTATCCGGAACAAATCAGCGCGCTTATGCAGAGAGAGAAGATTTACTGACAGAGCTTGACTTGGCATTGGCTTGATATGCGTAACCGTTGCTATTTGGCGCCGAAGCAGCAGATTTCGTAAAGCAATGGCCTTTTAGCCCCACATTTAGGTGAAATTTTACACTCCTTTCTCCATGGCTTGAAGATTGATTTATACGGAGTATGCATGCAAACTAGGAAGTAGGCGAATGATTTGTCAACCTGGATCTGCAGGTGACAATTCATTGTCGCATACAGTATCGTGGGCGGTTACCCCGAAACACGCTATTAGCTGCTCCGCATACTGATCCACTCAGCCACGCTAATGGAGGCCTTTTCTCCTCTTCTTGGCACGCTTACATATCATGCCTGGCGACACAATCAATACAGGGAAGGCTTGTGTGCGCCTCGAGCTGATCCTCGGGGGTAACCCTACTATGCCATTTCCTAATTGGCGTTTGCTGACGGAACAGTCCACGATTGAGTTCTGTATGAAACAGGTTAGCGTGCTGGGGATTAGTTGACCTTAGTAAATATCACCGCGCAACCTCACCTCACAACCTTCTGTGACCTTCTACTACATCTCGCACCTCTCAACAAGTCGATCTCAATCTTGTAGACCGCCACTCGTCTATCTTCAAGGTCGCTTGTTACTTGCGACCACATATAATTTAAAACTTGGCCCGTCCACGACTACTAGAGGCATCTTTTACTCACATTCGTTCACACCATCTATCACCATGTCTTCTGAGCCAAATGGCAGCATCAACCCACCTTCAGCCCCAGGTATGTCCCAGACACCGTAACATGTGACTCACATGATCCCAGTTCCCACCATCAGTGCCAGCATCGCTTGGCTATAGCTGTATGCATCATTTTATAGGCTGATTCATGAAGCAGATGCTACAGTCACATCTGGAGTTAGCACTGGTAAACAAACGACCGATGCTACTCTGAAGCAGACCAACGGGGACAGCACCCCGATCAATCCAGTGGAATCAGATGGTTCATCCGAAGAGAAGCCTGCCGAAGCAACTGAGATTCCCAAGGAACATAAACTCACTGAGGAATCCAAGCCTAGTGGACCTGGCTCTGTTGCAGCAAGTGCGGGACCAAAGGAGGCCATCGTGGCCAACAAGACAGCACAACCCGGCGATAAACGAGAACACGAGTCGACCACTGCACCTGCGGACACAACCAAGGTTAAGGCTAAGAGCGCAACAGAGCCTGTAAAGAAGAAGCAGAAGATTACCGGAAAGCGAACTCAGAACGGTACTTCCACAGTTCCTGACATGAACGGAGAAAAGAAAAAGGCAAGCCGTTCCAAGAAGGCAAAGGACTTGGCCAAGACGGTAATTCCTACAGATGGTATCGGTAGTCGAACACGCAGCCGGACTAAGGCTTCCCCCTGATCTTTTGTGTGGTATCGCAGCGAACATCCACATCGTACAGGACCGCTGTATGCTTCTATCTTTTTCTGTATGTTTCCCTTAATCTGGTTGTTTAGCAGATCCTATGTATGCGCAAGGCTATGTTCGCTAGCAATGCTTTTTTATTTATCAGAAGACCCTAGCTTGTGAATGAATCAATCTGCTTTTTCATGCTGCACGAGATCATTAGGGATAAACCCTCTGGGAGGACTTCGAAATAAGTTAGTCCAAGCAACAGTATTATATATTGTAGTAATCGAATCATATACATGATGAGCTTGTACGAACCTGGTTCGGGGTTAGTTCAAGCTGGGAGTGGCCTAGTCCCGACATCGGCCAAGATTCCACCCTCTTGAGTTGAGTCACCACTCCGGAGCGGGAAAACATCCGGTGTCCCTCCCCCACTATCAGTACTAGAGGGGAAAGTGTGTGTCATCCCATTGAGATAAACAGCCTATCGGTTTATAAATATTCCCCAAGGAGATTGCAGTTCTTCTTTTCTCTCTATTCACGTTGGTCAATTGAGCTTCACAGAAACAGAAACAGAATGTCTTCCAACAAGATCTGGCTTCGTGCTGAAACCAAGCCCGCCGAGGCTCGGTCTGCTTGTAAGTATACAGCATCCGTCGCTCTGCCATTGAACACCAACTGGGGCAGTGGAATGATAACTCTTCATCCACAGTGACTCCAACTACTGCTAAAGCCCTTATGGATGCTGGCTATGAGGTGACTGTAGAGCGCTCTACACAGCGAATCTTTGATGGTAGGTGGTCGATCTGGAGTTTCTTTCGATGTGGTGGCTGACCATGTTCTTCCTAATAACAGATGAGGAATTCGCAAAGGTACATATTTTCATTCGCCCTACTCCGTGCTCAGACGAATACTTATATCTCCCGTTCAACAGGTCGGAGCCCCACTAGTTGAGGAGGGCTCCTGGGTGAAGGATGCCCCGAAGGATGCATACGTTTTGGGTCTCAAGGAACTTCCCGAAGATGACTTCCCTCTTGAGCACGTTCATATTACCTTTGCCCATTGCTATAAGCAGCAGGGAGGCTGGGAGAAGGTTCTCAGTCGGTGGCCGCGCGGAGGCGGAGCCCTCTTGGATCTGGAATTCCTCACTGATGATACGGGACGGAGAGTTGCTGGTGAGAAATCATTGCCCCTTTTCCTTATTTAATTTTACCTCTAGTCTGCAAGCGATACTAATCTCCGGTTCCACAGCTTTCGGATGGTCGGCTGGCTATGCTGGTGTGTATTTTTCCTTCGTTGAAGCGCCAATGAGTCAATATTGATGAAGAATGACAGGCTCCGCGTTGGCTATTAAGAACTGGGCTTGGCAATTGACTCACCCTGAGGGTGAGCCTTTGCCCGGTGAGGTCCCCTACGCTAACCAAGATCTCTTGATTCAGTCCGTGAAGGAGTCTCTGGAAGCTGGCAAAAAGCAGTCCGGTCGGTCCCCCAGAGTTCTTGTCATTGGAGCTGTGAGTGCGCTCTTCATTCTACTTTCGTGGCAAGATAACTGATCCTGACGATGCGTAGCTTGGACGCTGCGGCAACGGTGCTGTGCAACTTGTCAAGGACGTTGGTATCCCCGAGTCTGATATTATACAGTGGGATCTTGAAGAGACGAAGAAGGGTTTGTTACCATGTGGGCTCCTGACCAGCTTGATGTTAATGCGTAAGATTAGGCGGTCCATTCAAGGAAATTGTCGAGGATGCCGATATTTTCGTCAACTGCATCTACCTCTCTACGAAGATCCCTCACTTTGTCAACGTTGAGTCTCTCTCTACCCCTAAGCGCCGTTTGTCCGTCATTTGCGACGTGAGCGCCGATACGTAAGTCTCTCTTTTGGCATGACCTTGGTGGTCTTTGCAATTCACTAACTTCTACTTGATGCAGCACTAACCCGAACAATCCCATCCCTGTGTACGATATTACTACCACTTTCGACAAGCCTACAGTACCGGTCACCCTGCCAGCGGGAACACCAGGACCCCGTCTCAGTGTGATCAGTATTGATCACCTCCCCTCCCTCCTCCCCCGCGAAAGCTCCGAAATGTTCAGTCAAGCACTGCTGCCCAGCCTGTTGCAGTTGAATGATCGGGCGAACGCTCGCGTCTGGACGCAGGCGGAAGAATTGTTCCGGGAGAAGGTTGCCACTTTGCCCTAGATGGCCGAAAAAAATTATCTTGCCTGGATTGCCGCCTGCGATCTACCGAGATGCTGTAGATCAGCTCATCAAAACAAAATAATACCATGTCATTAATATTCTTTTCGGAATGATACTATGAATAGATCACATATAAGAGATCGAGCGGTCTTGGCGACTTGTGCACAAAAGCCAGGTTTACAAACTATCTACTCCCTCTTCCTTTTTTGAATCAAGTGATGGAGAAACATCGGGAAAAGCCGTAATTAGAGCGAATTATTTGGTCAAACCAAGCCATGTCGATCATGAACACATTGTGTGCCGATCAAATTGGCATCGTCATTTCTGACTCGAGGAGATTTTTTGGACCGAGGAGTCGGGTTCGTAGTAGTACTATCTAAATATTTGCAGCTTCAGAGAGTATTTCGTCGTACTTTGTCAATAAATCCCCCGCCAAGGAACTGGATGATACAGGAGAACGACAGGGCAACTAGTAGTGTGTAAATGCAAGCCGATCGTTACATACGCTGTATTGCGGGTGAAACGGACCGGGACGGCCATTCGGCGTTGAAGAACTTCCGGGCATTAAAAAGTTCCTCCCGGCAAATACAAAGCTGAGTTGTATTCATGCCTTCGATACCAAGTCCAATTATTTACAAAGTCGATGTGAACGATGGAGTGGTAATCGACTCTGAAAACTGTTGATCTGGCAAAATACTACATACTGTGAGTCTCTGCAAGGTGGTCGATTGGCTCTCCAATCCTTCTGCCTTTTCCCTTACCCCATTTTCTCCACATCCTCGGGTTTATGGGGAAAAAAGGCAAAAGGGAAGAGACAGAGAGCTGACCATTTATCTCTCCCGGTGTAGCCGATGGGAATGAAACTTCGACCTCCACGCCAGCCAGCTCATTTTACACGCCGAGACCTTTGGTTCGCCATACTTCAAACTTGGATTTATGATTTTTTTTTCTATATACACGCGCTCGATTCCCGACAATTCCCATACTAAATTGGCGCCAGATTTCTGTCTGCTTGAGAACCTCCCCGCGCCTTGGCGGTCATAGCCCTGCTGCTGTCAATGGAGCAACGGTAGGGATACGGATATTAGCTAGCCTGAGAGACTGTCGACCTATGCTAGGGATTCGTATTGGGTTCTTCCGTATATAGTTGATGCAAGAAAAATCGACCACCGTCGCCGCATATGCGGCCGGCGCGTCACTCGCCGCTGTCGCCTTATTCTACGTCTTCGGCCCTAACTACACAATTGATGGAGATGAGTCGAGCGACAGTAACCGCAAAAAGAGCATTGTCGGTCTATCCAACCCCGCTAATGACTGCTTCATCAACTCGGTCCTGCAGGCACTTGCTGGTCTGGGGGACCTACGTGTTTATCTGATTAGAGAGATTCATCGGCGTGAGCTGGATGGCCCAGAGGTCTATAACACCTTGCCGGATGTGAAAGTGCTAGCGAGCGGCGAGAAGCCGGAAAAGGCCCGGGAGTTGCAGCAAGGCACTATTACTCGGGCTTTGAAAGAGATGCTAGACCGGTTGAATGAGCGCCCGATTTACAAGAAAACAATTTCAGCACGGCCATTCATCCAGGCTCTCGAATACGCCTACCGGACACGGCTTAGCCGAAATCAACAGGATGCGCAGGAGTTCTTGCAGATTGTCGCTGAACGGCTTTGCGATGAATATCATGCCGGCGTCAAAGCCCGACAGCGATTGCAGGCTCCTATTGAGGTTCCCGCGGCCCCAGAAATTTCCGAGGACCCCGAAGATGACACACCTGCGAAGAGCCCGTCTGAAATCGAGGTACGTATTGACGACGGATCCGAGAATGGTCTACCAGCAATTATTGACACCAAACTCAACGAGATTGACAATGAGTGTGGCTTTCCGTTTGAAGGGAAGCTAGAGTCTCAAATTGAATGCCAATCCTGCCACTACAAATACAAACCTAATCAGACGTCGTTTGTCAATTTGACGCTACAAGTGCCTCAAAAGAGCTCGACTACTCTCAGTGCGTGTTTTGACGGTCTGCTCAAGACCGAATACATCGACGACTTTCGATGTGACAGATGCCGACTGCAGCATGCACTAGAAATAAAAATGCACGAGCTAGGTCAAACACGCGGGTTAAAAGACCAGCAGCACCTCCAGGTAGAAATTCAAAAAATACAAAACGCTCTCTCAACCGATCCAGAGGGCCCGCTGGAAGGCGTTAAACTCCCACCTGCAGAGGTTGCTCCAAAGCGGAAAATTGCACGCCATATGCGCATAACGGTCTTCCCAAAAATAATTGCGATCCATCTCTCAAGGTCCATTTTCGATCAGAGCAGTTCTACCAAGAACGCGGCCAAGGTAGCCTTCCCTGAACGACTTCCGTTGGGGGGTATCTTGAACCAAAAGTGGTTTAAGCTGCTGGCGATCGTCTGCCATAAGGGCAGTCACAACAGCGGCCATTACGAATCCTTCCGACGAAACCATCTCTATCCGCCATTCTCAACGCCGGATGCTTTTAGTTCGTATGCACAGAGTCGAGTTACAAGTGCGAATCCATCGCAAGTACCGAGCCCCCACCTGGGAACTCGTTCTTTGGATGCAGAGCCTCCAGCCCTTAGCATCTCGACCTCCACATCATCAACATCCCCTTCGTCTCTTTCGTCTCCGGCCCCCTCGCGATCCCCTTCGACGAAGAAGTCTCCTACAGCTACATCACAATTGAACCCCCCGGCATCCCCGGCACCCCGGCCAAGCACGTCATCAAGCTCTCGTGTTTCTTTCCAGAGTCACCGCTACAGATCCAAACAGAACTTATCGCCAACATCAGATGCCCAGAGCCCTACGACTGACGGTGGGCGGTGGAGCAAGTCCAGCTCGCGGCCATCTTTCATGAGTGATCGCATAACCCCGGGTACTTCTGTGGATTCTGTGGGCCCTACCTCTCGTCTTCGCCGTCGCCGTAAAGCAAACGATCGATGGTGGCGCATCTCGGATGAGAAAGTCAAGGAATGTAAGACGTCAGACGTTTTGGGGATGCAGAAAGAGGTATACCTTTTATTCTACGAGATGGAAAAGCCAACCAACGGCCTACCGGTTTCATAGGCGCCTGACAAGAAGCTGAAGGCTGGTCCTGGGCGTCAGGCGACCGTTTCTTTGCATGGACGCACGTGGAAGGGTATATATACACATTTTTCCACGTGAAGATTACATGCATCACTTATCTTTTCTTTTCTAGACAGTGCTCAGGTGTCACTGTGCTTTGCTTGCTGGATCCGAGTCCAGCCAGGGCAATTGGTTACTGAGCGTATATGTATATTTGGTGTGAAGTGGTTGTAACTTGGATATATATACGATTCGTTAGATGCAAAAATTTCCAATCCGACTTGGATCTCATTGGATCACCCTGTTTCAATTGACACACTATCCTTTCTGTCTTCTGAAGAGCTACTACCGCCACATGGACTTCCCCACGTAGTAATCAATATACATGAAGTCATCTATTGTTGCTTCACATACTTTTGAGCCTTCAAAACCTACCCGACAGATTAAGGGGGGAAAGGGAAAAGAAAAGAAAAAAGAAAAGAAGAAAGAAAAACCCTATGCCTCAAGTGCTTACCCCTGACTTTTCGATTTCTCCAGCCCTTTTCTTATTTACTCCCCAGTAGTTAGACAGTATCTACTTAAGAATGGAGCATGGACATACAGCTCACGTCGTTACAGGTTTTCTATTCCTCATCCAATCATGGGTGTCCCACCGCGAAGCATTCTAGAATCCGAGAAAGTCATTGGTACGCAAGGTCTCTGCAGATTAACACCATAACGCTTGGCCGGCCATAAAACGGTTCCCTTGCATATACCTTGGACACAAAATAAGATGGATGTAATCCATCAATAATACAGCATCTAATTGAGGGGTCGATGTCCAGATTGCGCAAGCGTGTGTGTGATGAGATAGGATGTTTGCTCTCTATGTAGTTTGATTGATGGAGAGATGTTCTATAGGATATTGTGGGGTAGTAGCTGAGAGACAGGATCAAGCTGCTTTGGCCTGGTTTGATATGCGCTACGCTGTTCTTGCTCCTAGCGTCGGTTCTTTTTTCAATGCTGATATCAATGCGCAGGATGTTATGGCACGAGGAAAGCCAATGGCCTGCAATGCCGCTATTGTCCTGCCACTTTTCCCGGGTGTTGGAGAATTTCACCGTGTTTGGCTTTGGTACTGGTGAGTGATTGGGAGTGGAAAAGAGAAGCCCCCTGTCTCCTTCTCCTTCTCTTCTTTTCTTTTTCCCCTTTCCCTCCATGGTTGATGTGTGGATAGCGGTGAAGCAGCTTACTATGGACAGATTTTTCTTCTCAGATTGTACACTTGAGAAACCCCGCTCGAGGCAGATATGGAAAAATCAAAGAGGTAATTTACTCATCGCCGAGTTCTCGTGAATGCCTCACAATGGATCGCATTGCTCTATACTCGAAATCTTTCATAAATGTCGCTAGAGTGACAAAGAACAAGGCGCTTAGAAATCGCATCGTACTATTTATTATCATCACTACGGCCATAGGGGGACTCGCACTGATGTATGTCTTCTGTACAACCCCACAAGGTATATAGTCTTCATCTACTTACCCTCGGCAATAGAGTATGGTTCGCACTGGTCCTAGTACTCATCGATCGACTTACTCCAACTGAGTCATCCAGCGGACTTCACCAGATCACCAAGTCATGGAAGAAACCCTCCGACTCTGTCTCTTTACTCTCCCCCTGGCCCATTGATTGGAGCCAGGGCATTATCCCCATCCCATGTCATTCACACAATGACTACCGGCGTCGCGTCCCTCTATACGATGCCCTCGCCGCTGGCTGTACCGGCGTCGAAGCTGACATCTGGCTAGATAGCTCTTCACAAGACTTACTAGTGGGGCATAAAAAGCGATCGCTATCCCCCGACCGTACACTGAAGACCCTCTACATTGATCCATTGTTCAAGATCCTCTCGTGCCAAAATATTGATACGCCCCCCTCAGCGCAACCAACCGGCGTATTCGACGCAAACCCCAACACAACCCTCGCATTGTTAATTGACATGAAAACGGATGGTAAAGATATCTGGCCCGTTCTAATGCAGCATCTGGAACCACTGCGCTCCCAAGGTTGGCTGACATATTGGAACGGTACCGCTCAATCTCTGGTTCTCGGTGCAATAACTGTCGTCGGAACAGGGAATACCCCTTTTGCTATTGTCGCTGCGGAGAGAGACCGCCGGGATGTGTTCTTCGATGCCCCGTTAGATCAGTTGTCTAGGAATGAGACATATACTTCCGAGAATTCGTACTACGCTAGCGTTGCGCTAGAAAGGGCTGTGGGAAAGATCTGGCCATGGGGGCCTAGTCAGCGGCAGAAATTAATGATTCGTGATTTGATTGATGTGGCGATTACCAGGGGGTTGGTTTCGAGGTTCTGGGATATTTCTGGATGGCCGGTGGCTTTGCAGGTGAGGTTGTGGAATGTCCTGGTTGAGAATGGGGTTGGGATGTTGAATGTTGATGATTTAGTGCATGCTAGTCGGTGGAATTGGGATTGGTGCATTGTTGCTAGTCTGGTGCTTTGTTGAGTTCTTTGTAGTTATGCAACTTGGGCTCGTTGCGTTTCAAGCATCTGATATAAGTCTCCCGTGTGGCCAAACAAGTAAACCCTCAATCATTAACATACATTCAATATCAGCAGCAGCAGCAGCAGGGACACAAAATCATGTCAGTGAAAGACCCTTTTTCATTTCACTGGATGCCAAATTTATTCCATAGTAATGGACAAATCACAGGGATTTTTCAACTCTTAGTATACGGACTACCTAGGTCGCGTTGATTTAAACCCTCTTTAGTATACTTTCTATACCACAGTCAACTTAAGCAACTAGCGTAGCTTATTGGGAGTCCTGTAAAATCCAATTGCGATACCCAAACACTCATCATCCAATCACCTATCTTACTCCGTTTATCCCTTCTTTGGAAGCAGATATGTTGCAACGCCCACCACCGGTGCACAGTTTACAATATTATTGCTGGCTCAACCTTGAGGCCTACTTTGCAGTTGCCAACACTAGAAAACTTCCGCCGTCTACAGAGTAGTGAAAACATGATAAAGAGACGACTTTATAATGATACCGCGCCACCAGGGCAGTTTCACCTCGAGCCGAATTGCTTTCTACCACCATACATCGGCATTTCCATATGCCATTAGGGGCATAGCATTTGAACAGATGCCACAAATTCAAGCAAAACTCACGGTGGTGAATATTCAATCATAGCCACTTACAACCAAGCCAATTCACATCTTTCTAACCTTGGCTTTAGCCATAGGACAAGACATACACCAATCTAACCTATCTTTTTTTTTCATGGAATCGGTAGCATTCATATCACGCTCATCTGAATCTATCTGGTCTCAGCGGTGGCACCGGGAGATCAAGGGCAATGCAAACAGAGTATAGAGGAGCTCTGTCTAGCAATTGAAAAGAAGGAAATGAGAGTCTGTGTAAAATGAGAAGAAGCAGGTGGGTGGGACATGGCTCTATCGGCGAAGGTCGGCTTCTAGCAGGGGTTGAATCTGTCTCGCCAGACCACATGAATATGCCATGGCGTTATATTGAATGTTCTCTTAATAGGAAGAGCCTTATTGAGGCTTGTAATATTTTCCAATATACTATGGGTAAGAGCGACCCGGACAATAATATATTCTAGAGTCTTTTACTAACGTTCTAGGCTAAAGAGCAAAATAGAGCAATGGCGACAATTGGCCTTAGGAGATCAGAGAACGGAGATTTGCCAAAACCCATTGACTTTTATGTCCTAACGCCCACAGACTTTGGGAACGAGCTCGTTTGGCTTTGCAGCCAATAAAGCTTTCAGGAGACCAAGAATGTCTTACCCTGAAATTCCTCGCTCTTGGGAGATCACCGCTATTCTGCTATTTACCGGATAACGCATCCAAGGCTTATGGACGCACTTCTGTCTCCTGTTAGAGCTAGCCAAATCCAGAGTTAATTTTACCGACCTGCCTAAGATATGTGATCTTTGTAATACTTGGAGTATCAAGTACTTCAAATATCAATTACTGTATGTTGTCCTTAGAGTGGTGCATATGTCCTATACATCGTGACAAATGCAATTCTTGGTTTAGATTTCTCCCCATCTTTCCATCCATTATAGGTGAGATCAGGTGAGATCAGCTATCTTAAGATACGACTCACCCTCGAAGCCGACGTTGATCAAGTAAAAAGCCTCTAGTATTTGTTCAAACGAGGCTTCCATCCCGGGGGTAGCTTTGCGAACTAGCGTATACATATATCTTCTACTACTGATTCCAACACCTACAACATCATGGGACCCAGGATAAGCTTGGATAGACATATGCGAAGATCGACTCGATTCAGGAACAACGATATAGATATCTAGTTATCTCGCCTTGAAGACTCGTACAGCGTCCATCACCATACCAGCAGCACCAACAACACTCCAAACCAAATTAATCTTAGGGGTCTGATAGAGTAATCTATAAATAATAGCGACTCGACGTATCGGAAAAGAATATGTAAATCAAGGTTGTCTCAGAGGGACTATATAGATCAACGTAGCCGCCGTAGCTTCTTGAACCTTGCTGCCCACATCTTTCAAAGGTGGTGATGTATGAAGACCACCTGAATCACTTTCTGATATACCCTAACTTTAACCTGATGTATGTGCGTACGGTACAGTTGAATGCGATGAATGACTTCGGTTATCTTCGGATTTCAAAAGGTGTACTACTGATAGATAGGAGCTCTTATCTAACAGAAACCATGATCTCGCTCGAGAACCACAAGGCCTACATTCTTGTCTTAGCATTGATGACGAACGATAGTCATTGTATTTCCGCGTGCCAATCTGGCAAATCATATGTAGATATGCATCAATTGTATTTATGCACATTTGCGGGTAATGATAGCAACATTGGAAGACCATTCATTTTGTTCCACAGGTGGAACAGATGGAAGGGTGGTTTCCACCAATGAACCGTCGAAAGTGTGACAAATGACCGGTTCCTTCTTATCAAAGGTAGCAACACTCCCGATTATGGATTCAAGGATGCTATTACGAGATTCGGGATATACCAAGACCGGGGTATGGATATCTACCCCCGCCAACCTGGGCTGGAACGCTTGGGAGCGTCTGCTTTTTATTCAATTGGTATATTTTTTGTGTCAGCTGAACAGGTATAAGAGGGCCTAGGCATAGAAAGACAGAAAGATGCCGAAAGACTTGGAAAGAATTGAAACGGGTACGGGGGATGAGATCTCCCGCCGATTTCCCCGATGTTTGGGCTACCACGAAAGAAATACGGAGAGAAATGGGTCAATGTTTTCGCAGTGGACGGTCGACCCCAGATTCAACGAACAACAATAACATCAACTTGACTACATTGTTGAAGAATTGTGAACCCGTTAATGAGGGTATCCAGAAAGGGCCCACCTTACATACAACAAGTATCATGTCGTAGTAGTTCAAGGCAATCGAATCGGGTCCATGGAAGGTATGAAGGTGATGATGTCATGTGATGGCGGGGGTTCTCGGGAAGGGGGTCTTGTTGGGCCTCAGGCCAGAAACCCGCGTCATGGTCAGAACCCCACCAACGTCACGGGAAGAATTGGGAAGAACTTGTTGAACTTGGACTTTACCCTCGGGCAATAGAAGAAAGTGTGAATGACTAACTAATACTACCAATTCTCCTCTCTCTCTTCCTGTTCTTCTTCCTTCTTCTCTCCTTTTCCTTATATATCATCATCCCCCCCCCAAATCTTTTGATCTTCTTAACTTCATCATCACGCCAGACCCGGTCAGTGAAATCATACTGATACCATCCGTTCCCCACCACCCGGTGAGTTCTTTCGACTGCTGTTGCCCCTCCATTAGTGGTTCAACGTGCCCCTCATCCCTCCCTTTGCCAATGACCTGTTATTAAATCCCCTGCTCCGTATTCGTCGTTCGGTAAAGATCCTTAGTTTATGAGCTGTTACGGAACTTATTTCTAGCTGTTCATCTCCTCTATTTCTCTCCTCTTTCCTTTCTTCTTCCCCTTTAATAAACTAATCCAATTCCTAGTCGAGCAATCACTCTCATCTAACCAACTGCAAAACAATCACAATGGGTGTCCTTGAGAAGCTTTCCCGCAAGACTGGTGTCATCGTCGGTGACGACGTCCTCCGTCTCTTCGAGTACGCTCAGGAGAAGGGCTTCGCTATCCCCGCCATTGTAAGTCAACCGGGTGGATCATCCACCACCGATCTGGACCACCAATTGACCGAGACAATTTGCACAGAACGTCACCTCCTCCTCTACCGTCGTCGCTTCTCTCGAGGCTGCTCGTGACCAGAACTGCCCCGTCGTCCTTCAGCTCTCCCAGGGTGGTGCTGCCTACTTCGCTGGCAAGGTAAGTCGGAAAGCCACCCACACGGTCTGGCCACAAGGGGTACACCGCTAATATAGTGCGTTTAGGGCGTTAGCAACGACGGCCAGAAGGCCTCCATTGCCGGTGGTATTGCTGCCGCTCACTACATCCGTAGCATTGCTCCCGCCTACGGCATCCCCGTTATCCTTCACACTGACCATTGCGCCAAGAAGCTCCTCCCTTGGCTTGACGGTCTTCTGGATGAGGATGAGCGCTACTTCAAGCTCCACGGCGAACCCCTTTTCTCCAGCCACATGATCGATCTCTCCGAGGAGCCCGTCGACTACAACATCCAGACCACCGCCGCCTACCTTAAGCGTGCTGCCCCCATGAAGCAGTGGCTCGAGATGGTGAGTGACACACATGACCCTTCTCTGAATATAGCGTGACGAGGGACTAACGGATGCTCCAGGAAATCGGTATCACCGGTGGTGAGGAGGACGGTGTCAACAACGAGGACGTTGACAACAATTCCCTGTATACCCAGCCCGAGGATATCCTGGCTATCCACAACGCTCTCTCTCCCATCAGCCCTTACTTCTCCATTGCCGCTGGCTTCGGTAATGTCCACGGTGTCTACAAGCCCGGCAACGTCAAGCTCCACCCCGAGCTTCTCCAGAAGCATCAGGCTTACGTCAAGGAGAAGACCGGCTCCGCCAAGGACAAGCCCGTCTTCTTCGTTTTCCACGGTGGTTCTGGTTCCTCCAAGGCTGAGTACAAGGAGGCTATCAGCTACGGTGTTGTCAAGGTCAACGTCGACACTGACATGCAGTACGCCTACCTCTCCGGTGTCCGTGATTACATCCTGAACAAGAAGGACTACCTCCTGTCCGCTGTCGGCAACCCCGACGGTGAGGACAAGCCCAACAAGAAGTACTTCGACCCCCGCGTGTGGGTGCGTGAGGGTGAGAAGTCCATGAGCAAGCGTGTCCAGGAAGCCCTGGAGGACTTCAGCACTGCTGGCCAGCTGTAAACGTCTTTTTGATACGATGTCTCTGCCGATACGATGAATCAGATACCAGTACATAAATTGATCAGTCCAAGAACGGAGAAGAACGAAGACATATTTTTTGACATTAAAAGTGGAACCCATTTATTTTTTATTTATCGATTTGGGAGAATGGATCATGCACGGCTGGGTGGCTGGAGTTGAGTGATTGGTCAATTGAGATGTATGTAGAAGTAGTAGGATGAGGATGAATCCACTAATTAACTTATATACCTGTACAAATATCGTGCTGTGGTTGTGACTGTTGCCGCCGGTCCCTCTTGAGTATTTCCCGTTCTTGACTTTGATTTATTGAAGACTTCGGGGGGGTGCGTAGGATGTTCCACTGTGGCTCTGTGGCTTTTGACAGCTGTAGCAGGTTTCCATCTTCAGCCCTACCAATCACTAAACTCGGTCGTTGCTGTCTTGGCATCCGGTGATCGCGCATACGAGATCGATCATTGATCGAGTTAGACAGGTTTCTGATAGTGTACACCGCCAGGGGCTCAAGGGTCCAGGTCAATACTGCCTATGCGTGCCCCACAATTTTGCTACATACAGTAGTATATTAGCCTGGGGGGACTTTTGTGTCAGTTGCTATGGCATTAAGTAAGGAGTACGAAGTACATACTCCGTAAGTATGGAACGGCTAATGGCGACATGGTGCCTCAGACACAAACAAGTGCTCTGTTGATGACAGATCTGTACTCCATACGGAGTACTGTGCTTCACACTGTTACTGTTATCTACTGATACTACACTGGAGTACGACATTAATTCCGGATGACTCTTTCTTTGTAGTCATTCCCATGATATGGAAATGGCACGCGCATTCCCCTTTCCGGATAGGATCAATTTAGTGTTGGAGACTAAAGAGAGATGTCTTACTATTAGCAATAGTATTGGATTACTAGTAGTAGAGTGTAGCCGCACGGCCACAGGTGGCGGTGCTGATTGAAAACTTTGTCCGGTGAGGAATGGATGTACCTCAGGTTGTACCTTGTCGGCGGTTGAATATGAAATAGTACATAGCACATTTGTACACAAATGGTGTACGTACGTCAAACACATCAGCCATCCAAACCCATGGATCAAAGAAATCCCACGTACCGCCGGCGTCTTAACAAGCAGAAAAACAAGCCAATCGACCGGCTCGAGGGATACTCCACCGTTGTCTCAGAAAATCTTGACCATGTTCCAGACTTAAAATCTAGTGGTGTCTTTGATTGGCTAGCCAAAATAGCAGTCGGCATCGTACGGCCACCCCGCCAATGAGCGAGCTGGGAGTGGATCGGGGTTTTCTTTTTTCTGGTTTTGTTGTTGAGAAGTTTTTCTTTTCCGCTACAATATTCGGCGTATTCACCATTTTTTGAATGGGGTCAGCCCCGTTGGGCGCCATTTCTAATGCTAAACTGTTCACGCGTGGATGGAGAGAGTATTAATAGCATCACGCTGGGGCGGATCGTGTGAGACATTCTTAACAGGGTCTTTTCTCGACGTCACTGATTCACATATCTCCTACGAGTGATCGCCCGCCGAGAGAAGGAATTTGCTCCGCAGAAGGGAAACGGTCAATTGGTGTACGGGTTAGTCAGTCTTGACTGTTGTCAGTTGGCCATACAAAGGACTAAGTTTTGATATGTTCCAGACCCGCCTCCACTGTTTTACCCACTCGCCCTCTCTGTTCCATGCGGATCCTTCTGTTGTCACTTTATCTGTCGCATCCATCTTGCATAACTTCTTTTCTCCAATTTTCCGTTCTTCCCTCTTTTGGATGTCTTGTTCCGTGTGAGACCATCGCTTTTTTTGTCTTTCGTTTCGGTGTCTCTTTCTTTCTCCTATCCCCTACATTGTCGCGTACCCCTAATCCATGTCGCCTTGACCGCCAAGGCATCATGGATCATAGCTCTCTGTGGCGACGTGAGGATTCGTCCACGGAGCAATTTCTGAAGCTCATTCAGGATCCTTTTAAATCGGCTGTAAGTGTTGTCCTCCGTGCCATTTTCACTGATAGCCCACACTTCATTGCCATATCAGTCGCTATAGTCACTTAGTGCCACTGTACTAATGTGATCAGTTTCAAATCAACGCCGTCTGGGCTTCGTTGGGCACTTCTGTTGGTTCCTCTATCCTCCTCGCCTTACTCTTCTCGCTGTTTCGGCCTCGACATACAGTTGTCTATGCCCCCAAGGTTAAACATGCAGATCTCAAGCATAGCCCTCCCCCGGTTGGAAAAGGCTTCTTAGCCTGGGTTAAGCCGGTTCTGCGCACGAGAGAACCTGAGCTCGTCGACTGTATTGGCCTCGATGCCACCGTATTCCTGCGATTCACCAAGATGTGCCGGAACATCTTCATCTTTCTTAGTATCATCGGCTGCGGTGTTATGATCCCTCTCAACCTCACTCAGAGCAACAAAGATTCTAAGTCGAGGCTGCCTGCTTTCGTGACCATGACCCCGCTCTATGTCTCGGTCCAAGCCATTTGGGGCCAGGTTGTCTGCGCTTGGGCCTTCGACTTTATTGTCGCTTTTTTCCTTTGGAGGAATTACAAGGGTGTCTTTGCTCTGCGAAGAAAATATTTTCAGAGTTCTGATTACCAGCGCAGCCTTCATGCCCGGACATTGATGGTATGCATCCCCACCGTCTAACTAGTGGGCCAATTGCGCAACACTCCTGTGCTTCACTTTTGATTTTGTCGGTACAGATACACTGACCATGGCTACTAGGTCACTGATATTCCGGCGGCAGCGCGATCGGACGAGGGTGTTATGCGCCTGGTCGACGATGCGAATCCCACCGCTGCTTTACCCCGAGCCACCATCGGCCGCAACGTCAAAGGTCTTCCAAATCTTATTAAGGACCATGAGGAAACCGTTCGCCAACTTGAGTCGGTATTAGCGAAATACCTCAAAAATCCAGATCGACTGCCGGCGAAGCGACCCAAGATACGCCCTCCCCGTAAAGAAAAAGGCGATGAGACGCCTGGCAAGGTCGATGCGATTGATTACCTGACTGAGCGGATTCAGTTGCTAGAAGAGGAAATCCGACATGTTCGAGCCTCGATCGATAAACGAAATGCCATGCCGTTCGGTTTCGTCAGTTGGGAGAAGATTGAACATGCCCACGCCGTGGCTTATACTGCAAGAAAAAAGCGACCTCAGGGAACGACAGTCCGTTTAGCTCCACGGCCGCATGATCTCATCTGGGAGAATCTGTCACTGTCAAAACAGGCGCGGAAATGGAAACGTTTTGTCAACGTCATTTGGGTCTCAATTTTGACCGTGTTGTGGATTGCTCCTAACGCCATGATTGCCATCTTCTTGTCCAATTTGAACAACCTGGGTCTGGTCTGGCCGGCTTTTCAGACGTCCCTCAGTGGTAGCCCAGTCGTCTGGGCTGCTGTCCAGGGTATTCTATCTCCCGCTGTTACGTCCTTGGTGTACATTATCCTACCCATCATCTTCCGCCGGCTGTCCATTCAAGCTGGTGACGTGACGAAGACTGCGAGGGAAAGGCATGTCCTCCACCACCTTTATTCATTTTTTGTCTTCAACAACTTTGTTGTTTTCTCTCTCTTTTCAGCTGCGTGGACATTTATTGCGGCTGTGATAGACAAGCAGGAGAATGAGAATGCTTGGCAAGCTTTGGTCGATGGGGGCTTCTACACTAAGGCTGTGAATGCGCTGTGCAACGTGTCTCCCTTCTGGGTTACCTACTTGTTACAGAGGAATTTAGGAGCGGCGATCGACCTCGTTCAGCTAGTTCCCCTGGTTTGGGTTTGGTTCTCCAAGACCTTCCTGGCACCAACACCGCGACAGGCAATCGAGTGGACAGCCCCGCCTTCATTTGAATACGCAAGCTACTATAACTATTTCTTGTTCTACGCCACCGTCGCTTTATGCTTTGCAACTTTGCAGCCCATTGTTCTTCCCGTTACAGCTCTCTATTTCGGATTGGACGCGATGATGAAGAAATATTTACTGATGTACGTGTTTGTAACGAAGAACGAATCCGGCGGCCAATTCTGGCGAGTTGTGTTCAACCGTATGGTCTTTGCAGCCATTCTATCCAACGTCGTCGTCGCGCTGGTGGCTACGGCTAGAGGCACCTGGACTATGGTATTCTGCGTGATCCCATTACCGTTCCTGTTACTGGGATTCAAGATTTACTGCATGCGGAAATTTGATATTGACATGAAATATTACAACCGTGCGAACCTCAGCGATGCGGAGGCCTTGGAGGCTGGAAAGTCGAGCAAAAAGGTGTCTGATCGTCTAAGTTCCAAGTTTGGCCACCCGGCGCTCTACAAGCCGTTGATCACGCCGATGGTACATGCTAGGGCCGCCGATGCGTTGAAGCGCATCTACCGGGGTCGCCTCGGCACCTTGGAAGTGGAGGGTGAGTACACAGACATTGCGATGGATCCTATGTCGGCCTCGCATCCAGGCAAATCAAAGATGGAGACATTGGGATCCGCTCCGTTCGAGGTTGTTCCTGAGAATCATCTTGACTTTTCCTATTTCAAGGACCGGCCGGATTTCCGGGACGAGTTTGGGGGCGGGATCTACGGCCGGCCGGAAGATTTGATGACTGAACGCTCGCAGACGCCGCGGAGCGGACTAGGAGAGTGGTCGCCAACCTCATCACGTGCAGCGTCGCCGGCACCATCCCTTCCGTCCATATCCGGGTTGAGGCAATATGAGGGCTATGACACGAGTACCAACGACCTCGTCCATCCTGCGTTCCGCACTCCACTGTCTCGAGCAGATAGTGGCCCTGTGGGCAGCGGACTTTATCAGCATGGCGATGAGAGTGAAGCAGGGCTACTCAGTCAGGCGCAAGGACCAGCAATGACAGATACCGTTCCACCATTTAATCGGTGGCGGCCCGGAGGATATGGACCTGTGGAGCAGGAAGATCCCAGAACCTCATACGACTACTACCGCAGACCACGATGACTGTGAGTTAACGACTTTACCTGAATATACCATAGATTGATTTTCTTCTGTATTTTGTGTTCATAGAAGGTTTCGGCATTGGGAGATATTGGAAATGACTGGATGGAGTCAATGGAAGTAACGCTGCATATACGTGCATACGATCTGGGCATCTGTTTGTATAATATGGGGCAGAATTTGATTGTACATAGAAGTAAAATTATTGAGAGAAAAGCAAGGTTTTTTAGACTAGAATATTGACAGGGAGTATCAATTACCCGATTGAGCCGAAGCCAATCTCGGAACTCGGATATCTTGTTTGTTCTTCTCCCCTGACAACTGAACTTCATGTCTTTATCCTCGCAAAACTCCACCGCCCCCCTTAATCGCACGAGTTCTGCAATGAGGTTGCTAGCCTCTCCTCCCCCCTGTCACAGGCTGACTTTCACATGAACTTCTGTCTTCTGTCGCTCCACGTCGCACATCACACCACCATTCATTGCCGCGGCCTACACAAACCGCCGAACGCAGAGGAGCTTAAATACAAACCTTACACAACGAAGCACGCTGTGGTTAGAGAATTCTCTGGATCTTCTGCTTAATGTCCATGGTCCTTGCCAAGCGGCCGTTATTCTTGACAGCTGTTCGGTCTGCTATTTAATAACCGCCGATGGTTACCTCCCAATAGATACACCGCCGAACAACCCCGAGAACGAAACGGAATAACTTACATCGTAAGGTACAGGATGGCATGGTACTCAATATTCCCACCAGATCTCCTCTATATTGAAACTTGGATCGCCCGAGCTTTTGTACGTATTCCCTGCCGAGCTCTTGGTAGTAAAGCCTCCTAAACATGCACTCTGACTACCGTTCTTTCCTAGCTCGTGCTCGGGCTCATTACAATCGCTCCCTGGGCCACACTTATCATTTTTGATGTGACCTTCTATATCTTCCGAGTGTTGACGTACGAGCTCCCCGTGATCGGCGGTCGGGCGAGGGGAAAGCAACGGCCTCGTGCTCCGAGCCTACATGAAAGACCAAATGGCCAGCGAAGGGCATTTGTGCTAGCGAGTTATGAGGGGCCTAGTCCAGAAAATAAAGGAAATAATGGGTTAAAGCGAGGGTACCCGAAATCTGCGTCTGAATGAACCTCTTTGCGCTGTTGTTTTTGTGGTATGGGATGTAGATAGCCTCCTGGCGAGGTAGTCGACCACAGTGCGCATGGCTAGTTTATCTACCGGTAGACGTTTCGGCATACACATACGACTTGACTCGCATTTTATTTCCTATCTCGGGCGTGCAATGCGGCGAATTTGGGCATTGCTGTCGGCTCGACCACACTATGGTTTGTCTAGTGGTCTAAGATATCTTGTTTGTTTCTGATACCCCCTGTATGTATACCATACCCACTACTACCTACAAAGCCATTGACTCATGTAGCTAAAGTGCCAACTATCAAAGACGATCCAGCTCGGTGCTCCGAGCAATCGGCGTTGGGCGGCATCGCCGACCAATCGCAAGTCCCAGAGATATCTGATAGTGCATGGGGGAGCTCCATAGTTTTCTCCTCATCCATGACTCCTCCAGGTTGCAAGCGGGCTTGCGCTGAACTAAATATTCTACACCTAATGCCTAGCAATAAGATGTGGTGGTCCTACGTAGTCGACGCCTTAACCACTTCTGCTGAGAAGAATCCGGTGGCCATCCTCGTTTTTGTCCTCGGGATTTGTATCGGCATCTGGAAATACGTATGCCCTGTCTTCAAAAGAACACAATGAGAACATCGCTAACAGTCTCAGATACAAGTCGTGCCCAATCATCCAAATCTCAAGTCACGAAATGTAAGCCAAGAGGAATATCCGCCCATAGAAGCCCTCCAAGACTTCGACTGGGAAACCACTGAGCCACCGAAATTCCGCCCTTTCAAGCCAAAATATCACTTGACGATGGGTATGTCCCACCGAAACAGCAAATGATCATACTTTAGAATGACCGTGATATTGATTCCGTCAAGCATTATCAAATCTAGACCCTTCAGACCTCATCCAAATGGACAAAACCTACAAAGATAGACTAGCTATCCGTTCCTCCCTGCTTCAAAAACATCCCGACGTAGTCATTGGAATCAACAACAAGACAGACCCGAGAATCTACGCCGCAATCCGAGAACTATACCTCTTCGTGGTAGGAACATACCTACCTACACGGTACCCTCGCATGTTTCGCCTAACTTCCCAACCAAGCGGAACAACAATACTCGAGAGCTTGGTTACGGGAGCAAAAATCCCCTTAGATCTCGACGAATCCGACGCGGCTTCCAGAACGGGACGAAAAGAACTCGAGATCCTGGGGACCCTAGTCGATGAAGAGTTCCTCATCCTCCTCCCCGAACCTTCTTCTTCTCCTAACATTACTACCGCTACCAACTCCGAAGAACCGGCCAAGTACGTCCTCGAGGCGTACACAACCTTCTTTCCGTCCGGCTTCGACACGCGCAAGAAACTCGGTCTCCGGCTTGCGTCTATCCATACCCCGGTCCCGGGGTACAAGGAGAAACTTGAGCGCAGTATGGACCGGTTCTTTGCGCGGGTCGAGGTAGGCCAGTTCGTGCAGAGGGTGAATTGGAGCGTTACCACTGACTCGGAACTGTTTGCTGCGTTTGGGGGCGTGCATGGTGCCGAAGGTGAAGGGGAGAAGGCGCTGAGGCTTGGGGAGTTGGATGTGGATTCTACTCTTTTGAGATGTGAACGGCAGACATTACATCGGCTTCCTCAAAGTAGGGGGGTAGTGTTTGCGTTTCACACGTATACGTATCCGATTCGGATGATCAAGGATGAAGGGCTAGGGGAGGATCTAACGGCTGCTATTGATGGGTTGAAAGAGGGGAATGTGCCCGGGATGCATTGGTATAAACGGGGCCCGGTCTGGGGTGAAGCTGTGAAGGAGTTTCTGCGGTCTTAATATGTCTTTTTGTTCATTTTGCATCTCGTTCTATCACATTTTCTAGATCAGATAATTTTCTTAGACCTCCCCCCCCCCCCCCCCCCCC